GTTGGTGCGTCTTGGTGTCTCTGTTGTTTGTCTTGCCTGGTCTTGTCGCTACTCCACTGCGCGGCAAACGCGAGAGCGATAAATGCGAAATGAAAATAAGAGCCAGAGGCTCCGAAGGGACAAGGGCCTTGTCGCGGATGACTCAACATATGTACCTCGTCGTGGCATCCTCCGCGCTCGCCAGCGCGAGAGGCAAGCTGCGTGATCCGCAACGCCCCATAGATAAGCTGGGAAAGCCGCCGAGGGCTTAATCCGGGGGTTCCCCTTGGAACAGATTCCCACACGCCTACCCTGTGAATCCACCACCAGAAATCTCTGGGCGAAATCTCGACCACAGGGTTGGGCACTTGTACGCCTCGGTGGCCCTCGGTCGTCTTTGGCCGAGTGCAATATGTCCGCTTCCCTCTCTGTCTGCGAACACGCACGATAACGAGATATTAGGGTTGGCTATGGAGAGCCACACTCAACGAGTCGCCGATTCCGTTGGCCGAGGCTCGGAGGTCTTGTCGAGATCGAAAGAGGAAATTTCGGTTGGTACTGATTTGGTCGCCTCTTTGGTCTTTCCGCCTGTTTCGAAGGTCATGGATTGGCACGGTCTCGCTTCACCAGCGGCAGTGATTGTGTTCTTGCAGTTGGCGGATAGACGGGAACACATCCTCTCGGGCGATTATAGAGATGTTTCAAGACTTCAGTCTAGCATAGCAGCAACGTGGGGGTATTGCTTCCATCAGTGTCCACGAGCCCTACCTATCCTAGCATGCCCATCGCCGTCAAGCCATCCTCTCGCTCACAGTTCCCATTGGCGTTAGGAGACCTGAGATCTGCAGGCGGCGTCGCTAGTATCAGGTCCGCAATCCTATAATGGCATCGGATGGACAGATAGCCCATCGTCCAACTGCCATTTCCAGGTGACCTACCTTCCCGGTACAGTCGATCCCCGTGCAGTCCCAGGCGCTAAGCTTGTTAAGGAATCCCGGGGAGGCTCCAAGAGACCCTGTCCCGAGATTTGGGTACCCGCGAGATCTGCTCATCCCCATACTTTCTTCTTGACGCCCAAGCCATTTGGCCTTTCGGACGTGAGCTCCGGGCGTAAGAGCCTACGGGACTCATGTTCTATTCTGGATTCTGGAGCATGCCAACCCCATTATTCACGCTGAAAGCCCAAGCTGCGACATATCGTTCCAGTCAGCGTGTGTATTTGTGTGCGACGATTGGGAATAAAAGGGGGGGAAAGTGATGGCATGTGACGGCGACATGATGAGGTGATTTAATGACCTTCAATGTCTGTTAAAGGATGGAAACAAGTGAATCTGATAGGGGCCTGTTGCGCCGACCAGTTTGTTGTCGGCGGATTTGTCAAGTAACTCCAACAACTTCCAATGGCTTGTTGGAGACGTAATTGTCATAGTTCAGAAAAGTCTGGCTAGTATCCTCTACGCCCCGATCTATGCGGCCGGCAACGTCTGGCTGCACACAGATGCTCTGCGTTACACGATGCCTCAAGGATAGCATGTTGTTGGCAGCAGGATGTTGTGTCAAGTCGTTTCTTAAAGATCCTATCGCCGCCGTCCAAATTTGCCTTTGGCTCGGAGAATGATTGTCGTCCTCAGTTGTGTTTTCCTGCTTCTGGCGTGTTGCCGAGCCTTGCCTGTCGTCAAGCAGGGAGCCCCGTCTTTGACGGAGAGTCACTCCTGTTTCGAACGCGCGCTACTACGATAATGGTTGATGCATTCTGTGAGATTCGTGCCATGTTGTAACGGACTTGGGAGTTGTAAAATATATGAAGTATCGCACGCTCATCACACGACGCTTGTCACCGGGTAGGCTCACAATCTCCGACAATAGTCGCGGGGCACAACGATGATCTTGCTTAACGCGTACCTGCGTGCGGGGACCGACATGCCACTGCACTTCGGCTTGTGGTTTTGCTGTCTTGCTCAACAAGACACGAAATCCTTTGTCTTGCCGGAGAGAACCCCGGGCCGAGGTCGACGCCCCGCCCCTGAAGGAGCGCCCTAGATGTCCCGAACATCTCTAAACCTGTCTTGGACCTATCGAGCTGATAACGGCTGGATGATAAGGCCCGAGACTCTAGAATCCGGGGCTTTGAACTCGAAGGGCGTACCGAGTAGCAAGCGCCGAAGCAACTAGCTCTTGTAAAGGCTTTCCAGTGCCATCAGTGGGCATGCAGCCGCTCTGTTTCTCGTAGTCAGTGGAATACGAAATTTGCCGGTCATGACTCGGTTCCCACTTCTTGCTTCGACGGTTAAGCGGAAATGACCCGAACTGGAGCTGCCCAAGCTTCCCCAGACTTTACTTCACTTTCGGCCTATCCCCGCAAAACGCTTCAAGCGGCGCACTGTGAGCTAGAGTCCAGACGGGTCTTGTCGGTATCATGTGTTTTCTGGCTTGGGTGAAGATTGTCCCGGAGCGCTTGCCAGGACACGCCTGTGTTTGAAACTAGCTTTCTCAAAATGGCGCTATCTGGGGGGCGTGGAAATCAACAGGGGATGGCGTGATACGGGGGAAGCGATACATGGAACGCAGATGGCTGTGGGGAGAGTCAGAGCCACGCCCGGAGGTGCCAAAGTCGTGTTGTTATGGCCCCAAGTCCCCAGTTTTCTGAGGGGAGTGGTCAAGATCCCGAGATTCTCCGACATGCACGAGCAGACAGCTTACTCTGTGCATCCATTTGGTCAAAGCTGGCGGTATGTGAGTGGCGCCTGAAAATCGGTCATATTCTAGTTGCCTCAGGTGAGACGCAAACAGAGAGATTGGTACCACCGAGAACATCCCTCGAGGAGACACCGCGCAGTTTGCTGGAATTCGTGCCGTTGAAAGATTTTGGGTTTGAGAACACATGCCCCTCTTAATATCACATGTGAAAAGATAAGAAAAAAGGGGGGTTACCCCAGGGAGAGTCGGTCCCTTTTGCCTAAAAGAAAAAGTCAAGGATGATGTCAGCGCATAGATTTGGGGAATCGCAATGACTCAAGAGACGGTAACATTCTCCCACGTTTATTTATTTTTTATTTGATAAAATAAAAGCCTGGGGAAGAGCGTACCTTGCATTCGCACATGTTTGCGGAGGCTCGGAGACTTGGCCTGGCCAGAACAGCAGGCAACTTCCGAGTTCTCGCGCCTTCATGTTCTGGTTGACCTCACCTGTGAGCGAGCGACTCCGGGCAGTTTGAAGCGCCGCAAATTGCTGGTCCAAGTTCCGATATCAGTTCCCCACACAAACTGTGGAACGTGAACGAGGCTGAGGAAAACTCCGTTTGCCCTCCGCGTTATCAACCCCGGGTAGTGGCACCCGAGCCACAAAGGGTACGGAGGTGCGCGTCAAAAGTCATGATCCATAGTGCCAAGACCACCCCCTGACCACCTGACCCACTTTATATATTTCTAGCTAATTAGAGCAACAGGATTTATCTGCTTTCCTAGGGCCCTTATAAGAGTAATTTTACTATAATAACTATTATAATAACTATTATAATAATAACTATTATAACTATCTATTATAACTACTTTATACTACTATTATAGCCTATATTAACCCCTACTTATAGGTATTAATTCTTACCTTTTAAAGCTGTATTAGTAGTAAATTAGCTAATAAGGTTATAGCGGCTCTTAATATACCTAAAGTTATAGTTAATAAGATTCTTGCACGTGTAAAAAAGTATAGCTTTAACCCCTCTGCTCCTACCTTCTTTATCTTTCCTAAATACGTTAAAGATGCCCCTTAAGCTAGCTAGCTAAAGAAGGTAACACCTATAGTAAAAGAGCTTGTTGTTAAAAAGGTTTACTATAACTAATATAGTAAGGAAAAGATATATACTAATATAGCTAGTAAGCTATAAAGAGAGCTTAATATAGATATTTTAGCCTTAATAGTCTACTAAATCCTCTAGTAATATAAGTTTAGAAAGTCTAAACTAATAAAGAAGCCTAGCTTAATAGCTTAGATAAAGTAAGAGAGGCTTTTTTAGTGTCTAGTATATTACTACTAGTTACTTAAAGATTAAAAAAAGGTTATTTAGTCTAATAAAATATTAGTAGTCTTAGGCTATTACTATAGTAGCTACTGTCTATAGTAATAAGTATATAAGGCCTATATAAAGTTATATATTTATACTTAATAAAAAGGTTACTTTAAGTTTATATTTTAGAGTTACTTTATATATAATAAGAAAAGCCTTTTTTACTACTAGTTACCTAAGTTAGCTATAATATAGTAAGAAGCTACTACTAAGGTTAAGAAGTTAAATAAGGATCTAGAGCTAGTTAAGCGCCTTAAATAGGAACTAGAGAAAAGGATAGCCTAGCTATAGCTCTAATAGCTCCCTAGCTATAAACTAACTTTTTACTAGAACGCCTATACTAGTAAGTTAGTCTGTAAGGGTAATAGAGGAATTAACTAGTACTATTACTATAAGGAGATCCTCTTACCTAAGCTTTTCCTATTTATTACTAATAAGTGCCTACCTAGCACTATTATTTAAGAGGATAAAGCACCTTCCTATAATTACTACTATATTTACTATATATATACTACCTATAATATCTAGAAGCTTATCTAGTGTAGTAATAGCCTTAATCTTAACCTTATTAAGCCCTATTAGCTGTAAATAAAGCGATTTATAATAAGAAAAGGCGCCCTAACTAACTAGGCTATAGCTAAATAAGCGTAGTAAGAGTGCTAGTAGGTATTACTACAAGAGAAAATCTAGGTATAAATAGAATAGATATTAGCTTATATTAAGGCTATTATTACCCTTAATAGTAGTAATAAGTATAAGGAAGGCTAGCATGCTAGTAAGTATTACTTAGAGGTTAAATATAGTAAATAAATCCTATTAGCAGTAACTAGTAATTATTAATAGTAACTAAATAAGTTACTTAGCTGTAATGTAAAATAGTGGCTGTAATTCACTATAGAGGGCACCCTTGTAATTACCCCTGTTAATTAACAGGGGGTGGTCTTGGCACTATGGATCATGACTTTTGACGCGCACCTCCGTATTTATTGGCAATTTACCCCGGCTTGTGAAATGAACGACATTTGCAATACCCAGGCCAGGGTAATCGCCACACGGCTACCAGAAGATAGCATCCTCCGCCGACCCGAACTCGGATCCTCGGCACAAAGGAGATGTTTCCAAATGTGGGGACACTCTAGCAACAAGAGCCGGCGTGCAAGCGTGGCATTTTGTCTTCGAACCACTGCTCACAACAACAGCAACAGTAACGCAATCTTTAGGGAGATTCACAGCAGCGCTCAGGTTGAGAAGTTGAGGCTCGGTATTCCTGGGGCGACTGTTGACTGTGAAGATGCATGAAGGACGATTCGGGCCCTCGGTGTTGGGCAGAACAGGTCTCTGATCTTCGCAAGGATCTTGCCGTATCACTGCCCAGGCGACTCTGGTCCCGATTTCTGAGGCTGCCGATACCTGTTGCTCTAGTGTATCCCTCAAGCCGAATAAGACTATGCTCCCGCGGAGAAGTCCTGGATCCCATGGGGACGCCCCAAGATCAAGAACTTGCTCAATCTAGGCATTCCGCCCCGCCCGCCTGTTGCCCCACGCAGGATTATGCCGTCAGTATCCGTATCTGAAGACTCATTGGCGTTGGCGAGCATGATGGAAGCAACGACAGGGGTCTGTCATTGGAGGCAACTCTCGGCGGAATTGTGGTCTGCAAATGCAAACTATCCACAGACTGCCTGTTAACTGTGGTCAATCCCAGGTACAAGGCCTGCTAGCAACAGGGTTGGTTCGACTGATGACTAGGGTCTTGAAGACATGTCGTGTGGCTGTCGTTAGGTGAAACCACAAACGAGGAAGTTCAGGAGCGTGCGATTGTACGAGTAATACAGGCTGTTGCAAAGTCTGAGAGCTGGAGGCTCGAGATTGGCCGTGGGGTTACATCGGCAGTGAAACCGGAGAGACCCGAGAATATTCCGACTTGATATGTACATAGTAAATAGTACATACGGATAGATAGGCGGACTGATCGCTGGTTTGGGGACGCAAATGCAAGTCGGGGGCACTCAAGGAAACAACCCCGAGAGCCACGTTCCATCCGTTTGGCCAGGGCTGCCGCCGCATTGTTGGCATCTCTTGTCGTCCGAGGGTGAACCAATACTTCGAAGATGCTCTCACATATTCTGGGAGCTCGGTACCATAGTGGTCCAATGGCTGAGACGGTTCCAAGATAGCCGCTTTGTTTTTGGCTAGCATTGGCAGCCGGACCTGGCCAAGCAGGCGGCTGTGTCGACTGACTGACTGATTGACTGACCAATAGGGCAAGCCAAGAGTGTCGCAGAACTGGTGAGAGCCAACGCAAGGAAAAGACAACTTCAAGAGGATGTCGCGACGTGTTGCCATGGCCGGCAATGAAAGCCAAGGACGCCTTGAAGTGGTTCGGGCTCCGGTTTCGAGATCAGAGGCCGTTTCTCTTGTAACGCACCACCTCTCGCACTCTGTTTCCGCTTGAACATGGCGTTTGCAGTCTGCAGGTTCATGTGTCAGTGAAATGACGAATGATGACGTGTCGTCGTTGGTAAGTGGCCGTGGTAAGGAAGGATGAGAGTTGAAGACAATAGAAACATCGCATCGACGGCTCTTGCCCGTCGGAACGGCAGTTGCTGTTCTTGCAGTTTCCTGCATTACCTATGAAAAGTAGATTTGTGGCTTGGGATTTGTGTGGGGCGCGTGTGAGGCTGGAGTTGGGCGTACTGTGCCCGTTCCCCAACTTCAAGACGTCCGTGTTTAGGTGACAGAACAAACCCGTCTAAAGCTCAACATAGTAGTAAACTGCAGTCCAGCCATGGAAAAGTATCACTCCGTTCATGAGGAAGACATTTCCAGCTTCGACCTACCGTCAACTCGTGGGTCCATCTTCATCAAATGGCAGCGATATCGACTAACGAAAACAGATCGATTACCCACTGTGTCCGCCGCGGATGCACTGGAAGATCTAGACGGCAGTGTCGGCAGGCACATCTCCACAGGTATCGACCGGTTAGACGAGACGCTCGTCTCTTCTTTCTCTCGTCGGGATTCTGTCTCAGTGCGTGGGGGTCTTCAAAGAGGTCAGGTCTCTGAGATATGGGGCCCACCAGGCTCAGGCAAGACGGCTCTAGGGTGAGACGTCACTGTCTGTCTTGTGGTAGTATTCTACAGAGGGAATACATGGCTAACATTTCTTTGAAGCATCCAACTTGTCGCCAGTGCATTGTGTGACGGGCATGGCGCCGTGTGGGTAGGTCGGTTCATCTTGGACTACGACGGGCTGGGAAAGAGAATGATGAGGCTGACGATGCGTTTCTTAAAGATTGCGCGTATTCTGTCTGCGGCCAGCGGCTCAATGCCGTGATCGAGGCAGTGGAACAGGCTCGATCACCTACGGACGATGGACCGGCAAAGCCATCCAGTGATAACCTCGCTCACTACAGCTGCCCAAGCTTACCTCACCTGGTTGCACTGTTATGTCGTCCGACAGCCGCAACGTTGCCAGCGAAGACGGCTCTGGTCATTATAGACTCGTTGTCAGCTCTAGTGAACTACGCTTTTCCCAAGGCATCCGACGGTCGGAAAGGACCGCCTCAGGGCAAAGGTCTGTACGCCCGTCTCAGACAAGAAGCATGTATTAATGGCCGACCAGGACCTGGATTATCAGCGAAGCGGCTGCAAGCCCTGCAGTACATCACCAGCGCATTGCAGAAATTAGCGGCAACGCGAGACTGCGCAGTGGTTGTGTTGTCGCAGTGCGCAACCAGAATGCAATTAGAGCGAAGCGCCACTTTGATCCCATCCATTAATGCTGGCATTTGGGAGCAGGGGATGTCGACACGAGTAGTGCTATTCAGAGACTGGGTGTGGAAGGACGGGCGGCCGTCGACCGTATCTTTCGCCGGAGTGCAGAAGCTAAACGGTAAGGCCGGGCCCGACATGATGCAGAATGCAGCAGCGTTTAGAGTGGAAGCGGTCAGTGCCCCCCCCCCCCCCCCCCCCCCCCTTTACTGGGCAACCACGGACCCGACATAGTATCGCAAAAGCAGAGTTTTCAAGAAGAAAGTGATTTTGCTAACTTGTGAACTTATCGCGGAACAGACGGGCGTGGTTGGCGTGCATTACGACACTAGCCAGCCATCGGTGCTGGTGTCGAATGCTCCACGCGCGAAACGCAAGCTGGTAGAGGCCGGTCTCGAAGTGCCAGACAGCGAGGAAGAGGACGACGAGGAATATGGGTGGGTTCAGGAAGACGACGCAGCACTTCCCGGCCCGCCACCACAATGGCAAGGCAGCGAAGACCTCCTCCTGGGGACGCAGGTCGCTGAAAGCGAAGATGACAACAACGGGGACGGGGACGGGGACCGCGAGGACGGCGGCAATGATGACACGGGCGACGAGGCGGAAGTGGAGGGGACAGCGATTAGCGGCCGAGATAGCGACGAAGTTGCAGAGTAGGTAGGCAAAGGCAGGCAGGCATGCAGGGCCCAATGGAATACTTCCGGCAAAGGCCGGAGCCTGGCCGATGGATAGGACGAGCACGAATCGATAATGCGATCGTGGCTCTCTCTTGCCCCCCTAGTATGGCCCTGGAGACGGACGGAAAAATTCTCTCGCAAGGAGCCAACTCCGAGGCTTGACATCGTGTGTGTCATGGTACGGAGCCTCACCAGGCCTTGAAAAGGGAGGAAGGATGAGGCGGAAGAAAGGGGAGAAGGCTAAGGATTGAAAAACTCAGCTAGAGCAACTCCACCGAAGATGGCAGAGAGGCCCCGCTACTCACAGAGAGATTCAGCGGGTAAGGACCGATAAGAAGCGGTCGGTCAAGGCCCGGGTCCACCGAAAGAGCATGAAATTTCATCGTCACCACTCGGCCAAATGTCGGCTTGACGCGAACCAGCTTCGGAGGCATAGCACCACGGACCTCAGGAGAGACTGTGAGGAAGGAGAGGCCGGGCTGGCCCGGGGCCCCAGCCCCAGAGAGGCCAGCTCGCTCTTCAAACCATGGACCCAAACTCGTAGTGTACGATACCCACGGATACCATCGTGGGGTCCCACAAGTGTTTGGTAAGCCGCAGTGGCCAACTCTGAAAGCGTCTTGGCCGCGAGCGAGTAGTGACTAAGAGGGCGAGTGTCGGGAATGCATCAGTACACTTGGCTGGCTCAAGGAGAGGATGATATGCTATGGGCGAGGGCGATATGCTATGGGCGAGGGCGAGAACACAAGCCAGGGTATGTATTATCGTTTCCCTTTTCCATGGGCACCACCGGGCAAGTCCGCATGCGGCGGCATTGCTCACCGTGGCGAAGAGGACCGTGATGGCTGATGTGAGAATGAGAAAGTACAAAGAGTGGAGGACGCGCCATTTGTCTGTTGAATTTAACCAGGCTGGGGAAGAGCAAGGTCAGGAGCGGATTTTCGTGAGGAAACCACTCTACGAATACGTGTACCTACCCCTACCTGTAGGTAGGTGCCTATGGAGGTAGGCAGGCACGATACAGGATTGCGGAGTCCATTATACCATGTCTTGGGTCCCATTTTGTTCTCGAAGGAAAAAATGGCGTCAGATCCAGGGGCCCCCCACTTGCTATATGTTTTGATATACCTGTACATAGTACTACAGTACTAGGTCAAAAGTCTGTTTACAGCAACAAGGACAGCCAATCAAAAGCTACAGTAGGTGGTTAGGACATAAGGTCTTTGGTGACGCACTGTGAAGTGACCTCCAGCTATTAATGGGTCCTCTCTTTAACTCTTCTTTGGGTTATCCTTTTTGCTGTAAACAGACTTTTGACCCAGTACTGTACAGTACGAAACATGCATGAAGGAGCTGTACGGCCTACCTGTCCAGGGCGGAATGGTACACCGCAATTGGGAGCCCCGAGGACCCTGCTGCCAACAGCCAGGCTCACCAGTGCGCCAAACTGACACCAAAGGGCACCGAAGATGACGTTAGCTTTGGAGGAGGGATCTTCCATATCTCCTGCTTCCATGTCAGGGCAGAGAATTGGGGGGGAGCATCGGCGTTGGCATTGGCATTGGCGTTGGCATTGGCATATACGGATACTGACCGCATAGTGGATAGGTTGGCGAGGTACATGGCAGGTAGTATACACACAGGGCACGATAGGCGGTTCGCACATGTCAAGCTCAATGTGCTCTCCCGATGGGGTTTGAACGTTGCGATATCGTGCCAAGAGAAGGGAGAAAAAACCACCCACTGGCGCTACAGTACAAAGCCGCGAGCAGCGGGCCCTAGGAAGGCGCCATGTATTCTTGTAGAAGGAGTGACTTTGCGGTACTTTTCTTCCCCTGAACGTCGCTTGCCTCGATCTTCATTGGCCTCGTTCCCAAGGCTGTTCCCCTGTCACATCCCGCCGCCTTCTTCGCGACTATCTCGCCCTCCGTCAGAGAGGTTTGGCCTCTTCAACCTCTGTCTGCCCTCCCCCGGATCTTTTTGAGCACGTTTTACTAGGCGCACGCCCCCATGGGGATTTGCAGCCCTGCGACCGGATGGCCTGGGGGTGTGGCTAATGGTTATTTCCACCCTTCTCTCTCCTTAGGGCAGCAGCTCGAGGGCTTACTTGGTAAGTAGTACAGACACGTACCTACCCACCTAGGTACGCAGTAGAGGCTATCGACACTTGAATTTCTCGCTGATTCACCACAGCGAATCCTTTTTTTAATGCCGCGACGGGGATATGGAGTACCTGCAGCGCCCCTTCACATTGGCCAAATTGGTGACATAATCCCGCCCCATCCGCTCGTCCTCGGCACCGGCATTGGTCCTTGCCTGAAGTTATTCCCACATGCTCTGTACTACACTGGGTACATTGTACGTGGTGTACGGATACAGTACACTGCAATTGGTTCTCATCTTATCCTCCGGGTCCAGGAGGGTCTACGTCGCAACCGGACCAACTCTTCAGAACGCGCATCTAAAGAGTCTGGAGAGTCTGGACCAGCTCATCCTCAGGACGAATGATGCCACTCCGCTTGGCTCTTCGCCAACTTTCCGTCAGGCGGACTCGGCGTCCCGCAGGTCGACAGGACGGGACAGGACAGGACAGGACATAATAGGATAGGATAGGACCTGCAACCCCTCGGAGGATGGACTCGCCTCAGGCAAATGGCGAACGGTAGCCGACGTTCGCCTGACTTCGTTTCCCCAGACGGTGTGTGTGTTGCATCGATGTTGAATCAACCACGGCTAACCGAAACAAAGTAGGGGGAAACTACCGAGTAGCTCGATCCAAGACATCGTCGAGTGGTAGGTGCGCCTACGTAGAGCCGGCCCTGACGATTACATACCCAGTACTGCTGCATGATGCCGTCGTCCGAAGCCGTCGCCTCTTTCTGCTGGAGGAACAAGAGGAACCGCCTCGCATCGGTCGATGCAGCCTCTCTTTCCCTCGGCTTCTCCCAGCCGCACCAAGAAGAGGCCTCTCAGCGCATCACGCCATGGCAACCGCCCAAGGTTTCCAATAAAAGATGCAGATTAAGTCCGGTCTGGGGGAGGCAGATCGACCGAGCCGCTGGTGCAACCAAGCCCGCTTGTGTTCTCCGCATCGAGCAGAGTCGCTCATACACGCACACGCACACACCATACTATGTATAGTACAGTACCTATATGCACTCACAGTCGCAGGCCGCACAAAAAGGGGAAACCGCCAGTTCCCACCGCCAACCTGGCACGATTCCGCCGCAGATCTTAGGCGCCTCCCGCTCCTCGTCAGCCCACAATGCCGCTTGATCGTACGCCAGTCGGCCAATGCTGGCTCCATCCTTCTGTTCTTTTTTTCCTTTCCCAGGCGTGCCGGGCTCTTCAAGCTCAACGAAACCCGGATACCTGACAGACAACATACCCACCCTCAGCATATACGCACCCATCGGTGAAAGCCCCAATGCCTCGGCCAAGACTCTTCCCAACTCCCCCATGTTACATGCACTGACTGATACGATACAACTTACCCGTATTCAACCGATTTATCTATCTGAGATTTGCTAAACTTGTTTGGTTCCGCTGCTTGGCGCCATCGTTGTGGTTGTCTCTACCGGAAATGTTTCCTTACGTCCCCGCCCTACATCGTTCAGTATCCAAGTCATGTATGTGCGTGTGTATTCCCCAAATGCCGTTCCCGCTGGCCCGCGTTGCCGCCCCCACCGCCGGCCGCTCACCTGCGGGGGTGGGATGTTTGTCTCCCCGGTCTTGAGAGCATGCATTGCTTCAGAGGCCCCCGACTCGCCATGTTGTTGAGGCACGATCCGGCGGCTGTTCTTGATACGGCAGTAAAGACAAGGGAAAGAAACACGCTGCGAGAGGACGAGCAGAGTCGGCCTTGCAGCGGGTGACTTGCAGCGATCCTGCACGTTTCCCCCCGCGTGCTCATTGATGTAAAACACCCCCCGTTCCCGTTTTTACTTTGTATGGCCGGGGAAGCACTCCGCCGTGCCCATGTGTGGCTACCTCCTGTTCCCGTCCATCTTGGCTCTTCCTGTAGCTATGCTCGCCATCTCCCTTGATTATCGTCCTACATATGCGAGTTCCTACACCGCCGCTGTCCATCTTGGTTGATTAGAAAATGTAGCCATGGTCGCAGTGGATATACCCTGGTCCTCAATCAGATGTTCGCATTTCTCAAGTGTAACCCTAAGCTTGTGCTAGCCTGGGAGAGGGGCGGAGGGTACTTATCCCCCCCCCCCCCCCCCGGAAGCTTTCGCACAGGAGTAAATACTTGCTCATCTCTGTCGGTTAATGGGCTCTTGAGTCGCTTCCGCACTGGCAAATTGTTTGCGCTCGGGGGCCCCGACCCAAACAATGAAAACAGAGCACGCGTAACCGACGTGTTAACGGCAGAACGAAACGTATGTTGAACCTGTTTTCTGATTACGTTCACGGCACTTCCATTCCCACCTCTTCCTCTTCTCTGACTATATGTGCTCCTGATGTTTTCTCCATCTCTGCGAATTGAGTAGAGAGGGTGGCGTGTGCTTAGAGAGAATATTGGTGCATTTTTGGACAAACTTTGAGTGAGTTCGTCGGGACAGGTTTGTCAGTGTTTCGCCTCGGGAAGTCTACGGCAAGTCGGGAAGGTTGGCTAAGTAGCGGTTGCGGCTCTCTACACTGTTCGCAACACCCGTGCCATACTTCAGACCGCTTTTATCACCATTCGGTCCGCCGTGTTGAGTCACCATCACATGCCAACCCGAAAAACGGGGCCCCGCAAGATTAGAAATGGCTCATGCTCGAATGCTCAGTGCCCCTTGAGGGGTCGCTTATGCCGTTTGAAAGGTAGACGCAACAAAGTTCTTGAGAAATGGTCGAGACCCCTTCACTGATATCTTAGTACACCTCGACAAGATATTGTGCAACCATGGTGTCCATCCTTCCTGAGGTGAAGCTTTTTTGTGAGGATGACGGCATTTCTCCACTTCGACCTCGGGGCTCGGCGAGGGGTTCGAGGAACTCTGAAGTTATCATGTGAGATCCTGACACAGGCTCGCATAGCACGCCGGCATCCTTCCTCTCCTTCCTCGATCTCGCTAGAATTTCCCCCTCCCTACTCTTGAAGGGGTCTCGATCGAAGCCGGAATGGCGCGTTTATCTGGTCGCAAGGAGTTGCCGGCGAAGGCGGGTACGCCCTCGATTCCATGTCGGAGCGCCGCCCGGAGCCCCAAACCCAATCGTAGGGAGTTCCTACAACCCCTCTCCCCTCGGTCCTGTTCCCCTGAGACCGCATCTCTTGGCGTCTTGTCCCAAAACCTGGTTGGCATTTGCGTTGCAGTCCTCGCCCGAGGAACGGACCCTTCCCCCCTTGGACGAGGGCGGCATTTCGATTCGAACTCTGCGCCAAACCCAAAAGCAAGAAAACTTTAACAAGACAGTTCGCGGCGAGCGGCCACCCCGAGAACACGTTTCGGTGCTATGACACTTATTCTACGCGGCTTCGCTCCTCGCGGCGAGATTTATCTTCGTAGATTTGGTCTGGCCATGATGGACTCAAGATGGGAAGGTCGGCGGTTGGCTGGCGCTCCTCTGGGAACCTAATCAACCCCCCATCCCACTCGAGGCAGGTCAGCCAAAGAGTATGATTCGAGGACGCCATATTCATGCTAATCGAGACAAGGTGCTCCCGTGATTTGCATAGACTGCAGCCCCCAGGCGCTCAAATCAAAGACGGAAAGTACAGAAAGAAGGCTGATGAGAAGGGAAGAAAAGAACAAGCGTCTTCATGCAGAGTAACTGGGTGGGTTCGGGTCCGGGTACACCATGGCCGCCTTGAGGAGGACGAGCACCTCGTGCGCGGCCTTGGTGATGTCCAGCCCATTCCTTTTCCACTCGGGATCGTACCACATGTTCCGTAGCCCGTTGTCCGCGATTAGTGTCACGATGAAGCGCACGTAGTGGTCCTCGACCGCCCAGCCCGTCTTGTCCGGATGGTAGACGAGAAACTTTGGTTTCCGGGTGTCGAGCGCCTCCCGCGCCGCCCGCGCCGTGCGGGCCTTGTCCGGTTCCGGGACAGCGCCGGGCGATCCGGCCCTGAGTAACGCCAGGGAGAGGTAGTCCGCGCAGAACTCGTCCCATGACCCGCGCACGAACGGGCCGTCGAGCCAGTCGCGGAAGGTCGCGGTGTCTCCGAAAGGTAGCAGTTCCATAAGGAGGCGCTCATACTGGGATGCCGTGCGAGGGGCCGATGGGGACGGGGGCGGAGCGACGGCGACGACGGCGGGCACCGGGGCGGAAGTGTGCCTCGGTGCCATCCGGGGCGTTGGGGGCGGGGAGCTGAGGCGTTGGTATGGGAGGTTCTTGAAGGGCGAGGCGCTGGTTTGGGCGCGGTGCCTGCGTGGAAGAGGGATGCACATTATGAAGAGGACGGGGCGAGTCGGTTGGTACGGGGTAGGAGATGGGCGGAGCGACCGATGCAGCCAGCCGATGAGCTTTCGGGTTGCGAAGGGCTTTGTATAGATTGTGGCTGTACATTGACACTTTCGGAGTCTGTCTGCCTGGCCGCCTCGGGAACCCGACGCATATATGCCCTTCCAGCGTTATGGCTGTTGCCCACCGAAGTCCGCCTTGCATTCGGGGTTCTTTTTTTCTTTTTTTTTATCTTCTGCTTTTACGTCAACTCGTCATTTCCACCCTGTCCCTTCTCTGCGCTCCCTTCGGCGCTTTCTGGGAAGATGTAACTGCGAGTTTTTGGAGGGGATGTGATTCCAGGCAGCAGGGCTGAAGCAGAGCACCGGCGAATCATGGGGTTTAACTCCAAACAGCTGCTTACGGCGCTTACGCGGCTTGGGACGGGGCCATGAGCGAGACGCGTAGTGGGCGTCATGTCGTTAGGGTCAAAGCTGAGGGATTTTCGAAGCGGAAGGGCTCTTTTCCGTGTTGCAATTCGGGAGTGTTCTTTCTTTCTTTCTCTCTTTTCATCGCGTGATTTGGGATCTGGGGTTTAGGGTTGAGGCGACGGTGTTCTTCTGCCTTTGTTGGCGCTGGCTTCACCCGCGCCTTTGAGATTTGCAAATTTCTCCTTGCTCGAGGCGTTCTAGCTGGCTGTTGAGAGAATCAGAGCACATATGTCACGTAACTATGGGTTTGAGCCGTCCGTGGGTAGACAGCCTGCATAGCATTGTGTCAATGTCTATGGATGCACTTACATGCGCACGAAATCACTATTCTATAAGTTCTGCCACTTGTAATCATGAGCGGCCGAATGAATGCATTATAGCGCCGTCTGAACATAGCTTCTCTGTTTGGCTACGAAATTCCCGAGCATCAAATGGCTCTATGCCATGGAAATGACCGAATCCATATGACTGTATCTGAGTTGGATGTGATGAGGGGCAAATGTGCCACCTCCCTTTTGATCATGTTCATCGGCTATTCCAATCCATGTTGGGAAGCATACCGTGCCCATCCTTGCATTTAGCTCGTCTCAGACGCAAAGGCCGTCTGCTTTCAGACGTACCTCCCAGGCCGGCTATTGCTGTCATCAACCATTGGGGTATATCGGGGGTTTATCGTATCGAGCTGTCGAACCACGGGTGATTTTGTTCTCACGATAGGGATTCCACTTGGCCTAGAAGAAGATTGATTAGTTGTGATAAGTATCATACACAGGAGGTCTTATCAAGATCTATATGCTCGTGTAGGAGTACTATCAATAGGATAGATAGAGGGTGAGGGGAACCCTTTATGTGTATGTAGATGCATCGAGGTAAGCAACGCTCTCCAGAAAATCCGCATCTACCTACCCGGGACTATCCCCATGTGAATTGTTGATGGTACCTGCTTCCTTCAAGTTAGTTCAGGAAGTAATGGTTCGTGGTCGAGTTGGATGGGAAAGTGCAAGGTTGAAGTGACGGGTGGCTGTGTATTGATGTTGAGTCATCGGGCAGGAGCAACCATGGGTGGGCCAGGATCTACTCACAGTGCCATGGAAACCACTTTGACAAGATGGAGGTCTTGCCCATCCTAGATTTCAATGATCATGGGAGGGGAGCTTTTTGTAAATTAAAAAGGAAGCATCTTTGATGGAAGCAGTTGCTCGGCCAGTGTGCATGCTTCCTCCCTTGATGACGGCCGGTTTGCATGGACCACAGTAAGGAGCCGCCGGCCAGCTTCCTCTTTTCAAATAAGCTACGTCCGTTATCGTCTGGGAGTGAAGAAGACACGTTATACCACAGGAGCATGCTCTAGGAGCCGGCTTCGTTCTTGCCTCGTCGCAAGATATGTTGCCAAAACACTGCCGAGAAGGTACTGCGAGCCTTTCGAAGACAAATCATCGCGATGGCAGCTGCAGCCTATCATGCAATACCTTCGACTTCATCTTCATGTTGCTCTGATGCCAATCTCTCCTCGTCCTCAACCTCCCCTCTCCATGTTCGGCGGACTTGTCACAATATTTGTAGCAAAATCTCGCAACACCTCGACCACTGTGACGACGTTCTGTGTGAGTATTTCACTGATCATCCTATCATCCTTCATCATTGACCCATACTGAACTAGTAACGTGCGGTTGATTCTGCGTCAGTTAGCTCTGCTTCCAATAGCTTGGTCCTGGACTGCAGCCATGCGAGAGCTTCCTCCCCTGCAAATCGACGGCATCGAGGCTGAGATGGCGCCCGAAAACGCGCGTGCTGGTCCCTCGAACCAGTCAGACGAAGAAATGAGCCACTTCACGGTTCAGTCGGGCTCGAGTAAGCAGAAAATACGCCGCAGAATCAGATACCGTTTCCTCACCCCTTCGGAATGGGCTATTGTTGCTCACGGTATCGGGGGCGTCAACGACACCGAGGGACACATTGCGCTCCATCCGACTTGCTGGTACTACCCTCCCAAGGGAATTCCCAACGGTCTTTACCGAGATGTCGTCTGGCACCGTACCAAGTACTTCTACATGTACCACGGCATGAGCTCCATCCGATGGGTCGCGTACATCTTGCAAATCATTTTCGGTGCTATCCTCACCGCAATTGGCTCCATGTCGTATAAGAACGGCACTCCCATCACCATAATTGCGGCTGCAAACACTATAAATGCTGGCATCCTCGCACTCTTGCACAACAGTGGGTTACCCGACCGCTATCGCTCCGACCAGGCCGAGTTCGACGAGGTTGAAGACCACCTCAAGAAGATCCTCGACACTGGAATCGTCCCTGAGCATATGTCTGTTGACCAAGCTCTGATCCATTGTTTCGATTTATACCAGGAGGCCAAGAAGACCGTCTCGGCAAACATCCCAGCGACTTACACCCCGAGCTCCGTTCTGTCAGGTGGCCCGCAAGGCGGCGAGCCGCAGAAGCCGGGCATGCCTGGACCAGCGGCACCCAACGCAGCAAACTCGATCATTGAGGCCAGACTCTCAGTGGCTTCACCTCATGCTGCTACGGAGGAGAAGTAAAGCAAAAGAGTAAAGTTTCGACTCGAGGCCATGTCATTATCGGGAGCTTATTCTTGTTCAACTACGGAGTCGTTACCTATCAATCAAGGCGGCAATCGGTGTTAGGGAGCCTCGTGGCACAGGAGAGTATTGAATTCATATGCATTTGACGATTCATCCAGAAGGCAAAGAGATCATATTAAATCCAACCACGAATTACATCGACTCGAGTTGCAGACGTGAAGCTGTGATGCCTTGGCGGAGATAGTGAGTCCTTGGTGGAGCAAGCGTGGCATGGAAGAGCATGTCACCAGTGACTCACCGCCTTTGGCAGAATAGTCGGACCCACTGAAATTTCTCTCGTGGACCAGCCGCAACCTTTGATTCCAGTGAGCCAAATTGAAGCCGACCCAAATTTTTGTGACCCATTCACATGAGGTGACTTTATGTTGAAGCCGTACTTTCTCGGAGCAATTCGCCTGGCCACACGCGCTGCGAGCCGGCAACTCCATATACGGCACCCATTATCCAGCTTTAACTCACTCCGATCAAGTGACTGTTTGGTCATCCCTCGCTATCAGACAGGCTCAAGGCCCATTGCGTCTTTCATCAGATTCTGCAGCAACTCATCTGCTAAAAGCGACAAGACCGACACCATGAGCGGAGAGGAGCCCGTCATCACCTACGATGGCAAAAACTACAGAGGAATAACGGAGGGCAAGGCCACCATCCTGGTCCCCGCCGAGGTTGAGCAGAAGGGCCAGCAGGTCTTTTACAATCCGATCCAGCAGTTCAACCGTGACCTTTCTGTTCTCGCTGTCAGAGCGTACGGCCAAGAGGTTGTCGAGAGGAAGGCTGTACAGGCCGCCCAGGTCACCGCTAGGCGCAAGGATAAGAAGAGACGGAGGGGTGCCGCGGATGAGGGCGGCAACCGGCCGGCCAAGGTCCAGATCACGGACGACGGCAAGGCGGCCGAGACCATTGCTGATGGCGAGGCGCAGGCGGTGGAACCCGTGAACGGTGTCAATGGCACCGGCGCGGAGGCCCCAGAGACGGCTGCGCCCTCGACGACCGAGGCGCCCGTGACATCTGCCGAGGCCGAGGGCACAAAGGTCGAAGGTGAGGCAAAGTCTTCCCCCGAGAAATCGCGCCCTCGCTTCACCGTCCTGGACGCTCTGTCGGCATCTGGTCTTCGTGCGCTGCGTTATTCTCACGAGTTGCCCTTTGTCACCTCGGTGACGGCCAACGACCTTACCAAGAGTGCGATTGAGTCGATCAAGCTGAACACGAAGCACAACGGCCTGGAAGATATGATCCAGATGAGCCACGACGACGCCATAGCCCACATGTACCGGCGCATCGCGGACGATCTGACGAACCGGGACCGATTCGGCAACCCCAGCAAGGAGAACAAGTACGACGTCATTGACCTGGACCCGTACGGAACCGCTGCGCCTTTCCTGGACGCCGCCGTCCAGGCTGTGAGGGACGATGGCGGTCTGCTCGCCGTCACCTGCACGGACGGCAGCCACTGGGCCGGACACTGCTACGCCGAGAAGTGTTTCTCGCTGTATGGCGGTGCGCCCATCAAGGGCCTTCATTCGCACGAGGTCGGCATTCGGCTCATCCTCCATGCCCTGACAAGCGCGGCGGCAAAGTACGGCTTGACCATTGAGCCGCAGCTGTCACTCTCGATCGACTTTTACTGCCGGGTGTTCGTCAAGGTGCGTAAGTCGAGGGACGCGGTCAACTACCAGGGCGGCAAGACGATGATCATGTACAACTGCCCAGGATGCTCGGCGTGGGAGACGCAGCCGATGGTCCGGACACGGCCTGCACCCAAGAAGAAGGGGGGCTACTTTTACAAGCACGGGCTGTCGCAGGGCCCGCCTACCGACTCGCACTGCAAGCACTGCGGCTCGAGCATGCACGTCGCCGGCCCGATGTACAGCGGCCCGCTGCACAACCCTGACTTCATCCAGAGCATCCTCGAACTGCTGCCGACTGTCGACAAGAACGTGTACCAAACGACGTCGAGGATAGAGGGCATGCTCCAGACGGCCATGGAGGAGTGCCTCCCCGGACCCGAGCCCGAGCACGCGGCGGATCTCGACGCCAAGGACAAGGAGCTGGCGAGGGTGGACCACTACCCCTTCTTCGTCATGCCGTCGAGGCTGGCGGGCATTCTCAGCACGCAGCAGCCGCCGGACGACATGTTCCGTGGCGCGCTCAAGCATCTCGGCTACCGCGTCACCCGCAGCCACTGCCGGCCCGGGAGTGTCAAGACGGACGCGCCGTGGGATTCGATCTGGTTCATCATGAGGGAATGGGTTCGCCAGAAGGCACCCGTCCGCACGGATCGCATCAACTCGCAGATGCCGGCATACAGACTGCTCGGTCTCGACAAGGCGGAAAGCAACGGCGAGGCAAAGGAGTCTACAGGGAGTAACGCAGAGGCTCAAGAGGAGGCCGAGTCCAAGGATAAGGACGAGCAGACAGCAACTCCACAGGACACGCAGGTGTCCGCCGCCGACGTCGAGATGGAGGGCTCTGCGGAGGAGGCCGAGACGACGGACAAGACGACGGACAAGAGCGAGGAGGAGCTGCGCAAGACGCTTGTGTTCGATGACAAGCTCGCAAAGCTCGGTAAGCGCAAGGAGCAGAGGAAGCTGGTCCGATACCAGATGAACCCTCGGGAGAACTGGGGTCCGATGACGCGGGCGAAGGGAGCGTAAGGAGTGGGCGGGACGAGGGGGATCCATATGGTGAGAGAGGGAGAGAGGGAGAGAAAGAGAAAACAACATGTCGGTTTAGTCGAGACGAGGTCTCACAGAATACCAGAGATGAAAGTGCGCATTGAAAGGTAGCTGTTGTTCCTGTCGACATGTCTGTTCCTGCCCCTGTTGCTTGTCTGTTTTGCTGGCAAGCCTGGACGCTGACTCTGGTGCTGCCAACCCAGTCCCGCAGCTGCTTGAAGGACCGACCCGCATCCCGTCTTCCGCCAGGCCAACCAGTCTCGAGTTTTTGTCGGAAGCAATAGCCACCTTTCCCCCTTCCCCCACCCGACGCGCGATGGTGGAGGACGTCGCTGTTCTGTTCGGCGCGGCGGAGCAGGCGAAGCGAAAGATGCAAAGATGTGTCACACACACAGCGCGCACTATAGCCCACAATCGCGAACCAAATTATCCCAGAACAGGCATATCGGGTGGGATGGCCGAGTGGTCCAAGGCGGCAGATTTAAGCTTACGTAAGCTCTGCTACTCGTGAGAGTGCGCGGGTTCGAACCCCGCTCCCATCATTTTGAGCTTTTTGCCTGATGGATGGATGGATATACGTATATATATATGTGTATGGATGGGCATGTACATGTTAATGTGGTCTTTTGATCTTTATTTTATTTTAATTATTATTATTATTGTGCATCTCCTCCCAAAGGGGCTTGCTTCCCTTCTTCCTTGATGTTATCTCCGATGTCCAGGTTACCTAGCGTTCATTTCCAATGCCGCTAGGAATCTGCCCCGCAGCCGCGAAATAACGCAATCGCTGGCTGGATGACACCTGCCTCACAGCGTACCTAAGGTGTGCACGACACCTGGTCCGTCTGCCGGCCAGCATGTCTGCTTACAACCTATGAGGCGGCGGCGGCAGTACGACACTCACCACCTGCGCTTCCAGTGTATCCGGTGTGATTCCTGAGCATGACAGCCAACCGGTGACTGGACTGGAACACATCTGACTGACGGCCGCCCGCCTGGAGAACCTGCCTGAAGGAGACTCCTGTCTCCAGAGTGGATGCCTGCCTCGCTGTACTCTCGACCTCACCTTCATTCCCTAAACGTCAGCGTGACTGACAAGCCACCCGCTGACGTCGAATCCTTCCTCAACGCCGCCCCGGTACTGGAGTTGATACAAGAGGCCCATGAGATACGATAAGAGGACTTGCGTGTCTGTACTGTCTGCGTGTCTGCATCTGCATCTACCCGTGATATTCCCCTCGACCCACTAGCTGGTCGTACAACGAACATGACCATCACGGACGTCACCGAGCCGCTAGGCTTCGAGCCCCGCGACCACGGTCTCGTACCTCGCCGTGCCCACGACGCCGCCTTTGCCGATGGCAAGCTGACCTTCACCTCCCGGCGTGGCACCGAGTCCGTCCGCCCGGAAGAAGTCGTCTTCATCATCCCTGCCCACAAAGATCTCGCCTCGAGCCCCATCATCTGCGCTCTCCGAGAGGACCCCGAGTCCAAGGATTTCCCTTATCAGCTTGACATTCTTGTCGTCGACGGCCAAGTACCTACCGATCTCACCGACGGCCTCTTGCTCTCACGCTTCCCGGAGCATCTCAGCCCCAAGCCCGGCAGCCATGAGGTGCACTTTGTTGTATCCACCAAGTCCGGCCTGGGCTATGCGCCAAAGCTTTGGGAGGGTGTCGTCCAGCCCTTGGTCCTCCTCGCTGGTCAAAAGTTGCCCGGAGGCCGGCCGTCGGCTTTTGCTCCAGGGCCAACTACCCAGGATGCCGATGACGACAAGCCCAGGTACAGTCTCTTGGTAACTGAGGACGCAGACAGCGTCCGCCGCTTTGCGAAAGAGAGGTGGGCCGCAAGACCACAAACCGCATCGAACGGTGCCTCCCCTGCCAAGACCGAGACCATTGTCCTCCTGAGTGGTGACGGAGGCATCGTTGACCTCCTCAACGGATGCGAGGAGACGGATTCCGTAACCGTTCTGCCGACCCTCGCCCTCCTGCCGCTGGGCACCGGAAACGCCGCCTTTCACTCTCTCCACAAGCCCCTGTACGCCGAGACCGGCCCATCGCCCGTGGTCCTCGGCCTGCGCACTCTCTTCTTCGGCGTCCCGGCCCCGCTTCCCGCCTTCCGCGCCTCCTTCTCCCCGGGTTCCAAGTTGGTCTCCTACACGGCGGACCCGGGCGCCCACGGCCCCGAGCATGTGTCCCGCCACGACACGAGCGTCGACCACCTCTTTGGCGCCGTCGTCGCCAGCTACGGCTTCCACGCGCAGCTCGTCTGGGAGAGCGACACGCCCGAGTACCGCAAGCACGGCGACAAGCGGTTCGGCATGGTGGCCCAGGAGCTGCTCAAGGAGAGCCACGCATACGCCGCCAAGGTGGAGGTGCGTGGTCCAGATGGCGGCACGCGTCCCGTTGCACGGGGAAAGTTCGCCTACGCCCTCGCGGCGTTAGTATCGAACCTAGAGAAGACGTTCACCATCTCCCCCGGCAGCGGGCCGCTGCAGGGCCGGCTGAAGCTCGTGCACTTCGGCGCTGTCGGCGGCGAGAAGACGATGGAGATCATGATGGCGGCCTACAACCAGGGCTCCCACGTGGGCATGCGGTGGGCCGACGAGGAGGGGAGGGAGGATTACCTCGGGTACGAGGACGCCGAGGAGCTGCGTGTGACGACTGGGGAGGCCGACCCCCGGTGGAGGAAGGTCTGCGTCGACGGGACCATTGTGGAGATTCCCGAGAGCGGGTGGATGGCCGTTTCCAAACTGAAGAGGCCGTTGTTCAACATCCTTGCCGACCGATCGATCTTGTAGACGGGAGGTTTTGCAAAAACCGCCGGCATCAGTGAGGCGGGCGATAACGAATGGCGCCGAGGATAGCCAGGCGATACGTCTCGGCGGTGACGATATGCTGCATTCCTACAGATGATGAAATGATAAATTGAATGACTGTTTCAACTATTAATGAGATCGATCAGCGTCCTTGTTAGGGATAACAAGCCCACTGCTTCTCGCTATTCTCGGCGACAAGGTCATATTATATAGATCAGTGTCGTCTGTTCCATCACAGCTGAACACTCTGACGTGAAGACACATATGTGGTAACATCCTCTTAGGAATTGCTATTTGATTCAGTCGTATGGGAATAGGGGTAGTCCATACATTGTGTGATTGTTTTCATGATGGCGGTTTCAGTCACTAGAGTAGGAAGCCTCACAGATGTCAGAGCGGAATAGACGTTGCGTTTTCTTTTCGTTTCTAACAAACCCAATGGTGCGATATCGTGCCTGTATGTAGACGGAGATATGGCAGCAGAGTGAGTCCGTGTTGAGGTCAGACCAAACGAAACGCAAAGCGGCTTGTACAGTTGACACTCGACACAGTCACGATAGGCGTTGTATTATGGCGATTGATTGCTTATTATAACTTTGATGCGGTCTTGTTCGTAATGGTCCTCAATGTCTATAGTTTTGGACCACAAGCCGACCATAACCATACACAAACACACTTGCTCATACATAGACCTTGCGAGTCAACCCTTGCTATCACTCCTCAACCTCTCTGGTGGGGGTTGTCATCGGTGTAGAACTTCGGAAAACTTTCATTACATTTGCAGACCCAAGTCAAACGCTGTTCGCCTCGACGCCCCAAGGCAACTGAAATCTGTGACATGACGTTCATGATGCTCCTCTTGCCTCTATGCCTTTTGTTTTCTCTCCCTTTTTTATCCGAGTTGTGTAGTTTACAGTTTGAGCGGTAGCCAGGGTTGTGTGTTCACAACATGGTTGGTGGCTTGCCCGGTTCGCTCGCCAGCCAAACCACACACGGCTCGGGTGCCTGCACGGATCACGGGTCTGTAGCTGGCACAACCCCGATCTATCTAAAGGGATATTCCAGATACTCGACTTCGACGCAGTTGAGGCCGCCAAAGCTGTTGAAGGTCGCCTCCCACCACGCAGACTCGATCATGCCGCGGTTGCAGTAGGCGGGGAGAGAGAGCTTCCAAATGAGCACGCCGTCCATCTTTGGGTGCGGGCCGCACCACGCATTGAAAATGATCGCGCAGCTCGGGAAGCGGCGCAGGTTGTCCCACAGGGCGCCGCACGTACCGGGGATGTCCGGAACTGTGGCGCCGAGCTTGCTCATGAGCCCGTAGGCAGGAAAGGCGTCTACCATCGGATGGTTCGAGTACTCACAGACGGCGCTGTGGCCGTTCTTGGGGAGCCTGTAGGGGTAATGAAGACTCGGCAACTCGGCTGGGGTGTGGGCGGCGAGGGGGGAGATGGAGGTGGCGTTGGCGCTGGCGGAGGGGACGGGCGCCAGGTTCTCGGGCGAGGCCGCCGGAGCGGCGTTGGCGACGAAGGCGAGGCCGAGGGCGGCGCTGAAGACGCCAGCTGTGAGCTTCATTTCGCTTGTTGAAGAAGTTGAAGGGGGGAGGGGGGCTGCTTGTTTTGTTTGTGCGAGGTTTCGGTGACGAGCTGGGTTAGGCTTCGTGCAAGTGTGTGGGATCCGCGAATGGGCTTTTGGGACACCAAAAGTTGAACTGATGAATGTCCGTCAGAGTATGTAGAGGCTTGGGAGAGAAATGGACTGGCAAGGGGGCAAGGGCCTTCTACATATACTGCAGTCCTCAATCTTTCTCGGAGAGCTACCGGTCTGGGCCCGTTGTACGTATGGTCGAAGTCGGAAAGGGTGTCTACTACACACGTTCGCCGGGTGACTTCTCCGTCATCCAGGTACCGAGCGTTCTTAAAGGCCGTTCCGTAGGATGTTGGATGGGAGTAAGAGCCAGAGCAGGTGAATCAATAACGGCTTGCGCAAAGACTTGCAGCACAGAAGCTACCGAGAGTACGGTAGTCTGCTTCAAACTCAACGACTTAGTTCGAGATAACCATGTGAGAGCATTTTTATGTCTATTACGTTGGTGAAAGACGCGGGAGGCTGTTGGAAAGTGGAGATGGCTTGAGAATTGAGTCCAGAGCGTGCGTGGGTCGACGTCGAACTCTGGAACACCCTCATAGACAAGCAGCAATGGTAGGCTCCTTTTTATCACAAGGTGGTGAGTTATTGTGGCGTTGTTGAACCTTTGCTTCTAGATTATTTCTTGGATGTCCCTAAAAATAGTCTCTGGTAGATGGGGGTTTGCCCTAAAGACATTGAGGTGTTTGTTATTGAGAGCATATTCGATCTAAAGAGGTATTTGATGCAATTGCCTTCCTAGAGCTCTGGCTATTGCGTATAATTGTCAGCTTACGTGTCGAAACCGATTCCCATCTGCTTTCTTATACTCAGTCCGCGGCATATCTCATAAAAGCGCGAGAGTTAAATCATGGGCAAGGAAGGAGATTCGCGTACTTCCTGTGGAGTAAGTCACACCAACGACTAGAGACAGGATCAAGCCGTGGGGTAAACCATTGACAGTGAAGTGCGAAAAGAAGCAAAACCCAAGCCTTTTCTCAGGCAACAGGACTTTTGCTGCTCCACTCTTGCGATAGGATATGTCTGGATACATATGTATAGTATGCGTAATTGTCGAACATGCCATAGCTTCTCTGCCACCCTGAGGTTACAGCATGACGCACTTTGGCATGAGGATGGAGATATTAAATAAGCCGAAACTTTCTCAGAGCTATTCTATGTGGCGAAAATCTTCATGTTTTTTTTGAGTGTCTGCTTATTAATTTTATAAGCACATCGATTCACAACTGTAGCCAAGGTGGCAGAATGGACGAGCTTGCCATGCAACTGCAGTTTTATGTATTGGTAACCCATAGTATGGCACTATCAACCCAATACTTTATTGTAGTGGTGCAGCTCCGGAACGTCATATCTCATAACAAGGAAATCATACGCCTCGGCCTGCGAAGGCAAGCTTTTGATCACTAAAGGCGAGGTATATGGCAATGTTGCAACAATCAAGCCGCGTAATATATTTAAAGTCGCCCTTGGGTGGAAACAGGTGCGCAAGTTTGGAAAAAGAAAAAAAAAGGCGACGGGATCACCGTCACGGGTGGCGACTAGGACGGCCATGGTTGCATCTTGCTAGAGGGAGGCGGAGGATAAGGAGCCGTCTCTGGTCCAAAACGGGCTCCCAGCGCAGACGCTTTGCCCGCCAAGAATGGCCTGGCCGTCGGTGTCAGGAATAATAACTCGGGACTCGGAGATCCAGCCCCGGGAGTAGAACGCGAGGCAATGTGTTTGGCGATGGCGACGAATACTCTTTGCTTGTTGCCGGGAACCCCAGTTTGCGTGGTGGGAACGTATCCAAAAGGTCACGTACGGTAGAATGAGCCAAGAAGGCTCCAAATGTAAGTGTTGGTAACGACCCTTCCAGAATCAGAATACGAATTTCCATTCCAAAACTTCTCCAAGCCCTGCTGGAATTCCCTATCAAGTAGACACTACTATCATTAAATGTACAGAACACCAAAGACCGCCGCCCACCTCTATTGCCCTATTGTTTACAACATGGTATCTTGTCCCCGACCGAGTTCGTATTGGTATCATGCAAAGAAAAGACCGCAAAACTATTCGCTTAAAACGCCACCGCAAAGTTGGTTCCCCGGGAACCGCCGGCACCATTTTCCTTTCCAAACGTGGAGGGGCGCTCCATCGGCAGCTCATCCGTTCTAGTGGCTAGAGTGCTGCTCGGCGACCAGGCCGTAGGAACTGTCTGGCATCCACCTTCCGACTCGCTTGTCGACACAGTCGACATCGACCCGATGCTCGCGCGCCTCCCCTGCGGCGCCTTGACGCATTGATAGAAGCCCTCGCGGTCCTTGACGGGGCGGGGAAAGTTTGTGATGGAGTCACTGCTGATGCTCCGCTGATGGTGCTGTCCTGCTGCGCCACTGGGGAACAGCCAGTTGGAGACGCGCGAAAATGATTTCTTTTTCCGCAGCGGAGGACGGAGAACGAGAGGCAGGGGCGGGGGCAGGGGTCGAGTCTCCCTGCCACGGCTCGGGGGTGGTGTGATGAACGCAGCCGTGTCGTCGGCGGCGAAAATCATACCGCGGTGGGGAATGTGGCCCGGTGACTGGGGTGCTGTGTGAGGCCGCTCGACCGCGGGGTTTAGGCGCTCGGCGAACGATGGCGCTGCAGGCGGCAGGGCGGGGACCGTGGGTAAGGAGCCGCCTTCTAAGTTTGTGAGCATACATGAAGCTTGCTATCTTTTGGTTTTCGTCTGAGCTTACCGTGCATCGTCAGTGCTATCGAATGAGATGTCGAAGGTCGACTGTTGGTATAGCAGCTCTGACGCTTCATAACCAAGTCGATTTCGTGCTGAAGTTTGTCGACTTCCAGCATCGCGCAAGCAATCCGCTCCTTCATGATTTCCGTGCTGCTAGACGTATGGGACCGGGCCCTCGACTTGGGGGGGATTCTCGGCGGCGTGTCGCTTGCCGTGGTGATTGATGGCGACGCCGAAGGCTTTCGGGGTAAGTGGAACGACATGGGCGAATACTTGGGTTCGTGTGAAGGGCCGAAGACATCGTCTTCCGGGTTCGGCTGAAGCCGAGCAGGCGGCGGCGGTGCAATCATGTCGAAGTGCGGCAGGATCGGCGAGAGCTCCCTTTTGGGCATATATATGCTGAGTTCAAGGGGTCTGAATGAGGAAGGACGAGGCCGTGGTAGAGGACGCGGCGGCGGAGTCCGGCCTACGTGCTTGAGGTTGGTATACTGAGGAAATTGAAAAGATTCAGAGTGAAGATGACGAAAGTTGGTGGGGGCCGATATTTGTAGCCGCCGCTGTGACGGGCCTGAGCGAGATCGTTTTCTCACAGAGAATTGCTCCCGGAGCGATGCAAAACTTCTCTTCATCATTCCTTTCGACTTCTCATGTAGCCGAGGACGGGGCCCGGGTGGCTTTTGCAGCGGCCCAGCGAAAGGCGACGCCATAGGCGCGGGCTGTGTGTAGGTTATGGTAGGGGGCATTTTCTCGTAAATGTCAAGATCGTCTAAGCGGGTAGGTCAGCAACCCATGGATGATATATACTCCACGGACCCCAAGGACTCACTCTGACGCAGCTTCTTGTCCTGAGGGGCAGAAAACTGAGCACAGCAACTAGTGAGAGGCGAAAGCCATGTCGCATATGCGCTTGCAAGCATCCCGCTCAGACCCGTCATGCCTTCTCTGGAAGATGCTTCATGCCGGACAATGCTGGAGGCGGGGGAGGGAGAAAAAAAGAACGAAAAAATAAAACAAAAACGAGGGACGACCAGCGATTTGACAAAAACGGAAGAAGAGGAAATGCAGGGAGGGCGACAAAGCTCAGAGATTGAGCGACCTGATTTAATTATAATAGAAGGTGGCGGATGGCGAAGCTCGAGGGGCAGTAAGAACATACATAGGCAATGTGATGTGAGAGAAACCCACTTGGGCGTGGACGGCTTCTTTTTGCGATGCCCTGGCAGATGTGATCCCAATTCCCACTTTAGGCCAGAGATCTAGCTCAAGTGCTTTGCTTAATAGGTTCAGCTGAGAGCAAATGGAGGGACAAGGGCATGCCAAATATCGGCGAGGTGTGCAGTCAAGTTGCATACGGTTCGTTCTGATAGGCCGGGGCTGCAAACGGGGCCAGACACGGCCGGCCAACCGGCGCTTAGGAAGCTGGGGTGTTGTCGGATTCGGATGGCTGGCGCTACACCCACATCCTGCAACAGATTGCAGGAGGTCCACCAGTCGTGTAAGATGAAAACGATAGCACAGCGAGTCGATGTCTCACCTCTGCCTTGCTCTGGTTACTCGAAGCGGGCTTGACCAGCAGCAGCTCGCCACAAGTACCCTCCTCAGAGGGAGGGCCGCGTGCCAGGTCGTGAGTCGTCATGGTGTGGTGTCCGTCACCGCCCCTTGTCATCTCTTAGGCCCACGAACTCTCGGAAAATCTTGACAAACAGGGCTACAGCCTAAACGACATCTCGAAACTCTGCATGCGTGTTTCCAAGCAGCGCAGCGAAAACAGACGGAACAGCCAATCCCTATGCCGTTGCCGTTTGCCTGCCCAAACGGAATCCCGCATTCCCGGCCGGTGACATGTCCAAACGTGAGCGGACGGGAGACAATGAGAAGAAGCTATTGGCATATGCATGCAAGGCACCGCAGGTAGCATGGAAGGAGATGCGGGAAGCCTACCTGCGGGTTGGGATGCGTTGTGCCGTCACATTGTCCATCGTAGCCCCGCCAGTCTCCTATCGCAGGGCAGCATCGCCGTTGAAGGGTCGTACGGCGAGGGCGAAGCCGATGGACTAGAAATGACAGGCGGCGCCGAGTGGATAAGCTCACGAGAGGGTGGTGGTGTGCACTCACTCCTCCGCTCTGCGTTTCAGTCGGCTCCCTCTTCTTTTCCCTCGGTGCTAATCAAAGCCCCTCGGACAATCAGCGTCACTTGACGTCGGCTATGAAGGTTGCCACCGTGGTGTTTGCAATCGCTCGGCGGATGAAAAGAAGACGTCTCCGGCGTTGGTAATGACTCGAGTCGAACAAAATTAGTTTCCGACCATTGTAACTTGATTTGTGGCGCAATTCTCGTCATCGTCTAGTGTGGACGAAACTGGTGGACAAGAGCTTTCGGCAGAGTTCTTGTGCGACTCTAGCGCAACCAGAATGTCTCGGGCAGCCCGCTACAGTACGAACTAGGATGATTTTGATGCATAAGCTGACGCTTATGTAAGGACCGAGACGACACTGCTTACCTCATCGCGCCGGATCATGTGGTATAGCAGGTGACATCTATGTAGGTACATCGAGTCTGAGTGGGATCTGAGCGTTTCTTGTCATCTTATCGATAAAGGCAACGGATATCGGAGAAAGAGACCGCCGAATGTGACAAGGTCCAGTTAAGCCGAAGCACCTGTACCCCTGCTTGGGCTTTTTTGGAACAGAAGTGAACACCTGGCTTGCTTGCTGGTCACTTTTTTGTTCAAAGACCCAGAGCCCACGACCACTACAGCTCCAGCGACCAACCTCACAACCATCCAACAAACCCGGACCTCTCTTTTCGGGCCACTGTTGTCCTCGTCGGATTCCTCCACTCCGCCCGCGACATCTTGACAAAGCCAACCCCGATTTCTCCTCACATATTCTTTTGCACTCGCCCGCATTCAAGATGTCGATGCCAATGCCCGGCCCCATGCAGATGGGCCCCAACGGGCAGCCCATGCCCTCGCCTGAACAGATCGCAGCCATGCGCAGACAAATAGAGGCAGACGCTGCAAAGGCCGGGATGACTGTCCCTGACTTCCTCAACCATCTCCGACAGCAAGCTATGCAGCAACAACAGCAACAGGCGCGACTTGCGCAGCAACAGCAGGGCGGCGAGGGCGGCGGCGGAGAGGGCGACCACGAGCATGGCCCTGGCGACCACGCGCATGGCCCTGGCGACCACGAGCATGGCCCTGGCCACCAGCACCCTCACCCTCAGCAACAACAACAACAGGCGCAGGGTCAGCCTCAGCCCATTCATCCTGGCCCCCCCAACCCCGTTGCGCTGGCACTCGCCAGCTTCCTGCGCAGCCAGGACCTGAAGCCGCGTACTTGTATCCTGAATGGAGAGCGCAAGGACATGTTTAAGGGTGAGTACCGGGCAATCACTCTGCGCGTGTTGAGTTATACCATGTTGACAATCAAATCTCAGTGAAGCGAGCATTGCGCGCTCTCCAGTCCCCCGCCTACGAAACGGCGCGTAAGAAGAACCCCGCTCTTCCCGAGATCACCGACCGTGCCTCTCTCGAGAATACCTTCAAGCTGCTCCCCATGTCGATGCTTGCTCTGCGCGTAATCAAGATCGACCCGCACGAAGGCCACAACCACGGCCCGAAGAAGACGAAACGCATCAAAGGTCTTTGGACCGTCCGCATCGAACCTCAGCAAGAGGCCAAGGAGGAAATGTACTACGCATGGTTCTGGGAGGGCAGCCAGGTCAAGCGCAAGCTCTACTCGATTCTCGCTCTCGTCCTCATCTTCATCGTCGTTTGCTACCCTCTCTGGCCGCTGAAGCTCCGTCTCGGTGTTTACTACCTCAGTTGGGGATTCCTCGGCCTGCTCGGTCTATTCTTCCTCATGGCCATCTTCCGTGTTATCCTCTTCTGCGTCACCTACTTTGTTGTATCACCCGGCCTCTGGTTGTTCCCCAATCTTTGGGAGGATGTGTCCTTCGTCGACAGCTTCAAGCCCGTTTGGGCATGGCATGATGTAAGTTGGGCCAACATACCTGGAAACCACACAATGGATATGCCGCTGACAAATCAATAGACTGCTCCTAAGAAGGGCAAGAAGAAGAAGTCCGCGCCTGGAGCCGCAAGCGCTAGTGGCACGTTCGCTGCTTCTACTGGTCAACCTCTTCCGGCTTCTGCGACGACGACCGCGACCGAGACTCAGATTGCGTCGCAGCCGTCGCAGCGCCCTGGCTATGTTGCGCCAGCTGTGGAGGAGCTTGGTGATGATGAGGAGTAAATTCATTGTCGAGGTGGGGATTCGCATCACACGGGCGTTGGGGGCTTTGTCGGTTGAAAGGTTGTCCGGGTAAAAATATCCAGCTTTTAGCATGCTGCTGCCGTCTGGGCCCGGGGGGTAAAGTGCCCATCTTGGTACATAGTCTTGGTCAATTTGGCTCTTGGAGCGCTCAATGGAACAAAAACAAGTCATGGTACCCTCCTCTCACGATGGAGATGACTTATACAGATGTGTCCCGGACAATAGCCACAACTACGATGGTAGACGAATCCAGCTGCTCAGGCGCAGGACATATTAATCATATCGCTTCACTATACCAGTAGTGTATTTTCTACTGCACCGATCCCTCGGCGCGCTCGTAGTACCAAATAGCGTCTTCCGTTGTCGCGCAGTTGGACACGCGGCCCCCGTTGATGTCGGCGGACACAGGGACGCTTTCACCGCGCTGGGGCTTTCCGTAGACATAGAAATAGTACCAGGCTTCGCTAAGCTGGGTGTATCCATTATCGAGAGAGCCCTTGCCGGCCAGGGTGGTGTTATACTGGGGGCCGGAACACCCAATGTACGGGACCGCGCCGTGGCCCTCCTTGAGAGCACCCTGAAGGTCGGCGAGAGAGTAGGCGGTTGTGTTGGAAGGCTTGATGGCTTTGTTAGAAAGCCACTTCCAGGTGGGAGTTCCCTGGTAGTAGTGGACGGCGGTCTCGAGGAAGTCCACAATCTCCTCGTGCTCCTGGTACTTGGGGCCATAGCACTCGATATCGAAGGTGCTGTAGCAGGTGGCGTGCTTGGAGAATTCGTGGGCCCAGAGTACCCAGTTGGGGGTGTACTGGGCGATCCAGAACCTGGAAACGTTCGCGTTAGGCTTGGAAACCAGAGTGCTAGGAAGGTGGGCCCTTACTTGTTCATGTACTCCAACAGGTCGAACCTCTGGAACGGCTTAACAAATGCGTCGAAAGACGAGCCGTTCCACGCCGGTACCGGGGTGCCGTCCGGCGTCCCAGTTGTGGTGTTGGGGGAGGGCGTTGGGTCAAACTGGCGGCTCAGGTCGCAGTACTGAGTGTAGGAGCCGTTGCAGAAGTCGGGCCACAAGCCGTGAATGCCCCATGCATTCTGGGGAAGCTTCTGGCCCTCGGACTCGAGACCGGTGTGCGTGTTCCAGAACTGGGTTGCGAGCTACGAAGACGAGCTGTTATTTTCAGGTTCGTTCACGAACTGGCAAGACAACATACAAGAAGACCGCCGTATGTCTCCACGCAGCAGGTGTCCACCTTGTCAGGGTTCGCTCCAGAGGAGCAGGACAGAACAGGCTCGACTAGGGAAGGGAACGTCAGTCAAGTCCACAATGCCCAGTCCACAACCGAGTTCGTACCGAGAGTGCAAGTGTGGTTGGCGGTGCTCAATCCCGGGTAAAGACCAGCAGCAGCGGTGCGCAAGAGGCCGGCGGCCGCAAGGAGAACAAACGTCCGACACATGCTGGAGTTTTCAAGAGAAAGGAGAGATCAGCGGCAAAGGCAACGACATGGCGGCATACAATTCGATTTTGCACAGCGTCGCAACGCTTTATATGAACTCGGCCCTCCATATTGCAAGTTGCCCTCATTCAAGTCCCCACACGGGAAACGACGTAAACATGCTTGGCTTGAAGAGGAAGCTGGCACGTCGGCCACAAGTGGTTGGGCAGGGCATTGTGGGGCTGATATACCACCTGCTGAACATACGGGACGTGAGAGGTCAATTTGTCGCGGGGCGATAGTTGATAGTCGGTCGTCGTAGTTCGCCCAACAGGCTGGAGGTCCAGAAGAGCGGGTCACTTGGGGGACAACTATCGCAATAGGTAGCGCAGCCTCCAATACTCCGTACACTTAAAAGATGCGTTTCTATGGTACTGTGGTTTCCCAAAAGTCAAGGCTACTATATAGAGGGAAAATGACATTTTTTACCTATTTTGGGCGTCGAAGAGGAGGTCTAATTAGGAGGTTCTTGAAAACCGGCGGTCTTTTTTGTCCCCCCGAGTGCGGGTGCAGTAGCGCGATGGGACTCGCAGGCATCGGCTAGGGATGGGACGGTCTGCGGTGAACTATTGCCGTTGTATCCGTATTCGGCGAGCTCCGAAGATCAGACTTTTTGGTGACAAAGACAAACAAGATTTCTGGTAGCCTATGACGGGTGGAGGGGGGGCGCGCTTTCAGAGGACCAAGATCCCAAGTTCCTCTGGCAAAAAGGCACGTATTAGTGGCTGTGCAGGTCAACAGCAGCTGTGGCGGAAGCTTCTTCTCTCCGGAACACGTGAATAATGGCGGGCCTGAGGAAGCTCCTGCACAGGCCACATCAGTCACCAGCGCCACAGCAGGTGCAATCGTTTCATAATACCTTCCTGCTTCATTCTCAAGCTTGAACGTGTCGGGCAAGAGTGTCCCAGGGAGTATTTTTTTCAACCACGCACTTTGCCTTCATTCATCAGCGTCCATCCAGGCCACCATCTCATTCTTCTCCGTTCAAACTTGTCGCTGGTATTGCATTGTGCTCAATCATCTCCCCGAAATCTCGGCAATTTTAAGACAACTCTTGGGCCCTCTGTCCGGGTGCGAGGACCTCATTCATCTAGCCCTCACCTCACCAGTCAGCCGCCAGACTCTGTCCACTACAGTAAGCTGCCTTTCACTTCTCAGTTGCCCTTTTAGGCATTCTTATTCCAATACCATACCTTCGTTATGGGAAATTAGCAATTGATATCAGACGATTGCCATAACGTCGCTCATGCCGTGAGCGATTCACTCACATGGATTCAAGATCGCTTTGCCGATGATCCATCGCAACAAGCAGCGGCCCTGACTTATAGCATAAGCAGTCGCTCTTTACTCAAGTCTCTTCCGTTTCCTCGTATAGGCGCTCTTTCAGTTGTCATCCAATTGCCAACCATTGCTATTCCTTGCAGGTCAACTAACACCACCCGATAGGGATACCCGCAGCCAATCAGCCCGACATGTCGGATGAGCTGCCGGTCCCCGCCATCAACGGTGATACCGTGCCCGCTCACAAGACCAGAGACGAGCCTCGAAGCGACGCCCCTTTCTCATGGCTGTAAGTTGACTACTTCTCCCCCCCCTTCGAGTCTAATGATTATTAGGCAACCCCACCCAACCTTCCTCATTGTGCTCGTCGGACCCGATGAGAAACCGTTCGGCATCCACAAAGATTTTCTGTGCGCCAGGTCAACATATTACCGGGAATTCTTCACGAAGGAGGAAAATGCCACCTCGGACACTGTTGAGCACGTGGTGAAGCTCCCTCACACCACATCCGAGGTGTTTGGCTTGATGCAGCTTTTTCTCTTCACGGGACAAGTTTCGGAGGAAGTTGACACGTTCCCGTCCTACGAGGCACTTATTGGAGTTTGGAAACTGGGACACGAACTTGGCATCGACGGCCTCTGCGACAAGACCCTTGAGGCAATGAAGGAGTGCAGACGGCTTACTCGGCAGATTCCCGCCACTCCTCTCCTCGTTCAAGTATGGAAGGACACTCCGGAAGGCTCAACCATTCGCAAACTCCTCCTCTCGTGGGCAGCTGAGTACATGCGGTCGTCCGATGCTAGAGCCGAGTTCGCCAAGTCGCTTCCTCAGGAGGTCCTCAGCGAACTGGTCGTGGCCATGAGCTCCCTCGAGAATCAGCCTTCCCCGCCGGCAGCTCCCGCCGATACAGCCTCCGCCGAGCCCACCCCTCGCAAAAGTGTGCACTACCTGGAAGAGGATAGCGATGATGAGCGAGAGCACCTCTCCAAGAAGAACCGACGCGCTTCCGCGCCGTTACCGTCCTCCCAGAACAACAGCTCCAAGTCGCTTGCCCGCGCCCCGGCCCCACCAGTTCGCAAAGCGGCGGCCGCGGCTGCAGCTGCGGCGGCACCGCGTCCGAAGCCTGTGGTCCAGAAGCGCCGCAGCATCGCCTCGGTGCCTAGTGGTGAAATCAGCACCGAAAAGAAAGTTGAATTCTGCGCCGATCTCCTCGACAGGATGCTTTCGGGACCTGGTATGTGCTCTCAGCCCCATCGGGCGACCGATCATGCAATGCTTGTCAAGGTGCTAACCATCACAGGCTTCTGGACCAGACTAGTGGGCCCTTTCAAGGAGCCCGTCGACCCCGTTGAGGACGGGGTTCCCGACTACTTCGACAAGGTTAAGAAGCCCATGGACCTTAATACTGTCAAGGCAAAGATGGCGCGTCATGAGTACCAGACGGAGGATCAGTTTGCCGCGGATGTACGCCAAATCTTCGATAACTGCTACACGTACTGGTCCAAGGGTGACCCCATGTGGGCCGCTTGCGAGAAGTTCCAGAAAACGTTTGAAGAAAAGTATGCGCAAATGCACAAGAACATCTCCAAGATGATGCGCGAGCCGGTCGATTGAAGCATGGGTTTCGACATTTAGCAGCCGGCGGCAAATGGAGCAGAGAATCTGGGTTGAGAGCTCTGTGTGTATAGCATTGTATGGAGGGACAAACTGGCATCTTTATTGCAATTTCTTTGGGCGGGCTGCTAATATTAATAGGAGCGAGATGAGGGCAATGTTATATAGTGCTGAGAGCGTTCGAGTGCGGAGAGTGAGGCGGGAGAAAAGTTGCTTTGGTAGAGGAGAATACCCAGACTGGCCACGGAGCATCGCACGTACGTACCTACTTTTACCATATGTATTCAACCAGAAAGAAGTACAGCAGGGACGGAATGCCAGAAATTCTCATCATACTTCATTTTAAACTTGCCGGGATTGATGGCATACGCCATATGCCGTTTGTTTTGTGACTGCCACCGCCTCGAGCGCCACTCGGTGGATCTTGGGCGACGGTCAAATACGGCACTGAGCACCAACCTGAGCCATGTTATCGCGGCGTCAGGTCTCTCTCTCTCTCCCCTTTCTTTTTCTTTTCCTTTTGATGGTGTCGGCGCCCTAAAGTTCTGACCCTCGGCCGTCTACCGGTCCCCCCACCTCTCCGAGCTCAAGCAGTCTTTCCAGGTCGTCGGCTCCGTCGTCGCTCCGCTCCTCGCCGTCCGCGTCTTCCCCCACGCGGAGCCTGACGACTTGTCCAAGGTGCAGTGGACGTACCTCGGCATCGCGGCATTTGTGTTCTTGTTCGGTAAGTTCAACCCCCCGCCTGTCCTGCTCTCCTCCGCCTGATAACACGAGCCGGCATCGCAGTTCATCTTCTACGCCATCGAGTCCGACGGACTGTCGCACCCCCAAGGTCAGTGACCGACCGGTACGCCATCGGCCGTTTACGTGTTTGCGCAGAGCTACCGGAAGATGGCAGTCGAGACACTTGGTCGAGGGAGAGTTGTTGAGGGCATGAACAGTCTCAGATACGTGCCTCGTCTCCGCGCCTACTACTTCGCAGGTTGAGATAACCATCAAGGGAGAGGGCTCTCGATCTGACAAGGTTTGAAACAACTTCAGCCTCACCTGCCTCAGTTACCAACCCCGCACTGCTTCTCAGATGGACGAGTCTTGTGCGACTCCGCGTGTACCGGACAGGTTGTATCTACACAATGTCCTGGAACGCCGTGGAACGTCGTCCGAGGTCGTCGAAAGTCTGAGTATCGGGCTGTTACCATACTCACAGAAACAATGCGACTCCAGGATTCAGGCGGATGGCACAGTGAGTTGGGGCGGGCTCGCTCCTGGTGGCCTTACCGGGGCGCTGATAAGGCGCGAAGAGGAAGGGAGTGATTGGAATGAGCTGCAACGATTGGTGATGCCCGGCAACTGGTCTCCGGGACCATATCGGCAAAACGGAACACTATGAGACATCCAACGGGTCGCGCTAGATCGGCAGCGGCACGGAGTCAGCTGCTGGCTGTAGCGAACTTAGGCGGCGACTGGCGATCCCTTGGACATGCTTATTCGTGCGGGGAATGTCATTTGAGCTCGTCCGAAATTGAATGTGATGATATGGTCGTCGTTTGGCGCTTCCCTCATAAAAGCGGCAACGAGGAGGGAGGCTCTTTGGTTTGTCAAGGGTAGGATCCGGAAGCGAACATTATGTAAAATTTCTTTCGATAGGTGTTCGCTCGGCGCATTGTAGCATCGGGAGCGCGGGGGTGTGTGTGTGGAGGAGGTGGGAGAGATGGAAGAGACGCTGCCATTCCATTTGCCCTTTTTGCCGCAACGGTGAGATAGGTAGGCGTAGGTACTCCGTAATTACCTACCTACCTACGGTACACTACGTTTAAACACTGGACCCGGGGAAGAAGAAGAAGAAGAAGAAGAAGAAGAAGAAGAAGGGGAAGAAAGACGCTCGGATAAACGGGCGAATCAGCGTTGGGAAGCCACCTGAAACGGCGTTCGATGGTTCGTCAGATGGCCGAGGCGGTGGGGCGGCTGCAGAGGAGCCTACGGATACTCTCGTCCCAGCGATTGGCGGCGGATGATGCACATCTGGGGCTTTTGACGCTGCAAGGTACCCGATGATAGCGCTAATCCATATCGGGAATAGCGACACCCACCCGCATGAAAAGCACAGGTCCAGTCAAAAGCCCGGTCCCCTACTCTCTTTTGGGTTCTACTTGCCATGCGCCGACCACGGCCCATATCTCCTGAGATTTGAGCAACGGAATGCTGAGATTGGTAGAGAGAGCCGGGCTCTGGCTCATTTCCCAGGAATCAAATCATCTCACGCCTTTGACATAGTGCGATCGACTCTGTTGTATAGGTAGATACCTACTCTGTATCCGTACTACGACGGGTACATGTTCCCCGGGCCAACAGGGCTCTCTACCCCCCTCTCTCTCTTGTACCCCGGTGACGGTCACCTGTCATCTTGTGGCCTCCTTCTCCCCACTACGTAGTATGTCCAGGCAGGCCCCCCTGAGAGTTCGCCAAGTCCCTGATGGCATCGTGGAAGCATTCGCTCTCTTTGTCGGCTTGGAAATGACGGTCAGCGACATCGGGCCACCGCTGCGATACCACGAAAACTGCTACTGCTGCGTGGCTTGTTTGCATCGCACGCAAAAACAGATTGATGAGTTCGCATAATAGATCGACCCAGTTCATCACCCTGCTTTCTTCTTATCCTCAGCCACTTGAGACGCCGCCAACGGGTCTCAGTGCCACCCTCTCCAAACAGTCCCAAACAGGAGGAGTTGCTTCAACTGGCTCAGCCATCCTCCCCCGGCCCTGGGAGCGGTCTGCCCGGCGGCACAAGGACTGGAGAGCAGTTGGCCCGAAGCGTCGCCAGATCCCTGGGGTATCGCGGTTGGCCCTGTCGTACCAAGCAGCTCCAAGTGGTCAACGACGAGGCAAATGAAATTAAAAGGAGGATCCTGCCGAATCGGTGCTGAGCGCCCACCGCAAACCCATCGTGCCCATCCTCTAGACAGTCCGGGTCCCTCCCTGCACCTCCTGCTCTGTCCCAGAGACCGGACCGTGCTACACTTCGCTTGTCAATCCCCCCCCGACTCCTACAGTCTCCCCATGTCCTATACCTTTTTCGCGACCTCTCTTCCCACTCTTTCTCTCCACTTCATCTCCTTGTCTTTTTCGCTGTCCCTCATTTGGCCCCCCTTCGCATAGTCGCGCGCTTTTTAGGTCAGGCCCCTCCAACCCAGTCTCTCTTTTTACCACTTCTTCGCCGTCGTTACGAAATCTGCACCCGAGTACTCGTACTTCTCTCGTTCGTCGATACTCTACGTCGTCACCGTCGTCGGTCCACACTCATTCCATACATTTGCGCTCGCTCACCAACACGCGACAATCCATTCATTCGCCTTTCTCGCTCTCAAACGCTCAGCCGACCGACCGACCAACCCGTTCCGAGCGCTATCCATCAACCCCCGTTTTCGCAATGCAGATCCGCTCGCTCGCCTCTCTCGCCTACGTGGCCTTCGCCGCCCAGGCATTTGCGCAACAGACCAAGGTTTTCAAGCGCAGCGTCACCTTTGGAAGGGACTTGGGTTTCATGCGCCGCGCGGACAGTGGCTACCAGCCCGCTGACGAGCTCTGCAACAAGGGCGGTAACACTTGCGCCGAGGCCTGCGGTGGTGGCTACCAGCAGTGCAAGTCCACGGATCAGGCCGTCCACTGCTACAACCCGGCCGCCGGAGAGACTTGCTGCTCCACCACGTCCGGAAGTAAGTTGTCTTCGCGCGCATGGCATTGCCTCGCCTAGTCGCTAACATGATTGTCCAGACTCGTGCCTGTCATCTTTCTACTGCACCCACGACCCTAAGGCCGACACCATCTGCTGCCCCAACGGCATGAACCTCGGCGACTGCGCCGCCAAGCACGGTGTCGCGGGTGCTCTTACCTCCGACGTCCCCGTCCCCACCACCACCTCCGTTCCGTCCACCAGCCCGAGCAGCACCGTGCCCCCGACCACCACCTCGGCGCCGCCCACCACCACCAGCATCTCGTCCGTTGTCGTCACCACCACCAGCACCTCCAGCAACACTAGCACCATTGTCTCCACATCCGAGGTCCCCGCCAGCACAGAGGCCCCCACTAGCTTTTCCCCCAGCGCCGGTACCAGCACCGCCTTCTTGGCTCTTAACGGTACCACACTTGCCACGGGGTCCACCCGTTCAAGCGCGAGAAGCACCCTCTTCCCCTCGGCGGCCGCCACAACCACGGCAGCCTCCGCTCAGAGTGCCGGAAACAGTAACGGGCCGGCTGGCATGGCCGTCATCCTTGGTGCTGCTTTTGTCGCTGCCCTGCTCTAATAGTTCGCGACTGACCCACCTGGAAGCGCTGGACGGACCATTGGCACTAATCTCACACCCGCCACTGCCCGACCAGCGAGCCATGCGTCACGAGTGTAATGAAGCAAAGCAGCAAGCAGCGTTGGATATGGAGGATTCCTGTGCTCTGTTGGGATGTTAATGTTGGCCGGCTTTTGATTTCATTTTGAGAAGCTTATGATTCCCCCGATCACCTGAACGTATGGAGCGGTTTGATGTCACACCATTTTTGTTGTTATTTTTTTGCAGTGGTGTTTCTGAGCGAGAAACGAAGACGCACGAGGAGAGACGAAGACAAAAGACGGAAGGCTTGGTGACATTTGTGTTCGAAACAGCGTTATATCCCCGTTGTAAACATGGTTTTTATTTATTTATCTATTCTTATTGTTTACCTCTTTTATTCTATCTACGAAACCCCTCTTGTTCTGGTCGAGACCGAGGCCGCGCGACCTATTGTTCCCGGCTTCGAGCTCTCCCCTCCGATCCCCAATCAGTAGAACAAACCCTAATATTCTTCCAACAATAACATCACGGCATTGCACGCGCTCAACTTCCCGACGTGGGTCGGTTGACTGATGTAATTTACTGGGTCTACGGACGACTGGGCCGTGTGCTCATTTTCGGCCGGCCCGCGGTTCTTCACCTACGCCAAGTTCTGAAGGGGAGGGGGGGCGAGGAACTAAAGAAGAGGAAAAGGCCCGATTTCTCGGTGATGAAGTCGGGGGGCGCCGGCGCCCATCCAGGGCAGGAGAGAGTCAATGAGGGGCGTACGGCGGCGCGAAAGAAAAAGAAAAAAAAAACTGTGGCCGGGGAGGGGGCGGCCGGCGCGACGAACATGCGCGCCGAATGCGGGGGGGCCGAGAGTGGACGACCCCGGATTAGAGGCTTGAGTGACGGGTTACATTTTTCTTGTGTTCCCCCCCCCCACACCGGGAACGGGCATCCCGTTTGTCTTGCGGCTTCCGTCGGTTTCTTTGTCATTTGCGCCGTCCTCCCTATCCGAGAGAAAGCGTGCCGGGGGCGCCAGATCAAATCACGGTTGGCACACTTGGCACAGCGGAGCCTCAAAAAGGAGACGACATTGAAAAGATGGTGATTACGCGGGCCTGCTAGCCAGGTGGACGAATCGACACGCGACCGGGTATCATAGCTAATGCGCTCTACTCTAAAACAAGGTGCCTGCCTATTTTCATATTTGTTTTCCCTGTTTTCTTTTTTCTTTTTTTCTCCCTCCTATTTTTTGCCTATTTCTCCTCCCGCCTGAGCCCCTCGTTCCAAGGCCGCCAGAACTGGTTCCTAAAAGTCGGCATGCACTTGACCATCTCTGGCGGCTCGATCTGCCAATTGATGCTGGGCGGCGTCCCCGAGTTCTCAATCGCCGTCCACGACGAGGCGAAGCCCCTCTCTTCCTTGATTTGTCTACCGTCCTTGACGTTGTACGCCAGGCTGACGCTGGGCACGACAGCGATCTTGCCGTAACCCAGATTCCATAGGTCTTTGCACAGAAGCGTCGGTTCGCCCGTGTGGCACTCGCCAGGGTACGACCTCCGGAAGTCTAGCTTCTTGCTCAGGAAGGGCTCGCCCGTCATCGCGACGCCCCCGTTCCAACAGGCAAACACTTGCAGCGGCTTCCGGCTGAGGTAGCGGTCTTGGGAGTACGGGTGATTCCAGAACATGTTGGCGACGTCGCTCCACTGCTCTCCCTTGGGGGTCCGGTCGGGGATGGGTAGGAATGTATCGCCGTTGATGGTTCGGGAGATCCAAGAGTCGTAGAACGAGGGCTCCCCATTGTGCGGGGCGAACCGGAGGAAGTGATAGTCCATCGCGCATGTCATGTCGGCTCCTTGGACCTGCTTCTGGTACGCCAGCTCGAGTATGTCCTCGGTGCAGGCGGCAACGTCGTTGAGGAAAACAATGGTCGCTTTGGGGTCGTAGGCGCTGGCCTCTGCCATCATGGGCTCCAGAGCGATGTTTCGGAGCTTGGCGAGCTTGCCGATGCGGTCACCGCTGTGGGAGTCGATGTTGCTAGTCTGCAGGTAGTACGCAATCCCCATCTTGTCCATATGGGCTTTGAGGCGGTAGAGGGTCTCGTAGGTGCCGTCGGTCGAGATGCCCTCGACAACGGAAAGGGCACAATTCTCGGGCCCGATAACGTTCATGGCTTCCAGGACGGCGCCAATGAGCTGGGGCAGTAGATCTCTGACTTGTCGCAAGTCAAGCGCGAAGAAGTAGTGGCGCTTATCCATGTTCTCAGTTGGGCGCAGGACCCCATAGCGAGTGACATTTGGCGAAGGACAGTTGACGGTGGGGAAGCCGCCGTTCTTGGGATCCAGGATGGCTTGCACGTACTGACTTGCTTCGCCAGTCTTGTCGGGACGGCCTTCGTATAATGCCGGTTGGACCCAATTGTGTGCCGAGTCGTTCATCCAGCTGCCGCCATATTCTATAATATAACTAAATCAGTATCCGCCGATGTTTAGGGCAAGTCGGGCTCAACTTACGTTCTGCGGTCCAGGGAATGACGAAGTACTGGACCAGGGGTTGGTGAAACAGCAGAAAGAAGCCGGTGATTAGGATGAAGACGATGATGGCGATGAAGGGCATGCGAAGCCGTCTCGGATTATGAAAGTTGGTGATCATGATGCATGTACAGTACGCCCTGCGGAATTTTGTATACACCAAGCTGGTATGGAGGTGAAAAACGAGAGGTTGAATGCAGCCGTGCTTCTTTGAATGTCCAACGCCAGAGACGTAGGGAGAATGGCCAAGCGAAGATGCAGATACACACACACACACACACACCCACACACATGCAAAGGCAGGCGCAACCCAACGAGGTTGATCCTTCGAGGTTTTCGATGGGAATGTGGATTGTTAGCTCTCGTGCGACGGATGAGAAGATGCCAAGGCGACCAGAATGAAAAGAAGCAACAAAGTTTGGTGTAAGAGGCGGGGGGATTACAAGCTCATATCAGGAAGGAGCACTGGTGCCAAGCTAATGGCCAACCTAAACCTCGTGGCGGTTCGCGGGTCCTGATCTGTGTCTGGAATCGGGCGAAATGGTACTAGAGAAGGAAGGGGTGGAGGCAAAAGAACAAAGAAGGTTAGGGCATGAGATCAAACAAGAACGGGCGGGCGTGGTTATAGTTGGGTGAGGCGATGTCGTTGTCGAACGCAGGCAGGACAGGCAGGTGAGAACAGGTCACGGATGGCCGAGAACGGCATTCGTAGGTAGATGGGGGGGAATGGTCTCCCCGCTGACTTTCCGTATGGAGTTGTTTGGAAGACGAGATGGAGTCCCGAGCGAGACGAGGCGCAGCGGTCCAAGAGTACCTAGGTAGCCTTAGGTATGTAGTTATGTAGGCAGGCACGTAGGAGAGAAATGTAGAGGAGGGCAAAAAGACAATGACGAGCTTGGGGAAGAATGCGGCGGGCAGAAGAGTGGAAAGAAAGTACATACTGTGCGGTGAGCACCTTCTTGCCTTGCTACCTACCTACCACTACTTACCCATGTAGCTAACTTTAGAAAGAACGGGGGGGAAGGTAAACTCAACTCACCCTGCGGGTTGGACGCACCTGCTTTACACAAGTTGCACAGTTTGGTTAGGTAGTTCCCACTCGCTCGTCGTCAGTCAGCATGGTCCAGTTCTGTCTCTGGTATGTGTCAAAAAGTGGCCGAGTGCGCCTCAAGATGCACACGTACTTTATCCAGTCAGTGCCAGGGTACCTATTGTTCAGTGTATGCCTATTTCCTGTGCAAGGATAGGGTTGATTACCCAAATGCACATCCCACTCTACGGTTCTATGAGCATCTCCATACTCTGTCCTTATTACGAAGACAGAAAAGGGGAGGGGACGGGCCCGGTTCTGGCTTGATAATGACCCATCAGCGCCTACCAACATGACAACCTCCCCTCACCTCACCCACTTGCACTAGCACCACGGGCGCCTTTGACCTTTGACACGTCCTCGGCAATGCGGCAACCTGTGTGTTTACACCCCCACTGTCTACACTACGACCGACCATTTTGTCTGCCCGTTTGGTCTGGTGTCTGTGAGGGCGGGCGAGTAGCTACAGTACACACACACGATTCCTCGAGTTCCACGTCCCTCGTCGCGACATGTTTCAACTTCTCAAACTTCCATGTTCCTTATGCTTCCGGGGCTCAAGCGGCGGCATTCCTCGAGAAACATGTACACTAATTCATGGACTGCCCATACGAACAATACGCATTCGATTGGTACCACTTTTTCCTGCACCCATTCTCCAGAGATCTCAGGGGTCCCTCAGATCCCAGTGTAACCAAAAAGGGGACCGACTAGGGTACTGGCACTTTGCAGCTGCCTTAGGTTAGGTGGTTTGGGCCTAGCTGCCGCCACCTGGTCGGTAATGACCACGTTGTATACACACCTACTACCTACCTAGGTTGATATGTAGGTATCTACGGAGTATCTGTACACCAATTCTGCCAAAAGGCACCGACGAGACTTCTCAGACACGCTGCGCATACACAAGGTCCCGGCCCAGTCAAACACAAATGTTTCTGTCCGTCTGTGCCGACTTCGCAAGGGCCAAGCAAACCCGGAGCCTCAGGAGCCTCAGCACACGTAAGATGAGAGTTGGTTGGTTAGGTACCTGCCAATGCACATTCCCTAAACCTTTCCGCCCCCAGACAAGAACTACATAATGTACTACCTAGTCCCGGTCCGACGCTGCTCTGCTGGGACACGAGGAAACAGAAACACACTCGCTCACTACCTAGATACCTAGGTACCTAGGTACGGATACAGCGTCAACTTTCCCATTCACTACCCAAGGTATCGATCCGAATGCGGGTCTCTCACTCTGCAAATAGAGACTAGCTTCCTCTGTCATGGTGTGATCGCTGCCGGGCCGTCTGTCCCCACCTTCCCCTGTCCTGCTTCCGATAGGTATCTTCGCTCAATGCTACCCAACCCATGTGCGGCATTGACTAGGTAGTGTACCGGCAGCCACAGACGCGACGACAACTACGACGGACGGCCACGAGAATCTGCTTCCATCCCGGTTTCTTGGGGGTGGGCACATGTCAAAGCGACATCTGACAACCTCCCCGAGCAAAGCCAATAAGAAACGTTTTGACCAACCTGAGGTCCTCTCTGCTCTGCTCTTACAGCCTTGACCGTACACTTTTTATTTTTATTTATTTTTTAATTGCTCGTCTCCCCTCCTCGTCAGGTGTAACACCCTTTCCAGCCCGCTCTGACGCTTTTTGTCGAAATCGTCGAGTCTTCGGCCCTTGAGCCTCTCCATGATCAATGCCACCGGTTTATGCGAGATGATGCAACAAAGGAAAGAGATGAACAACTGGAGTCGACCGCCTGAATTCCGGGAAACCCCATTCCCACACCCAGAAAGGCCACCATCCAATCGCTCGCTTCATCTTCGTGACTTTCCGCTGCCTCGAGTACGAGATCGGGTACGAGACCCACGGTTGTTCGATTCTGCACCCCTTGTCGACCTCAGCCACAATCCGGCCGCGAGACACGCGACATAGACGAAACGGTCTTGATCAATGTTTGTCGTCTCTAGGTTTTGAGCAGCTTAGCCACTCTTTTTGCAACGCTGTCCTCAAATTCAGTCACACCGCCCTCTAAGCGTGACAAGACCCCCGCCCTCAATTTGTACACAAGCCGTCGCCTAGGCACCGCTTCCTCCTCGTCCTCTTCTTCGCTGTCAACGTCCTCGGCCGAGCCTTCGACAACCCCGCGCATGAACCATCGGTCGTGGCTGACGAGGACCACCGCCCCTTCCCAGTCTCTGAGGGATTCCCGCATAGCCGTGACAGTCTCGTAGTCGAGATGGGTCGTCACCTCATCGAGGATGAGGCAGTGCGGTCTCCGCCAGAGAAGCCGCGCGAGTTCGCATCGCACGAGCTGGCCGCCAGACAGCTTCCCGAGGGGCGTGTCGGATGCAACGCGGCCAGGCAGACCGAGACTGCCCAGGATGCCACGAAGCTGGCCTTCGTCCAACTCCCCGGCGACCTCGTCCGTGAGTAAAGATAAGGCCGTCACGGACAGGTCAGCCCGGCCCTTCTCTTGCAGAGCTTCGACGGCATTCTGTGAATAGTATCCCAGCCTCAGCCGAGGGTGCGTCGTCACTGCGCCGGATGTGGGCTTCATCTCGTCGACAAGAAGCTTCACAAGGGTCGACTTTCCCGCCCCATTCAGACCGAGGATACCAACGCGGTCGCCCATGTGGACGGAGAGGTTGATGTCCTGCAGCACGGTCGGCGCCAACGTTTTGACCTTGCTCCCGGCACCGGGATAGCGAAACGTCGCCTTCTCTACCGATAAAAGAGGCCCAGGAAACCGGAGATCTGGTGGCTCCGGCAAGGAAAGGCTCACCGGTCGCTCATCCTGTGGGATATCGATCTCGTCTCTGGCCGTCAAGTGGTAGCCGACGAGATCACGGTTCAGCTTGAACCGACCACCCTTGGCGCTGACCTGAAGACCCCAGCGGTCATCGAGCTTCTTCTGACGGGATTTGGCTTGTCGAAGCTTGTTTAGATCATCGTGGGCCTTGCCTGCCTTTATGTTGTTGGTGATGCTCTGCTGTATATGGGCCTTCTGCTTGTCCTGGGAGTCCTTCATCTTGGTCAGCCAGATCTTGCGCTCCGACTGCGACGCCTCGTAAGTCGGCAGATCGCCGTGGAAGTAGGTCAGCCCCTTGTCCTTTAGGATGAGAAGGTCTGTGCAAAGCGTGATGAAGTCTCTGTCGTGTGAGACGAGAATCAGCGTCGGGGCATCATCCACATCTTGGAGGGACTCAAAATAGCGCTGAAGCCAGATGATGCCTAGCAAGTCGAGGAAGTTGGTGGGTTCGTCGAGAATGAGAACGTCAGTCTGTTGAAGCAGCGATATGGACAGTGCGGTCCGCATCGTCCAGCCACCAGAGAGACTTGATACCGGCTTCGACATGTAGGCTTGGGTGAACCCCAGGCCGGACAAAATACGCTTAGCTTTGGACTCGATCTCGGCCACCTTGGAAGGCTCAACCTGCAACTGGAGATCTGCTAACATATCCAAGGCCTCTTGTGTCTCCGTATCGAGAGTCTCGGCCGAAATCTCATCCTGGGATTGCTCCAGACTGGTTCTGGCATAAGCAAGCTCCACATCAGGCTAATGAAGAGGGAGGGAGGGCCTACATTCTTTGTGACTCGGCAACTGTCTTTTCAAAGGCCTTGAGGGCCTTTCTTGCCGCCAGACCTCTGTCTCCGCTACGTAGTCTCGCGTTCTTGTCCTCTCGGAAGAGACGCTTCTGGTTTCTGTCATGGCGAACTGCGCGGATGGCGCGCACGGGGCCGTACGGGTCGGTGCTGTTGATGCCATCGGATAAAGCTGAGAACAGTCAGTCACTATCGTTCAGGCGTGCACGTGGGATCGCACCCCTGATCTCTTGCTCGATGTTCGACTTGGCAGTCGCCTGCTCAATCACATGCTGCAGAACACCGCGACCTTGGCCAGATTCACCTATATCGGTCGGGTGATGGCTGGGACGTAGGTCTGAGTTGACATCGGTTAGATTGGTCTGCTGCAGAAGAGAAATTCGAGTTGTCTCGGATATGCCCGGAATCAGCTTCTCGGCGATAGCCTTGAGGAGTGCTGGACACAGGTCAACATGCAAACAAACAGGTACGACCGATGCTCTCTCTGTTCTTACTCGACTTTCCAGAGCCATTTCTTCCGACGAGTGCATACCGCTGGCCGGCCTTTAGACGCAGCTTGGCGTCGACGAGGATCTCGGTCCCGTCACTTCGGGCTTTGGACTTGCCCTTTGCGCCGGTCTTCCCAGCCGAGGTGACAGTGATGTTGAGGCCATCAATGTCCAACTAGGTAAGAGCGGCTCAGCTGTTTGCGACGACAACACAATTTGGGTAAGGTAAAGTGGGCATGTGGGATACCTCGCGAGGGTCGGCGTTCTGGAGGTTGAAGCGCGTTTGCTTGCTGGAACAAAGGATCGTGGCTACAGATTCGGAAGCTATTGACGTCATTGCTGGATAGGCAGGATCGCAATCGTTGAAACAATGAAGGGACGTTATAAGAGCACGCCAAGACTGAAATAGCAAGTTAGAATTAAGTCGGACTTCCTGTATTGACACAAATGCCTTAGCCTCAGGCCTATGGTTCTACAAAGCCCGAGAGGATACCCCAGATATTAAATGGCCCTTGGAACTAGGGCCTCTGTCCCCTCGGGGATTAAGAGAAGTGAGAGCTGGTTGGCGTATAACCTGGTGGCGTTTAACTTGGTGGCGTTGCACCTCCTCGCTGCAGCAGGTATGAGTACCTAGGTACTTGTTCCCCTCTCTGCAGGACAGCCGAGACTGAACCGGTCCCCGCCCTGACTCCTGCCGAGTGACTCACGCCGAATACTGGGCGGCGCACTTCAAGACATGATGCTGGTCGGGTACGGAAGTCCCCCTCTAGGCCAGACCACCCCGTCTCGTCGGCGTCGCAACGGCCGGGATGACTCAATGCTTCCCGGTCGCTGGCCCCCCCTCGACGTGTTCATCCAGACGCCAAGCAAACGAATCGTGTCGGCTGAAAAAGGAGGCGGACGGAGCAAGACTGGATCTGTCTCCCCCCCCCCCCCCCCCCCCCCCCTTCCCCTCTCTCACAACAACGGGAGAGACTCCAGGAACGCCCTTGTTTCCTTCGCGTACCGTGACTGCGCGTCCGCGATCTCGTGCACCGCCAGCTCCTTCCTCGCCCACCGCCTCGCCGCACCGAACTTGCCGGACCGCGACGCCGCGTACGCCGCGTACTTGTACGCCTTGACGAGGTAATCCGACAGCCCGACCTCCTCGACGAGCCTCACCAGCTTTTCGGTGTCCGGCTGCACGTCCCTGCCAAAGTCGGTCCTCCCGAGCTCCGCCTCGATCACGCCCATCAGCCGCCTCATCTCAACCCTCTGCTCGTCGTCGTCCCGTGTCTCGCACGCCGCGCAGTCGCACGTGAACCCCCACTGCGCGAGCCGGGCCCGCCTCTCGTCTGTCGTCTGCGCCAGCGGCGCGTAGGTGACGGTAACCTCCTCGCCGGTGCGGATGTCCCGCGCCGCATAGACGATCCGCCTCGCCGGCCCTTCATCGCCGCTGCCACCACCGCCGACAGTGGCCGCCCCGGCGTTGGGCCGGCACGAGTGGTTCACCTTGGCGACGCGCGGGAAGATGCCCACGGTACCGCCGGGCATGGTGTACGCGTTGGTGCGGAAGACGAGCGCCTCGCGGCTCCACGCGGCGTCGGCCTCGTCGTCCAGGTTGCGGTGCTCCGGACACGAGAGGAACTCGGCGCGCGCCGTGGCGTTGAGCGCCGCGAAGGCCTCGTCGACGGCCACCGCAATGGCGGCGAAGGAAAAGCCCTGCCCGCTGACGAGGCTGCCCGGGTCGATGGTGAAGAGCGGGCTCTCGTCGAGGATGCGAGTGCCCGCGTGTATCGTTTGCAGGGCGAAGACGCCGAGGCCCTTGCCGGGCGAGGGCCGGACCTCCCAGAGGCCGTCGTCTGATCTTAAGCCTGTGATGAGGCTTGAGCTTAGATGGCCGACGGTAGTGACAAATGATGGGTATGATTCATTTAGGGGGGGTGTTTGTTAGGAAAAAGGAAGGGATGGGCGGAGGTGCTCGTACCAGTTCCCAGGCGTATGCGGGCCTCCTCGGAATCGCCAAGACCGTCCGGGATGCTCCCATCCGCGGGAGAGAAGCCATCCCCGAGGGCTTCGACGTAGGTTTTGTTGATCTCCTTGGCAAGCGGTCCCGGGACGCAATTGCGCTCGCGAAACTGTGCCTCGTCGTTCACGGTCAGTCCAGTGTCGAGCACGTTCTCGCCGCCGTCGCAAGCGAGGGCGACGGCGAGGCATGTCCATGCGAGGACACCGGATGATCGCATGGCCAATGTGTTGCTCCCTCCCTCCTTCTTTCTTTTTTTCCCTCTACAAATCGTGCGGGTGATCCTCTGGAGCTTCACCGTAGTTCAGACGAAGTTTTCGGGCTCTAGTCGTCCGGGCGAAGTCTGCGGCGTGTGTGGCGGACGTGAGTTTTTCCCACGGGAAGATGGTGTGTAGCGGCGTTTGGGAGACGAGACGAAAAAGAGAGATACGGCCACCCTTCCCTCCCCCACCTACCACGGGCTCCCCGCGCCGCGTCGTGTATTTTTGACATACCAAGGCTGGCTGGTTGGTTGACCCCCGTGGGGGAGGGGTGATGCAGAGCTCGAAACGGATTTGCTGTCACAGGATCGTGTCACTGCGACCGTGGCGTTCCAGGGGTGGTAGAGGCACGATGCAGCACGCAGCTCCTTTCCACTCTCTCTGGGGGTTGCTTCATTCCCCGGTTGCCCAGCGCCGTAATAGTTTACGAAAACGTAACGGACTGCTATGAACGAACCACTCTGATGATGTTGGGTATGGAATCCGTTTGCTTTATTCTTCCATCACCGTATGTGGGATAACAGAAACAGCGTTGTTAATCGATGGCCCCACCCCCCCTTCCCCGCGTACTTCTTCTCTGTCAGGGGGGATCGCCCAAGTCTGGAACGGGGGTGTCGTGTTTCGGGATTTGCTGGGTTGCACCCCTCGGTCGGGCTTCTGCCTGCACCAACCAAAAGACTTGTTGGTACGTCCGTACCTATACATGGCGTGGCAGCATGCCGTTTCGCCGGCAACGGAAGGTTCAACCGGCGCCTGTCGGCCCCGTAAATTCCGTACCGGGGCTGACCTGCTCCGCAACGAAAACGGATCCGCAATCCATCCACCCCAACAGTGACGACCTGTCCCCAGGCACTATAAGAGGCTCCTGTAGTTTATTCCCACTAACTCAAGTACTTCGTTCATCTCAGTCGCCTATCTTCACCCTTGCTTGCCATCCGTTTACCCCTTTAGGGCATCCTTCAGCTCGCACTGCTGCTTTCGCCTCTACCAGACGTCAAGCTCGCGTCCATATATGGGGAGAGTGCTATAGTCAGTGCTTCAGAGAAACCGATGGGTTGCACCGAGACACTGTAAGCCCCAAGATATCGTCTCAACATTGTGTTGTGGTAAGATACGTCTAGAAAGAAGTTGCTGGTAGGATTTAAACGCCAAGGATCTCACTTCTGGGGGGGGGGGGGGGGGGGGGGGTGACGTTGCAGTGGCTCTGCTTAATGGTGGTCTTTCTTTCACTTGGGCCATATATTTGTCTCAGGTACATTGCGACGTCAAATATTGGCATCTGGATTGACGTACTGGACATTGCATGTTCCACCCCGACTTCCAATGGACTGGGACTTGGTGTTTGCGGGGTTCCAAGCAACACTCATTTTAGATAGAACCTATCGGGACACTATTGAAAAGACTGTACTACTGCCTCAGAGACTTTTCACGACCGTTATCAGGGACTGTGATATGGCCAATAACAAGCTAATAGTTGATGATGGTCAATCAAGGTTTAGGCATACTTGGCCATGGGCCAGAGTCAGAAGGAGGGGAAATGAACAAGATAATCGTCTTCATCCGTTTCTTGCCAGTGCTAAAGATTCCTAATTGCTCACACTGCGGACCATAGAGAGTAGGTTGCGAGAGAAGTCTATCACACCGCACATTTGTCTTTCGCATCGCAGTTCACCTGGTAAACAAGTAGCCTAACGCGACGATATTGAGTAGCTTGTCTGAAAGCACCTATTGGAATAGGCCATCATTCCCGTATAGAGCTTCAACGCCCAGCCTAAGGATCCGTAGTCCTAAAACTGCTATAGCTGATATTCATCGGAATGTTAGAAGAACTTGACGATGTCGTGAGCCAGAAAGTCTAGGGTTTAGCTGCAGAATAGAGGAACAAGTATGCCGATTGGCTGTATGCCAGCTTGTTAGTAGGATCTTTCTTCATCCTGGGTACAAGTATAGAGTCTCACTGCGTCGCTCTCTGTCGAGAAGAGGCAGCCTGATCGTTATACTTATTAGGTTGCACGCTCAGATGGGCACTGATACCTGGACCTGCCCAGTTTTATCACCTGGTTTGTGGAGCTATTGGCGACCGACAGCGGCTACATCCTGGAAATGAGGAGCGGTGTAGGTGGGCATCCATGGTTATTTATGACAATGTATGTCTCAAGCGGGTGGGATTTCCTAGAGTAGGTTCCGAAGTAACTGTATGTAGTCTGTAGTGAAAAGACTAAGGTATCGCCGTCTATCATCACCATCATCCTGCTTTTATGTCGTAAATGTGTTCCGCAGAAGTTATGGTGAATGTGCCAAGAATTCCAAATGATGAAAACAATGACCCAATTCCTCTCCAAGCCTCTCAGAAGACCTGCATCGAGTCAAGGGGATCAATGGCTTGAGAAGAAGTGCGCAAGAGTTATGTCACTACTACGGCCTCCTATGTTATTCTCGATGGGCTCATTGGAGCCTGACACCTTTCTTGTTTGAGATCAACAGATGCAAGTCTCAGCTGTTATCGCAGCTCAGTACCACGATTCCTTAGAGGGGTTTCCGTTTTCATTTCCGACTAAGGAGGTCACTGATTTACTGATATAGAAGAAACACACTTGGAGGGATAAAGAGACTCGTCCCGTAATGGGCGTTAGACAGTTCTCAGCATCGACAAACAGCTTGGGGTCCAAAATATCAATTTGTCATTTCGTCTTGAACCCGGTAACAGTACTGGTGTGCGACCGTCCAAGATATTCCTTGTGTGAGTCAACAACACGAACTCATGCCCAACGGCTATCTCAGCGTTCTTTCCCATAACGTAGCGACTTTTACTCCGGTACAACTATTGATAGTAATTGGAAAAAGAACGCAGAAAGTTGGTACCATGGTAAAAGAGCCGCATACTCAGAACCAGCCTTTTGAGTCTACAAGGTACGAGATATACGGACAGACTTGATCCAGCTACATCAGGACGTGGCCGAATCAAGTAGTTTAGTCCCGATATCTCAGAAAGACATGGCATAATGCTTTAATCCAAACAGGGGTACTCAAAATTGAAGCATGGTCTCAAAGTCCTGGGAATAGACCCTTCAAGACAGCCATGTCGGGAATCCCAAGCAGAGCACCACAGGGTGGACAGACCGGGTCCCTCAATGACCACGCGGCTACTGGAACCTCCACGCAGAGCAGCCGTCCACAGGTTGGGTGGTGTCAAGGAGACCAGACCCAAGACTCGCCCTCAAAAGAGCCCGGCTTGTGACGTTGCTTTTTTGAGTTGAAGATGAGATGTTGGACATCCCCAAGGCAGAAAGATGATCTGGGAGAGCGTCTAACATGTCGGCATTTGGCCTCAGCACCAGCCTCATCACACCCGTCCTTATGAGACATTCATCTGGCAGTGTTTCCCTTATGGGCTTGAAAGACATATTGTGAGCCCTGGAGCTCCGATTTGCCGGCCACGACAGTCTCGAAGGAGGTATTGACTCGTACCTGCCGGCAGTATGTTGCCATTCACTGGCAAAAGTCACCAAAATGGGTAGCAGGGCCTCGGGGTACTGAGTAGGTAGCGTAGCCAAAAGTGGCAGGCAACGGTGGACCATACATGAAGCTTGGATGGGCGCTTACAGCGGGAGATTGTCCTGAAATGATGATCCCTGTCGCACAATTTTGGATCGCCAGCCATTGCATCGTCGGTTGGCCAATCCCGAGGTCGGTATTACCAACTAACAACAACTTACCGACCCGCTGGGAGACAGAGTGAGCGGTGGATGACCCCACATGGGCCAGCCACCATCATGTCAATGTTGGTTCAAGACCCAGCTATGCGGGGCTCGAGATATCGTGTAACACGCCACCTGTACCTTAACGATGGTTAAATGATGGTCGGGTACGGGACCGTTTACAGGGAGCCACGTAAAGGTGGCGCTTCTGTCAGAAGCATCCAAGGTGTGTCAAGCACAGGACAAATCGTGCATCAAGGCTTGGAGTGTTGCGCAGCTAACATGCGGGGTATGTCGGGTGTGTGAAAGTTGACAGCGGAAGCGGTCAAGCATCTGCAGTGAGATGGTACTGATGGAGAAAGATGATGACAGTGTCAGTGGTGTATATTCCAAGGCTGTCTTCCGTGGTTGGTCATGTTTCACTGATCAATCAATGGCTTCTCAGCCATTGACCAGTCACCGCCAGATGGGATTGGGTATGTAAGCCGGCACACGCCTTGGAAATTCTATTGGACCGGTCGAATTGCCGTAGGTAGAGCGAAGAGAAAAAAGAATGAGGGGGGAGCGGGCAGGGTTCATGCATGGTTCGGTGCTGAGGCATTGAGATGGCAGATTTGAACAACAGGTGGGACATCCGCTCTAATCGCAACATGGGGTCGGATGTGTTTTGATTTGGATGGCAAACGCCTTGGAAGTTCAAAAGAAAACACAAAGGGGACCAGGACAGGGCAGCGAGCGCGGGATCTGTTGCATATCTGGCAGAGACTGAAAACTGGGACGTCAGCCTCCAGGGAAATAGGGTCCATGCGTACAGCGACTTGCGTTGTCATGCGCAGCCGGGACGGATCTTGTCATGTGGCTGGCGGCGGACGTGTGACTTTATCCGTTCGCTTCGAGATGCGCTGGTGCTCTGGCCCGACCTCTTTGATAAGGAGGAGATGACAGACGACAGAAAACGGTCATCTGGATCATCTATCTGGCACTGCGCCGGGGCCGTTCTTGTGAAAAGCAGAAGCGCACCCGCGAACACGGTGGAGCAGCCGGTAAAGATTTCGCTCAACATGGATGGATAGGTAGGTACCTACCGGTACCTAGGTAGATATGCATCCAATGTCACCCGAGTAGGTAAACTACCTTGGAAGAAACAGCGGAAGAAGGAAGTGGCAGGCTGCAAAGTCGATCGATGGATGGCTGCCGCTGCCGCTGCCGCTGCACTGAAGCAACACGGGCAGCAGGAAGGAGCTTGGCACGGCCCTTCTTCCTGAAGTGAGTGTACGATCTGCGCGTCCAATGGAGAGTGAATGTAACAGGGCATACATATCTAATCAGATCTTGTAGCCAGGTACCTACCCACGTTGTTTCTTTGTCCAGTCGTCCCTGCCTTTCGTTCCAGCCTTCCTTTTGTTACTCTCGTCCTCGGCAAGTGTTGCACTTTCCCCTCCGCACCAAACGGGAGGCGCCTCACCTTTCCACACACTCATCAGTACTTGCCTGCCTAGCGTAGATACCATACCCAGCATATTTACTAGGTATGTAGGTATACCAAGGTAGGTAGGTAGAGGTAGGCAGGTACTGCCAGGTATGTAACTGCCCGCACCATGTCTGGATACGTCCCTCGACTCCCAGGTCACGCACGGGCTTGGCAGGTTCCATCAACGGATAGGGCCGATCGGGACGGCGATTCAGAGATGGCTTAGCCCAATGTTCGTTATCTGGCAATACAAACACTGGCAAATGGAGAACGAGGGACCAGGTATTCGTACACTGAATTACCCTTGGTTTCAGTGGTCAGTGGTGTAATCCCGCTCTGTTCCGCCTAACCCCGGGCAGAGATTCATGACCTGCCGACGAAATCAAGTTTTTCGGACTGCGCGAGCCAGGAATGCTGGCCTGGGCATGAAAAGAAAAAGGCAAAGGAAAAGGGAAAAAAGGAAAAAGAGGAAGGGAGGGGAATGAAAAAGGAAGAAGAACAGCCTGAGATCCCTCGAAAAACCCTCGTAGACACCACACCGGGCACAGGCCCCTTCTGGGAAGCTAAACAAACCCAATCCATTCGGTTCGGGTCTTTTGATTCTTCTCTCTCTCCTCCTCCTCCTTCTTCTGTTCTATCGCCTCCAGCGCAGCAAGGGATCCCGGCTGCACACTTTCAACAACGTGTATACCGTACCATCCGCGTTCGTCACCACCCGTCACCGTTCGACACCAGTGTCGTGTAGCTCCCGCTCCCTGGAGTGTCCACCAGTCTGGTTCCCACTCCAGTACATTAGCGTCTCGTCACTCATACATACCTAGGTAATAACACCTAGTCTAGCGGCCACATCATATACAGGTACATTGAATCACACCTACCCACCATCCAACTCGGACGACAGCCACCCCCACCAAGCACCCTAGGCAACTAGGTAGGTTAGCGTAACTGAATTGACTGCCATGTCCACGCCCACTCCCCTCAGACTCATCAGACCAAACGAACCACAACAGCCAGTCCCTTCAAGTCTCCAAGAGAGTCCGCAGTCGAGGCCGCCCACGGTCCACGGTCCGCGGTCCACAACCCACCCACACACTACTCGTGCTGCCCCTGTCGCCTCTTGTTTCCAACCCGTCGCTTCCTTCTTCCTATCTGTCTGGGCCGACCAGGTAGTGAACAGCCATGAGCCTTAGAAAGGCACCTGGCCACAAAAGCAAGCCTGCGGCCTCCTTCCCTCCCGACCCTGACGCCGATACGGTTGCTTTGGCCCTAGAACCTCTGCCTCTTCTTGCACCTGTAGCCGGTTCCACAAACGATAGCCCCGCCGCTGCCGCTGCCGCTGCCGAAGCTGAGGCTGACGCTGCCAATCCTTGGACTCCATCGTCATCCGACCAAATCGCCTTCGACCCATATAACACGACACACCACCCTCGATCTCGCCCTTCCACTCTGCGAAGCCGTCCCTCTGCCCTCTCCTACACCTCCACCGCTGGCGAACATGGTGACGATACGACCGATACGACCCCAACATCTCCCGCCCCACAACTAGACGACGGCCCCATGCCCTCGAAACCATCCCTCTTGCGCTCCGCGCGCAACGACGCACCCTCCTACGGCGCCGTCTCGCAAGACCCGAGTCGCAATGTCTCGCCCACCGGTAGCGATCCGAGGACGGGGAACGCACACCCGCTCCGATACGTCTCCGACACCTCCAAATCCGCTTCTTCGAGGTACTCTGGCGCCTCGAGAAGAGAGACTTCCCGCCTCTCCGAGGACCTCGATGCCACTGCCTTGGCTACCGGCTTGGAGGGTCGCTTCGGAGTCACCCAAGCCCCCGTGACGACCAACATGCTCGAAGATGCCAAATCCGACGCGGCCGAGGACGAGGCAGAATACGACGACTACACGGGGAGTGAGCCTGATGAGGACCCCGTCGACGACTCGCCCCACGAAGTCATACGCGCATCAGTGCCGCCGACGGACAATATCACCTTGTCCATCAACACCCCGAGGATGTGGGCACTGTCGTTTCTGTTCTCGGTTCTAGGTTCTTCCACCAACTTGTTCTTTTCGTTACGGTACCCCAGCGTCGCCATCACGCCCGTCATCGCCTTGTTGCTCGTTCACCCCCTTGGCCTCATGTGGGACTACGCCCTCAAGCGCCGGGACGATCCTCCCGAAGAATTCTTAGATGGTGTTCTTCTTGCCGGAGGCGCAGATGGCCGTTCGCCCCCGAAATGGTATTTGGCACGGCTGCGCAGATGGCTCGCACAAGGCCGGTGGAACGAGAAGGAGCACACCTGCGTCTACGTGAGCAGCAATGTGTCGTTCGGATTTGCTTTCGCGACCGATGTCATTGTCGAGCAGTCCAAATTCTACCACCAGGAAGCCACCATTCCCTATCAGGTCCTCCTCACTCTGTCGACCCAGACCCTGGGCTACGCCTTTGCAGGCTTGACGCGCCGGTTTCTGGTGCGTCCTAGCGGCATGATCTGGCCCGGCACTCTGATGTCGGCTGCCATGTTCGGAACCCTCCACAAGGAAGAGAACAGGATCGCGGATGGTTGGAGGATTTCGAGGTGGAAGTTCTTCTACCTTGTCTGGTTTGGCGGGTTCGCATTTTACTTCCTTCCGGGTCTCCTGATGCCCTGCCTCAGTTACTTCAACGTCATCACCTGGTTGGCGCCCAAGAATGTCGTTGTTGCCAACCTCTTTGGCGTTGTTTCTGGGCTTGGGCTTTTCCCGTTGACCTTCGACTGGGCGCAAATCACATACATCGGCTCTCCCCTGTTGGTGCCCTTCTGGGCTGCAGTGAACGTCATTGGCGGTCTTGTGATCGTCATGTGGATCATTGCGCCCATCGCCTACTACGCCAACGTCTTTTACTCGTCGTACATGCCCATTCTGTCATCGGCCGTCTTCGACAACAAGGGCCAGGTCTACGACGTCAGCAAGATCCTGACGTCGGACTTTCTCTTCGACAGGGAGGCATACAGCAAGTACAGTCGAGTGTTTCTGCCCATCACATACGTCTTGAGTTATGGCGTGCAGTTTGCTGCTTTGGCAGCACTTCTAACACACACAGCCTGCTGGCATGGCAAGGACATGTGGCAGACGTGGAAAACGGCCCTCGCAGAAGCTCGCAATGAGGGCCAGGCAGTCTACAAGCCCGTGGCGGCGAATTCCGAGTATGTTACGCCCCGGCCATCATTCAGCAGTAGTAGTCGAGGCATTTCGACGCCCACATCCAACCTCGAAGAAGGTATGATGTTTCGCGAGGATGTCCACTGTCGGCTTATGAAGCGGTACAAGGACGCACCGCTGTCCTGGTACCTGACGACGTTTGTCACAATGCTCGCCGTGGGCATTTTCGTTGTCGAGTAGTAAGTGAACCCTCCTATCTGCCAACATGTGTCGAAATGCAAGGCTGACGGCACAGCTACCCGATCCACCTCCCGTGGTACGGCTTGCTCATGTCACTTGGCATCTGTGCCATCTTCTTCATCCCGAACGGCATCGTTATGGCGGTCACGAACCAGCACAGCAGCATTTACCTGATCTGTCAGCTCATTTGCGGCGCTGTGTTCCCAGGTCGGCCGATCGCAAACATGGTGTTTGTAACGTACGGCTACATCTCGTCCGCGCAGGGTATCAAGTTCGCCTCGGATCTCAAACTTGGTCATTACATGAAGATCCCTCCGCGGATCATGTTCTCGGTCCAGATGGTGGCCACGATCGTGTCGTCCCTCACGCAGATCGGGGTACTCAACTGGATGTTTGCCAACGTCAAAGGTATCTGTACGTCAGAGGCCGTCAACGGATTCACGTGCCCCATTGCGCGGGTACACTTCAACGGCTCTATCCTGTGGGGTGTAGTCGGACCAGGCGAATTCTTCGGGCCGAACGCGACATATCGTGGCCTTGTGTGGTGCTTCCTCATCGGCGCCATCGCGCCGATTCCCTTGTGGCTCTACGCTCGTAAGAAGAAGCACAGCATCGTCAGGAAGATCAACCTTCCGGTCGTTTTCGGATCCATGGCCTGGATTCCACCGGCGACGGGACTCAACTTTTCGGTGTGGGCAGTGGTGTGCTACGTGTTCAATTATCTGGTCAAGAGGAGGAAGAGCGCATGGTGGGCAAAGTACACAATGACGATGAGCGCAGCATTAGACTCGAGCCTGGCGTTTGGCATTGTTGTTATCTTTTTTGGTTTCATCTATCCCGGGCACATGAAGGGCTTCAAGTGGTGGGGGACAGAGGTGTACAAGCAGGGCTGCGACTGGCAGGCGTGCTCATACAATACGGTTCCCGAAGGAGGGCATTTCGGCCCCGACTCGTGGTAATGTGCTTTTTGTTTTTGTTTTTTTACGAAAAGAAACGAGACGAAACGAAACGACTTTGACGGCATGTGTGCATTACATACGATACAACATCTTTGGGCATGGCAAGCAAGCATAGGAAAGGCACACTTTTGGTTCCGGTTACGGAAATTCAGGGAGAAGGGGGGGTTTTCCCCTCTAGAGATCTTTTTTCTTATGCCAATGGCTGTTTTGGCATTTACTGGCGACCCCTACTGGGCGCCTCTGGGTCAGTTACTCACTCACATAGAGCAGATGATAGAGAGATACAGCATTGCAAAATTGAAATGAGGCCAATTTGGTCGCAATCCGGCATTGCTAACTCGAGTGGGTTGCGACATGTTTTTACAGACAAGGGGTTTATTTTGGTAAGTCTTGACGCGAGTCACAAAAGCTGGTGGCTTTTTGACAGATTTGGCCTCAATTGATCGTCACAGCGATGACCCCGGCACATACAGATACAAGGTCATTCTTTCGTAAGTGAGCGCGACTATTGGTGTGCGCGTTGCTAACCTGGGGGACGACATCGACCTTCCCAAAACGGATAGGTGACTCAAGGTGGATGCACGAAATCCTAGTTTGTGCCAACCCCCATAAGCCGGTTGTAAGAGACGAGCAGTTGGAGGAGGGAGGGACTTTGGTGTGATTGTGGATTGTGGCATGTCCGTAAGGATGGGTCCCGCCCGGTTGTGCAGGGAGATACTGGTTGAGATGATATTGGACGATGGAGGAGGAGGAGGAGGACGACGACGACGATGAAGATGGATATAAGAGCTGGACGCCTTGTCATCTGGATTAGCTGAACCGTCATCCCATCGTGCTGCTTTCACATCCGACGCATTGTAGCAATTTTGGACGAGATGACTTGTCAGCGATCTGTCAGGTTATAGTACAAAGCTTCGATTGACATTTGCGTCTCAACTTTGGCAAACTCAATCGCTTCAACGTCAACGCCATATCATCTCAGGATTGAAAAAAAAAAAAAAAAAACTTCAGCCATAGCCCAACCTCCAACCCTTTACTTTCCGAGAAAGGGCGAAGCCGACGGTGAAAACACAAAGAGATCAAGCCGCAATCATGCCGACAATACAGGCATCCCACCTCCCGACGCTGCTCCGCTCGCCGACCCACCCGATCCTACTTCGCACCTTGGAACCCCGCGACGCGGCCGTCATATCGGCCGTGCTCTCGGACCCGGAGAACACCAAGTACGACCCGCACGCCTCGGCCGTCTCGCCCGAGGTGGCGGCGGGCGTCATCAGCCGGATGCGCGAGAGTGCCGCGGCGCCGACGGTGCTGGACGAGGCGAGCGGGCGGGTCGTCAGCGGACCGGGGCGGGTGAACCTGCTGCTCGTGTACGTCGGGGGCGACGACGAGGGCGTCGGCATCGGGCTCGCGGGGTTCGGCGGCATCGACGAGCGCGAGCGCGAGGGCGGGGGAAAGCTACGGGTGGGCGACGTGGGCGCCATGGTCAACCCGGCGTACCGGGGGCGGGGGTTCGCGACGGAGGCGGTCCGGCTGGCCGTCGAGTGGGGGTTCACGCGCGTCGAGGACGGGGGCCCGCAGTTTGACCGGATCACGGCGACGATGCTCGAGGCGAACGAGCCGATGGTCGGGCTGATGGAGCGGAAGTTCGGGTGGGAGAGGGTCGCGAGGCCGGGCAAGGAGGGGGAGGTCACCTTCGAGGTCGGGCCCGAGGACTGGAGAAAATGATGGGGACATGCCGAGGGGTAGTTCCTCAAGCCTTTTGCGGCTCTGGTCGTCGAGGATGTTCAGCCGCATGACATGGCAGCGTCGGCGTACAAGACCTCTGTCACATAGTTCAGACCTCGAGATTTGCAGAATACCCGGTTAATACTCGTATATGCTTCACGTTTCCCACACCAGCACAATGACGGAGTCGAAGTGATCCCCGTCGCCATCCTCGTCATCAACCTCCCCTTCCATGAATCCCGATGTCCCTCTTCTCTTCACATACGCCTGCCACACCTCGCCCCTTTCCCTCACAACAACAGCATCCAAGAAGCTCCACACGTTCCTTGTGCCCTTCCACGTCACAACCTCCTTCCCACTCTCCTCCTCACTCAGCACGATGCCTTCCCCGAGCGGCATCTCCGCCTCGTGGCCGTACTGCATCGGCCCCAGGAGCTCCGCGTCGCCCGCCATGGGAACGACGTCGAGGCCATCGGAGTAGTGCGTGATGGAGTACCCGTTCACGAGGACCCATCTGTCGCCGAAGTGAAAGCGCTGGAGGAAGCAGGCCTCCCCACAGACGGACGTCACGAGGTGTGCCCGGCTCGGGTTGAAACCGTGGCGGGACCTGTAGTGGCGGAGAGTCAGCGGCGAGACGCCCATGTCGTAGGTCGAGGCCTGCATGGCGTAGAGCGCGTCGGTGGGCGAGTAGAAGCTTGGGAGGACATGGAAGGGAAGGTCGGTGTGGTTCCCCACGCAGTCGTGGAGGACGCTGTCCCATCGCGTATAGTTCCCGGTGAAGCCCTCCAGCGGGCGGCAGGGGAGGTGAGAGACGATGAGCGCGGCTGGCGGCGTGAAGAAGACGGCGCCGCCTCCGTGGGTGACCAACGTGTCGTTCTTGACGAACCAGTCGGGACGCTCGCTGGGGAGGCCAAGGTAGTAGGGTCTCGAGGCGTCGAACATTGACAGTTTCGAGACGAGCTGTTCCGGAGTCGGGAAGAAGATGTCGTCGTCGACAAGGCCGAGATACTGCTTCGGCTGCCCCTGCTCGGCCAGCGCCTCGCTGACATCCAGGAGGATCGTCATCATGTCCAGGTATCTCGAGGCATTGTCCAAGTCTGTATCCAGCGGTACCACTGTGGCATCGATTCCAGCATCCTGCAGCTTTTGGTATATCTCCCACGCCTGCCGGCTGGTGGCTTGGTGGAGTGTCACGACGATAGTGGCCCCATTAGGGCCCCGGCCGTCTGTGAGCCATCGCTGCCAGTCTCCGATAAGGGAGTCGCCATCGTACGTGAGGCGACTGTACGATGTGGAGACCCCGAACAGTAAGCCGGAGGCATCGACACCGGCGGGGCCGGGGCTCTTCGGTACGGGAAGCACCCTGGCGACTCCTCCGATCCCCAGACCGAAGTTATCGTCGTCCCAGCGCAGGGTCCGAAACCCGTTGTCTGTAAACCTTTGCTTGATGTGCGTCGTGGGAACCCTCTCAGCGGCCTCTGGCACCGCCTTGATTCTATGCGAGACCCACGAGATCGTCTGTGTAAGGTTGTTTCCCTCCGCCAACACCCGCAGGTAGTTGGTTTCGTGCTCGGTGATCTTGTTGCCCCCCGGCTTGACCAGGGGAACAAGGGGGTCGGTATCGATGATTTCATAGCCATCCTGGCGGCTCCGCACGACTTGGATCAAGATAAACAAGAGGACCAGGAGGAAAGTCGCGGCATGCAAGGCCCTGGCATGGTTGTGGTACCCGTGTAGGGGCTGCATCGTGGAGGCGGGGAACGGAACGTCTGTAGTACCCATTATATTGTTCGCTACCAGGGTTGCGATGAAGCGTCACTCGGAGTGGACGATGATTTTGCATTACGGGGCAGATCCCATCTTTTTGAGGGGATTCAGGGGAATGCTGCCCTCGATAAAGGGATGTTGCTGGGAATCCATTTGGCCTGGAGGGTGAGACACCGCACATGCCCGCCTGGCGCTACGCGATCACTATGGCGTCTACATGCCAGGTGGAGAGCAACAAGAGGGTCTGCCTGCCAGGATGCCTCATGAAGTATGTTGAAGATGTAGTCTGGTTTGAGGGTCGCCGAGTTGTCTCGAGAGTTGCAACGCCTGAAATCTATCTATATGCTGAGACGCACCCGTCGCGAGTGAATCGCCCCCGCAGGCCGCAGGGCCCCTCAATTCATCCTCCCTGATATTGGACAATCAACATTCCCAAGCCCGAGTTGATAGGACGACGGAGGGCAAAGGGATCGGGTCTGGCTTCAAGAAGAAAAAAGAGGCAAAAGGCCGACAGCGATCTCGGCGAAGCTGTGGTCGAGGAGGCTCTTTGCGGGTTCCTCGAGTAACAAATGTCGGCGGCCCAGTGCTGTGGAGGGAGGACGTCTCTGCAGCAACGGTAGTTCATCAAACTCGGCCCGACAAAAAGGATGGATGAACGGACCAGTTCATTAGATTCACATGAGAAGAAGAGGGAGGTTGTGCTACCAGTAGATTGGGCGTATCTGGGCAGTAGCGGAAGAAAATGAGCCCGTGAGCCTCCTTGCGGGTGGTTGGGCCAAAGTAGAGAGGGCTTTTGCTTGCTTCTCGACGCTCACGTCCAAGAACCAACCGCCTCTTGTCTGCCATCCTCGCGTCTATCAAAGTGTGTATGGCTTCTTCACCGGGTCCTCGACGAAGACATCCTACTTTCGTGTCACCCGGCCCCTCATCCAGCATACCTCACTCCCTGCCACTTGCACGCCATCCTTTAGCCCCCCCTCCCCATCTCGGCCGTCTTACGTTGGACCTCTCGGAGATATTATCAATCATTGCACCCTGTGTTGCTTCACCCCACATGGAGTATTTCTTTCCTTCCGACGCGGTGCCACGCAGTAGTGGTGCAGCGCCGGCCACGACGAGTTTGCGTCGAGGGAGAACGGTTAAACCATGAGGTATTCCGGTCGCACCGAGTGAGGCAACCGTTGTCGCCTTTTCAGGTCAGTAACACAAGCGCAGTTTATTTCTCCGCAGGTCGTAGATCGATTCTTAAAGCCTCATCGGTCACGACGTTTGAAATCCTTCGTTGTTGCTTGATCACTCGACTGTGCTGGGAACTGCGGTCAAACCATCAACGACTGGAGTTTGCCCGCGCTGTCCTGAGGATCCCGAGAGCTCAAACGCATCCAGAGGATGAGCCCAACCACCTCATCATCTCGAAATCGTTGAGGTTGTGCCTTATTCCACCGTTTGGGTACCATCATGGCCTGACGCGACTGTGGACTGCCCTTGCCGCGGCCGCCGCAGACGTGAAGCTGCCCGTCCGCCCTCGAGCTACACAACCACGCTTTACATCCACGCTGTGCACAACCAGCTTCCGGCTTCTGCATGGCAAAAAGAGCAAAGTCTCCCAGAGTCGATGCGTACAGCCGTTTCTGCATCCATCTTGGCGTCGCACCACGCATGGCGGCCTCGCCACCTCTCTCTCTCCTGTCACTCGCTGCGGTATCACCGAGACTGTGCATGGCCATCTGAAACCCATGATGGTATCTTCATCGCTAGTTCTTTCAGGATTGTAACCTTCTTGTGCGCGGGGCCATCTCCGGATCATACAGGTCTAAGTCTGAATACCTTGGCCTGGAAGACGTGACGTAGCATCCGAACCGTGGCGGCGCTGTCACGATCTGGTGGGGTTGAGGCTCACCCTCCCGGCATCCCTTATGTTGGGCGAAACATTTTGACAAACGCCCAGTTACCAGTTCCTCCGTCAGCGGCAAGGGTCCGAAAAAGCCAGCTGTCGTCCCTGTCCACACCCAATGCAATGCGTCAAGGCTATCCTGGCTCGTTCCCTGCCTAGCTCACCAGTTTCGCCGTTTGCAAGACTCCCCCCTCAGCCAGGGAGCCGCGTTCACGATGGGCTCAATGCCTGTCGAAAGTAGCGGTGCGCGGGAGGCCGCAGAAACCCAATACCTAGCCACTGCCTTGTCGAAGCGCTAGCAAGGGGTCGTTGACTCGACCACGCCCAATGCCGTTCTCCGGAGTATGGGCATATATCATGGGATTCGCGACTTGACGCTATTCCAAGCGTCACTTCAGCAACCCGGCCGCGGAGCACTGGAGTTTCCTTGGGTTTGATCCCACACAGACGGTCAAGGTTGGCCCGCGATGAGCTCCAGCTTACCATCCGCATCCTGGTTAATATGACAGCCGGGAGGAGGATTCTACCGCTTGACACCCTTCAAGATACGTATACATCGGCCAATGGGTCACACCTGATGATAAAGCGGCTTCTCGTGCTCCCTATCGGACATTTTACTCTTGTGCTTGTACGCAGGCAAGCTCGTGGGAAGAAACGAGGGACTGTAGGGTGACAGCTGCAAGCACCCCCTTTCAGGGAGAGACAGACAGACGTGTAAGCCCAAGACTAGGCTTCTCGAATAACCCCAGAATACCTCAGGCATGCATTGAATTGCCTACGGATATGCACATGGGCCAGCTACAGAGAAACTGACTTGACTTTAGCGGTCTGACGAAAGACCGGTCGCCATCTTCACCCCAAGTTACCGAAATGGGCTCAAGGCGGTCCCCATGCCGCGTTTGATATGGGTAGGTTCTTCAGTCACTACAGACTACAGATCAACACCGTCCGCATCACCACCCATTGCATCTCATCCCAGAGTCACGGCCACTTGTGCCGAGTCAGATTGGTATTGCCCTGAGATCTTCAATGTAGCAGGAGGACCAGCTCTGCTCCACCATCTCAACCAAGCTGCTAGACTCAACGGCCAGATGGCACTCATGCGGCTACCCGTGAATCCACTCTGCGAATCACACGCCCCATGCGCATCCAAACAAGGCGCCTTTCTTCCCTGTTTGGACGTTGCGGGAGTCTCTGCTGTATTTGCTCCCGCAAACTTTGCCCAATGACTGTGCGATTTCCATCGGGCGCGCTCCGCAGTCCTCTGTGAATCCTCCCCCCCCATCCCCCTTTGCGGAATAATGCGTGCACTGGTGGAATCGGATGAAACTTGCCTAGCCTCGATCTCTGGCTTCCAAGTAGGTCGCGGGGTGTGGGTTGAGTAACCCAGAAGAGTACGGTCCTCGCATACGACTGGACGGCCAGCCGGTCTGGCTTGGCCTCCTTCTCTGCGAGCCATGACAAATTCAGCAAAGGTGCGGGTAATTCTGTACGGAAGCTTCCCCGGAGCCGTTTGGCCTACCCGGTCTTCCAACACCGAAACGACATAAACGGCAACATATGGTCACCGCACAACCTCTGATCCGTAGCATCGTCCTCTCCCATCAGATCTCGTGTGTTGTTTCTTGGAGGAAAACATATTAGATCACACCATCAGTCCATGATCTAGTCGCCTCTCACACCCCCCCCCCCCCCCCCCCCCCCCAGTTCCCCCATACCAGTCATCTATCAATTCGTGGCTTCACCTCGATACGGCAAAAGAAAAAGCGGTGGCCGGCCACAAACGGAAACCGTACCGCTGAGAGGTCGATTCCAAGACACCTCGCGACAAAGAAGACTTCACCGAGAGCACCGACATCCAAGAAAGAGTCCCCGAGCCCCGTACTGGACCGCAGGCTCCGTTGCAGAGCCGGCAACATTTCCAAGAAAGACAAAAATCTCGAGCCCCCCCCCCCCCCCACCCCTATCCCTATCCCCTTGTTCTGGGACAACTTTGCCAGCGTGCTGCAAGCCAGCAGATTGTGAGGAGTCAACCACCGGGACGAAGACATCGGGTGTTTGTCCATTGCCAAAGAAAGCCAGCCTCAGCTGGTTCACCTCCCCTCCCCATTACACCTGGTCCCGCTGGTCTTGCAGGACCTGTCTTAAGTCCCCCCCCATCCTCTCTCCCTTTAGCATCGTAGTTCACTGCACTGGTTTATCAGGCTCGTCCCGCACCGCAGCACTGCACCGCTTCCAAGACACCTTCATCCTCTTCCCTACAAACAGCCCGGCAAGATGCTTTCGGTCTCTTCTCTTCTTAATCCGTCGCCCCCTGGGCCGCTTCCTCTCCCTCGGTTCCTCCCAAGTCCTGACATGTCCTCGCCGGGAAGCTGCCACTCGGACAGAGCACCATCGCCCTACCTGGACCGACCCGTCATCCCGAAGCTCAAGATGTCTAAAACTCCGGCCCCGATGTCCAAATACAAGCCCCGCGGAGTCATCAAATACTATCCCTTCGAGAACATGGACGAAATCACCCGCCGCGAGGCTCACCGCTTCCTCATTACGCCTTTCGGAAGGATCCAGGAGTCCTGCGCCCACATCCCCTATAACAGCGACAAGAAGGACTTTTTCGAGAAGACGGGCCGTGAGAGCTTCGAAGGTGCGTGTTCAGAACGCTCGCGGTGGGTTTCTTTTTGCTGATGAGCTTGCTTGGTGCAGTGTTCAAGTACGAGTTCAAGAACCCAGGCGACGACACCGAGTATACCGTCATGTGGGACTACAACGTCGGGCTCGTCCGCATGACTCCGTTTTTCAAATGTTGCAAGTATTCAAAGGTAAGTCCCCCTTCCCCTCCCGCGATCAAATCCGAGGGTCCCCGCTCACGCGTCGCAGACGGTGCCGGCCAAAATGTTGAGCCTGAACCCGGGTCTGAAAGACATCACCCACAGTATCACTGGGGGCGCGATAGCGGCGCAAGGTTGGTTCGCACTGGTTCTCGCGGCTAGGACATGAAAGCTTACCATGTCAGGATATTGGATGCCGTACGAATGTGCCAAGGCGGTGTGTGCCACTTTCTGCTACAACATTGCCGGAGCCCTCATCCCGATCTTTGGCCCGTCCTTCCCGTCGTTGTGCATCCCCCCAGGCTCCCCGGACTACCAGCGGATGGTGATAGATCATCGGATCGTCAAAGACGCCATCAGGGATGCCGACCTTTCGCGAAAGATCCAGCAGCACGCCCTGCCGCCCATCGACCTTGGCCACGTTCCCGGCATCGAGCGTCGACCCGTGCGGCCTCTCCGGGACGACAGAAGGCTGCGGATCAACCCCCGCCTGATGAGCCCGTATAGCGACACCGACGCGGAGAGCCACCGCTCCTGCCCGGACTCCGCCTCGAGCAACGGCTCGGACGGCATCGGCTACAGCTACGGATACCACCCGGGGCCACCTCGGCACTCCCAGCCGCCGCCGACATCGGGATGGACGGCCGCGAATCGGCCGCCCCAGCCGTACCGGCTAGTCGACGAAAGCCACCGCCCAGCCGACCCGTACCTCAGCGCCGTCCCCCGCTGGACCCCTGTGAACAGGCGCGCCGTCTCGCCTCCTCGGTCGGCCTGGGCGCAGAAGCGCCCCATCGATGATGATGACGATGATGATGATGACAACGATGACCAGCACGGTAGCAACGCCCTGCGATGCGCGTCAGATCAGCAGCAAGGGGACGAGTCTGACGCCGAGCTGGCAGAACAGAACGCCGCGCTCGGCCTCATGACGCTCAAGACGGCGCCCCGGAAGGACGTTTGGTCACCCAGTGACTTCGACAGCCCCGACTCGCACCGCAGCAAGAGGCGAAGGGCCACGTCTGCGTGAGTGAGGTGGGTGTCGGGTTTAATGGGGAATAGGATGATGGCGGTGGCGATGGCGGTGGTGGTAATGGCGATGGTAATGGGCGTCTCTCGGGCGGTCGGATTCGGATGAAAACATACTCTAGATTCTTATGCTTGCTCGCGCACTTCTTGTTGATTTTTCCCCTGCCTTTTGGATGGATACTGGGAGTCGGGTGTCGGATAATGATTGCGGCTAGACTGGGGAAGATCCAGGACTTCGTGATGCGGACTGGAGGGAGCGAGGAGGGTCTCTGTTTTTTTTCTTTTCTTTTTCTTCTCCCAGTTTACGTGGGCGCGATGTTTGGCACACAAAACAGCCAGTTTTCATCTATGACGAGCGAAGGCAAAGAAAGAAAAAAAAAGGCAAGAGAAAATCACCCACCCAGCTCCCAAGTTTTTTGGCCTTCCGTAGCAATCAAAGAAGTATTTTTTTTTTGTTCTTCTTCCCCTTCTTCTTTCCCCTTATCCAACATTTCAGGGACTTATATCCCAAATGGATAGATACCCTCCGTCCTCTAGCTGCTGCCCCCCTTTTCCGCGGCCTTCTTGAGCTTGAACTCCTCGATCCACCCCTTGGCCCGGGCGGCGGGCACGACGTACACCCGCACGATGCCGTCGACGACCTCGACGCTGCCTCCGCTCAGGATCTTGAGCAGCGTGGCCTTCTTGCCCACCTTGACGAGCCCGCCCGCGGCCGTCTCCATGTAGCACTCGACGCCGTCGGGCGTGTACTCGCCCTTGTCGTCCCACGGCACGGGCAGGATGTACGCGAGGTGGTCGGCGAGGCGCTCCGTCTCGTTGAAGGCCTTGATGAAGTCGCTCTCGAGCCGCAGCGGGTACAGGAGCACGGCAGGGAAGCTGAGGCTGCTCGCCGGGTCGTCCTCGTCCGGCACGAGGCACATCCGATGGCACGTGCGCACTTATAACCGAGCATTCTGAGTATCACGGGTTCGTAGTCAGCGTCCGTCATTTTGCTATGGGCACCATAGTGTGGGGCCGTTTCCTCGCCGGGGCCAGCATTTCGCTTCATCCGCCCTTTCATCTAGATTAGGTTACTAGTTTAGACTTAGAACGACAAATAGCTGCACCGACGATGCGGGAGGCAGGAGTTGCAGTGGATCAATATCGCTACGGGGCCTTAGGCTACCGCATGCGGAAAGTATCTGAATTTTCCAACCCATGTCTGTTGACCACTTTTTGGTCTACAGTCGGTCTGTGGCGTTTAGGTCGCTCGGCAGTTACCTTAGGGAACTTAACGTGACCCTTTTGGGGATCTTTCGTCTTATTCCGTGTATTAGGGCCACACAACCGATCTTAGCCCATACTTCCGTGTTTTATTCCCGAGCTGAAACCTCGGCTATGGGCGCCCCTGGCGCGGTGGTTTTCCCGACCGATTGACTCAGACACTGAGCACATGGAAGGCCGAAACCTGCCGGGTGAAACACGTAATAGCGTTGATTCTGTAACGATTATAACGTCGGCCATATGATCGGTCGAGCAGAACAAGTTTCCCGCATCGTAACGTGATCCTTCTAGTTCGGGATCCAAGGTGGCAGTCCAGCTAGTCAGGGCTGACTCCTTATACGGCACAGGAAGGCGCTAGGCCAGAGTGCCGATATAGCCCAAACGGAGGAAGCAAGTAAACTAATTCTCCGTCTCGGCGATCAAGGCGTCGGCCATTTGGTCTGTGATCTCGTCGATTTTCATGTTTGCGATTTGGCCCCGCTTTTCCCAGTCTTCCGGCTTGCGTTGTGCTTCCCTCCCTTGCTGAATGAGTCAATCGCTGTTTCCGGTCGTATTGGTCGGTGTTTGTGGTGCGGGTTCTGTGTGGCTCTGAGAGATGTTGAGTTGTGTGAACTGTGTGAATGAAAATTTCGGAGATGAGCGAGTTTGTGTGGTTTCCGCGGTGGCGATTTTTATTGGGTAGGTGTCCCAAATTCTGGAGTTCATGGAGTAGCCACGAACCTCATGGAACTAAAATCGTGCAACCTCAGTCGAGGTGTTGAGGAACGGCTCAAAAAGACTGCCAAGTGTACCCTACCCCATCTACGAGAGTATATGATAACTCTTTTATCATTCCATGTTCAGATTGTCACTGCTGTTGACTGGGCATGTCAAAGTACATCCATCACCAATTCATACCAGCTGAGAGAACATTGTACATCGTAGATTGATCATGAGAACTTCAACTCTAATTAAGGCAATTCGATATGCCAAAAGACCAAATGACAACAATCGCTCCCGGCGCTTGCCCAATGCATCCAAAAACTGCAGTCTAGTCGTACTCGCTCGCTTACACGCTGCAGCCAGGGGATATCTTTGATCTAATCCGCCACCCGCAAACACTTGATCCCAACCCCAAAATGACAACCCAGGTCCGTAACGCCCTCACCTGTTTCAGTCCGAATGTCCGAAACAAAACAAGCAAACTCCCCGTCTATTGCCCCTTTTCATGGCTTTTTTTTTCTTCTTTTTTCATCTTAACGTCTTTTTGAACTTCGTTCCACAGTGTGCCTCTTTTTGCGCACCTTGCTTCGATATCCTCCCAGTCATGTTCGCGGCACTCGTTGCATGACACATTCATTCGTCGTCCGAAAACGTCTCCGTGATGGTGACGCGAGACTCTTTCTTGCGCAAGGATGGCTGAGCCTCCTCCTCCGTCATCTCGTACTTGCGCTCACGCTTCACGGAGAAGCACTGGATAGCACCGATGACGGCAACGACAGCACTGCCGTACCATGCCAGGGCGGTGCAGTCGACCCTGCTTCCAAGAGTGTACAACCAGCCGGCGACAGGAGGAGCTATCATGCGGAAGCCAGCAGCGGCGCTCGCAGCCAGACCGTTGACCTTGCCCAAGGCTTTGGGCGTGGGAGTAGCCTCTTTGATCAAGATCAGGAGAAGCGGGTAGAGGATGATGGACAAGATGTTACGGATGGTCAAGCAGAAGTAAATGCCGGCGTAGAGCAGCGAGGCGGGGAGGAAAAGAAGGCCGGGGACCATGACGTATGCGATCGGGTGCAACACGGTGACAATGATGAACAGGCGGTAGACACCCAGTCTCTCGGCGGCGAAGGGGAAGATGACGGCCTGGACGAACAGCGCAATGACGCCGTTGACAGCCATGATCATGCCCACAGCACGGAGCGAAAGGCCAAGGCCACCAGGCGTGTAGAATGGGCTGCTCGAGGAAGCGAGGACGGTCATTGGGTTGCCGATGGCGCGATCGTCTTCGAAGAAGATGGGGAGAAGGTGGTCGTATGTCATCGAGTGGTAGGTGAAGATGCAGAGGGCAAGGATCAAGGACATGATGGGCTTGGTGTAGATGTTGCACGGCTGTTCCGTCATCTTCCCGGAATCCATCTGGCTGCGTCCGCGGACGGTTCCGTAGTTGTCGTCTCTCAAGTCAACGGCGGGCCTTTTCATGGCATCCGAGGTCTCCAACAAGGGAGTCTCCTCAGAGGCGTAGGTGTCGTCGGGGAGGAAGACACGGGGCTGCATGTCAGGGTGAGTTTCCTCAAGCAGGAAGTAGCCCAGGATGATGCTGATGAAGAGGAGAGCAGCGCAGACGAGGTTGGGCAGGAGGTAGGGGTAGCGGTAGAAGATGCCATGGGCGGGAAACAGCTTGGGGTATGCGTCGTGGGGGTCGGCAAAGGTGCCACCGATGAAGGGGCCGATGATTGTGCCGATGGACCACACGAAGGGCATGACTGAGAATGCGCGGGCTAATAAAAATCAATACGAGGTCGAGTTGGAAAAGGATGGATGGAACTCTTACGCTCGTGCTCAGGCTTGGTGACCAATTCACCGACCATGGTCTGGATGACACCGATGTTGCCGTTGAGGAGGCCACCGATGGCCCTGCCGGCCACGGCGATCCAGATGTTGGAGGCGAAGCCGACCATGATCATGCTGAACATGGTACCGATGCATCCCAGGAGCAGTACGGGTTTTCTTCCGATACGGTCAGAAAGACCGCCCCAGTACATGCCCATCAGGGCCTCGGCGAGGGAGAAGGAGGAGATGAGGAGGCCGGCGTAGAACGAGGCATCTTCTGCGTTGCCGATCTCGAACCTCTTGACGAGGGGCCAGGCATAGGGGAAAATTGAGGTGAGTGCGATAGGCTCTGCCAGACGGACGATAGCTGAGAAGAGGGTGTTAGCTATGGCTGGTCCCACAGGGGGGAAGACTGCAAGAGTGTGTTGCTAATCCATGGTTGGTGTTGGGTTGGGGGCGCGAGACATGGAGTGCCAGCAAAAGGAAGTTTGGCACGCAACTCACCCAGAAGAAAGAGCTGTGCTGTGGGGAAGTCGTCCGGGTTGCGAGGGCTTTTCTGCATGGTTAGGGCCATTGTCTCTCGACTTGGTTCAAGTCTTACGGTGCGACAAATACAATCGACGAGAATTCTACTGGAACGTAGGAGAGCTTGAAGAATGAAATGTCGGGGTGCGTGTACGCTTATACACGTTTCTCGTCTCCTGGCCGGCGGCGCGTGTGACGTTATCGCACGAGAGGGAGAGACACAGTAAGGGTATCTGTCCGTATTCAGATGGTTGATATCGAGAGAGAGAGAAAAAGTGAAGAGGAAGAGGAATGCAGCAATGAGCGAAAGCAGGAAGGGGGGTGGGAGGTAAATAATGCTTCTTGGACGTGGATCCGCGAACGATAACGGCGTTGAGAGCGGATAACCAAGCGCTTGCAGAGTGGTCCAGGATGGAGGTACGACCAAGTTACACCGGAAGTAAAAGAAGGATAGCGGCTGCAAGCGGGAAACACAGCCGGCGAGTGCGGTGGTAGGGTGTGTTGCTGCTGCTGGTTCTGGTGGGAGGAATGCATATGACGGGGAGCGGGATGTGTGTGTGCTGTGTTATTTATTTTTATTTATTTTTCCAACCCTCGTCTGCTCCTGCTTCTGATACGACTTTGACTTACACCGTCCCGTGCGTGTCGATCCAGCCCACCCAGAACAGTAACACACAGTGTAGAGTCAGGCACCTGTACCCGCAAAGTGCGACTCGAACCCGCACCTGCAGCTACAGGTGGGGCGCACTCACGGAATTGCGGTTTCCAGACCGACGGCGCCAGAAGGAAAAAGGAGCAAGTCTGGCCGCACGGCGACAGGGAAGAGAGGGAAGCAAGGAGCTGGCTTCTTCGTCCGTTGTCTGCGGCTACCTACACTACACTGCACGGAGCAGCTCATGTGCAGGGCAGGGACTTGATGGGCTAGGGTATGTGTCTATGCGGCATTGCGCCCGTGGTCAGCATGGGATATATGAATATGCATGGCACCAGTGGCGTCTGAGGACCATGTGGGTGACGGGGTGTGTGTGTGTGATCTTGCGCTAGTTTAGCAGCCCTCTTTTATTTTTATATTTTTATCCTCTTGGTCCTTTTCCTTATCCTTTGCCTTCTTTGCAGACTGCAGCGGTATCTACAATGTATGTACAGGTATGTATCGAGCGAGCGAGCGAGTGAGTGCACGGGCTCCAAGTGTGGGCTAGCAAAGATGCGCTACGGTTCCTTGTCGATGCAGTAGCGCATCTCGGCGGTGGATTGTCGTCGTGTGTCTTTTTTTTTCCTTCGTCTTCCACTCTTCTCTCCACCTCTTCTCCCCCCTCCTTCCCTCTACACCATCTCACTCGCTCTCTCGTGTGCCACCCTCCTGAAGAAGCCGGCTGTCGGTGATCGGCCTCCCGGATGAATTAGGTAGGGCGAACTACCTACCTAGACATCCGCGAACGGGTTCGGGCTTCTTTCCCCTCATACTACCTACCGTCTTGCCTCCCACCCTGGTGACAACTGACCGTATCACACGCACACCTTTCCAAGCATCGTCCAGAGCCATGCTTGCAGCTAGGGGCATTCCGTGCCTGTCAACCGGCCGCACACACGATCGACGGCCGTCGGTCGCCCTCGCAACATTGGACGATGAGTTGTTTCTCGAAACTACCGGCCGATTCTCAAACCGGCATTTCGACCACACCGAAATGAAGCCGCTTCGCTTCACTTGGGTTCCTTCTACCGCTGGCCACCCTAACCCTAAGGTGTCTGCCTGCCTGCCTACCTACCTCTACCGACGTCAGTTCCTGCTCCAAGACCTGTATAGAAAAAGAAAGCTCCACGCATCTTCAGGTTTGGGCCGGTCCAGTCTGTGTCTACGCAGTGAACTTTGCTTGCCCTGCCCGCCGTTGCCCACTTGGCCAAGTCTTCCCTGCCTCCTTGTCCAATTCATGGCCTAATTCTGTCACGTTGGTTGGTGCTATTGGCTGGCGGCTCCGACACACTTGGGACGGCTGATTGGGGCTGCTGCGTCGCGCACACTGTGCACCGCTCCAGTTCTGCTAGCGTGCGCCGCATCCTAGTATCCGAGTCCGTTAGTCATTGTCGTCTCTGATTGGACAGGGCATCCAGTATCTCTCCCCATCCCGACTCTGCCAGCTCCAGTCCTTTCTCTCTCTCTCTCCCTCTCCCACCCTCACCCTCTCTCTTTTTCTCCGCCAACACCCACACAACAACGTCGACAACTCAAGGGCCGCCTTGCAACGCGCCACTGCAACTCAACATACGCACACCTCGGACGATACGGGATGGATTTTGCTTTACGCTTGGTTTCTTCTGGAACCCCACTTGCTTGGAGTGTGATAGAAAGATGTCTACGTCGTCTGACGTTGGGTAACCACATCTTCTGTCGCATTTGACGAGGTTCAAGCACTTCGTCGGCTACTCTGTGCACTGCACTGCCCCTCGACGTTGCAGCCGCGGGGGGAGACGAGCACGACGGCCCCTTTGTACGTGTCCAATTTCCCCTTCCAAGGACACTCACTCAGTCGGCTCCTTGGACATCCTTCAGCAGGATGCGGTGTGCGAGGGCCAGAGGGATGACGATGCTGTGGAGCCTAAAGCAAGCTTCGGGTCTCCCAAGGCGAGCAACAAGTGAAGCGATCGAGATCCCGAACCCATCTCCGGCCAGGCCAGGCCAAAGCCTGGGCCCGGCTCAATAATCGGGACGCGACCACGGCCCAGCAAGCATGGTAAAGTGGGCAAGCGGCAGTCGGCCAGGACAAGGACAGGGCCGCTCATCTACTGTGCATACTATGTAGGTAGTGGTACCGACCCTGCCGCCGACGTCGGTCGTCCCCGACTCTGGCCGCTGTGTAGGTAACGCAACCCATGCGTGGTGCGTCTAGCCGTCCACCCCTATGCGTGTCTGCTTGCCTTGCCTTGCCTTGCCGTGCCTTGCCCTTGGCATCGCTCTGGGCCTGGCCACCACCCACTGTTTCAAAGTCCAATGCCAGTGGCCAGCGTCGCTCCTCAAACATCCTCCAGGCTTGCAGTCTGCATCCCGGGCATTCATCAATGGCAGCTGCAGTGCATCCTGCATTTATCCAGCCCGCTCGTCTGCCGGCAGTAGCATTTCGCCTGCCTGCCTGTCCAGTAGGATATGGCTCTCTCGTTCCGTCCGCCAGCGAGATACCTTTGCGCCATGCTCCACTGCACTCGCGCAGTTAGGGGAAGAAGGCCTTTGTTATCTCACATATCAGCTATTACATTGAAGCCTAGCATGAAATTAGTTTATGCTTTCCGCAACGCACCTCAACTCGAATGACACGCACCACCGCGGTCACTACTTTAGCTCCGTCTTTAGTTCCCCACCACCCACATGCAACGCCGCCCCATGTACGCGTGTGTGTCTTGCACACTAGTGTCGAGACCCCCGAACACCGCTTACTTGCATTTACCGCCTACTCTACTATCCGTCCCCCTCCACGGTAATGTGCTCTCCGAACCTCCATCCTCTTCCCAACACGAGTGCTGGGCCGACCATCCCACTCCACCGACTTTTCAACCAACCTGCCCTCCCACCAAGTCATGCCCCCTCACACCCCGATGACTGCGTCTCTATGCCTCTCCTTTTCGTCCGTCCTCGCTTCAGCCGACTGTTGGCCTCAAAACATCGTCGAATTGCTCCTCGCCCCCTTTAATCGACGTCGAGTCTGTTCCTCGCCGCCCCGCATCCCAATCTGCAGGCATCACCCTCCGGTCGGCCCCATGGCAGGGGTTCTTAATGGGAACTTGCGCTAGTTGCCGTTGGGAACCCCGGAAAGGGGGGGGGGGGAGGGGGTGAAGCTTGTGTGGGTCGTACTCACCCACTGACATCGCTCTTTGACTTCGTCTCTTCCTTCATACGTCCAAGGTCAACGGTTCCGAGTCGCAAGCCCGTTATCTTCTGACGACCTGAGACGACCGCTAATAGTCAGTAGTAGGGATGTTTTTGTTTTTTCTCGACCTCCCCAAGGGAGTCTTATCCTTCCGCCCGTCGTCGTCGTCGTTCATCTTCACCAATCGCCAAAGCGCGTCCGCACACCCTGCATCACTCAGGTGGGTCCGCCCCAAGAACCAAAAGTGTCTTGCGTCGACGCAGAACGCCGCCGCCACGACGATCTCCGTTTCGATCTTTGACGTGCAAAAACTTCTACTCGGAGTCGTTTAACTTTTCGGCATCAAAAATGCTTAATTCCCAAATCCGCCCCTCCCCTCGATGGGCCTGAGACAAGGGTGCCATGGTCCCTGACGTCGTGCTCCACTCACCCCGCGCACGCCATCCTATAAGGCTCTGACGTTCTCGCCAACCCCCACGCTGTCCATGTCTTACAAAGAGCCGCCTTCAACGTCGTCTCTTGATTGCTCGGGTCAAAGGCGCATTGGATTTGCTTTGCTTGAACTTCTTTCGATGGTCGATGCATATTGCGATATCATGTTACGCCGCCCATTGGCCATCCTGTCGCTCTGGCGCCGGATGGCTTGCATGTCAGTCTTGTGTCGAGCTAGATGACTAGACGCCTGTAATTGGTACGGTTACCTGCTCCTGGGCTTCTTCACATGTTATCAGGTTGTTCAATACACCCCTCGGTGGCACGAGTCCCGTCGATCGGTTTTATGCTACTGTCCCAACAACGCCACACCAGCTGTAGGTGTCGGTCCATCTAGATTTGTGAGACCTGGTTCAACATTTAAGCCAGGGCCTGAATACTTCAATGTCCCTCTCACATGCGTCCAAACCGCAAAGCTAGGCTGAGATGCTCTATAGAAACTACGAGCGGCTTGGCTAGGCAGACGGCGCGACCCAAGACCAGAATCCCCAATGATCAACCTTTACAAATCACCGAAAACCTCCCGGGTGGAGGTAGATATAGCCAGAGCTTGGCGTCATGGGTCTCAGAACTTCTCAATCAGACCGCGAAAAACTAACTTGAAACTTCCTCTAATATGAAAACTCCGTCTCGAAGGCCATCCAGGGCAGCCGGGCCGGCGATGCGATCGAGGCGGGCCTGCGTTTGCAAGGCAAAGGAAGCCGCTTTCGCTGGAAACGCGGCGACGTTGGACGCATCGCACGCCGAGCCTTCTGTGGACTCTGTAACGATACTTTCACATGCGCTGTTGAGCTGTTCAGGGTGAATATTCCGATGAGTACGCGCGCAGAGAGACGAGGCTGCTCATCGTGATGCAGCAGGGTGCCTCTCCTGCAGCCCGGCTCTCTAGCCAGACTCCCGAGCGGGCTTTATGCCGACAAATGTAGGATGCTGAGGGGGTCTCAACGAGTTCGCGATCACGCCATCGCCCCTGACGACCATGATTGGCCTCCTGTCTCCTTTTGGAGGTACCCATGAGCCTCTCCCGTTTCCGTTTTGGAGCCTCTGGAAATGAGAAGAGAACGATGCTTTGCAAGCGTAAGTCGGTTACATGAGCCTGTCCAACGGCCGCACCCGCCTCTGACACTCGCAGGCATTCGCTGACATGATTCTCTTTGGGTAGCGAGCAGTCGTTGGAGCCGAAGCGTGGCGGCGGGTGGCGTCTTGCAGTCGCCTCACTGCCTCGGATTCTACCGCGTCTGTCGAGGAGAATTTGAACATTCTTTGTCCTACCGCAGCACCCTCGCGGTAATGCGCAAGAAGATGGGGATGAAGTCACACGCATCGGGGAGCGGTCAGTCATCAATTTCATTCCTAGCCCGAACTTGTGCGCATAAATCCCCCCTCCCCCTCCTGAACTCCAAGCCGCAAGGATGATGGCGGCCTTCGTAGCTACATGTCGTAGAGGCCCATTCTCCCTAAACCACGGGAGAAATGGTTCTTGTATCTTCCTTCGACTTCGACGAGGCCGACCGGCGGCTTTGATCTTGCAAGATCCGGAGCTAGGAGCAGCGACTGAGGCAGACGAGGTTCCCCAGCTGTTGCCAGAAAGGCAGCGAGCCAGACAATAGATGTAACTATGAGATTTACGCAAAATCCACCGGCCTCGTCTGTCTCTCACGCCATTTCCCAAAAGTTTGGCGTACAAATGCGACATGCAACAATACCGTGCAGGCTGGCCCGGGAGAATTGTCTAGATCATAGACATGGAACCCGCTCGCCCGGTTATCAAGACGGACGAGGAAAGGAGACGTACTATGAGATCCCGATGTGACTTGGAAAGGATAGACATGCTAGGAACGGATGAGGCAATCCGAAAACAACAAGCATTCTGGATAATATTGGGTCAGCCTTTTACTGTCCTGTTCTAATATACCAGATGAATGACCGGGCACCCACTGCAATCACTCAGTCTATCAACTATATGGTCGGTCGTATATAGCGTCTGGAGAAACGGCCTTTTAAGCAGCCGGGTGTCTCTGTCTTGGCTTTCCCAGCCCTCGTCTATGTAATCTCGGTTTCATTTCATCATCACATCATGTCCCCGTCAAGAAACCGCCTGGCGGCGCTTCGCGAAGGCTCCCCCCGCCCCTCCCGGAAGCCCAAGCCCGCCTAGACGGGGTAGTCGAGCTTCTTCCCGTCCAGTACCTTCCAGAACTCCTCGACGATCTCCCTCTGACCAGACGGCGCCCCCCGCACGGCGAGGTACACCCTCTCATCCACGGCCGGCTCCCAGACGCCTGGGTTCCCGCCGGCCATGAGCCCGCCGGCCTCGGTAAGGATGCACCAGCCCGCGCACACGTCCCAGGCCCAACAGCCGCCCTCCCAGTAGGCGTCCAGCTGCCCCGCAGCGACGGCCGCGAGGTTGAGCGCCGCGGACCCCAGGGAGCGCATCGAGTGCACCATGGCGCCGCCCGACTCCTTGGTCGCGGCCAGCCGCTTGAACGTCTCGGTCTTGAGCTCGAAGTTGGGCCCGTCACGCGTGGAGCCCCACTCGCAGGCCAGCAGCGCGCCGTCAAGCCCCTTGAGCGGGATCGGGCTCCGGGCCAGGGGCAGGCGCTGCGGCGCCCCGCCCGCGCGGCGCATGTAGCTGCCCTTGCCCTTGATGCCCGTGAACAGGAGGTCCTGGAAGGGATTGTAGATGACGCCGACGACGGGGACGCAGCCGACGGACAGGCCGAGGGAGATGCAGGCTTCGGGGAAGGAGTGGACGAAGTTGGTGGTGCCGTCGATGGGGTCGACGACGAAGGTCGGCTCCGGGCCAAGACGGGTGCCCTTTGTGTACGTCTCCTCGCCCATGAAGGAGATGTCGGGGTAGGCCGACTTTAGGCGAGTCGAGACCATTTTCTCGACGGCCTGGTCGGTCTCTGTGACAATGTCGACGGCTGTTTGAGGGGGGAGAACGGAATCGGGTGTAAGCCAGGTGATTCGGAGGGTCAAACAAGGCCGGTACGAATGAAAAAGAAATATTGATTGGGGGTGCCAGAGGGGATAGGCAAGTAGGGGAGACTACGCACAGTTGAGCTTGGTGCCCTGGTCAATCGACGACGGGTTCGCGGCCATGATCATCTTGCCGGCCTCGCTCGCGATGTCGAGGAGGGTGTCGTGGATCTCTTGGAGGTTGAGGTCCGCCATCTTTGCCGTGTCTGGCGGGGTGCTTGGTTTCTATGCTCTCCAAAGGGGCCGGGTGCGTTGGCCAAAAGAGGTTCGGTTGGTCAAAAACAGCTCCTACCGTATCGCAACTGTTCAATAAAGGAAGCTGTACAAGTGGTTGGTTGGTTGTCTCTGTCAATCGACGCTGGAGTCGAAGCTCGCTATAAGTTTTTCTTTTTTCTTTTTCTTTGTGGGGGGTAAGTAAAGTCGGGAATTAAGCAGGAGAGCTGGGATGTAGAATGATGGCGGGGTTATGGGAAGGAGGAAGGAATGAGGACATAGCTTGCGGGTGAGGGGCATTGTGGGGAAAGCTGACGATCGATCCCCTTTCCCTTCCATTCTCACCTTCCACCGCGGCGGACTTTCGGTTGGTTCAATTGGGGGCTACAGTCGTCAGGGGGGTATTGGAAGCTCCCGGGGGGGCGGGGTGAAAGCCCAATGGAGTCAGAGTTCGCAGGGGGGTAGGCCGCACAGACCCGCATGCATAGGGTATATATTTCACACTGTAGAGAAGACCTTCTAAAAGCCCACTAAGAGTCCTATAAGAAAGAGCCCTATAGGCTTTATATACAGGTATATAGTAAGTTATACTGTACTTACTAGACCTTTTTATACGTTAGAGCTAGCTCTATAACCCTAGCCTTATTACCTACTACGCCCTATAAACTCTAACTCTACTAGGCTTTTACCCCCTAAGGAGCTTCTAATACCCCCTAGACAGCTATAGCCTTGGCGAGGGGTACTAAAAATACTAATAATAAATAAGGAAAAAAGACATGTTCCCTCACCGAGGTTCGAACTCGGGTCTCTCCGGAGCGCTTCCAGGGGATTGAAAGCGGAGTATCCTAACCACTGGACTATAAGGGACAATCTAAAACATTACTAGAACCAATGCATCAACAGTAGTTATAGTGCATACAGTCCTCTCTAAGAAGCCTAAAAACGTATCCCATTGAGTGCCAAGTGACCTCACATAACCCAAAAATGGGTCTATGTAAATAATTACCGACAGCTATTGGACAGTCAGCCTGGATTGCTGTACTCTTATTGGTCTGAGGTTATGTGAGGTCACTCGGCACTCAATGGGATAAAGAGTGTTATATTAAATCTACTAAACTCACTATCTTCTACTTAAAGTATCTTAGTAAACTCTGCTAGACTACCACTATAGCCGTTAAAAACTTTACGCTATAGGTTATAGACACTACTAGAGATATCTACACTTGCCGCTTACTAGTCATATAAAGTCGGTGAGCTGGACGGCGGCGGTAGCGGCGGTGGCGGCCTCGTCGACGGCCCAGGCAAGTAGCTGGGTTGCGAGACGTGGCGGAGTACCCAAGGACAAGGAGTTGTTTTATACGGGAGGGGGAATCTTTTTGATACTCAAAGTGCAATTCAAAACTTATTTTCAATTACAATATGTTGAAAGTCAGGTAAACAAAAGTGCCTATTGACTGTTAGTTAGGTAACAGAGGGAGGTGTTGCTCGCGGGTGAATTAGCCAGCCGGCCGGCGAAGTAGGGGTCGCTATTAGGAGAAGCTCTACACACACAATACAAGGCCAGAGGCCCTCTGGAATATATACAAAAAACGATTTTAGGTAGAAATACCCTTCCTAAGTGGGTTTGCCATTCACCGAGCATATCTGTTGCGCCTACAACTGGTATCACCTCCCACAACCAGCTTCTGTCCTATCTCGAGTGTGTCTGCCTGGCCGCATCTCACAAGCCCGGATACATTACCGAGTTCCGTCTATCTTTACCAGGAGTGCACGCTCTGAATACATTGACGACACAGTCTATATAAATCCGCTAGCCTCTTTGTAGCCCTTTGCAGATTAGCCAGAGCCCAAGGACAGTCATTAGGCAGTTATAGACTATCCTAACTGTCTATTATAATAACCAAGTAATCTTTCTTATAGAGGTCATTTTATTCCCTCCTAACGTCACATCTCAGTATACTCTTAGGGTCCTATAACATATAGTTATAGTACTATATATACTTTTGCTCTGGTCAGTTTGATAAGGGGATCGGCTCACCCAGCTGTTCTTTTATCCAGCATATACTCACTGAAAACCATTCTAGGATGAAGGCCCTTCGCGCTCTGCTCCGCGGTCGTCAGCTATAGTCACCGAAGTGGTGCATCTCAACGTTCAACAAGGCAACCTGCGATATCTTCCCATATTTCGTCGTACATCTAATCCACTCCCTCGACTTCGCCATCACCTTCTGCTTGCAGCGCGGGCCGTCTTCCGCTTCCGCGCGCACCGCGGCTGCCCACCAAGAGCCTCACAAAAAAATTCTTCTTCCCCCTCCGCGGCAGCAAGAGCCTTCGCTTCAAGTACCTTCCAGGCAAAGGACTTCTACCCTAGCAAACAACAGCAAGAGCAACCCCGCGATACGTGAAAATGCACGAGGAAGAGACGAATATGCTCCTACAGCGCCCACCTTTTCAACCGATAACCCTGTTCTCCAACCTCCAGATCGACGCTTAGTCTGAACATCAATATGGACTCGATCAACGGAAAGAACCTCGCAGGGGCCATACGGACTCCAGAGGAGAGGCTTCCCTTTGGAGGACCGCTCGACGGACCACATGAGCATCCCCACCTCGCATGATGTGGCAGGATTATTGATTGTATCGAAGAGGGCCTGCAAGTTTTGCCGCTATTAACGCTGAGGGAGTCTTTGCCAACGGACTCCCTGGTCTCGCCTCCGACGCAGGACATAGTCCGGAAAGATATGTCTTGTTGAAACAGGAGACATCGACATCATTCACGCATAGTTTACAGGAAGACAGCCTACTTAACAATAACGACTGCAAGACCCGATCCTTCCAACATTATATCTCAAGACTCGCTACATTCATAAATATCGACTCCGTTTCCATCGGTCAGAGCCACGCCGTATAAACTAAGTTCGCTCACAAGAACCTTTTACCGTCACTTCTAAGCAAGGTAGAAGCTATAGGTGCTACCTAAGCCAACAGACTACTTACACAAGAGTGTCCTACAGCCATTAATAAAGTTCACACCCCGACGGCTCATCTGATTATTCGGGCCCTCAATGTCATCCCACCGATACTGGTCACTGATTGTTTCTCATCTCTAATCCCAAATGTGCAACCAAACATGCTAGATCCAACAGCGCTAGCACCGCCTCACGACTATCCAGACAATGAAAACTGCAAACACCTGTTCTTCAAGACTGTCGTAAGTCAGTCACCATGGCTGGTGTCTGTCTGCAATACGTGGTCCAGGGGGACGAGGTTACTGTTAGTCAGGGGGGACAGGGTTACCACGTTCGAAGCCATACATCACACACATCACACACGCAACAGCCATCAGCACACAGCAAGGCAGACCAAGGCTCCTCGGACCTAGCTTTACTGCAATGCGTGGTCCAGGGGTACGGGGTTACTGTTGGTCCACGGGGTACGAGGTATTCTGCCTTGTGCCGGACCAGCTTGGGTCATTGGCCGGCAAGCAGAACGCATCTCATCACTTATCGAGGGAATCTTTGGGCGAATAGTGTTGCAGAAAGAGGGAACCGCTTGGCGGCTCATTGTGTTTTTGTATATCGGCCGCCCATGAAAAAAATAAAAAAATGAAAAAGCTTGGTAAAGCGAGAAACGATAGCAATCCTAACGCCCTTGGAATTGTATGGCACATTTCCCCCAATCGTGACATGTCCCCGTAAACCCTCCTCCACCTTCCGGGCCCGCTTTCCTTTACTCGATAGTAGCTTCGCCGCATTATCCCCAAAGACGTCTGACCACCCTTCCCCATATTCCACCAGGGATATAATTCTGCCACCTAGCCCAAGTGGAATCCCCAGGCTGGAAACAAGCCAAGCTTTACCGTGGGCCCTTGCCCGCCCCCTCTTCGGTAAAGGTTTCGTATTGCGAGCTTCAAAGGTAGACTGCTGCGCCCTTATACGTTCTCCCGGAAAATCGACCTCCGCTCCGTCGGGCTCTCTCCGTTGTCTTTCTGCTGCTGTTGCGATGCCGTGTCGACGATGGGGCGGGGACTAACACCGCGCAAACTGATATTACTCGGCTCCGCATCGTCCTCGAACGGGTTCCTACTGCCCGCCTTGGGCCCGCCTAGTCTAGCATCGTCATCGCCGAGCCGGCTGAGGCTCCGGCCCCGCGCCGGCTCGTCGTGGTGCACGCCCGGTGTCGCAGCAAGGTTCATGCCGTAGCTGTTGCCACCATCCGCACCGTTGCCACCACGATATCCGAGCTCCTGTTCCTCGTAGTTACCGTAGGGGCCATACGTCTCAGCCTCGTGGCCGACGCGCGCATCCCAAGCCTCGTCCGGGTCGAGTGGGCCGAAGCCGCGGCGGGGTGCGCCGGCGCCCGAGGGCTGCTCGTAGGCGCCGGCGGCGGAGCGGCTCCCACGGTTTTTGAAAGAGCTGATCTTGTCGTTGAACCAGCCAGAAATACCGCTCGGTGCGGGGCGCGGGGGGCCGTAGGATGGCGATGTTTCGGATTTTCGGAAGGGAAGGTAGGAGGAGAGCGACGGAGGCGGGAGCTGCTCGTTCATCGGTCAGTATTGATCACCTGGGCGATAGCTTGGTGGTAGACGGGGAGAATTTGCAACGTACACCTAGTCTTCGAGCACGGAGCTGAGTGAAGATAATCCAGCCGACGATGCCGATGAGGGCGAGGACCAGGATGGTGATGATAATGCCTCCGGCGACTGACACCATGTTTGCGATTCAATTGCGACGATGCAAGTCGGTCGGCTCTGATGGCGGGAGGAGAGGAAACAAGGGCTCGCAGCGCAATGTCGACGATGTGGTGACGGCGACCGTGTTGGTGGTGAGTGCGTCGGTGATTGAGGATGTACGGCGGCGGCCGATGGAGGTCCGGTTCATGAAAGGTGGTCGAAAGTGCGTGGTGTGGTTTGCGTCGTCCGCCTTGGCTTGGTGGGCTGTGTGTGTGTGTGTGTGTGTGTGTGTGTGTGTGGGTTGTGCTACATACACGGACACGGCACACGACACACGCTGTTGGGGGCTAGCGGCAGTGCGCCTAGACGGCTGAATGGAAGGCTGTCCGAGAGAAGGTGACGCGAGAGAAGGTTAGGCGGAAGCCTGGACCCGTCGGCTGTAGTGAGGTGGGGGAGGAAGAGAAGACAGACTTGGAGAGACGGAAAGGAAAGGCGGCAGGCCCGTTGAAACCTTGTTTGACGAGAAAGCAGTGCAGCGCAGTGCGGTGCAGTGCGTCGCGTTACGCAAGGCAGCCAGATCAGCACCCAAGCGGATTACATGCACCTGGTACGGAGTACTCGTTTGGTTCCCCGTGTCGGCCAAGGCAGGACAAAAAACGGCAAACAAGGCAGTGGGAACTGAATGACTGCAAGTCGCCCGGCGCAGAAGAACGAAGGAAGTAGGATAAGCCAAGCTTACTGCACTCCAATCCCCCTCAGCTGTCAAGTGCCAATTCCCAGGCAGGTAAGGTAGGTAGGTTTCCTCTACTCCAGAACGCTAGCTTCTCAAACCCGGCAGCTCGGTGCTTGTTTCTTCAGCGGACTGCCTGCTCATCATGTAAGTACTGTACATCCTCCTCCTGCTTGCTGTTGCTGCCCAATCAGCTCTGGCTCTGTGCTCTTTTGCTAGAGCTTGCGCTAGGATGCGCACATTCCACCCGATAAAGTTTTGTTTCTATCGGATTTATTTCGCAAGCCAACGAGTGTAGAGTTAAGACAATCGCCAAAGAAGCCTCCACGTCGTCCTTTCTTTTTGTTGTTCTGTTCCCCGACCCAACAAAGGGGGGAGGGGGCCGGACTGGGGAGACAGCATCCCGTCGAAATACCTAATGTAGGTAGACAACACAACAGGAGCTCAGGTCGATGACGTGCATCCTGTGCAGCGCTCGAGGAGCTCGAGTCCTTTTTTTTGTACGGAGTATACGTACCGGTATAGTATAGTACGGCACTGCTAAGAGCCCACAAACGAAACCAGCTTTGAACCCCTGCCTTTCGTGGCCCCTTGCGCTATTCATAGCGGAGAAACGAGCCCGATCCCCACCACCCTTGTCGTTCGCTCACTCACTCACTCACTCACTTACATAGTCTACAGACAAGCTGATAATGCCCCCCCCTGACAACCCAAGAGTACCGTGCACAATAACCGATAGGGTTAACGTGACAGTAGAGTAGGTAATAGGGTTCTTACCAATAGATACGCACATACACGTCAAAGGGGTCTATAAGCCTAGAACAAACCAAAATTTTTATTCTTCTCGCTCTATATCCGTATAGTCTAGCAGTAAGTGATGCTCTTACTAATCTAATAGCTATAGGTTTAATTCTAGCCTTTTCTAACCTTTTCTAATTTTTTCTGACTTTTTCTTTGGGTAATTTCAAAATGGCTCCGCTAGGGAGGGTTAGAATAGTCTATCCCGCCCTGCTTCCTCTGCTACGCTCTAGGTCGGGATAGGCCAAGACTATCCCTTTTGCCTCTGTTTTTTACCTCTGTTTTTTGCCTCTATTTCTACAGGGTGGCAGGGGTAAGTTTTTCCCCCCTATGATGTTATCCCCCATAGCTGACATCATGATAGAGGGGGAATATTCACCAAAAGTGAAGTTCTGTAGTAGGGGGGTGAGCATTAGTTACCTAACAGGGGGGAAAAACTTCGGCCGGATACCATCGTACTTTTTCCCTCTATCTATACCCTTATCTATTAGCTATAACTGTATCTATTGTCAGCTCAAGCCTGCACGGGCCAGCGCGCACGGTACTCTCGGGTTGTCAAGGGGGGGGCATTATCAGCTTGTCTGATCGCTCACCCGGACTCCTGAGCCCCTGCCAAGTCAAACTTTGGTGCCACCCAAAAGATAAACCCCGACACTTGACATTGACACTCGATACCTTTTGTTCCCAAGCTATCGCCAGCACAAAGTCATATTCTCTCAACTCTATTTGGGGAAAAGGAGGAAGGAGATATCATTCATCATTTCGCCTCCCTCTAGATCTAGATAGACTGGCCGAAAATGAAACCAAGCCTAATGTGGGTATCACACGAAACACTGATCCCAGAGCCCTCCGCTCCTCGCGAACCCCATGCTCTCCACGAACGAGCGTAGCTGGCACCGCCCGAGGTCGTCGGCGCCGCACCCGACCAGCGGCACCACCCGGTCGTTGACCAGCACCCGGACCATCTCCTCGTCCGTACCGTCGCATTTCATCTTCTCCACGTACATGCGCGCCGCGAACGGCACCGTCCAGCTCGCCGTGAACCCTTTGGTCTCTGACACAGGCGTCAGCTCCGTCTTGGACAGCGGCTTCGTCTCGTTGTACAAGCCCAGAGCGCCGTAAATAGTCATCATGTCGTTGTCGTGGCTGAAGTCGGCGTACAGCTTCTTGTCGAGCGGGAACGTTGCCGGGTCCGAATCGAGCGTCGAGTTAGTCGACGTGTGGTCCACCACGGGCTGCCGCGTCAGGCGCGCAATAAGCTCGTTGGTGAAGCCCACACCCTGCGTCGGCCCGAGCGGGTTGCCCGCGTTGTAGCCGTAGTACTTGCCCAGCGTCTCGTAGTACTCGTAGCTCTTCCACTCCTCCAACGTGAAGAGGTTGCAGAACTGCGACTGCGTGCCCTCAACCACCGTGTTGAACGGGCACAGCTCCATGAAGTTGATGGTGTCCGCCGCCGTCAGGTTCGCGCCAACCAGGTTCTCGTTAAGCCGGGCCGTGATCGGAGGTGTGAAAATGTCACGCCACGGGGCCTGCGCCTCGTCGCCGACTTTGGAGTATGCGCCATCCTCAAAGGCAGTGCAGAGGCCGTGGTCCAGCGTGTTGTTGAAACCCTTGGTCTCGGGGATGATTTTCACGGCCCCCGCGATGCCACCGCCGCCCCCCGTGTGGCCATCGGCAATTTTGGAGCTGTAGAAACCTTGCGTCCAGTTTAGGCCAGATTCGACCACGCGCTCCTGGCCGGAGGCTCGGATGAAGGGGTCGTTCACGGCGGCGAGCGCTTGGTAGCGTTTGTAGAATGCCACGCCCGAGTCGACAAGCTCCTTCTGGCCGAAAGATGTGAGCTGGTCGGCGCCAAGAGTGTAATTGTAGGTCTTGATAAACTCGTAACCTTTGCCGTAGCTCGTGACGTTGGCGTGGATGCGGTCGACGAGCGCCTTGTATTTCACTGTCTTGCCGGCGGTAGGATCCCGAGCGCCGTGCCGCGACAGGACCTGTGCGAAGGTGATCTCGCAGCCGGGGGGCGTGGCTGCGCTAATCTCAGATGGCACCGAGAAGAAAGGTGAAAGCTGGCCCCAAGACTGCGAGATGGGTTCAACATCGCCTTGCGGTGCCTGGCCGCGGACAAAGCTAACCGTGGCGTGAGTTTTCAGTTTCACACACGTCAAGGCTCAGAGTGATGGAGACAGTACTTACCCGAAGGCCAAGGCGAACGAGACTAGAATGGCAGAAGCCATGGCGACGAGTGTGAATATGAAGAGTCGACGTTTGTAGATCGGTATGCGGGTCTCCCGATGATCATCAACCTCGTCCCTCTCGCCCTCCTCACCCGGGATGGCGTTGTATTTATGCGCCTTCCCTGCGACGAGATTCCTGATGGCCCAGTAGGCCGAACTATCCATAGTCAAGTCGGAAACACCCATCTCGGCGATTCGTTCTTCAGGCCAGTGGGCTTGCGTGTCGTAAATGATTTGCCCGATACAGCATCCCTGTGCCCCTCCTTCCAGGGTGCGATTATGTGTACGTAGTATGGGCGAAATTAGGTATCGGCAGGGTAAATGAATCAGGCGCATTAGTTCCAAACGCTACGGTGTCTGCCCCGCCCTCCTGGCCCTGTCACGTGGGGCCGACGCAACGTCAGAATTAGAAACAAGCTTCTGTAAGCTTCATTACCTACCTCTCACGCAAGAACCTTTGAATTATTTATTTGAATCGCTTAACGCCCCGCACACATGCCGCACCTACCACTACAAGTATGTAGCTCCGAAGGCGAAGTACTTCCCTTATTCGATATCCGTACAGCCGTCTTAAACCCCGTCTCGGAAGCCAAAGTAAGGGTAGTCACTCTCTATATCGCAGGGGCAGGCTCTCCAAGGCCCTCCCGCCCCTGCTCCTTAATAACATGCTATGGCCGTGTGTCTTCTAATCTTAAACACAACATTCCAGCTGACAAAGCAAGAAGAAACAAACTGTACGATTCATCGTCTTGGGTGATCGCAGTTCAATTTTTTCCTATGTTGCCAACTGCGGAACAGCCCTTGCTACATTCCCAGCCTACAGTGAACCTTGCCTTTTAGTCTAATGATACATCTTCAGGCCCGGTACCAAATTACAACGTCGCTATCAATGACACACTTGAGCCCTGAACTTCACTAAACGATTTCAGATTCAGACGTTCTCGCCAGACGGATCCGAGGCGAGCTGTACACCTTCAAGAGAGAGCATGCGAATTCTTAAGTCTACCAATCTATTTTCAGACTGCAACAGAACCTATCTCCATCCTCACGCCTTGATCGGTAATCTGAGACGACATCGCCCAAGTACACAGCAGACGGACCTAGGGTCGATTCAACCCAGCCGCGGCAAGGTCTCATAGCAGCTTTAAGTGCGAAGAACCTTTCTGGCCTGCTCGAACAGCTTGATGTCATTCTTCAACATCTCACGCGTGGCCTTGCTCACAGCGTCCTCGCCTGCCACCATTTCCAACTGTTCGGCCGTCATCTTAAGGATACGGTTCGAAGACAAGACATTCAGAGGGCTGGTCTCGGCACTGAGAAGGAAGTAGTCGATGACCTGAGAGCAGACCGTGTCAGAAAATCGAGCGCTGGCGATGTCGTAGTAGCACTTCAGGACGTCATGGATGATGTTGCACGTCTCGTTCATTCTTTCGGTACTGGTCGGTTCTCTCGTCAGCTCTCTGTAATTGACGTGTTCTTCGCCAGTATTATCCCCAGCGTTCTTGCAGCCTTTGTACTTGATTGCAGATCTCTTGGCCTTGACTTGACCCAGTGCTCTGTCGAATGCCGGGTTGTACGTGATGGAACGGCCCCCTCGCTCCACGTGGATAAGCAATCTCGCCTGTTGCATGGCCGTCTGGTAACGCTTGACGAGGTCCTCAACAATCGAGGACCAAAGCGCCTCAAGGACCTGTCCATCCCCGCAGGCCTCCTTGACCACCCCGTAGATGAAGTGGTGGACAACAAGGATGACGTTGCTGACGTGGGCCAAAGTGATGGGCTCCCACTTCTTCGACTGCTCCTTGAACGCTGTGGGAAGCAGGTGATTGTTGACCTTGGAATGATCAGTGTGCCGATCAAGCATTGTGCAGTTAATCAATGATAGCCACTTACAGTGCCCAGCTCGAAGCCGCGAGATGCGAGGTGTAGCTGTTCGAGGTGCTTCATGATGTTCTGGTTTTGAGGTGCCGCACACTTGCAGGGCTCTGACAAGACTGCATCCAATTCACCGAACTCGTCCGGCGGTATCACAAACGCTATGTCGTACAGGTCATTTCTGCTGGCATCCTCGTCTTCGTCCTTGTCTTCGTTCTCGTCTTCGTTCTCGTCTTCGTCCTCGGCGCTAACTTCATTGCCTTGGTTCTCGGCCTTTTCATCTTCATCCATACCATCGAAGCTGCGGGTATGAGCTCTGTTGAAGAACATGAGAGAGAAAGCCGAATTGACCTCACGAATCCGGGTCGCCAGGCGATATTCTGAATGTTTATCAAAAAGAGTATCGCCGGTGTAGTAGGCGTTCAGACTGAAGTCCCGGAGCTGAACGTACCGACTCACAATCTTGCCGAGATAGGCTCTCTGCTCGTCAGCCGTGGACCGGGACTGTCCTAGAGCCTCGAGTTGGGTCCTGGCGTCGGCGAGGCGTTCGTTGATCTCACGGCGCACTTTGGGGAATTCGCTCTTGGTACGGTCCATAAGGAGCTCACGCAAGCGATTGCGGAGGGCTGGGATTCCCAGGCGCGACTTGTCGAGCTTGCACCAGGGGTCCTCGCTGAAGAAGGCCTTCTCCTGGTAATCCCGCTCCTCTTTGATGGACGAGGTGTCGTCGGCGCCGCGATTCTTGACAACGTAGTAGCCCAGCTGGATATCTCGTCTCTTGCCCCTAATCAGATCCATCGCCGCTTCACGAGTGGCATTCTCGCTGACTAGATCAGGTTTGGTCAGGACGCCCAGGGTGCGCTTGCCCTCGGGGTCTGCCTCGGCGGCATAGGTGAGGATGGTCTGGGTTGCAACATCCACGTTGCATGGGATCACGGCAAGTATGCTGGATGTACAGATTAGTAACTGGAGAATCCCGACTTGCGAAGCGACTTACATCGTTCGGGAGTCCTTGATGTAGTCCTTGACCATGGACTTGACCAAGGCAACGTCTCTGGCAGTCGAAACGCCTGGAAATGCTGATTAGCATTCACACTTGTAACCTTGCTAGGGAGTTCTTACCATCTTGTGCATTCTCAAATATGCCTGTGTTACCGGATAATCAGCGGCTTCCTTGCATTCAAAAAACGCTAGTCGACTCACCAGGCACATCGATGATAGTAAGATGCTCTTCGTCAGGACCACATATCTCAACACGTAAAACATCTTTGCTGAAAGCAGCTCCCCCAGAAGAACCATCGAGGGAAGTCTTCAGACCCATGACATTCGCAGCCTATGAAAGCGGTCAGGAGGTAACATTTGCGTAGACGAATATCAATGAGAAGTGGACGCCACGCCTAAGGTGACCAGTGTCGAATGAAGCGACGACAGAAAGGGGACTATGAAGACGATTGACCTACTTCCTTGAGTACATCTGCAAACTCTTGGCCCTTCAAGTCACGGAGCTCACGCCGGAATGACTTGGCAAGCTCGGCTCTCTCTGGGGTCGCCTCGAACGGCTGGATTGTGACGATGATGCTTGTCGTAGCTTCTCGGCGGCATACGATCTCGGTGGCATGACGAGTACAGAGACCCACCGAACGAGGGAAGTAGTACCCCGTGAGAGACTCCAGAACACTGGATTTTCCGGAAGACTGATCTCCCACGACAACAAGCTGTGAAAGAAAGGTCAGTAAGTGATGATATATACACATACAAATCATGCCATAGCTGCTTACCTGCGGAAGAGCGACTTGCTTAGAGATTCCGAGCTCCCTCAACTTGTCAATCTTGTCGAGGAGGTTCCGGTTACCCAGACCGGAATTCTGACTCTTGGACTGTACGGGTGCCATGATTGTGTCAATGGGTGATGACGTTCTGAAGTAATGTGGGGTGTTGGATGCAAAATCAGAAACGATGGTGAAAGTCTGAGGGAGGTTAGGAATGGCAGAAAAGTCTGGGAGAGAAGGGAAGAAGGGGTGGCATATAAGCAGATTTTTCTCTCTCTTGTGGTGGCGGCCCGCATCTTGCTGCAGGCATCGATACAATTTCAATCAACTGACCAAGAGAGAGGTGTGGACAAACGACGGTGACAAGGGTGTCGGGAAGAGCATTGACTGTAACAACAAACAGAGCTCCTCCACTCTGCAGCAGATCAGTAATTTGGACCAGGTTTCTGGCGTCTACCTCATGTATGGGCAGCTTCGAGATAAAGCACAAACACTGCCCCTAGGCAGGTATCAAACGTAGAACAGGCGAATAGATGCCCCAAAAACCAAGCCGAAAGATGTAGCACAGTCAACTGGTGAATTGCTTGTGAAGATCGGCTCTCATGACAGACTCCTTCCTCCCCACGAAAGAAGCGATGATCCTGCCTCTTTCAAGGACATATTCAATTGAAAAGGCTTGACATGGACAGGCTCACTTGCGCCTGGCATTCCATCACCGCCCGTATTTCTCGGCTTCCAAGCTATACCAGTGATCAAGATGACAAGGCCATGATCATGATTCCTTGTAGCGGTGCTAAGTAACTACGGCTTTGCTGTGAAGGCGCATAATGTCAACTGCTTTTGGCACCAGTTCGTCCAAGACCTAAGCTGTAGGGTTTCGTTAACGAGAGATCAGTAAAAGATGCAGCATGGCTATAAAAAACGGGTCGTGGCCTAGAGTAGCTAACACAGTGCGGCAGATGCCTTCAACTTCAGAAATCTGGTTTCTGTAGATAACAATAACAGAGGTAACGTGTTCAATATGAAAAACAGACCACCTCTTTCATGTATGGAATGGGTGTTAAAAAAGGTCTTCGTCAAGAGGAGTGGCCGCCACGTAAGATGTTGGCATGATGTGAACAAGCGTTTGGCCCATAAAGTCTATACGGCTTGTGAGCGCTCATGAGACACACAATAAGCGGTTTGGATTACGGCCTATAAGAGAGCACTTAGCTTTGAAACGTACTCCCAGGCATAGTGGCTTCAGCAGTTTGAACAAAAATCATGACATGATGGATAAAGACATACAACACCAGGTATTTGCTGATTGTCACCGGCTTAACCACTAGCCTGGCCCTCATGAAGTGTTGTTAGCTGTGGGAGCCTAGATTTCCTGTTTTTGAAGCCTTGCACTTCTATCATCGGAAGGCGAAGCTCCCTATATTGTTCCACTTTGCGGCATATAAAGTAGGTCCTCGCTGAAACGGTGTCCCTCTGTTTCCATGTTGGTTGATTGGTTGATTCGGCGCTCTGACAGGCCCTCGTCACCTCCCAGGGCCGGCTCACACACATCTACATGCATCGACAGAACTGTCGCCATTCGACAGCCACGAGGCGAGACCTACCTCATGACGGCCCGGTTAGGCTACGGAGACGGCAAACAATACAATTAATGCTGCTGCTGTCTAGATGCAGTGTTCGTCCGGCCCCGCAGTTGTTGGAGCTGAGTCTCGCAAGTTGTAACTGCCAACTGGGTTGACTGTGTTGGTTGGAAGACTCAAGGTTGACCATGCCAAGTCGCAGAACGAGGCCCTCAATGCTACGCTGATGGTGGTCCGTGCCTCAGCTCATGTTGGACCAACCCGGCTTTCACCTTCCTTTACGAGTAATGTTGCTAGGGTAGGTAACCGTTGGCTCTATGAAGAGTGATGGTTGGGTCTTCTCAGTCTCTCCACTCTCGGGCAACGTTTTATCAGTTCCATCACGGCTGACTATGGTAACGTGACGGCTGCCTTCCGGTCATCTTGCTGCAACATGGCGGCTATCATCTTTGCGTGGCCGGTTGGCTGGTTCTTCCTTCTCGTCCGCCCTGTTCTTCTTCCTCGGCCTGTGACAGTGACGGCGCACACGACTTCTATCCTGCTCCTGGACGAGGGAAAGCCCTACGGCTCCCGGCCCACCACGGGTGCAACACTGGGATGCCAGCGCCGCATCTCGTTCGGTTTAGGCTGCAACATGAGAACCCTGGTCTTTTGGTTTGTTGACTGGTCGATGTCCGAGATTCTACGGATACTCCTCCGGACACTGCGCTCCCTCGCTCATGGGATCCACAGCTTTGCGCCCGACAAGCGAACCGTCCTTCCGAGTCCCTGGACTTCTCCAGAGCTCGCATACTAGGACCATGTTCTCCGAGTCATCACGAGCACGCACTGGATATGCATCACATACTGCGGCTTGACGACGATGCACCATTTATCCGCCGCACTCTTCGTCTCGGTGTTGAACTGGGAGTCTCCCAGCAACTGGGCGGGAACACCGCTTTTCGGCTCCATCTGGGATGCCTACACTCCCTGCCGCTTCTAGGCCGTCTTCTGGTACCGACTGCATGTCGTCCCATTCTCGGCTTACATGCGGTTTCTGCCGAAGGCGCTTCGCGCTCTGTGGGTCTTGTTGCTTTCTGCGCCTGGTCACGCGCTGGTCCTGAATTAGGCCCTGTGCTTGTGCAAACGTGTTCTTGGCGTGGATGGCGGGAGGATGCCCGGTCTCTTTTTCGTATGGCTATTCTTCTTTTGTACCGTATCGGCGTGGCAGGATCCTGGAGTTTAGCATAGATCCCGATGTGGGCGTCATGGGTCTCTTTCCTAGCTATCCTAGGCATGTTTCTTGCTTACACGATATCATCATTACTGTTCTAGCACATGATCTATGGCGGGTGCTACTCTGTCGTGTTAATCTCATTGTTTCTTATGACTAATCCGCTCTACTCTTTTCAACTAACCCATTATGGAGGGCTGTATCCGTAACTCTCCTCCTTTCCCTTTATTTACTCTCACTTCCGAGAGTGCACACTCCTGCGAAACCACCAGAGCTGCACATATCAATCGATTGCAGAATTCTCGGATCTCCTGACAGCGCCATGGACGAACCCCGTGGTTCGACCGAGACGTCTCTGCCACCCTACGACGCCGTCTCGCAGCCGTATCAGGAGGTGTGCCCCCCAACGACTCTCATCATAGCAGGCCAGTCGATCCACGCTCTAACGGCAGATTCGCCGCCGCTTTATCATCTCAGTCTTGGTATTTCAAACCTTTCGGATATCACCACAGAGGTAGAGCTCTCGCGCGTTGAGCCGAATAAAGATGGCTCGGGACGCCAACGCCATATATATGACTTGCGATATATGCGCTCGGGACCTGGTGGCTACGTGAAGCTGCCGTCCGACTCGCCTCACTACTTTATCGAGCGTGCAAGCCGTCGCGTCCCGGGCCTTCAGGATCTGGGCCTCAAGAAGAGCCGCTTGCTGGGAAAGGCATGTACGACTGTTCTGCCCGTTGACATAAGAGGCAAGACCAGCAAGTACAGCATACCCAACTTTGTCAAGGACAGCGCCCCCGTGTTCAGTATCAACAAAGATAGGTGGGCGGATGCGCAAGGGGCTCCGATTGCCTCCATGCATGATACCACCGAGCACAGCCTGATCGTCACGGCGGCCCTGCCGCGCGCCCAGTTCGACATGCTCGTAGCACTGTGGTGCTGTAAGGTATGGGAGTCTGGAGTTGCTAATGCCGAAAAGGTGCACGAGGGGATCGACGGAGGTGAGTAATTCAGTCAGATATGGACATTCCAACACGCCCGTTTGGTCGCTGACTTTTTATATGTGTGTTTAGTGAAGAGAAAGATGCGGCTGGCAAGGGAGTTTGGGATGCGCGGCCCACTCAGTAAGTTGTCATTCCTCGTATCTGCGTCGACCAGAATCGCTCGATTGACATAGTGTTCAGTGGGAGCCGGAGGAGTGGCTGGGGGGTTTTGAGCTGGCGCGTACGGGGCCTCGCCGCCTGTCTGATGAGGATACAAACGCCCACTGCGTTGGGTAGGTTGCGGTTCATGGGAATGACGATGAAGATGTAGAGCCTGCACTCTTTATGGAACCTCTTGCGTCTGTTTCTTTGCTAAACTGTTCTGCGTACGAGACTTTGCAAGCTTGAAACCCGTCAACAAGACAAGTTGTGTGTTGTCGGAGTCGAGCCCGGTTCTCCAACAGTGAAAAATTGCTAGTGCAGCCCACACCGTGCCCGCAACCACCGCAACTCACTCACCCACTCACCACTCACACACTTGCAGCCTCTCACACCCCCATCTCATTCTCACCAGCGATCTCGGTCTTATAAATTGTACCAACTGAGCTTGGTGGGTGAAACATACTTGGAATCCTCCGGCTCTAACCACCCGCCCTTGCATCGGCCCCGGGCTCAGATACCCAATTCGCAATGGCCGTAAAAGCCCTCATCTCAAGCCTTGAGGACGAGATCCTTGACCCGGAGGAAGGTAAGCCCACCTCATTCCCCCCTTCCCAAACGGAACAATAACTCACATGCTTCTTCTACTTCTCTTCCTCAGAAACATTCTTCCTCTTCTCCCACGACTTCCGTTCCTCGAACCTGGGCATGATCGACCCGAAAGCCGCTGAACTCTCGTTGACGATTGCCGGCCGCGACTTCACAATCCATCAGTCCCCTACCATCCTCTCGTCAACGCGTGCTGGTGGCACCACCGGGGCCGGTGAGTATCCTTATCCGCTACTTAAGAAGCTTTCGAGTCCCGGCACTGCTGAATCTCTTTGCTTCGTACCTCACCTCACTCGCTGTCTTTCGTCTCATCCATCTCCATACAGACTAACACCCTTCACGCAGTCCTCTGGAAAGTGACGCCCCTCTTCGCAACCTACCTTTCCTCCCCTTCCTCCCTGTTCAACCCAATCTTCCACCCTTCCTCCACGATCCTCGAACTAGGCTGCGGCATCTCCCCCCTGACGGCACTCCTCCTCGCCCCGCGCGTATCCCGCTACGTCCTCACAGACCAGCCCTACGTGGCGCGCATAATCCAACAGAACCTCGAGGCGAACCCCCTACCAAAGTCCGCCTCGTCCTCATCCTCAAAACCCTCCTCCTTCTCCTCCCGCCGGAAAAGGGCTGGCGCAGCAAACCCGTCGTCGTCATCGTCCGCCCCCGGCCAGGACGCCAGAGCCGACAGCCCCGGTGTGATCGCCTTCCGTCCCCTCGACTGGGAGCTCGACACCCCGGACTCCTCCCTCACGGGCTCCCCCGCCGCCCGCAGCTTCGACGCCCTCATCTGCTGCGACTGCATCTACAACGAGGCCCTCGTCGGGCCCCTCGTCTCCGCCACAGCCGACCTCGCCCGCCTCCGCCTCCGCGACCAGGAGGACGACGCCAACGCCCGTGACGCCGCGGGCGCCACCGGGGACCGTCACAACCACTACTCAGCATCGTCCACAACGACAACGACGACGGACCGGTCCGAGCCGTGCGTCTGCATTGTGGCGCAGCAGCTCCGCAGCCCCGACGTCTTCGAGGCATGGGCCAGGGCCTTCCACCGAGACTTCCGCGTCTGGCGCGTCCCGAGCGCCCTGCTGCCCGAAGGGCTGAGAATTGAGTCCGAGTTCGTGGTTCACGTCGGCATTCTGAGAGAAGCCAGAGTGGACTTTTAGTTCCCGTCGCTTTACGTATTTTACGGCAAGGGACTGAACACATCATAAAAATAGGGGGAAAACGACATCACCATTGCCGGCGAGGGAAACGAGACCCAAATCTTGAGAAAGCCCTTTCTGTCTCTCTTTGTTTGTGGCTACACATCTAGCAAGCTTTGTAAAACTTTTCTGGCAATAGCTTTCTATTATGAAGAGCCGCCCTTATACCATTTCCCTTTGAATATCTCGATTTCCCGAATCGCCGCTAGTGTGGCGAGGAGGCATGTTTGGACATGCCAAAAAAAAAAAAAAAAAGCCGTAACCCAAACCGCATCGTAGATACGTCACATGATGATAATAACTCCCTTTTTTAAATACAAAAAGCCAATCCCGTCTGCTTTTAGTATGAGCCCTTTACCACTCGAGGGGCTCCGTCTTGGTCTCGCCCCGGTTCGTCTTGGGAACGGGGACAGCCTTGGCGAGGAGACGGCCCGTCTTGGGGTCTCTCTTGAGGTAGCCCGTGCCGTCGAGCCAGGGGGTGATCTGAGACATTCGGCGCTCGTACTCGGTGATCTTGTCGTTCTGCTGCATGGTCAGGCCAATGTCGTCGAGGCCGTTGATGAGGCAGTGTTTCCGGAACTCCTCTACGTCAAAGTCGGAGATGGTGTTGCCGTCGGAGTCCTTGATGACCTGGTTGGGCAGGTCGACCTCGACCTCCTTGCCGGAGCGCGCCACGGCGGCAATCGCCTCAAGCTTCTCCTTGTCGGAGATGATGATGGGCAGCATGCCGTTCTTGAAAGTGTTGTTGAAGAAGATATCGGCGTACGAGGGCGCAATGACACAGCGAATGCCAAAGTCGTTCAAGGCCCAGGGGGCGTGTTCTCTTGAGGAGCCACAGCCAAAGTTGGGGCCGGTGACGACAAGGATCTTGGCGTTGCGGTATGGTTCCTTGTTCAGGACAAAGTTGGGGTTTTCGGAACCGTCCTCGTTGAACCGCAGGGCGAAGAACAGGGCGTTGCCCAGACCAGTGCGCTTAATAGTCTTGAGGAACTGTTTAGGGATGATGGCGTCGGTGTCGACGTTGGACATCTCCAGAGGAGCAGCGATGCCCTTCAGGTTGGTGAACTTGGGGAGACCGGCAGAGGTACCGGCTGAGACGGAGGTGTTTGTGTGGGGCTCGCTGTCCTGGGGCTGGTCGGCAATGGCGTCCTTCTCCGAGTCGCTCTCCAGTACCCGCTCGTCGACATGGGGCTCGGCGGCGGGGGTGATGGCGGCCTCAATATGCGGACTGGCCTTGTATCCCTGGAGTTTCCTGACATCGGCGAGCTTGCCGACAATGCCGGCGGCGGCAGCCATGACGGGAGACATGAGATGCGTCCGGGACCCGGCCCCCTGGCGACCCTCGAAGTTTCTGTTGCTGGTGGACGCGCATCTCTCTTTGGGAGCGAGGATATCAGGGTTCATACCCAAGCACATACTGCAGCCGGCCTCACGCCACTCGAAACCAGCGCTCTCGAAGATCTTGTCCAAACCCTCCTTCTCTGCCTGAGTCTTGATGAGACCAGATCCGGGGACGACCATGGCGCGCTTGATGTTGGCGGCGATCTTCTTGCCCTTGACGACTTGAGCGGCGGCGCGCAGATCCTCGATGCGGGAATTTGTGCAGGAGCCGATGAAGACCTTGTCGACGACAATGTCCTCCATGGGAGTCCCGGGGGTCAGGCCCATGTACTCAAGCATTCTGCGGCCGGCGGCCTTCTTGTTCTCGGTGGAGAAGGTCTCGGGGTCGGGGACACAGCCAGTGATGGGGACGACGTCCTCAGGGCTAGTACCCCAGGTGACGGTGGGGACGATGTCCTTGGCGTCGATGAAGACGTCGATGTCGTACTTTGCGCCGTCGTCGGACTGCAGAGACTTCCAGTACTTCACGGCGCGATGCCACTCGTCCGAGTTGTACTTGGGGGCGAGGGGGCGGTTCTTGAGGTACTCGAAGGTGATGTCGTCGGGGGCGACCATGCCGGCTCTCGCGCCACCCTCGATAGACATGTTGCAGATGGACATGCGGGCCTCCATGCTGAGGCTGCGGATAACGGAACCGCAGAACTCGATAACGGCACCGGTACCGCCGGCGGTGCCGATCTTGCCAATGGCGTGCAGGACAACGTCCTTGGAGCTGACACCGGGGGCCAGCTCTCCGTCGACCTGTATCCGCATGTTCTTGCTCCTCTTGGTGATCAAGCACTGGGTGGCCAGCACGTGCTCGACCTCACTGGTGCCGATGCCGAAGGCCAAGGCGCCGAAAGCACCGTGGGTCGAGGTGTGACTGTCACCACACACAACGGTGGTGCCGGGAAGGGTGAAGCCTTGCTCGGGGCCAATGACATGAACAATGCCCTGTCGCTTGTCGCCGAGGCCAAAATATGTCAGGCCGAAGTCCTTGACATTCTCCTCGAGGGTCATGCACTGGATTCGGGAGTCCTCCTCGGCAATGAAGGAGCCGATGTCCTTCATGCCTTTCCGCGAGGAAGTGGGAACATTCTGGTGGTGGGGGTCAGCGATTGCGAGTGACGGGAAGGAGGAGGAGGAAACTCCGTCTGCATCACGGAGTCAACTTACGTGGTCGGTGGTCGCGAGAGTGCAATCCGGTCGGCGCACTTTGCGGCCGGCGTTCTTCAGGCCCTCAAATGCTTGCTGCAGGTCCTTTGTTAGCGAGCCGCCATGGTGGGGTCGGCCAACCGACGTCATCCACGTCCGAGGGCCAAGGAAGAGGGAACGAGGCGGCGACATACAGGAGAGGTGACCTCGTGCACGAGATGTCTGTCTGTAATTCGGCCATGGTTAGCGAGCTGAATTACCTAGCAGATTGACCCTCGTCGCGGGCGGACTGACTTACCAATGTACAGCAGGATGGTGCCGTCCAGCTTCTCATCCACGACGTGGGCCTGCAGGACCTTGTCGTAGAGAGTCTGCGGGTTACCTTCGGCAACAGGCATTGTGTGCGACTCGAAGGGAAAAGGGTTCAAGCTCAAAAAGCAAACCAGCCGTCCTCACAAGTAGGGACCGTTTTGGTAGGCACAATGGGGTTTCCCGAGGTCCTTTTCAAAGTAGGCTTCTGGACGGGGGAAAGTCGTAGTTTGAGGGCTGGATTCGTGAGGCACGGCGTGAAAGGGGGTGAAAGGGGGAGAAAGGGGAGAGAGCAAGTGAAAATCCTGAGTCGGAGGAGAGAAGTGGCAGGGTGTGGGGGAAGAGCCGCTCAATATGTATCTGCCGGACCGGGAGGCCTTCGTCCCCCTCCCCTCCTTCTACTGCGTAGGGATTGTGAGTGTCAAGTGCCTTAGAGTTAGTTGCGGGACACTCAATCAAAGAGGATACACGGGTTTGGGAGCTTCGGAAAGCGAGGGGCAGCAAGGAAGAGACACACACGACTCTGGAAAAGTGCCAAGCGCAAGTACCTCGCAGCCATTTAAAGGGGGCAGTGTACCTACCCGTCTACCTAGGTAGGTACCTTGGCTTGGGTGGCACCCAGGTATTGAAAATGCAAAAACGAAGCTTTGGGCTGAGCCCCTCCAAGCCTTCCGATCATCGGAGGCGCCAGTCCCAGCTAGAGGCGGGTCCGGTCGCCGGAACGCGGGGTACAGCGCCCTGATTTGCAAATGAGGCCCGCGGATTGGCCCGCCGCCGCAAAGGTGCCCTGGTGGTGCCGAGGGTCCTGCTCCACATCAGTCGAGCTTCTGGAGAACCTTCCAAATCCAACCATGAAAATTGTTGGCTCTCGCCATCGGTCCGGCGGTGGTTGACGAAACCAAAGAAGAGGGGTGATGAATCCGCCCATTCTCTGGGCTAAGGCCTAGGCCTAGGCCTAGGAATCGCCCTTGGCTATCTGGTGCTGCGCGTGGTTGTGACTCTACTGGCTAAGCTAAGTCGGTAGGTATAAGAGGCTGCTCTGCTGGCTGGCTCTGACGTTCCCTGTCCTGGAGAAAATGTGAACGCTTGACTACCGCAATCTGACGAGTAGTGTAATATGGGCTCGAACGGGCACAGCGTTGCCCAAAACAGCAAGTCGTTAAGTTCACTCGTACCCACCACATATGCCTCTGGCACCAATGTGACCCAGCCGCGTCTCCGTTCTGTTCCGTTGTTTGCCGTCCTGATCTTCACTTTCTTATCCTTGCTGCCGTTGCCGCTGTGATGACACTTGGGCACTGTTACAAGACGGGTCCCTCTCAAGGTCGCAAACGACACGGTCAGCCGGACGGCTGGCCCTTATGTACGTGACTTCGTTTGCCTTCCAACAGCTCAATCCGAGCGTTGGCACCGTCCATTGTCGCGACTCTTGTAAGCGCTCCGTCGACCGGCCCCAGCCTTCAATGTATCGCGCCAAGATATCATCTCATTAAACTAGAGCCCGTCGAGAGCCTAGAGGCCAACTTGTGTTGTCCATCATGCGCACACAGGGACACTCACTTCACAACCCACGCCCGACACTCGCTCTGCCATGGCCGAAACTTTGATCGATAGGGAATATCCATAGTTACCAAACCATACCAATATTAATGCTGTATCAGTCAACGACTTCCGTGACACTACCCCACTCCCAAGACTCAAACAAACGCCCGTCAATCTCGTACCATTTGACATTGCGCTTTCGGCCTCCTTATCAGGCATCCCCCTTCCCCCTACCCAGCCGATGTACGGCGGCGTGCGTCCATAGCGCCTCGCCCAATCCAGCCCATCCCCACAGCGTCAATCGGCGGTTGGTCAGGTCCGAGCGCCAAGCTTTCCTCCACGGCCTCCCCTTTTTGTCACCACGTTATCAAGAACCGAGAATCGCAATCAGGCCTACCAGTATTATGTGCACCATTCCCAACAGCAATGCGATTCCTTGCGCGATCCGGACTGCCGCCGCCAACAACGTGAAACCGCTGCCCAGCGCAAATAGGAACAATACAAAATCCCCCCATGTTGATTTGTTGCCATCAAGTCGCTTCCTGGCAGGCGATGTCGGATCAAAGCATGGCGAGATCACCGTCCAATACCAGCGGGCCAACATCCCCATCATCTGCTTGCCGTCCGTGGCGCACTTTAGCACATGCTTGTTAAACGTCTCTCTTCTCAAACGACTTTCGATGCCGCCGCCTTCGGAGCCCTTGCTCGCCGGGGCACTTGACATGCTGTAGCCAGCTTTCGACCTGGCATGTCTGGTCGATGGCAATGCTTTGCTCGTCGTTCGCGTAGTCTGCCGATTGACGCTGCCCCTTGTTCCGACAGAACACAGCTCCGAGCTTTGGCCGCTGTTCATCTCTGCGGCCTCCATTAATTTTTGTTGGCTCTTGCCCAGATGCCTCATCGAGTTGAAGCTGCTCCGCAACCTCCTAAACGGAACGTAATCGGCGTGGGGCTTCCTGAGGCTGAGAGGCAATGCCCGGAATTCTTCCCTCCCCGGAAGAGACCTCTTTCGAGTTTGCGCCATCTTGCTGCCCGAGTTGGCTACCGCGGCCCGCGCCGCCTCCAACGAAACCGCCTCGCTTTGGTCCCACTGCGTCGTTTTCTCCCGTGTGTTTAGGGGTGATGTAGACGTGGACGTGTGTGACGTGACAAGGTTGTCCGTCTCGTCCTCGACGAGCTCCTTGCCGGGGAAATTCTTCACAAAGGACTTCCTGACCCCCTTCTGGATCGCAGCCTCTTGGAACCGAGTTGCTGCCGTGAGACTGCCTTTTGGTACTAAATTCTCCGTCCGCCTTTTGACGTTGGCCAATTGATGGACTGATTCGGTCGAAATGTCCTCCGTCGATGTCGACATTTGATCGTCGTACCGTCGACTTATGTGCCGATTCTGCAACAAGCTCCAGCTTTCGCTGCATTTCTTCTCTAGTTGACTCTGCCACGGACTCAATGGAAAAAGAACTTGGTCGGACCCAATAGTGGTGGTGATGGGTGTGGTAGCATGTCTTGCCATCGGATCCTTCTTCTCTCCTTGAGCTCCGAAGCACGGCAGGCTTTCCTGGCTCTCTGCTGCTCCTGGAGACATCCACTGGTTCATACAAGGCTTGTTTACCAGACTTGAAAGTTCGTTTATCTCCTTTAAGCTGTCGCTCATCAACTTGCTGAAGGGATGTTTGGTCTTCGATTCTTCGATCCATGTGTCTAGAGCCACCGAAGGACTCTGGAACATCAACAATGACTCGGATGGGGATGTGGTCACTGTATGTCGTGGGCCGCAATTCCCGACCGCGTTCTGGACGTTGAGTTTTGACCGGCGCTCTCCCATGAAATGGCAAGTCATTCGTAGGGGCTGGCCCTCCATAACTTCGGTGGAGGCTAGGACCTTGAATTCCTGGCGCGCTTGCATTGCCTGCCTCATGACTTGCGGGCGGTCTGTTTCCAGTGTTTGCAAAACTTGTTGTGGCAGCTGGTACGTTTCCGGCGGGATATAAATCCTCGAGGAGTGCTTTTGAGTCGGTCTGGCGTTTACCGACATCGACCTCAAGGGGTATGTAAGAGCCTTGTCCTGGCTGGGACAGGGTATCCTTGAGATTACCTTGATTTTGTGTTCTCGCCGGTCCGTCTCGGGGCATACCGACTTCGTTGGGGTGGAAACGGCTTGGAGTACTCGCCGGCCTCCTGGCTCTGCCTCCTCCGGGCATCGCTGGCCTAAAAAAGAGACTATTTTTTGAGAACTTTTTGGGAGCGGTGGTAACGCCTTACCCGAGGCGCTACCTCCCAGAGCTATCTGCTCGGAAATGGGTGACGAAGGTGTGATCTGGACTTGCGGGCTGCCTGCGATTGTATTTTTTGCTGGTTTCACTACACCAGCTGGAACCGAATAGTTGCCATTTCCAAGCTTTCCATCGAACTCGGGGGTAACGAAGGACGACCGTCTTCGTTGAGGCGTTCGAATTACTGTGTTAGAAGAATCGGCGCCATCATCTTCCGAGATCAGGTACTTTGGTAAGTGGGACATGGGATTCGTGTGACTCATATCCGTTTGATGGAAGTGTTGTACTTCCTGTACCTTTGGCAATTCCTGCCCTTGATCTTTAGCCTCTGACCCTAGAAAGTCTGTCAGCATGTCTCTTTTCAAAGCAACGGTCAATCCAACATATATAACCAAAAGTGAGACTTGGGAATAGTCAAGTAGGGGTCCGTCATTTAAGTAGTTCGCGAAGGCCGAAAATCCAACTTACCACGAGTAGAAATGCTCTTGATTGACTGTGCGATAGGGCTAAGAATTGGTCCCTTCGCTGAAGACCACTGTTGTCGATGTCGTTGCCACCGAACGTTGCGCTGCGCTTGTCGTATGGCCTCCTTCTCTTGATCTTTTCGAGAGAACCGCTGCTCCTCTAGGTGCTGAAGCTTTTGGGTCACTTCTTCTGTTAGCACTGCGGCACCTCTGCGACTGTTTGTTGTTTTGGTCTTTGTCTTTTTATGCGAGTCCAGCTTTTGGTCAATGGCCAAGGACGCAGAGCTGAAACTGGTGGTCGAGGGCGTCAGGACGTCTAGCTCTCCGGTGGTTGGGTTAATCCCTGTGACACCAAGGTAATCGCCGCTCTCCTTCAACGTTCTCCTCTCCAACTGAACCAAGCGTCGCTCTTCCAGAGTCTTCTCCCCCTTTGAGGCTGTAGTATTGGGGATGTGTGCTATGGTTCTAGCTCTCCGTCGGCGAGGCTCACGTTCAGAAGGAGGGTACCTTGACGGACGGGATATATCTCTTGCCGTATTCCAGCGAGTTATACGGTCAGAGCCTCGTCCGATTCGAGGTGGACTGGTGGGAGAGTGACCTGATATGGAACGGTTTTTCTCAGTGGTCTCCTAGTATCCCTGGTTTCGATGGGTGCTACCCTTTTCAGCACGGCGGCTTGGTAGAACGGCCTTCAGGCGAGAACTCAGTGTTGATTTCCGGCCCAGCTCGTCAAATTGTCGATCTTCAGAACGCTCGGGGACGAGCCGAAACGACAGAGCTTTGGGTTGTTGGTCGATGGCTGAAGCGGAGTGGGTTGACATTGTTCGAATCGAGGACCAGATGAAATAGAAATATTACGGTGTAAGATAGATAGAAAATGAACAAACAATTTCCGATCCAAAAAGCCGACGATGTCGTTGCTAGGGATCCCGCACGGCGGTGCAAGAAATTGCGAATGACAGGTTGCTGGTGGGAAGGGGACAACCTTGTCAGGGAAGGGACAGTAATCTTGGAGAACCAGAGCGCAACGGCTAAAGAAGTTGCTGCTGCCATTCAACCCGCTTGTTGTTTTGACAAGTGAATAAACAGTCTGCATTTCCAAAGATTCGTTTTCAAGGCCTGTTCTTCTGATATAAGACCACGTCGACCGATACCCGCTTCGTCTCCGCCATTATTCACCTTTCGTCAGCTGCGGTTTCACTCTTGATGTATGCGATGGAATTCCATCTTTTTGGGGACTTTCCTCCTGAGATTCGGGCGTTGATTTGGCAGTTTGCTATCCCCAAGGACGAACCAGAAGTTTGCATCGTACAGCCAGCATGCGACACGCCCCAGTCCTTACTTGTGCATCCCGCACTCCCGGTGCTGATGCACGTATGTCACGAGTCTCGCCAGCTCGTGCAGAATTCCCGGTTAAGTGGAATCAACTTCATATCTTCGAAATCAGCCAACAGTACAGCTGGATATCTCGTTCCCTTCCGCCTCTTCCGGCCAGAATTGGACATCCTGTTTTGCCCAATCGGAGGCCCCGCCGCACTTGAAGAGATTTCTAGCCAAGATGAACTCGAATCAATCCTCCGGGAAACTCGTCACTTGGCCGTATCGGGTAAAAAGGAGTATATCAACCTATTAGCATGGATCTTGCTGTTCCATTTTCCAAAGCTAGAGACGCTATCCGTGGTTGTCGGCGGTCTGTCTCTTGACTCATGCTTCGAGTCCTACTTTGACGCGCCAAAGACTAGATGCGAGTTACGCAGAATATCGGGCGAGCCTTCTTGGTCAATGAACCGGGGGGCGAAGAAGTCCGTCGATATTAGAGTCCCGGGGCCAGTTAACTTCTCGGGTTACATAGAGCACTACACCCATGAACTTGAGAAACTCATGGCGGAATCTGTCGACGACATGGAAAGAACCATACGAAAGTCGCATCCGTGGTGGGATAATGAATCGAATGCTGTCAGGAAGGTTAAATACTCGGTACAGGCGTTCATGGAGTGTACGGTAGATGGTATTTTCGGCCGGAGCGAATTTGTGGAAGAAGGCAATACATTAATGGCGTAACTTACAAGAAGCTGAAAAATATGCCAGAGCTGTTTATATTGATCAGAATCCGCCCCGTGCGGCTAAGTTGGAAATACCCCATTTCCTGGTCCAGATGTTAGCGATAAACATTGAGTTCCCCAGTGCCTTCCTTTTGCTTCTTCATTTCGACTATTCTGACCTGGCTCCTTCCAATGGGGGCTCAGTTGGTTTCCGGTACCTACCCAATGTGCCCAGGTGCCTAGGTAACCTCTACCTGCCTCCTTGCCTCCTCAAAGTCAGACCTCTCGCCCTGTGCACTCTTTTAACTTCTCGCCTCATCGCCACCTTCCTGCCCTGGGCATCAACCCCTCGTATACGTCCCGCACGCGTATCCTAGGCACGCCACTATGCCGAAGTCGCCAAGTACAGCTACGGCCATGGCGCTCTCAAGGCTAGCTTGGCCTTACAAGGAACTCCAGCAGATCATCTGGAAGCTCGCGCTACCTGAAGATAAAACCAGAATTCTGTTTCGCCTGCAGACCGGCGATTCGCGGAATATCACTCAGGAAGGAGGATCGAAACATCGGAGTAGCAACGCCAAATAATCGCAAGAAGATCCAGGAGGAGCGTCTATGAAGTCAACGATACATATTCATGGGAAAACGCAATAGTGGCAATGACGGCTCTTGTTCATACCCTACCTGGCATCATACTTCGGCACTAGGCATCAAGAAACCCAGCGCAATGTTCCGCGGCTGTCAAATGTGATCACTACTTCTTGGTTAGCTCTACCTGGATGTAGTATGATGAGACTAAGACTGGACCGAGAAGCTACTGATAAATGAGCTAAGAGAGGTGCAAAGCACACCGGTGATGAGTATCAGGAAAACATACGCATAAATGTGCCGCGAATATGCCCAAGGGGATTTTCCTGCTATGATAACGGACCACGATGCTGGAACATAACACTGGTCAACTGAGTAAATATCAAATCAGCCTGGAAAGCCAGTCTCCAAATTGTATTATCGCGTCGATAAAGGAGAACGAACGCCAGCCAAAACTTGATCACCCACCCCTAACGCCATCATACATGCTGCTGTAAATAAACCTGTGAGCCACCAAGTAATAGTTACACCCTACCCGACTGCCAATGTGTTGATATACATGATGTTACTTCGACCTCAGTGGAACCCCGACCATCTTGAAGGATATCGCTCCTGCTGCTGTAAAACTTTGTTCCTCTTCGCGCTGGCAAAGGGGTTATAGTTGGGAGCGCTCGTGATATCCAGTGCCTCCGAACCAGTGGGCCTCCTAGTCTCCGATTGCTTGAGCGGGCTGCCGCCACGGCGCTGTTCGAGAGCAGCCATCTCCCTTGAGTTTCGGGGAGACATGAAGCCTTGGTTCATCTCGTTAAGGCTTGCCGTCTTCTTGAGTGGCGAGTTTGCGTGACTGAACACGCCGAGGCTGCCGCCAAAGTTTGTTGATCCCGTGTTCGCCGTGGCATTGCTCGTGGAAGTCGAACTAGATTGATACGCAGGGGCAGGAGGAAGGTTCTGGCGGATCGATCGGGTGCTGGGTACGGGGGTGAAAGATTCAGAACGCCGGTTTGTGGTTGGCGTAAAAAGACGAGAAGCAAAGCTGCTAATAGGAGGAGTATGGACAGGCTCCTCCTGCTTCACATGGGGGTTGGGCGTAACGACGAACTCCCTCTTGATGACGGTGGTGGGGGTCCCTAGCTCAACAAAGGACTCTTCATCCTTTGCTTCTTCTGGGGAGCACTGGGTGCCGACATCGCGAACAACTGGGTGAAGACGCGGGCGTACGAACTTCGTATCATATTCATGGAGCACCTCCTTGTGGATGATGGCCGTATCCTTGATTTGTTGGGCGTACCGGTTCTGGACGAAGGTGAGCTGAACGGTGAGAATCAGCTGCAGAATGACACAGTTGAATATCGTAACACTCGGCCGGGGGTCCATAGGCACCAGCGGGAGGAACATCATGTAGACGAGAATGTGGCCAGGGCTGAACAGGCAAATGAGCTGCAGAGAAACCGGAAGCGGATCCCAAACGCTCAGCTCCCACACATCGTGTGTCCTGTCAGGATGAGCCCGCGCTTCGGCGGTCTCGGAGACCAGCAGATTATTCAGCAATCGGAGGGGGGACGAAGCAGCCGGGTCGGATTTGGCCTTGACTCTTTGGGCAGAGGGAGTGTGCGGTTTGTCTTCGACGTTGACCTGGAACAGCCGGTACTGTCTCGTCCGCGTCATGGCGTAAAAGGCGTTGACAAATGAGAGGATGCCCAGAATCCAAACAAGTGGTCGCACCTAGTTTATGTTAGTGACCACGCATCGCAAACGATATGTTAGGTTCCACCCACGACGAACGTGATGATGTTGCCTGAGCTTCCATCGCTGAACACATCATCCTCGACCTCGGTTGCCGCGCAGTTAGCCCTGGCAAGAAGAAATGCGAAGTTGAAGCCGAGCCCGAGTTGGGTGCCGAGAGCCTTCGAATTCCAGTCCCTCGTTTCAAGTTCTTCCGACAGCCAGAGCAAGAAGTCCATGGGGTTGAGCAACGCCTTCAGGCGTTCGGAGAGCGGCTTCTTTCGTACAAGACGCGGCATCTTGTCGATCTGCACTTCGTCTTTTCGACGTCGTCTTGGGGAGGGTGAAGTTTGGACGATCTTGGGGGTGTTGGGTTGATCGTCGGCAAGGGACCGAAATGGATGTCGAAGTGGTCGGTATCGTTGTCGTTGCTGGGTGAAATTGTTTACAAAGGATATGGGGCTATTGGTTTTGGGAAGTTATTACGTTCTAGGCCAGGGCGAGCTGGCTGCTGACGAAGTCGAATTTGGTTAGCGTGTTTTCTTTCTCCTTTGGGGTCTATCTGCAGAGTGGGTCCCACTTTATTTGAAGTTCCTATTGAAGTCGAGCTTCAATCCTTCAGATATCCTACGGTGATTGTGTTGTGCGATGCAAGAACCAGTGTTTCGTTTCCGGAAATAATAAATACGTTACGTAGTCTCTATTTATGTACTTCAACTGCAATTTTGTATCTGGTTTACTACTCTTGCGCGCAACGCCCGCCTATTCCCTATCCTAGGCTTCCCGTTTGCCTAAGCTTCGTCTTTCAGTGAGAACTCGGTTACTGACATAGAGTAATAAAAAACACAGCCAGATTGTGTTGACACATTTTGCGCATCCCGTATCTAAGCAGGTGTGCAGTTCCTATGCGAGTCCGGTGATGAAGAGCACATCCCCAGTTTCATCAATGTAAGCATACGTATGAGCGTACCCAAGGTGTCGAAAAATGTCCTTTTCTATCGCTCGACTCGATCTCCTTGTGGAAGATACTGAAGTCTTCGATCTGTGAAATGCCATTTTCCAACCATAATGCTCGGCCAGGGGCCCCTTCCCCAGGCAAAAGCTGGAGGCAGCAAGTGAGTAGATCCGCATATTGAGACTTCTCGTCAACATAGAGGTTGTTCCTGTCGCTCGGGTTGCTAAGTCTACGACCTTGAAATAGATAGGATAATTCGGCCGACCGGCCAGAGCCCGATTCATCAGGAATTTCTATCATCAAGTGAAGCTCATTAAAAAAATAATGAGTTATTCTTGGTCGCGATGGAGGAACTGGCTCATCGTAAAACCCAAGAAGGTATCGATTGAAAAGTCGAGAGAGCCAATGATTCTCCGAAATTCATTGAAAACGCGGCTTTGTTATTACTTCTTCAAGTCTGCGAAATGTTCTAGGACTGCCTGGTAGGTAGAGTTGATGCCGGCTAGTAGGTCTGTGACGAGTTTGTGACCGGTGTCGTGACCGACTAATGTAGAGAACCTGTCAAGCGGTTAGCCTTCTGGATGTACTCGAAGTAGCTCCTGATGAGTAACGGGATACCCTGCTGAATCACGGTGTGAGAAATATTCTGTAGTAGAACATGGCGAGAATTTTCTGCAAGAATCCCGTCTATCAGCCAACGCCTTCACGACTGCGTACTCGAGTTGGTTTAAGTCTTCACACCGCACTCGATTCAATGCGTCAATTGTCAATACCAACCTTGGCATCGAGGTCTTGTTAATGGATGACATTGGCGATAACCGGTTGTATATCCACATCTGGCCTCCAAAGTGTTATGTGCAAAGAAGAGGAGATGAGCATGCCTCAGATTGCCGTCAAGCCAGCCTCCGTCTCTAACAGAAAAGTCATTCATGCAATGATGTGCGCCCTGCAACGACAAGTGCTTGCCCTGCAGATGACAGGACATTTGTCCGCCGCTCGACATTGTTGGTGTCTTATCCAGTGAAGGGCCTTGCACTCTCTACTCCAGATGTGCGTTATTATAGTAGCACCATGGGGACGGTTAGTTGAAGATATATATCGTATGATTTCAGTAAGAAAGCGAAAGCATCCGATACACATAGAGTCATAATTCATTCGGAAAAAACAGGCCCTCGTCCCCGTTCATGGTCAACTTACAACTGGGGTATCCTAGGAAATCTTCAATATGGTGTGCATGAACCGAAGCATGGATGCAACTATGGAAGATGGTGCCTTGGTACTTATCGATATTGCCTTTGCAGGTGGGGTCTGTCTTGCCCGCCGTCGCAGCATCTGTGCCCATTGGCATTTTGGTTGTAGCGGGCAGTACTGGCGCCGGAGCGCTAACACACTCTCCAGCCACAGCCGGAAGGTGCTGAAGTGGAGCGCTAGGCTGTAGTAATCAACGCACCTCAGTACGTCAATCGCCCGCCGACCTCTTGGGCACCGCAAGCTTTCCCACAACCACAGAAGTCAACCCCAGAATGGCTTCGCAAGCAGATATGAAGGACCGCCAGTTCCTCGCCGTCATTGGCGACGAGGTGAGACCTCCCTCTCGAACGCCAGTCACGCAGTAGATGCAGCGCGCTGACAACAGTACAGGACTCGGTTACCGGTCTCCTTCTTGCCGGCATTGGGGTGCGCAACCTTTGCTTGAATGACGATGCGGCTTCGGCTCGAGATGACTAACCTGTCTATAGCATGTCAGCACGAGTGCTGATCAGGAGAAGAACTTCCTAGTGGTGGACAGCAAGACCGACACCTCTGCGATCGAATCCGCATTCGAGTCGTTTACGGCGAGGAAGGACATCGGCATTGTCCTCATCAACCAGCACGTCAGTTGCCGCAATGAGAGGGGAAAAACATATCGGGATACATGCTGACTGGGGGGCAGATTGCCGACCGCATAAGACATCGCGTTGATACCTACACGGCCGCTTTCCCGACGGTTCTCGAGATCCCAAGCAAGGATCACCCATACGATCCCGACAAGGACAGCGTTCTCCGCAGGGTTCGCCGGTTGTTTGGCGAGTAGACGTGTTCTTAGACACATGAAGGGGCCGCGGAAGGGTGGATGAGCACGAGATGGCAGATTGGTGGTCGATTCAAATTGAGGGTGGACCATGGTGGCCTGTCTCGAAATAAACTGCAAGCTACATATCTAGTACCGCTTCCCTATGTACGTACGCATCGTCAAGCCGATACTCCTACGCAAAACACGCACTCGAAGAAAAAGACCCGGAATGAAATCATCCTATGCAAGTGAAGTCAAGTGCAGAATCCAAAGGCCCAGATGCTAATCCTTGCCATAAGATGATTAGAAACCCCCAACAATTTGGATGTATCGCTACGTGAAACTGTAATCAATGCCCATCATCGTAAGCCTTCATGATAGCCTTTAGCTATTTAAAGATCCAAGCTGAAGAAGCTCTGCTGGCTGTTGCGAGAGAAGACAACCTGGGCGGTCAGGCAGGTGATGGGGACATCGTCACCGGTGTAAACATCGGCGAAGACAGTATACTTGCCCTGCACAAGGCGTCAGTCGTATTGTTAGATACAAAACGACACGGAACCAACTTACGGAAGGAATCTCGGCCGGAAGCTCGACAGACTTGGTAATGCTCAAGGTACCCTTTTCGATGGGGCACTCGAGGTCAACGTTCTCGATCTGTTCGCACAGGTCCGCTTTGGTGCTGATAAGACGAATGAGGCCGTACTTGACCTGCAGCAAGACGTATGCGCCCTTCTCGATGGGCTGTTTGACAATTCCAGAAGCCTTGATAACAAGCTCCTTGCCACTAAAGAGATATATTAGCTGCCTGTTTGGGTCGCGATGGCTTGCATATGCGTCAAAAGGGACAAAGGGGGGCAAACGTACGCCTGAGGGGGGTTCGGGGCGAGGTCAACGCTTTCAATCTTGACGATATCGTCGTCGTGAGACTTGGGGCAAAGCTCCAAGGGCGAGTCGCCGGGAACCTTGAGGTCGTCCTTGACGATGACGGACTGGTCTCTCTTGACCAGGACGCTGGCACCGACCGGCGCAAGGCCGGCGGAGAGGAAGGCGATAACGGCCGTGGCGAACCTCATTGCGAGCAGAGGTCTGGGTGGGTTGGTGTGATTAGGTGGACGGGATTCAAAGGTTCGAAGGGCGGCGTATTTCGACGTCGTTGATGCTCGGGTTAAGGTCGTTGATGTCCGAGGATGGCTGGAAGATGATGGAGAAGTGGTTCTGGCGAGTGGCTTTGGTTGGTAGGTAGTGAGCAATGAGGCTGGGCCTGGAGGGAGAAACGTCATGGGACCTGCCAAGGGCTTCTATGATTGGACAAAGCTGGGTGGACCTTGGTTGGAGACAAGCGCCGTTTCCCTCCACAGCGACCATGGCGACATGCAAGTCCAATCGCGTCTATTGGGGAAAAGAGCACGCCTTGACGTGGAAATATGTATGCATAACCGCGGGAAGAAGACAATCAGTTATAGTCGGGCACACGAGCAAGAGAGACTGGTTCTGGACATAAAGTAGAAAACACGCCGGTTTGTTGTGTCAACGCACTGACCACATCAAATCTCCACTTTTGGCGTCTTCCTCTCCAGAATCCCACTTTCGTTATCAACTTTCCAGCAACCAGATTGTCTCTTCTTGAAACGATCCATACATGTCATTTCAACCCGCGCACTCCGCGATCAACGAGCGGCATTTCCACTTCCTCGCATGATAGAACGTCCATGCGCGATCAAGGCGGCGCGCCACACACACACACACACACACACACACACACACACACAAACACGCGTCGTTGTCAAGACTCTAGCCACAGTGATAAACCTGGCATTTCGCCCCCGCTCGTACTCGTCTTTGAGACGGCTGGGGCCAATGTCATGGAAAGGGCAGCCGGGCCAGTTTCGACTGCGCTGCCACCGCTGGAACATCCCTGGACATCCTGGTCCCGTGGACAGGATCGATGCAGCGGCTATCAGAATGAGAGACCGGCCCGCCATCAACCACCCAGGGTCTTCCGTCGTCATAGGCTCATGGCCATTTCTCAAGCTTCTAGTATCGGGATTTGGTATTCGAAGTCTCGGTTCTGCGCAGGCTTCGTGATTGGTCTGAGCCTGAATCCCACGACTCGAGAAGTCGTGCGCCGGCATGGATTGGGACCAGGAAGGAAAGGTAGCAATACCACACCTGCATCTCCCGTGGTGAGAAAGCTTGGCTCGATCCAATCAGACCAGCATCGCGTACAGGGAATTGGTGCCAAAAGAAGTGCTCGAGTGAGAGTCTGCTTGGACAATGATTTGGGGGGGGGGGGGCACTGTGGCAAAGTACCCAACACCTCTGCAGCCCCGGCTACCATTATCGCAAACTTCTGCTAGGTCTCGCAAACGAGAGCGTAGGCTGTGTAGCACAGGGAGTCCCTCGCCAGTGGGAAACGGGCCGCGAATCATGCTGGGGGCCCCGACGTGACCAGCTGGAGGGGCTTGAGGGTCGCGGCTCTTTGTTTTTGTTTGTCTATTGCCAGTTGCGGCGAATATGAGAGGTGGGGAGGGGGCGAGAAGCGGCAGAGGCAGCGTCTTTCCTACCTGCCAATCTAAAGCCAAAGGCTCTCCTCATGTCGCACCGTATTTGGGCCATGCCGTCGGCCCAGGGGCAGTGAGAGTCTACATGGTAGAAAGCAGCAGCAAGCTCCAAGGGCGCCCGCCCGCGGCGGGACTTTAAGGTGCACGCAACTTCGCTAGACGTGGGAAGAGCATTGACTGGAGGAGGTCAAAGTACCGATACTTGTGCAACTATGACTTGGGAAAGGTAGGCAGGCAGACTGATGGCACCTCAGCAGCCCAAGAGGCCTTCCCCATGTCGCCGCGACCGCGTTGAGTTCAGCGCAGCGTGCCATCTACCGAGCTTCTAGAGACCAACTTAGTCTCTGGTGGTGAGGGGTCGAGTACGACAGCGAGCTGATGCTGGTTTGTGTCGGCAAAGTGCCCCAGTGTACGATGTACATGTGCGTGGGTAGGGTGCATGAAGGACGGCATCCAATCATAAATGATGGTGTAGGGTTTGCGGTTGGCAGAGAGAAGATTTGGAGGCGAGAGTCTGCCGGAAGAGTGAGGGGTAAAGGTCGCAGCAGTAAGGTGTCATGGGAGAACGGGCGAATGGCGGCATTTCAGTGCCTAGAGGATGCATGGCTTCAAGCTTGAAGTGATGATGACTTCAAGTTGCATACCGCTGTCGGTGCTAGTATGGGAACAAGCAGAGAGATAGGGGGGGCTTTGCTGCAGCCACCAGCGTCGGCTCGGCAGGCGACTTCAATCGATTTTCGACCACCAATAGCCCGGGGACGAGCAGTCGTGATGGGGGCAAGGCTGGCATGGGCAGTACCACATCGCATGCGAAAAGCTGCAGGTCTCCAGCCAAATTGGTACAGGGAGCGATAAGACCAGCAGTAAGACCCTCGCCCATTCCATTCTCGAAAGGGACACATCAGCCAATGAGGAGGAGGCGGCGGCGGCGGCGGCGGCGGCGGGAGTTTCGTTACGACTCGAGATAATTGGGGGTCAGCATACGATGGCACGCAGCGACGCTACGCCACGGGTCCTTAAAAGTTCCGTCTGCAGGTAACGACGGGGGACAAAATGAGCAAAAACAACAATGTCTGCCTTCCAATATGCGCAGTTCAATTCAGTTCTTTCTCTGCCAAGGGCAACACAGTAGTGTACTTTTCTTTCTTTTCCGAGAGTTTCCCCCCAGGTACCTCGGCCTTTCAGGTTGGTGTAATTAGCATCCTTTCCGTTATGAACTTTGGGCGCAACCTTGGTGAACAAAGGCCATTTAGCTGACGACTCAACGAACTCTATCTTACCTTCGGTCGGGCAGGAAAGAAGGACAGGCCACAAAAGACTCTCTCAGTCATGGTGTGTGGGTGTGTGGGTGACTGATGAAAATTGGCGAGGACAGACAGTTGGCGTGGGGGGCCGGGCGAAGTGACGCCTCCAAATCAGGCCAGCATCTTCTATTGGATCGTTTGCCCATGGGTCCCTTTTCTCGATGACTTGAATGATGCTCCGAGTGTCTCTCTCCCGGACTCTCCTCGGGTCACTCTATCCCTGGCTTGGGTTAATTAGCCATTCCGACCCACCCATCCCGTCGTCCCGGACGAATCAGAAGAACTCTGTAGGCGGATTTCACACGAGGAGAGACGCAGCAGGGAGAGGTCCCCGACCACCACTCCTTCTATTATCAAAATGAAATAAGAGAAACTCAGCATAACGCGCACGGCCTCATGTTGCTGTTGGGATGGGATGAAAGCCATACTCATAGACACGCCATGTACATGTCCGATTCGCGACGGTACGGGTTTACAATCATCGATCCTCTCTCTCAACGACGCCTGGAACTCGACAGACAGCGATCAACGACGCCAGGCATTCTTCCACCCGTGGTGCTCTGCATGTATATACAGTACATACGCAAGCATTTGCTCTATTTTTGATCCATGTTTGCTCTAGCACAAATAGAGAGGGGGGTCGGATAAGCCCACTCTGTTCTGGTGTCTTGCCGCCCGTTTCCTTGCTTAGGTACGGAGTATGGCACGTACGTACCTATGCCCCCGTCCGGCACACGGATGCCTTCTTTTGCAGGCGGAAAACTGCTGCCTTAGTCAAGGCAGGCAGGCAGGGGCTACTGGGTACCTACCTATCGAGCAGAATCCACCCCGTCGTCGCTGTTCCATTCTGAGTTACCCGTTCCCGTCAGATCCGCCGTTCTGCTAGGGCCAGAGACGGAGAGAGAGAGGCGGCGCACCACGACACCGACACCAACACCAACTCTGTCTGCCCATTTCTTCTCTTTTATTACTCATTAAATCTTTGCATGTCGCCTCTCGTCCCTCCACTTCCGCCCGTCGAATCCTGCCTCTTGTTTCTGTTCACACTTATCAGCCCGACCATGGCCACCAGTTTCTATTGCTTTGATCAAGACGATCAGAGCGTGCTCAGCAACCGGTTTTGTCCATATTTATTCTCATCGTCATGGGCTTTTTTGGGGGCGATGAAAGTGTCATCATACCCCGTTCCGTGCCTTTTTCTTTCTATCCTTTTCTTTTTCTCCTTCTCCCCCTCTCTCTCACTCAGTTTCGGCGTTTAGTATTTTTTTTTTATTTTTTATTTTTTTTGGTCTTCTACCGCCTTTGTCCGACCTTCCAGGGCTAACAAGGCAGGCAGGCAGTCAGTCAGTCAGTCTTCAGTCCTTCATCGGACGGGGCTATCTCTCATCTGGTTGCGGCCTGAAACTCCAAATGCCTGAGGCATCCGAGTTTCTGCGCTAGAGGTCTGACTGGACTGCCGTAGCCACTCATATCAGAGTGCCCACCGCCTTTCCGGTCTAGCTCCAGGTAAGTACAGGTACCTGGGTACCCTGTTTTTCCCAACCCACGGGCTTTGGCTTTTCTGGCCCCCCGTCTCCCACCTCTACTCGTCTCTCTTACGCCTCGCCGCCGCCGTCCTCCAGTCCAGTCCAGTCCAGTCCAGTGCGTCTGGCTTTGCCGACTGGACTGGCTGGGGACTCGCCGGCTGGGCGGTAGGTAGCCAGTGCGCCTTCTGCACTGCAGCGACAAGCCGTCTGTCTCCTCCTACCAGGGCAACTCGAGCTGAGTTGCACCGAGCATCCCAGCTCGCCAATCCTCACCCTTCCTCCTCCTTCCCCCAAATCCCATCCCTCGTCTGTTGGTCTTCGAAGACTCTACGACTTTACGACGCCCCCTCTCCCTCTCTCCCCCCATCCAAGTCCATAGCCCGCGCACCAAACCAAACCGCATGGTGCCAGTCAGTCCAAGTCTCCAACCCAGACCGAGACCCGACCCGACCCAGCAGTGCAGTCAGTCACTGTTCCTGACCCGTTCTCCCTCTCTTCTCCTTTGGTTTGGCCTTGGTTTCTGGGCTGCACGCTCCTGTCCTGCTGCACTGGGGGGGAGGGACTGGGACGTGTCTCGCTCAACTCGCACCGCACCGCACCGCACCGCACCGCACTGCACCAGCACCACACTGCCTGCTGCTGCGCTTTCTGCTACTCTCCTTCGGGGGACCCATCCATCCTTCTCCTTCGTGTCGTGCCCCCCTCTCTTCCTCTCTTTCAATCTCTTTTCCACCCTCACCCTCTCGACACAACTCACCCTGTTCTCCCTCATTTTCGGTCGAAATACTCCGATTCCTCCTCATCACCTCTTCTCGACTCGACTCAACTACTCGAACCGTCCCATCTCCCTTCTTCGACGAGCCGCAACCGCACAACCGTTCACTCGACTCCGTCTGCCTCTTGCTTCGCCTTTCGTTGACACGCACTTCGCGATCACTCGAAAACTTTTCCTCCCGCACGACCACAACCCAAATTCGTGACGTGTCGACAACATCTGTTTGGCCCAACGCGACTGCTGGCGACTCGGCCAACCACTTTGTTTTGCTGTCCCTCGCCCCCTCGACGCTCTGCTCCTCGAGACGGCTTTGACGCTCTCGTCGAATCCTGTCCTCGATCTCGCTGATATTTACCGACCCGACCGCAACCTGTCGACCCACGGATGATCACAACACCACATCTCCCTGTTCCTGCGATTCCCTTGACGGCTTGTTTCTGTGTGTATAGACAGGCGTCGCCATGCTACCCAGGCCGCAACACTAATCAGCTCACGCATACCTCGACTTCAATCCCTATTACGAGGCGATCTTAGATTATGACCGAAAAGCTGCAGCCACTGTCGACGCAGACCGCGACTCCTAGTCAGACCCTCTTCGCTCCGAGCGTGCCCGTCTCTACCCAGAGTGTCCCACGCAAGGTTGAGACGGTAGAGGAAGAAGAGCCCTACACCATAAAGTGTATTTGCAACTTCTCTGATGATGATGGAAACACGATCTATTGCGACACGTGCGATACATGGCAGCACATCGACTGCTTCTACCCGGACAGTCGCGAGGAGGCCCTCCGCGAGGATTTTGCCCACTCGTGCGCCGACTGTAAACCGCGTCCCTTGGATCGACAAAAGGCCATTGAGCGTACCCGCCGACTGAAAAACGGCGTTACAGCCGAAGGTGCCCCAGACAAGAAGGCCAAACGCCCGCCATCCAAGAGCCACAAGAAGAAGCCAAAGCCAACGGATTTGCAATTGAATGGTCATTCCACAGGCCAAGAAAACGCAAAGCACGGAAGTCCCAGCGAACATCCTCACACAGCCAAAAAGGCGGCGAAAACTTCTCACCGACCATCTCACTCTATAAGCTCGCAAAACGCGAAGAGGAGCCCATCGTACGGGAACGGTCGATCCCAACCCAACGGACACCCCCCAAGCCCTGCTACGACGCCTCCAGACCTTCCGAGCGACTTTCAAATACACAACTACTCCGACGGCTTTCTTTCCATGACCAAGGAGACAGACGTGCCTATCACTCAAATCAATTCATTCGCCAGTCTTTTGGTGTCAAACACCCTTTCCGTTTGGGTACGCGAACCGCTTCGTTTGCGGAAAGATACTGGCGGGGAACTCAACGATGTTTTTGCCAAACTCCCCAAAGATATCGACTCTCAGAAGTGTCAGCTGCATGTGGAAAGCAAAAAGCTGCCCCTTACTTCCGACACGGTTCTCCGGTGGCAATATCTTGCGACCTCGGCTGCCATCGAGAAAGATGTGCCGTTGATTGAACTAAATGGCGTGATTGGGTTTCAAAAGGACTATTGCGACGAGCCAGAAAACCTCTGGGAAGAGCTTTCCTCGCCACTCCCTTTCGTCTTCTTTCACCCGATGTTGCCGCTCTACATCGACACCAGGAAAGAGGGATCACTCGCCCGATTTGCCCGGAGGAGTTGCAAGCCTAATGCCATCCTGGATACGTACTTGTCGGGGCAGTCTGAATACCATTTCTGGCTGGTGAGCGATCGGCACATTGCTCCAAATGAGCAGATCACACTGCCCTGGGAGTTTAGGCTACCCAAGAAGTTCCAGGCCCGCATGCATCACCTATTGGGGCTGGCCGACGACGATAGCCAAGCCCAGGGCGAATCTGAAATGGACGAGGCAGAGTACCAAACGCTGTCCGGCTGGATCCATCGGATATTATCTGAGCACGGCGGCTGCGCTTGCGACTTGGGTGCCAATTGTGCCTTCGCTCGTTTCCACAGACAATACCAAGCCAAGATGCAGTCCCGGCCCGCCGTCAAGAAGAAGCCGCGGAAACCCAAAACCCACACCATTTCTCCCACCAGTACTGGTCACGCCACCAACAGCCGCGCAGCCAGCGAAGGCCACCATGAGGACCCAGACAACGATGCTCGATCGATATCGGAGCGCAGCAAGCCCCCTAGTCGCGACCGCACACCATTGCGTCAAGGTTCCCTTGACCGTCCGGGCATTCTCACTGAACCTACTGACAGGGACAAACGGAAAGTCCAGATGGTCGAAGACTCGTTTCGACGCATGGAGCAACAGCAGCCACCGCGTAAAAAGAAGCGCACATCCGACGGCACTGGAACCAAGACAAAGCAAAGGAACTCAACTAGCAATGCGTCTAGCGGAACTTCCCATTACGTCGACGCAGGCACTACAAGAAGCAAATCTAACTCCCCTTCCAGCGGTATGTCGCCCACACGGCATAACCCTTTCAAGGCCTCAATATCTCAGAACGGCTCTGCCGCAACACAGCCCAGACGAGAGTCCTCCGGGCTTCGTCCTGTTTACTGCGATGCTTCCGTGCAAACCGACCCTGTGGAGGGCGAATGGTACAGCGAACCCATTTTGACCCCGAAACCTCGTCGCCGAATCATCTCGTTATCTCAACGGCTGCTCAACAACCGTCACCGACTACGCTGCGACGAGGCAGATAGACGCAAGTCACTTCCCTCCATTTCAACCCATGATTCTATGGATATAGACCCTCCAGCGGACCATCAGCCTGTGATGGGCTCTCCGACACCATCCAAGGAATCCGTCATTACCGCACAAAGCACATCGCCTGTTCCGCCATTGGCTGCCGACGTCGTCATGGCAAACGCCCCAACGAGCTCACCCACTACGCTCAAGTCGCCCGTGCAAGCGGATTCGGCGACAGACACGCAGCCCAACGGTTCCAGCAGTCCTTCGAAGATCAGGTCACCGGAATTGCGGGTACAAATGCCTCCGGTTCCTAGCTTCACCGGTCCCATCCTGGGAGCTCCTTGTGCGACTACACCGTCTTCGGCCTCTACGACTATCCAATCTCCCTTCTCTACGGGTAACCTTCCCAGTCCTCTTGCACCTTCGACCGTCAATGGGGTAGCAGCGCATCCGAGTCCTGTCAAGAAGAAGCTGAGCCTCAGCGACTACACCAAGAGCAGGATGAACAAGACCAAAAGCACTGGCGGACTCAAGACATCACTCTCTGGGATCGAGGAGTCGAAGCCCGCGGTCGATACGATCATGGATTCACCGGGCGTAGAGAAGAGCACAGACATTGTGACACCCGTTGTGGGTAATACGGTCACCTCAATTCCTGCGGCCACGGCAACAAACACCTCTTTGTAACATGTATAGAGACCGGGATTCGCGATCGCTTACAGGACGACACGGCCACCTCTCTTTCCGCTCTAAGTATTTCCAAAATGCAGTACCAATGGTTTGGTATTTGGCTTCGGCGTTATGGCAGCGACGGACAAATGGAACGGGGAATGAGGAGGGAACGTCTTCATTTGGAATGTGTTTCGTCCATGTTTGGAGAAACCGCAAAACTGCACGTCTGACAAGGGGGAAATAAAACACGCCTGTCGCGAAGCAAAGCCTTGTCGACTGGCAAGAAACCAAAATTCTTTTCTTCTACGGGTTCACTGGCGCAAAGAAGGCAAGAGGTAGCGATGCCTGGGCTTGGGCTGATATTGGGATGGGAGAAAAGGGGTTTCTGCTACTTCCAGGAGCGGCATATTTTCATGTGTATTTCTAGGCTTAACTTGGCCACGATGAGAGAAAGAGAGAGAGAGAGAGAGAGAGAGAGAGACAGAAAGGGTGAGAGAAAGCGTGACTTGGCACTGGGTAACGCCCCTCCCGTGACGATGAAAAAGATTCAAATGGATGTTTTACTTTCGCAGCTCCTGCGCTGCTTATTTCTCGGCTCACTCTATTGTTCACTTTACTATCGCTGTGCACTGTTGCTTCATAATGTAGTTTCGATTTCGTCCGAGGTTTGACCCAGCTCTATCTAGGCACTTTTCGCCCTCCTGCCAATCCTTTTTTATATCTACTCTTACAGGGTATCTCGATTTCCGTCCATATTTAGTACCAAACAAATAGCCTCAATCGACAGCCGCCATGGTGACTCAAGAATGGAGAGGGAAGAAACAAAAGATCGGGTGCATTGCAAGCCCAGTGTGGTTGTCACACCACGGAAAACGTGAAAAAAAAAAAAGACAAAAGAAGGGGCGGATATCTGATGACCGTCTCTTTTTTTCTTCTTGCCCCCCCCCCCCCCCCAATTCCATCAACGTGCCGTAGGGAAATTGATCAGTATCTCTTGGTCGTCATGCCCCAGTTATCCTCCTTAAAGATGAGCAGGGCGAGGCGGTGTCGGACGAAGAGGCCGAAAAGACCAACGAAGAGCTGGAGGAAGGTGACCTCCCAGGCGAGGCGGTCCTCGCGCAGGGGGCCACGCCAGACAAGCCAGAGGTTAAGGAGGGTGAGGTTGCTCGTCTCGACGAAGCGGCCCTTGTCGTCAGTAGTGACACTCAGCAGGCGCAACCTGGCGAGGAGGTGCAGGGCGCGGGCGACGAGCGGGTGCGGCTGGCGCTCGGGGCTCCAGGGGGTGACGCTGGGCTCGAGAAGGCCGGTGCGGGCGACGAAGCGCGGCAGGCGGTGGCGTGGACAAGGGACGAGGCCGAAGATCTGCGGGGTGGAGTAGAGGAAGTTAAAGAGCTGGGGGACGAGTAGGAGGCCGAGCGTCTTGGAGAAGTGGCCGAGGATACCGACGGTGGCGAAGACCATGCCGGAGAAGTAACAGTAGGTGTCACCGACGAAGACCTTGGCGGGGTACCAGTTGTGGAGGACGAGGGCGAGGGAGACGCCGAGCCAGGGGAGGAGGAGGAAGAGGGAGAAGAGGTGGGAATCGGTGGCTGGGTGAGGGTAGGGGGTGAGGAGGTAGAGACAGTCGTTGAGGACGAGGAGCAGGGAGACGACGATGCACTGGGAGACCTCGATGCCGTTGATGCCAGCGAGCATGTTGATGGACTGCGGGCAGAACATTGCGATACAGGCCATATAGGCGTAGTAGAGGACACCGAGGTCAAAGAGCTCGCCAAGGTAGGGCTGGAGGGGGATCGGGATAACGATGGAGGTGACGCCGAAGTCGACAAAGTAGATGACGAGGATCGGAACGGAGGCCAGGCCGGGTATCCACCACTTGTGCCGCCAGCGGATATCGAAGAGGTCGTCGCCGATGCCGAGGAGGGCGATGGTCTGGAGGGAGATGATGGCCGAGAGGTACGAAGCAAGCTGTTTTTTTTTTCCAAGTCAAGTCAGTATCATGCTAAGCAAATATTTCCATAAGTGGAAAACGGTCCCGACCGTCGGAGTAGGGAGACTGACCTTGCTATGAGGGAAGCGGTGCAGGAAGCGGCCCTGCTGGACATGCTCGAGGTGGTAGACGACGTCCCTGTTCCCCCCACCGCTAGTGGCGGCGACGATGTCCTTGTAAAAGGGAAAGGGGATGAAGACGATGACGACCAGCAGGTACACGGCGGCGCATACGGCGCCCATGCACTCGGGCAGCTCGGGGCGGTGGTGCTTGGAGAGGTCGCGACCCCGGAAACCGGCGCGCTTGAAGACTGGGCCGAGCCAGCGGATCATGGAGTAGGCGAGGGCGAAGGCGAGGACGGACAGGGCCAGGGACGCTATCAGGGGCTCGCCGTCGCCCTGGAAGGTGTTGAGGAGGACGGCGACTGCGGCGAAAGAGAGGGCGCCCAGGCTCAAGGTCTCATTACGGGTGAGAGCTGCGGCGGCGGCGGAGGTAGTGGTGGAGGACGACATTTTTGGATGTACGGATGGGTTGCGCTCGCGCGATGATGCGCGCAGCCGCGGATGAGGGAGATCCAAACTGGGTTTGTCAGTTCAATTTCCTTGTTGTCAAATTCCGCGTTGTAGCCGGATTCCTTTCATCATGTGATTTTGTGCACGCAAGGTGAATTGGCAGGTGCGCAACGCGATTGTATCGCTTGAGGCTGCTTGGGGGTTTCGCGACGGGACACAGTTGTCAATTGGGACCCCACCGAGACCGCGTTACGTATCGATGGATTGTGGCTTTCCTGGGCTCGATGAAATCGATAACGTTCCCATGTGCTAGTGGAGGCTCCCCCCATGCCATGTGGGTGTTTCGGGAGAGAAGGGGACAACTGCGGGGCCGCAGTGTACAGTAATGCAGGCCAAGGAAGGCCAACCAACATTGGCAAGCCCCTCGAAAGAGGTGGAGCCGGTGCCGGTGCCGGAGCCGGAGGAGCTGTGTGTGCCGTTCCAGGGTCTGGTCTGTGCACATGAGAGACTCCTTGCGGTGGTGCATGGCATTCACACTTACCTCTGCATTTAGCGTCAAGACACCCCAATTCTCTTGGACTTTGCAACTCTAGCACGGCACAAACACAGCCTCAATCTAGTAGCCTTGCACACCTTGGAACAAACATAACCAGGCCAGGCAATACTAATGGCGGACTTAAGCATACACTGGCCGTGTTTCCCGTAGGGGTGGTCAGCAGCCCCACGGCGGTGTGATAGTGAAAGTCTGACTTCTACGTAACGTCATCTCCGATATCCCTCCCGACGTCTGCCTGCCTGCCTGCCTCTCAGCAACGGACTCGGCCGGGGTCGGGCCTGATCGAGATACGCCACCCACACAAACGCCCCCTGACCTTAAGGAGTCCCTTTCGCCGTCTCCGTTCTCTTTCATACCTCCAAACTGAGTTACGTATCCACGGCGGTTCCTCTTAAGATCGTACGTGTACCTACGCAATCATACTGGATCTAACGTAGGTAGTCGGAAAAACACAGTATAAGCATCATGCCCGATACTCAACATAATAGTGGTTCATACCCCCAAACCCCATCATCTCGAATCCACGCGGGTTCCGGATATTAAAGATGAGGTTTTCAGGTTCCCGAGGGGGGACTAGCCGCTTCTGACTGCAGGTTGCATGTCTCCCTGTCGTTGGCAAAGTACCTCTCCCCTCAGCAAGGGGGTGGGTGCCGCGGAGCACGATTCGCCGATCTCTTGAGGCTGCCCATCGAATCACGATACGCCCTTGACCTTAATGATCGTCGCCTCGCCCGGGGTAGATGCGGCATAGGAATTGAAGAGAGGGGTAATTGTTTGGACTGAAGCGGCCGTCCTAACAGGTAACGTCGTGGATCTTTGCTTATATGAGCTTGTGAGCGAGAAAAAGGAAGAGAGAGGCGTTGGAGTCGAAATACGACTAGTACCAAAGTGTTGGTCGCCCTCGGTTGTTCGAACCGGGAAAGGTAACTTGGTTCATCGAACATTCTTCATTCCAGTCCTTCTCATCGACCAATGTCGATTGCTTCTCTTGACCTGCTCTCCTCCGCCAACTTGGGACACACAAGAGGAAAGCGAGGAGGGGAAAAGAAAAAACTAAATAGAAACCTCTGCATATATCTTGCCAAGCATGGGATCCGAAAGGAATTAGAAGCGGACGTGACGATATCCTTGGTTGGCGGCGGCAGTGCTGCCACCCGAGGCCTCCAAGGAGAGTCCTCGGACCAGACGACGATGACTGAAAAGGAGACTGGCCAAAGACAACGTCACCTCTTCGCCGCTGCAGATGATTTGGAAAATGCGGAAGAGGGGCGCACGGAGGAGGAAAGGGGATCCGGCATTGAGGACGCGACGGACGGCGAGCAGCGGTCACAGAAGGACAGTACGGCTTCTTCTTCTTCCCGTGAAGGAGACGCTTAGTGGCTGTCTATTGCCAAGGGCAAGATTTGACGACGAACTTCACAAACAACATCTCTGCCACTCAATTTCTTACTGTGTCCGACATATCGCTGGAAAAAGAAACCGAGATGGACACTGCGTTTGCATGAAAACACCGGCTCCATGGCCAGTACTGACAAGCACTACAGGACACCCTCGCCGAGCCCATACAGACGACGCGCTCCCGCCTTTCCCGTATTACAAGCATCGTCTCCCGCCGCAAGGACAAGGACAAGGACGGCGGCGACGACGATGATGCCTTCCCCGCCACGGTCCACCCCCTCACTGACCTCTCCATCGGGCTGATCGGCTGGGATGCCCAGTCCGACCCCGCCATGCCCATGAACTTCCCTCGGGCCTGCAAGTGGCTCATCATCTGGTTTCTGTCGGGCATCACCTTCATGACGCCCTTCGCCTCCTCAATCCTCGCCCCGGCCATCGGCCGCTTCATCGAGGACTTGGGAAACGACGACCTCACCGTCGGCACCCTCCCCGTAAGCATCTACCTGCTCGGCTACGCCGTCGGTCCGCTCTTCCTCGCGCCCCTGTCCGAGATGTACGGCCGACGCCCCGTCCTCGATGCCGCCAACCTCTTCTTCTGCGCATGGCTCATCGGCTGCGCCCTCGCTCCCTCCATCGCCTCGCTCGCCATATTCCGTGCACTCACGGGCGTCGGTGGCTCCGGCTGCCTCGCCATCGGCGCCGGCGTCATCGCCGACATGTTCCCCGTCGCGGAGCGGGGCGTCGCCATCTCTATCTGGATGGTCGGCCCCTTGATCGGCCCCACCCTGGCGCCCATCGCGGGCGCCTACATCGCCCAGGGCTTTGGCTGGCGCTGGTGGTCGTGGATCACCCTCATCGCTGCCACGCCCATGGCTCTCATCATCGCCGTCTTCAACCAGGAGACCAACCCGCGCGTCCTCATCGACCGCAGGGTCGCCCGCCTCCGCGCGGAGCTCGACCGCCCCGACCTCCGCAGCGTCTGCGACGACCCCCCGTCGCCGGCGGGCGCGCCCAAGCCCACTTCCGCCCAGGTCCTCTTGCGGGCGCTCAGCCGGCCCTTGAAGTTGCTCTTTCGCTCTCCGATCCTCTTCAGCGTGAGCCTCTACTGCGCCTTCTCCTACGGCGTGCTTTACCTGCTCTTCAGCACCATCCCCCTCGTCTTCACCGCCACCTACGGCTTCTCCGTCGGCAACACGGGGCTCGTCTACATCCCCCTCGGCCTCGGATACCTCATCGGCATGGCCTTGTTTATCACACTCTCCGACCGCACCGTCGTCCACATGACAAAGGCCAACGGCGGCGTCTACGAGCCCGAGATGCGGCTCCCGGACTGCATCTATTTCGCCGCTGTACTGCCCGTCACTTTCTTCTGGTACGGCTGGACCGCCGAGTTCAAGACGCATTGGGCGGCGCCCGTCATCGGGCTGCTGCCGTTCGGCATCGCGATCCTGGGAATCTGGCAGCCCATACAGGCCTACGCCATCGACGCATACCCGCTGGACGCCGCCTCGCCAATGGCGGCCTTTACGGTTTTCCGCAGCGTCGTTGCGGCGTTTTTGCCCATAGCCGGGCCGCCAATGTACGACGCCCTCGGGATCGGCTGGGGGAATAGCGTGTTGGGTTTCATTGCGGTTGCGCTCATACCCGTTCCGGCGCTTATATATAGGTACGGAGGGCGGATAAGGAAATGGCAGGAGCTGGAGCTTTGAGGTGGTGACTGGAGATCGGGTCATAGGATGCCGGATTACAACAAACCAATGAAAGTAGAATGCCTAGCAATGCACAAAGAGTCATAGAAATACTGGACCAAAGAGGAGTAGCAAGCACTGTTCGACATTGTCTATTCTGCCCAGTACATACCTTGGCCCCGTTGCCCTTACACCAGGACAGCTATAGAACGTACCATTACCAATTATATGGCACATGTGATTCTGTTAAAGCCAAAGCGCCATCAAAAACATAACCCTTGATCCGAAAGTTCCCATTATCATTATCTATCACTGTAGTGCAGTGCCCGGCCGTTGTAGTCATCAGCAATGAAATCCGTCTTCACGTGTCTGTCCCTCTCAGATGAGTTCCCACCTCATGAGGTACGTCCAGCTCATGCCGCACTTGCCCTTCTTCGCAAAGTAATCCTTACTTGTCATACCTCTTGCGTCCTGCCCATCGATCGTCGTGATCATGGCTACGCTGACGCTCTGACCTGGCGCGCCCAGATCGATTGCGTTCACGTCGACCCAATGCCAAAAGCCGTCCGTCTCAATGGGGACCATATCCTCCTTACGACCATCGCACCCCTTAATACTAAGAAGCAATAGCGGAGGCTTTCCCTTGCCATGCTTCTCTGATGTCCAGTGCTCACATTTGTTGGACCACTGAAATCGCACAACTTGGCCGCTGTAAACTGGAATCTGGAGCTCCTTGGGGCTGACTGTGTGATCCCAGACACCTTCTTCATGCGCAATGGTGTAGATTGTGGGCTTGTCACCGTGGACTGGGCCGATGTAGTATTCCTCCCAGGTCGGTACTCGGCCATCGGGGCGGAAGAAGTGCCTGTCATCGGATGGGTAGTGAGAGAGTCCGAAAATGTCATTTCTCCGGGTAAACTCATGTGGCTTGAAGTCGGCCGTGTACTCCTTGGTCACATCTGACACATTGCCGGCGCCCCAGCAGGCATCGAGGAGCTTCCATTCCCCACCGTCAATCCGGACGGCGTTCCAGGCGTGTCCGTCAGCCTTCTTGGGCGGGGGGCGCTCACCCTTTTTCAAAGCAGTGTACCCGTAGCCCTTTCCATGACCAGTGACCGTGATACATTCGAGGCCAGCACGAAGGGCGATCTCTTTGTACGTGTCTGCATAACCCGAGCAGACGGCCTTGCCCAACATTATGGTCTCGGCTCCAGAGCGACCCCTAATGCAATTGCCAAAAAAAGCAGCACAGTCATAGGCGATGTTGTGATGGAACCAGGTGAAGATAGCTCTTGCTTTGTCTGTGTGGGACACAAATGGGCCGCAGAGAACCTGTGCCAAATACCCTACAGGATCATTTTTGGGAAGTGACTGTCTAGGGTACTGAGCGGCGATGCCATCGGGACCAGAAAAGTCACGACAGATCAGACAGTCAACTGCGCGGGAATTCGCCTTGGCCGAGACAGCCTCAATCTGTGCGACACTGGGACGAGAACTGAGCGGGATGGGTGGTGGGGCGTCGTCACCAGCGCCTGACCGTCTTACGGGCAACGGTGGCCGACCGTTTGCTTGCTGTTCCTGAGAAGTGTGGCCGTTTGCCTGCGGCTGTGACTTGATGTACGAAGATGGGGGCGGGGGCAACCGTCTCGGCTTCTCTGGTGTTTCTTCACGCAGCGATGGCTCATGGACTTGGTGATTCGGTGACCTCGATGTCAATCGCGGGGGTAGCACCGGTCTCTGAGGAGCCTCGATTTGTCGAACAGCAGGCGAAGAGTGGACCGATACAAGAGGGTATTTGGGTTGCTGTGGCTGTTGGGCGGCAAACTCTTTTGCTTGGGCTTCCCGTTCTCTCTTTGTTGGTGGCAGCGGGGGCAAGTTTGCTTGGTCAAAAGTAGGCGGCAGTTTGCGCGTGGGGCCATCGATTGAATGGACGCTGGTAGCAGATGATATGGTATGATTCAATGAGAGGGATGACAAGTTGGAAATCTCAGAAGCATTCGAGCTACGGCGCACCGTCAATTGCTGAGCGGAGGGCCTCCGAGGGGGCAAAGCCGGCGAGATCTGCTGGGTCGACGTGCGACTAGGGAGGGGTGGGGGGGCAATGCGGTCTCTAGGAGCTGGTGTCTCGACCGACACCTGGGATGAATCAGTTGTTCGCCGGGGCAACGGCGGCGGGCTGGGCTTTGTCGGTGCTGTCTTGATCGGCCGGGGAGGGATCGTGGGACTGATCTGAGGCGTCGGGAGACCGTTTGTTTGAACGACAGGCAGTGTATGGCTGCGCGGCGCAGGACGATTCGTTGGCGGAGGCGGAGGCGGGGGTCGCTTTGCCTTGACTTCGGGAGCTTGGAAATTCTTTTGCTGGTTCAGGGCGGCGATTCTCTCGGCCAGAGTGTTGAACTTGGGCTCTTCGACGTCAGCCATGATTGGTTCTGGGCGAACGAGACTCGAAGATGGTGGGATACGTGTCGAGAAGGAGTCTGCCGCAACTCAATTGGAGTTGGGAACAGGTGGGCTGTATATACGATGGATGAAACGAGCGGGTGTTGGTCGCTAATTAGCTAAAGCCCCCCACCAATCCGGACCGCGTTGGTCGCAGCACAATGTCCCAATTGAGCAATAGACAGACAGCAGGCAGGTCTCTGGCAACCGAGTCACGACAAGGATTGGGTACTTTGGTACGAAGAGATGTATCGAGGACTGGGGCGATCAATTTGCCAGCAGAAGGGGGAATGATTGGCAGATATTGACCGGTTGTGTCTGTAGACGGCGTCCTACAAGTCGATGATTTGAATATGAAAAAAAGTGAGAGACAGCTGGTCTGCGCAAGACAAAAAAGGGGGGGTTGACGAGGGTATAGGGGCTGACGGTGGTATTAGTGTGTTTGTCTGTAGCGGTTGCGAAGGAAGAAAGCACACTGGCTTGTGGCCATCTGTTTGGCACAGGGTGCAGAAACGAATGCAGTTGAGCGAAGGATAATTGATAAATGGCACGGTTGTCGGCAGACGAAGAAGTCTTGGAGGTCTTACAAGAAATATGAAGCGAATAAAGAGGTTGAATTGAGGCGATGCTCTCAACTTTTTGGTTGGAGGCCGTTGCTTGCAGACAACTTTAGGTAGGTAGGTACGGAAGGAAGGAATCTCGTACTCCAGGCAGGCAGGCAGGCAGGCAAGCAGGCAGCAGCAGGGTCAGGGTCGTCTGGTTGGTTGACGGGACGCAACAACGCTAAGCTGCGACAGGGGGGGAAGAGAAAGGTGGCACGACAGGTAGAGGGCGGAACAATAATCTGTCAATTACTGGAGGGAAGGGCTGAGGAGAGCCGGAGCAAGAAGAAGAGTGAAGTGGGAAAGGGCGAGGGAGAAGAGGAAGGAGGGAGGCAGTCCAGTCCAACAAGGTCTCAGAGCAGGTTGAATATGGCGGCGGGATTGGGGCCAAACTCGGACTCGAGGAATGATTGGGCTGGTTACATGCAGTGACATGCAATGCAGTCTTTATAGAGAGCCAAGAGGGTATAAACACGGACTCAAAAATGGGCAAAACAGAGGAGGGAAAGATGAGGAGGGTCGGGTATCTGCATGGATCTAACAGGAATAGATAGAATCAGGGCAACTGTGCCACTAATCGAAGGCGGTCTTTAACAGAATCAGGGACATGAGACCAGAAAGAGGACCCTCTTGTCTGTCTCCTGTCATCTCCTCTCCTCCCCTCCTCTCCCCTCCCCCTCTCCCTCTCCCTCTCCCTCCCCCTCCCTTTCTCCCTACCTCTCTATCTGATGTTTGCTGCCTTTCTCTCTGTTATCATTTTTTTTTTTCTTTTCTTACGTTGACCAAAAATCAAGATCCGTCGAGGTTATGCACATTGGTGTCTTGTCCAAGTGGGTGAGCCTTGGAACACCCCCCCCCCTGGTTCCTTGCCGTCCCGGTCTGGGTCAGTCGGCACCGCCCAGCCTTGTTGGTGGGGAAGCAACTGCGGAGTGGGGTTTTCCCCTTGGGAGCGGATGCGCTAAGGCCGATCGCCGCCTCACGCTGGAGTACAGGTGGTGTCTGACGCCCGAAATGTCTTGGTAAGTGGCTGGCCGCTTGTGCAGCTGTGCCCTTTTATGACAGCCCTCCCAGAAAACGGTCAAACGGATATTAGTCCACTGAAGTTGCGGCGGCATTGGGGCATCGTTTCAGATGTCGAACCTTGGTGGAAACAGCGAAGTTGTGACAGACTATCAGAACCACTGGCTTCCCACAAGTATTTGGGTGGCCCTAGGCAGTCTCACCAACTTCTCCACAACGGCGTCATTGCGAGCCATGTCCATAGGTATTGGAAATCCGACGCTAAACAAACGGCAAACGTAAGCTACCGGTCAAACCCACCTCAGCCAAGCCCGAATTCCCATTGTCTGTCTCTCTTAGTACATAGTGTACATATTGACCAGCAAGTCCCGTGGCCGATGGCCAATCGAAGCCATAGCCTCTGGCAAAGTATCCGTACATGACCAGTTCTTCGCCTTGCCGCTCGGGTCTACGTCATGGCATCGTCCAGAATCGGGCTCTTCTGCCGACCACAATCGCACAGGGTTTGTTTCTCGTTGAGCATGCATTCCATAGCACCATAGCATGGCCGTACGTACAGCCTTCAACAGCCTCCTCTTGAGACGGCGCTCGGCTTTCTTCTCTTGAGCAGTCACATATAAAGGAACTAAAAACGTTACCTAAAACTGAAGCATGCGGTGTGGGAGAGCCCCGTCGTACGGAACGACGGGGCATGTAAAGTGCAATTCATCACGGATCATGGGGATCTCTCAAAGAGATCCGAAAAAAGATGAGAAACCAACAACGACGATAGGTGGGGCTGGGATGAATACCTAGAGTACCTCTTGCTGGAGCGGATGCGCCCATGCCCTTGCCCATGCTGGTGGTGGTGCTGACTCTGTTTCTGTGCTGGGCTGGGCTGCGCGGCGCGGGCTGCGAGCCATGCATGTCCGAAGTCTGAGCGCTAGACCCCTTCCTTCTTTCCCTGCCACGCAGACGGACCGCTATGCGCCTCAGGCTGGCGCAGAGCTCGCCCGTCAGTGGCTGCCCTGCAACCTATCGCCCTGTGCACGACGGGGAAGGGAAGGCCGGGATACGGAGGCTGGCTGACTGACTGGCTGGTTGGTCTCACAGCGCTGTCGCTGTCGCTGTCTCTTCTCTGTCTGAGAGGCTGGAGGGCCCCACCCCCTCCCAAGGCGTGCCCCTCCTGCAACTGGCCCTTCCCGTCCTCCCACGTTGCCCTTGTCGTTGTCCCCAGGAATGTCTGCCAGGGTAGGTAGGTAGTGTATCGGGTTCATTTCATTGTATTGCTTGCTGTCTCTGTATCTTTCTTCCATGTGTCTTGCCCTCATGCCTGCCTACCCCAACCCACGGTAGGTAGAGAACCCCTTTGCCCAACAACATACGACGAAAGAGACAGAGATACATAGGACTCTCCACCTCCTTACCTCTGTTCGCGTCCTCCACATTACCCATCGTAAATCCCTACTTAGTCGGGCCCTATCTTCGTTTGGTCATACTTCCCAGGGTTGATTACTCTTCCAACAACAGTCAGACGGCGTATTCCGCTGCCTGCGCCACCCAAACTTTCGCCCACGATGGCTTCCGCCGCCGAGTCTTGCGACAAGGCTGATGCTGCCTCCGAGAGCACAGCCAAACCGCTCAACTTCCTTGACCTTCCTCTCGAAACCCAAAAAGATATCTTCAGCCATGTTAGATCGATTCCTCCATTCCCTGCTCTCGCATGCGATCCACAACCACTGACCTTTTCCCAGTGCTGTCAAAGCGACCTCATCTGCCTCGCCCTCGTCTCCAGGCACTTTCGCGAACTAGCTGCCGCCCAGCTCTATCGCAACTTCCACATTGTCTTCCCCGATGAAGATGATCCGTCCTTCGATTCTCCCATCGACAGTTTGGCTGGTGGTCTCGAGACCTTCGTGTCCAGCGACTACAACTATGCCCAGCATCTGAGGGACATCTCCCTCGACACCCTGAGTGCCGGCGACAAGGCTGAGGCCGCCTACAAGCCCTACCTGTACAGCGCCAGCTGCGGCAAGTTTATGAACACCCTGCTATTGTTGACACTCAAGAATGCAAAGTCGCTCGAGACTTTTAGGTACGTCCGACAGGCGCCGACTCGCAGCTCACGCTGACCCTCGCAACACCAGATGGAACATCCGAGTCGAACTCAGCCGCCCTGTGTACAAGGCCCTACACCAGATTGCGCCTCTGAAGAACCTCCACATTCGAATGCAGGCCGGCCCGTCTCTCTTCGAGATACCTCCCCCCCTGCCGTACACATCGAGCCTACCTCCTCAGCCTACCTCGACCCAAAATCACTGGGATCCTTTGCCGGCTTTCTCTGCAGTGCCGCCGCCGCCTCCGCCTTTCGCAAGCATGTCCTTGCCCCTCCCACCTCCGTACAATCCTACTCTTGGCCCGCCACCCCCCTTGCCGCCAGCGTTGAGGCCCGCGCCTAGGAGTAGGCGGAGGATATTGGCCAACGAGCCTGCGACGTTGTCGGGCTTCCGTAAACTGAACTCACTTGCCGTTCTCGATATCGATTCTCTGGATATCGTTACCGAGATCAAGTCCTGCGTGCGCAACTCAGCCTCCACTCTCACGAAACTGAAGCTGTCCTTCTCCACACATCTTGCTTCCCAATCCCGAAAGCCTCCTCCCGAGGCCGACCCCGACGATTCCGATCAGGATGGCGAGTTTCAAGTCGTTCCCATGCCCTCAGCGCCCGGTTGGGATGAGGCGAGTGGACCAGCAAAAGCATTTCGTGCACAAGAAGAGCGCAAGAGCCAAGAGTCCGTGCTGGGTAGGGTGTTCGACGTGGAGCCATTTCTCGTCAAGAGAACACAGCGTAAGACCCTGAAGGGCAAGGAGAGGGTCGACACGACTGTGAACACGAAGGAAGCTGGATCACCTGCAGAGGCATTCATGGAAAGACTTCGAGAGGTTTCGACGAAGCTCATGGCGAGCGTAACGGACGGCGACGCCGATGATGGCTCGAAGCAAGAAATCCTGGAGATGATAGAAAAGGCTAGCAGGAAATATCTGGAAGCAGAGGAAGCGAGGACGGCGGCTGCGACAAAGGCGGAAACCAAGATGGAAACCGGGCCTGGGACCTTCCATGCAACCCCTTCGGCTCCAAGTACAGCGGATGCTAGCACTCAGCCAGCCCCTAGTATTTACGTCTCTGAGCCTTGCCCAGTCGTACCGGAGACCAGCACGAAGCCGAAAGCGAGCTTTGGAACAGATGCCAACCCCGAGGACATTAACGTTGAGGAGCCTATCGCGACTGAGGAGACCGATGAGCCTTTGGATATCAAGACTGACCAGAACAAGGACGAACCCGTGGCAGTCCCCAAAACCATTACTTCTCAAGCTCAAGATGCCGCGTTCGAATCGCCAACGACGGCTCGAGCTGCAGCAACCTTGGCAACACAAAAGACAAATTTCGAGACATTGGTTCTTCGCCTGCAATACCTCCTTTCTGAGGCTGCTAGCGTACATGAGAAGCTTGATGGTTTGCGGAATACATATCCTCAAGACAGAGACCGCATTCGGTCTGGGGAGAATCAGTTACAGGGCTACTACCGTGATATCGACAACGTACGCACTGAGCTAAATGCGACAGAGGCTGAGATCCGCGACGTGGAAAAGCAGGTCAATGGTATAGCCACCACGGCTCACGGCGAAGATGAAGTAATGAGCGAGTACATCCGGTCGACGAGAGGCGTAGCATTGAAGTCATTTAGTGTCCACCTGGTCCCAGTCAAAGCCTCCGTACTCAGGGCAGCTATCGACGTACGGGCTCTCAGGAGACTGACCTTGCTGAACGTCGGCAACCAAGCTCCGATTTGGACAATGTTGGCCAAGGAAAACAAGGTCCAGCCGCTCCCGCTGCGAAAGATCTTCACAGACAACGTATCCATCACTTTTCTCACGTTTGCGGGCCAGCTGGAGCAAATCACCGAGCTCTTCATGCTGGAGCGGTCGGCCAAGTATAAGCCAGAGAGCTTCGCGCCAAAAACCAACGTTGTCATGGACCAGATCCGTCGCCTCGTTCTCAAGAAGCACATGCCAACTCTCAACAAGCTAATGATTAAGAACGATTCTGGTCCGAGCTGGGACGTTGACGAGAAGGCCATGCTACTGATTTGCAATCGCGGAAAGAAACTTGAAGAGCTAGCGGCGGCGGTTGGGATCCGCGCTATCGTAAGTCATCCAAGCAGCCTCTTACTCTTTGGACATTTTCTGATCACTTCTACAGCACGTCTTCATGCAACATATCGCGGGGCTCGTGAGTCTCCGTGCTTTGAATATCACGCAGTTCAGAAATGACGACACTTGTGTCTGGGTCATGCGTGAGACTCGGAGGTTCATCGTCGACAACCTCTGCCACTACCCATATTTGAAACTCGAGTGGATCTCCATTGATGATGACCGGGTCGAGCGCATCATCCGTCCGCCTCCCCAGACGCCTGCCGCCAAGGCGGAAGAGAAAAAGAACAAGAGGGGCAAGAAGAAGACTGGCGCAAGCGCTTCGTTCGGGACCTTCGGCGGCGCCGGGACCGCCACTGGCACTGGTGGGTCCGGGGTCTTCCCGCCGTTGCCTCTGCCGGGGTGGGAAACAGACAGTGATAGCGATGATGAGGATACTGACATCGTGGCCAACACAAAGCTTGAAACGGTTGAAGGTGTGCACTTCTACGATGTCTGGGACGTCCGAATATTCAAAAAGGAAGTCATGACAGGCCGGCTGTGATTTCTTGATAGACAGATGGACCAGGGTCACAAACCATGGCTGTTCATGATGCTTTGGCTCATGCCGGCCGTCCGCTTTGTTGTGCAATGGGAATTGTACATCCTGCCGAAATATGACATGTTTGAAAGTGAGGGCCGCGATAGGATTTACAAAAGGATCGGAGTTGATTGGTTTTCTAGGCAATATCTCTTGGATTGGATCATCTGGACAATACCCCGGCACTAACGGATCGAAGCCTGGCGTACATGGTATGGAAGCTGGAGAGTTTTTGGTTTTCCTTGCCCAATAAGCAAAAGGCTGTTATTAAGCAGTATGAATCTGCGAAGGAGAAAAGCAGCAAGTTTTCTGTGCCTAGTAGTGGTCTTCTCACCTTCTCTCGTGCCCTTGCCTTATAAACATCCGAGGATTCTTAACATACTTGCATATGTATACTAGGAGCCCGACCCGATCCCATTACCCAGTATCCTGCTTGCCAAACGCCGCTACCAATAATAAGAAAGAGTGCGGTTCACAACCTAACTTGGTTTAGACAAACAGCTCGCCATCTTTTTTGTCCTGGGTGTTGGGGTTGACGACCCCGTTTTCGTCACAGAGGCTGACGAGGCGCGTCGTGTTGTCGTACGCGGGGAACAGAGAAGGCAGGCCGCCGGCCTCGAGGTCATCGTACTCAAGGTCAGAACCGGAGTCGGGCTCGAGCTCCCCCTGGGCCTCCAGCTCGGCCATCCTCCTCTTGAACTCGGCCAGGCCGTGGGCATACCGGGCGTCGATGGGGCCGGCCTGGTCCACGGCGTCGTCATAGCCGTACTCCAAGAGGTTGCAGAGGGACTTGCGGGTAAGGGCGGCGAGGATGAGGCACTCCTCGGCCTTCCGCATGAATTTGTTATGGGGGCAGGAAGCAGAAGGGGAAATGTCAATGCCAGCGGGGGCAGCAGCGATGGCGCTGGCGCCGGCGATCAGATCTCTGATATCGAAGAAACCCATGATAGTCTCTTGGAAGGGGACGGCGAAATCGTTGAAATCGGCGATGATGCCCTGGGCATAGATGAAGACTTGCTCTGTGGGGGGTTGGTGTCAGTTGTATGTGCCATGAGCTTGGAGTATTATTGACCCCTCCAAAATACCAAAGAGCACCAGAAGGCAACCAAACCCAGGAGACAAGACTCAAGGTTGAGAGGGAGGGAAGAAAGGGGGCAAGATCAGAGTATACGGGAAAGAGGGGGGAGACTCACTGAACTCAGAGACGAGCTTGGTCAACTTGCCCTCGTGCTCGGCCAGCTTACCCTCGCGTTCTACCATCTCCTGCTGTATCTTGATGCGAAGAGAGCGCTCGCAGAGGACCCAGATCGAGAGAAAGACGGTGATGAGCTCGAGACAGATGGTCCAGAGCATGGCAAGGAGAGGCGGCTCGTTTCGATCATCCACCTCCTCGGGCGAGAACAATAGTGTGGCGAAGGTGAAGTTGAACATGTTGAGGGTTGCGTGGGTTGCTTCACGAGGAGATCCCTGGGTGATCTGGAGGTGGAAATAAAGGTTTACTAAAACGTGATGATGAGATTTGCTGGTGGGGGAGGGGGACCATTGCTGTTTTAATCTCAAATACGAAGGGCCAAGGCGAGATTCCTGCAATTCTTTGGTGAGTGGAGGCGGACGGTGTGAGAAGCCGATTTGCGTCTAGGGGGTTTTGTTGCTACGAAAAAGGGGAAACGGGATCAGAGGCCGGTGAGTGAGAGCCGAGAAGGGACGCTTTTTGTCTAGTTGCTTCATGCTGGGGTTTGATCACTTTTCCACCTTCACTCAGAGGCTTGTTGTTGTCCTAGGAAGCCAACTCAGATTATGTGGCCTAGCTGGCCTATCACTCTACACAAAGGCTCCATATTCTGTTTGACTCCTTGGTTTCTTCACAGTCCTCAAAGCCTCGGCTTGAAGTGGCTCTGAACAAATCTCAAGTAGATACAGATCTTATTTTTCAGACTGATCCCCGTAGCGTCGTGCACGAACATTGTGAAGAACGTTTGAGAAAACATATGAGCAAACGTAGCGTTTCCCCCCTTGATGTCCTTGTGGGAGACAGTGGAAAGACTAGGACACGATTTTGGGTTGCGTATCTGGTCAGTTATGTGGACGGCTGCTGCAGATACACGGCTTGGGTATATATCACCATAAACTGGCAAGGAGATGCTCCGAGTTGCCTGGCACTTTACCCTAGGACTCCAGTTAAGACAACCGCTGGATGCAACTTTACGTACTTTTTTTCATAACGGGGCCAGACAGCTCATCTCACACAATGCTGTGTGTGTTGTACTGTTAAGGGGTATCAAACTTCTATTCATTCTGGTCATCGGCCACTAGGCAAGACACATATTGCGTAGCCTTGACGATTATGCTGTCTTCTGGTCCATCAACGCCATAAGTTCGTCTTCCTCGTCGGCCTCCCCAGCTCGTCTCCTTGCTTCTCTCTCGATAACACCCCTCGTAATCATCCCACCGGCCAACAAGCCTGTCTCCTTAACCCCTCTCACCCAGCCCTCAAGGCTCCTCATCCCCACGACAAGAAACCCGAGCTCCTCCCTCTCGACGTCAAACACCTCCCACCACGCCACCTCGGGCATCTTCGCTCCGGCTTCTCGGGCCGCAATGTACACCGCCGCCGTCGCCAGCGCATGCGGCTGATGTGTGAGATAGAGCATTTGCGGGCTCAGCAGCGCCGTGTTCAGGTGTGCGATGACCCGCGCCGCCATCTCGCTCTTGGGTCCCCCCACGAAGTCGAGCGCCTGAAGGTACGTCACGGCCAGCGCGTGCGGCAGCGCCACTGCTGTATCGAATCCCAGGGCCCACAGAATACGCGCCTCGGCCGCTAGCATCCGCGTCTGGAAAGCAGCGTACTCGCCGTCCGTCTGGTAGTACGTCGTCGGGTCCGGGCGACGCTTGTCAGGGTCCGGGGGCTCGCCGCGGAAGAGGGGCGACGCGGGCGAGAGAAGGTAGGCGTAGACGTTTGAGATATCGCGAGTCGTGCGCGGGAGTGGTCCCATCTTGGAGACTAGGTAAAGGGCTGCGGCCGATACGTCCTAAGAACTCCTGTTAGTGGCCTGTCGTGAGTGTCTCGTGAGAGCAAGATAGGGGCGTTTACGCTGAATTCCCCTGCCATTGGCGACTCCACGAGCCAGTACCGTGCCAGAAGAACGTTTGCTTGCGCTGTTGTTGATTGTGGCAGGTCAAGCAGCACGCCGGCGGCCTGGGTTAGACACTGCGTCGCATAGAAGATAACATCCTGCAGGTCGGCTGGGAGAGAGCTAAAAGAATTGCGTTTGTAGAGCTGGTCAGCCGTGGCCAGCGGATTGGTCATATGTGCCATCGTTTGCGCCTCGATATATCGTCGCCACCGTCGTCTTTGGAGGTTCCCACCAACAGTCAAAGGCTGAAGAATAGTTATCGCGAGGCTGAAAGTGTCGGATATAGATGTCGCTGTCGTCCGAAATCCGGGTTTCTCATTGGTCGACGCTGATAGCTGTCAAGACAAGTTAGTCAGGCGCGATGCCGTGTGTGTCGTCACTTTGGCTGAGGTCGGACGAGCAGTGCGGCCAGAACAGAAGCAACTGAAGGCTGGCCCGAGCTCCCCTCTTCTTGCGGTCCAGAGAGCCCCACTTCTCTCCTCCGCTTCGGCTTAGCGTTCCCACGCTCTGGCCTCACAGGCAGACTTAGGCTCTTGAGACGGTACCTGAGGTTTTGGCTGGCTGGTTACGAAAGGGCTCTGGGCCAATTCAAGGCAGCTGCGTGGAGAAAGGCTCCCTGGTTCCTCGACACCACGCTTCGCAATCCCGCCCAGCTTGCGAACCACACGAGGGCGATTAACACAACATCGGTCTACCAGGACATTTCATCCGATATACCTGGAACAATTCGCAGCCGACTTGGTCAATGGATGGCCTGACATCTCGAATACCAAAGTGACCCGTCCATACCCTTCTTCCTCTTCCCCGCATCGGCTTAGGTAGTCGGCCAGTCGTGATCCATCCACCCAACCAACCATCGACAACACCGAACGCATCGCACACAGGCAATAACGACGAACGACGACGAACGATAGGAACGCCGCTACGATCATGGATTACAGCGCCTCCATCAATGACGAGGCTGGCGCATCACCCTGGGGCAACTCACCAGGCTCCTCGCCCCGGCCCAACCAGAGCAACTTCGCATCTCTCGGGGCTGACCTGAGCGGCGATCGGCCTGGCTCCCCTTTTGGCTACACACCGAGCCCCGGCGACGCAACCCCACAGGGCCATGAGGGCTTTGGTGGTGAGCAGTACAGACGGCCGGATACCGCGAGCACCCAATCGGCGACCGAGGTGGAAACACAGGAGTCGAGGACCGAAGTCGGCTCAGAAGCCCGGAGCGTCGAAAGCCCTGGACCTGAGCTGCCGCAGAAATCGCAGGAACAAGGAGGTCCGCCGAATGCGGGCGGACAGTCCAGCCGGGATCAGCAGCCTCGCAAACCCCAGCAACCTCAGTTCAGACTTCAAGCCAAGATTACCGGCCTAGAGCGAACCGGAAAAAAGGACCCCATCTTGCGGTTCGACGTTCATGTAAGGAGCATTCCCGTTTGGAGATGCGGTGGGGTAACGATGTCTGACAAGAGCTGCAGACAAACCTCCCGAGATTCCGCACGACCCAGTACCGCGACGTGCGCCGCTTTCACTCGGAATTTGTCAAGCTGGCTGAACACCTCATCTCTGCGAACCCCGAATGCCTGGTACCAACGGTACCTCCCGCCGTGACATCAGCCGGCGCCGGCACTGACGAGGACGAAGCCCGCGTGAAGGCCTTGCTACAAAGGTGGTTCAACTATGTGTGCAGCAACGAAGTCCTTATGAGGGACGATGAGATGGTCCTCTTCGTGGAGAGTGATTTTGGTTACAGCCCTATGGTCAAGATGAAGCAGCCGGCGACCGGCGTGCGCAGGAAGATCTTGAAGCAGTTTGCGCCTCCGCCAGATGACACCCCTGAGCTCCAGGAGGCTCGCCCGATCGTGAAGCTCTTCTACTTGGGAACCATGGATGCTGGCCACAAGGTTGATAAGCTTGTAAAGTCTCGCCGAGGTAAGTCCACGTCAATTCAGCCCCGATAATGCGCCTTCTTCACCGGTCTGATATCATCCAGGTCTTGGATTGGCCGAGTCTGACTTTGGCGTCAAGCTTGGCTCAATGCACATCCAAGAGCCCCATCAGGGTCTCGCCAACGCCTACCGGAAGCTTGGTAAGATTGTGCAGACGGTTGGCGATTATCACGCTGCACAAGCAACCGCAGAGGCCACCACTATCGGTGATCCTTTCCAGTACCATTCGCAGGACGCCTTTATCGTCAAGGAGACACTCACAAACCGGCAAATCCTCATTCGCGAGTTCCTCCAGGCACAGGAGAACACACGCAGCAAGCTCAACGCCGCCGATCGCCTCAAGGCGAGCTCCAACGTCAGACGCGAAAAGGTCGATGAGGCCATCACTGCCCTTGATGATGCGCGCCAGAACGAGACCTACCTCTACCAGAAGACGACCCGTGTCACGCAAAACCTGGTGCAAGAACGGCGGAAATGGTTTGCAAGAACCGCAGCGGACCTGCGACTTAGCATCAGAGAGTATGTCATTCGCGAGATTGAGGCGGAACGACGTGCTCTTGCCGTGTTGGAGAGCGTGAGACCGGACATTCGTGCCATCGATGCATCTGGCGGTCTGAGTCGACTTGGGCGCGAGTCTCACCCTCCCGTAAGAAGGGCCGCCGTAGCTGCTAGCCAAGGACCCAAGGGTGATGCTTGGAGCGGTGTTCCACGACGTACCGACACGATGAACCGTAGCGTGTCCGGAAGTCTTATTGCGGGCCTCCCCGAGGAGGGAGATGGCCACGACGGACAAGGTACAGGACAGAACCAGGGCCTCGGCATAGCGGGTGGCCGGGCGAGTCTTTCCGGTGTGGCAGAAGAAGACGACGAGGACCGGGTGGATGCGAGAAACGCGGCAAGCCGATTGGCGACTAGCACCTTTTGATGAGTCGGTCACGCCAGTTTGTTTGCGAGGGACGGGCGACGGAAAAGGCGCCCGACGAAGGGAGGGGGCAACCTTTTGACCAAGCGAGACCTTTTTGGCTTTGGTACAGGCGCTTTTCAAAAGCCCTCGCATGACGTGTAATGCTGTATCCGTCCTGTATGTGCTCCCCTACACATAGATTCCCAAAGTATGAGCCTTTTGTTCTTCCCCCCACCCCATATCTCTCTGTGAGTTCATTTATGCTGCAGCTCGCGCCGGGTGTGACCTGGCACAATGGCGAATATGGATTCCGCAGTCTTGTAGCTCTCCTCATGGGCCTGGAAGGGGGGTGTGGAAGGGGGGAACAGGTCGGTGTCTGGGTTCCGATGGTTGTGGTGGTGGTGGTGACGGTGGCGGCGGCAGCGGCACGTCCTCTAGAATTCTCGATTGTGACGCTAGAGGTGGAGAATACATTGGTCCGTTACCTTTGCCTTTTTTTGCCTTGAGTATGCAGTGGCATATGTACGTACGCCATGCATATAACTGCTATCTTGGTTTATCTATGCTGCTGTTGCTGTCTCTCTCACTACTGCACCAATGGCATCCACTCGCAGCGCTTTGCAAACTGAGTTGTCACGTCTCCTCGCCGCACCGTACCGCACCGGACCGCGTCGCACCGCATGGGCTATTGTACCTCTCCAATACCAATTCGGCCCATTTGACCTGCTGGCTGGGTCCATTGGCGGTGTGGGAGGGAGGGAAGGGGGGGAAGCACCGCCGAGTGTAGAGCTGCGGTGCGGTTCGCGACGCTGGCACGTTTGGCTAGGTCTACCCTATCTCCCTGCCCGATTGAATGATGCCAATTAGACGGCAGTCGCTGAATGCACATGCCAAACTTCTCCCAATGCAACGAAGACAAGATTCACATGCCTCGACCCCCCCCCCCCCCCCCCCAGGGAGACGAATTGGATGATTGGGAGGCGCCGAGAGGGGAAGATTGGACCGCGACAGCGGGCGAGGGCCAGATCAAAAGGTGTCATCCATTTCGTGCTGCTAGTGGCGATTCCGGCGTCGGGCGGGTTGCGTTTGTTTGCTTTTGGCCCCATTGCCTGGCCATTGTTTGATGCGTTTTTTCCCAGGTCCCGCTGATTCTCATATGATACATCAGCTATCGAAACGTGAGTTGATCAGGGTATAATATTAGATCGCGGCAGTCCTCCGGCTTGTCCGGTGAGGGGTAGCATGCACCTGCCTAAGAGGCACATCAAGCTATCAGGCAGACCGATTTGGCTGTGTTTGTCGGGGCCGAGACGACTTCGGCTTCGTGTACAGACATCACCATCATTCCCGATGCCGTTGGGTCAGGTCGTCTAATGCAAGTAATCAGGGCACGGCTTCTCTATTAAGTGTTATCCTACGCCGGTAGTTCTTCCCGTGGCTCTTCTCCAGCGAGGTTGGTAGGGCTTGCCATCAGCATGTGGCTTTCCCCTTTGAACCCCCTCAGTGTATGGCAATGTGATTCCTGTCAAGCATCTAGATGAGCCAGATTTTCTCACTCAATCTATCTGGCGTCTGTGTGAGCGATGCGAACACGTTTCAGTCGGTTCCAGAGATCGGATAGATCCCTCGCTGAAAGCTTACCAGCGAGGTCGCGTCGAGCTTCCCACTTAGCTTACGCTTTCTTGTTGGCATGGAGTAATTGAAACAAGATCGTAAGCTGGCTGCTCCAGGAAGCGTTGAACGGATCGAGCGCCTGCGAGTAGGGAAATTCAGAGAGACACAATACACTATTGATGTAGCGAATTCTTCGCACAGCTTTGTCATTGCCAGCTCCCAGAGTTGACCCCGCCCAATGCCTCTTCTTAATTGCACGCCTAACCAGTTGAAACTGCTGATTATTCTTCATCTGAGAGCATTGGATCCGGCAGGGATCAACTTCTTCCTCGTCCAAGACAAGCTCGGCGAGGCGTGTGCTAGTACCAAAGAAGCCAGGCGAAGTCATTTCCCGTTCTTCCAGCATGTTTAACTCAGGTGCACTCGACTTTTGTCTGCGAGGCAGAAGGACATCGTCGGCTAGTTCTCTGCATCTCGCTGAGCGAGCAAAGCGCCCTACTATGGAAGGAAGGGCCACAGTCAGCGGTTGGGATTGCTTCCCAAGAAACTCCACCTCATATTCCAAGGGACCCAGAACCGTTGGCGGAAATGGTTCTGTGCGATCCGATTGAGCGAGGATGCAGGGCTTCTCCAAATGCGGCATTCATCTCCAAATTTCTCTAGGATCGTGCTTCCGAGCGGCCGTCGCATACGATGAATAGACAGCTCGCGCAGTCGAAATTGCTTGATTGCTTTCATGAGAGCCACCGAGATGCTCGACGAATCGTTTCGGGTGACGCCAAACAAGTCGATCTTGCCACTTCGAGGGATTGGCCGCCCGGCTCAGGTTCTCCAGGCGATGCGGCTAGGAAAGAGATCATCTGTTTAGAATAAAGAGCCTCGCATATCCTATGGTTAGGTATTGAAAACAAGGCCGCGCATGACGCTACTGCGTGTCACACAGCGATGTCATGGCAGTTCCCCAATCCCCAAGCGCCTGGAGTGGGAGATGTTCCGTCTACTGTAGCAAGAGACCAGGGATGCCGCATGTTTTTATCGCCCATCCAAGCGGCTTGACGAAAGGTGGTGATCCTCGACATCCAGATTAATTGTGAAAAGCGGCTCAGGACGAGTGACTCTGTTCGGCTAATTTTCAGCACTACGCATTTGCAGATCCGACCAACTTCGTCATCAGGACGGGCGGAAAGAGTGATGGCTGCATCTCCGGGTTATCGCTACTGTTCTCTTGCTTGCCGTGTTCCCACTCAGCGAACGGCGCAATCATGGGTGTGAGTGGCGGCTCCCATCTCAAGACGGACCATCCCATCTCACCTTGTAGTTTAGATGGCTGGTATTTGGCAGCAGCTTGGGAAAGCCTCCTATTATGGTGGGGGAGATGATGCACTGTGGTCTGAGCTTGGCATGGATGGCCATGTGCAGAGCTGTCTTGTCCTACCGGTAAAACAGAGTTGCAGATGCAGTGTACCCGCATACTGTTCACCATCCATTCATCAGTTGGAGAAAGCCAGCCGTGACAGCACAAACGGGGTGGAGTTGAATGCCGTCCTGGCAGATGGCGGTAGCCATGAACCGTTGCCTCAACTATGCCGGTGTAATGCTAGCAGTGGTCCAAAATTTCGTTTTTTTGTTTGTTCAATTTTTATAGCCAGGTGCAATTATAGACAAGGCTTGCTGTCGTGCTCGGGCCGGATTAAGCAAGGTCGAAGTTGGTGAAGGAGGCATAGCTTCCGCCAGCTTCCGCCATGTCCAATGTTCGGTGGGGATTAGGTATGGTATTCCTTGGCTTCTTGGTCCAAGCTCTCGCTGGGGTCGCAAGGGGTATCCCAGGAGGGGCAGCAGTTCTCGACAGGGACCTTGAGGGCCACACATGTAGGTAGCAAGCGTCATCAACAGTGCCGGAGACTGCGGGTTTCTGATCAAGACGGTGCCAGGTTCGAAAGGCAAATGACATCCGCGGCAATGAAGATCTCGCCAGTTCTACCTCCAAGCTCAGAGTGATGAACTAACACAATCGTTTGGATGTTGTCAGCCAAGAGGGGCGACAAGGAGAGGACGGACGAACGCTATCAACGGTTGGCAGAGTAGGTACCTGAGATGGGGCAGGGGGGTCGGCATGGCATCTCCAATTCTAGAATGTCGACAGCCCGTTAGCAAGGGTTGGCAGAAAAGAGGCAAAGCAGGGCGGCAAAAGCCATGCAGCTTAGCTTCATGTGCAGAGGCGAGAGAGGGGAATGCGTCCAATTTGTCATAGTCGCCGGTTCGTCCCGTGTCAGAGTTCGGATGTTCGTCTGAGTCCGTGGCAAGATGGGCCGATCTATGCTGCCCTGATCTATGATGAGCGGGAAATGAATAGTGAGGAGCCTGGCTCGAAAGGAAGAGAGTGAATATGATATGGATGGTATGGTAATGATGGGCGAAAGCGGTTGAATGATTAGAAGGAGTGGTGTGTATTCCGTACCTACCCTACCTGCCAGGAAACAGACGCAAGGATACAGCTCCTCCTAGGTACGTACCTAGGTACAGGCAGCTACACCCTGGCCTGGGCAGCTTCCGCGAAAGTGGAAAAACAAGCAAGCGGCAGGCATTGAGCGGGCCATCAGTGGCCCTTTTCTTCAACAATGGCAATGACGGCGGCAGGGTTTCAATAAGCAAGAAGTCGAGCAAGCACACAAGGGATACGCGAGACGAGGGAATTGCTCTCTTGTGGTCCCTCCATCCAAACCCATTGGACGACAACGCATCCTTCGACGGTCCTATTCAGACGTTGTTCAGTTCTCTGACCCAACGACAACGGGCCCAGTGTTACGGCAACAGACGTACCGCCTCGTTTTCCGTTTTTCAACATGTCCATGCCGCTCGTTCGATTACCTGCGATGGAAGACTCTTGGCATCACTCCCATAAACTATCCCGTCTCAAAAGCTGTCAAGGGTCTCGTCTGTCTGTCCTTGTCGACCTAAGGGGCCTCCGATAAACGGAGCGGAACTGGACTGGGTAGTCCCGTTGATTAAGGACAAATCGATGCGCTCAGAGAAAGCCACGACTCGTTACGCCATCGGAAGCATCCTGCGGCACCTCAGCCGGCTGCATCGTCCCTTTTCACTTGCCAGCCTATCCTTGATGCCCTCTCTCACCGTCTATCTACTTTGCTGCTACGGTACTACCTCATACCCGTTCACAGACTCGTCCTCTCCTGGCTGACTCAATGCATACATTGCCTCATCAAGCGCTCTTTGCCCATCATCTCTCGCAACTCATCAGCGATTGCCCGCATATCTGTCACGTCGAGAACCCCTTAGCAGATCAAGGGTGTACTGCCCATGGCACCAACCTTGTTCATCATCACACCTCCTCATTTCCTCCCGTGTCGCCCTCCATCCGCTCCGGCTCTTGGAGCATGCATCACCGCTGCAGCGACCTCTCCCCCCTCCTCTTCTCCAATTCACCCCTCCTCTCCTCTCTATCCCTGTCGTCTCCATTCCTTTCCGGGCCCTTGCTCCCGGGTACCTCAAACCACCCATACCTCAGCTAGCTGTCTCTACCTTGCCCGTCATCCTGGCTCTTGCATGTGGCCTTGTTGCCATCGGAACGAGAGGAAGAAAGAGACCGAGGGGGGGGAGAGTGTGTAATTTTTCTTGCGATTAACCATTGTCAATACCTGCTCTCTCTCCACCGACTAGTAACCCGAGACAGGCATAGTTTGTTACCGCAACCTGCATCAGACGCACACAAGGCAATGAGACCGTGGCTATCAAGTTGGAGCTCATGCATGGCCTATACCTGTCACCGCAGTGATGCCATCCGGGCCATCTTATCACGAGCCACTAGTCCTTAATCTGTAGTCGGCTCCCATGCCATGTTGCGAAAGATTCGGAACTGGCTCAATAGGGGGCCCAGCCGAGTCACCGCAAATGGTCAAAAGTTACTTCTATCCGACCTCCTTTTCACGAGCCCATCGTCGTCCATCGACCAATACCCTCACGCCAGTACGCCCAGTCCTACATATGCTGCCCAAATGCGGGCACCTTGTAGCCCGACATGCTTTGTCAAGTCTTGTTCCCTGCCGGGCCATGTACCGCTCAAAGTCCTTTTCATCTATCTCTCCCTCCGTCATGAGCCGGTCTGGTACCAGTCAAGGGTTGTCCTGCCGAATGTTGAGGTAGCTACGTCGCTCTAAGTCTCTTGCATATGATTTCCCGAGATTACACGTACGAAGAAGCTGCTAGCTTGGCTCCGATAACTGGTCGATGTTTGGTTGGGCGAACTTGGCCAACGTTGCTCCCCATGGCCCCCTTTGATAGGTATCCTCAGGGGCCGCGGCGCCTGCCCGTCTGCCCGTTGACCCTAGAAGGCCCTTGCAATACGATAATCACTGATTGACACCACCATAGACATCATATATCAGGAAGAGAGGCCCGAGTCGGGCAAGCATCCAGGCTACTTAAGGGGTGGCGGGCTACGACACCTTGAGCCAGAGCTCTCCTGACTCTCTATCTACTCCTCCGGTTATCTTGCCATTTCTCCCAAGTTCTCAAGTAATAAATCCACTTGCCCACCGCCGTCACCCCACGGCCATCGTCTTAGCTCAAGCCAACCGTCCTCATCCCACGAGAAACCCTGCCCTCCATCTTCGTGTCCCTGTTACCCCCCAGAAACCAACAATCCAAGGTGAACCTATCAGTCCTCGAGCCACGAGCCACCCCGCGTTGGCGCTCTCTTGGTTACCTAGAACCCTCGCCTCGCTATCCTCATCACCCTTTGCTGCCGGCACCCCTCATCAGGCACTTGGCCAATCCCGCTGAACGAACCCTCCCTAATAGGAAGTTCGACCAAGCCCCCTTCGCTACCCTGACCTCTCACCAACCCTACATCCCACGCTTCACCCCACGTCGCCAGCGTCATCTACCCTCAACATGGCCCCAGTTGCAACGGGAGAGATGGCGCCAATGCATCTACCCGTCTACAAGTCAAGGTCTTCCTCCGTCACTGCCTCTGTCTTGCATGGCCCAAGGGATTTGCGATTGGTAAGTGCTGCTTCTTGGTATGAGTTATGACGTGGAGAAGGTGGGCTTTGTTACACAATCCCCCACGTCGATCCCGTCGCATCCCGTTACCTCGAGTCCCTCCGCCCCGCTTACGACATTGTTAAATCTAACGACGCCCACAGGAAACCAGAACAATCGAAGAACCAAGCGCTGGAGAGCTGCAGGTTGCCATCAAGCGCACCGGGATTTGCGGGTCCGACGTCAGCTATTACAAGAAGTTCGCCAACGGAGACCTCTGCGCCTGCCATCCTCTTTCTCTGGGCCATGAGTCCTCGGGCGAGGTCGTTGCCATCGGACCCCAGGTCACAGGCTTCAGGCTGGGGGACAGGGTCGCGCTCGAGGTTGGTGTCCCATGCGGCCAATGCACCATCTGCCGCAAGGGCAGGTACAATCTTTGCAAGAAGATGAGGTTCCGGTCCAGCGCCAAAAGCGTCCCTCATTATCAAGGTACCCTCCAGGAACGCATCAACCACCCAGCGGCATGGTGCCACAAGATACCAGACCACGTCTCTTACGAAGCAGCTGCGCTTCTCGAGCCCCTTTCTGTAGCGATCCATGCTGTCAACAGGGCCACGCCCGAACCGGGATCCACGGCATTGGTCATCGGAGCAGGAACCGTTGGTCTCCTGACTGCAGCAATGGCTCGCCAGGCTGGCTGTGCACAAGTCACCATCACCGACATTGATGCCGGCCGGGTCAACTACGCAGTTGAGAAGGGCTTTGCTACCCACGGCCATGTCGTCAACAGCAACTCGGGCACGTCGACACCGGCTGACCCGGGAGTGATGACGCCCGCCAGCATCTTCTCGGTCCAGAGTGCCCAGAGCAAGTTCGACGGCGCCAAGTCGTTTGCCGCAGAGATCCTCGCCCTCACCAGGGTCCCAGAAGAGGTCGAAATGGATGGCGAGGACGATGGCGTCGACGTCACGTTTGAGTGCACCGGGAAGGAGGTGTGCATGCAGACGAGCCTATACGCCACCAGGCCCGGCGGTAAAGTCATCATGGTTGGTATGGGTACGCCCATCCAGACGCTCCCACTGTCCGTCGCGCACCTGAGGGAGATCGACATCCTCGGTATCTTCCGGTATGCCAACACCTACCCAACAGGCGTCCGCCTCCTCTGTGCCAAGGGCAATAGCGGCCTCCCCTGTCTGGACGACATGGTCACCCACCGGTTCAAGGGCCTCCACAACGCCTCCAAAGCCTTTGAGCTGGCGAGCCGGACGTTTGACGACGAGGGGAAGCTGGTCCTCAAGGTCGTCATCGAGGCCTGAGCGGGAGGAGTGCGTTTCTTTCGGGGCCCACCGTCTTGTCGCTGCACCCCCCCGAACCTGATGATTGATACCACATTAGACTCTTCCTTTCTCTTCTTTTATGGCGCTTCTCAGGGGTTCTCGAGTTTAAACTCTCTTAGCTGTGAGTAAATGGGTTTAATAATTGGCCAGCCGGGCTGGTTACTGCGACGGGAGCATGAGGAGGATCAGAAAGTGCTTATAGATCTCCTTTTCCTTGGGATGTCAAGGCACGAAAAGGCTCGGTATTCAGGCTCAAAGGATAGCTTGGAAATTGAAACCGTAGGATAATGAAGCAACAAGTTGAAATCGTTTTTTTTTTCTGATTGGCTCCGTTGCCGTGAAAAGAACGAACTGCTGGAGAGACGGATGCTGTCCAATGGATTGAAAATGATTCAATTCGTTGGATCCGGGCTTTAGTTTTATAGTCTGGCTCCTCGCACGTATAGTCATGTCTACATTGTCATCCCCTGAACGCCTCTCCATGATAACCCCCTCACCCGAGCGGTCAATGATGCGCATCGATGTTTTTGACGCAATCGCTGTTCGCATGCCGCACTTTACATCATGATGTCGCCTGCGCCGGGGAGATTGAAGCTGGAAGGTCCGTAAGCGGTAAAATCAGCCGGCGCTGCTCCGCGAGTCCGACTTCGGGCGGTCTCAGCGATACCAAACTTCTTGCCCAGGTCCCGCATGCCGCTGATGCTCTGCATAAGGTCATTAAGACGCGAGGTAATGGCCACATCGTTCTCCTCGCAGAGCACCTCCTTCTCAAAGGCGTCCACGTCAGAGGGAACAACAAGGTCAAGTCGGTTGACGAGGGCCTGAATCTGGCGAAGGATCGTGTGCGAGGGTGTCGTCTGCGCACCGCTAGCGGAGGCGACGGCGGACTGCTCTAGGCCGGGGAGGTACTCGGATGGCAAGTGCTCGAGGTAGGTGGTAATGAGGCGGATGCGGCCCTGCAGCATCTTGACGGCGTTCGCCTTGGCCGTCAAGGCGGCAACCATCTCCTCCTCCTCTGGCGACAACTGAGCCTCGGAAATGCTCTCTTCACCCGACTCGTCCGCCACGACGACGCGGCGCTTTCCTCCCGTCTCGACTAGCTGGACCTTGGGCTTGGCCGAGGTTTCTTTGGAGGACTCGATGGCGGTGGCATTGCCGGCACCGCGGGCGACGTGGTCCATGCTGATCATCTCGGCCTCGCCCGTCTCAACCGTATAGGGTAGCTCGCGGAAGCGGAGCTTGAGCTTGGACTCGCCGTCGTCCATCTTCTTGTCCTCGCCATCGGCCTCGGCTGCGCGCGGGTCGTCGACCTCGTAGTTTGACTCATAGATGGACATGGGAAGCTTGCCACCAACGGTATGGCTAAAGACTTCCTCTGGGTGGAAGCCGAGGAACAGAGCAGACTCGTTAAAATCGGAGAGGAGCTGGTGGTGAATCGGGAGGATGGTGGGTGTCGGGCCATCAGTGGCGAGGAGGGTGTACCAGCCGACGAGGTCGAGGCTGCGGTCCTTGTGGACTGTCTTCACTTTGGAGGCTATCAGCGTGTCTGCACAAACGCCGAGACAGAAAACATGCACCTACTCTGTTCTAGCCTCGCCGTGAAGCGCTCAGAGTCCAGCAGGTAGCCGCCTTCTACCTCTGGTGCTTGCTTCGTGTGGCAGTCAAACGCATGCTCGATGGTAATCTCCCGACCGTTCTGTTGGCCTAGCAGGGCGCCGACAATGGGACCCGGCTGCGAGCGGAGGGTATGGCGCGTAATGTAATCGGATATGGTGAGGAGTACGAGGGGGTGGAGGACAGCCTGGAGTTCCGAGGACTTCTGGCTCGACATGAGCGGGTTGACGCTGGAGGCTGCCATGTTTGGCGTTGCTCTGGCTGTCGCCGGGACTGTCGGTTGGCGTACCCGGATTTCGAGACCATGCGAGAAGAAGAGGTAGAAGAAGGGATTATTGTGAGCAAATGAACTTTGTCGTTTTCGTGGGCATCTGTCGTCGTTTGCTCGTCGTTATCAAGGCAGTTGGGGTTGGAAATGGGGTGAAGCTGCCTGAAGGCTGCCCCGCGATGTGGGGATGTCAATGGAACGTCCAGGTAGGAGCTACTGGGCCTATCCTGGAAATAAGAGTGAGGCTGATGAAGAGGAGGCTGAGATAGCGGGCAAGCCACCATTTCAGCCATTGGCTGCGTAGCCTGGCCAATCATGTTTGTTTGGAGATAATATGGGGCCCTCTCTCTCTCTCTAGGTAGGTAGGTAGCTTATCCGTAGTTTGAAGCCATTATCCGTATTATCTATTGATTCTATGCCGGCATAAGAACATCGCTTCGTTCCAGCCTTTTACATGCATCCCCAGATTTATCCTCTCTGCATACAGCACAGTCACTTTTAACATTTGAGATAAAGGTCTTAGTGATCCGAGATGGTTTGAGACTGTCATATACTGCACACGGGAGCAGCCGTTTCTGTTCATAGGCTCTCCCGGGAATTTTGCACATGCTGCAGACAATCAACAACCGAAGAAAGTATCTTTCCATACTGGCCGGGATTTATGGATAAGCGAGTGGGTGGCTGCACGACTGGGGCGTTCACCCCTGGTATCTCATGCAGCTTCCCTGCCAAGTGGCAATCTGTGTCTTGGTAGAGAGGAGAAGTGGCATTCAAGGTGTCACAGTGGGAAAGACGTTGTGAATCCGGTCTTTCTTTCTGCCAGGCTAACCAAAGAAACCGTTGAAAGACAGACAGTGCAACACATTAGCGCCCTTCTTTCGACTTCTCTCTTTTATGTTCATGGTTTGGTACCGCTGCTGTGCCCAGTTTCCCCGTTATTCCAACATGTACGCTGCATACTCAGCAAGGCTATTGTTACCTAGTTGGGGACAGGGTTCAAATATGGATGCTTGGTCGTCCCTGCCAGCTAGCCGTGTCTCTCAGTCTCCTCGATGTTGTATCCGCTGCCGCTCCCGCAATCTGAAGACACCATCACACTCCCTCTTCCCAGCCCCGTCGACATGGAGAGCTCCCATCATCGCTTTGGCATGTTTCCTCCCGCATTGCCAACAATCCCCGCATCATACCCTCAACCTGTCACACCAGCGAAACGCGAAGATGACGATGTTCAATTCGTGTCTTCCAACCCTGTCAAAAAGAGGCGGATCGACTGTCATCAGGACACTCCGCAGTTGATCGGAAGCTCGCCGCACATGAGGCCGCCTGCACTATGTAGCCATGAGCCACCTAAGCCTGCCAAGCCGACTGCGCAGCCGGAAAGACGGGGGAGCACCGGTATGGTCGCCCCCACCCCCGCAACTCACATGCCGGACACAGACCCGATGCGAGGATGTTCCGTGCCGACTCCGGAAAGGTCTGGCTATCAGGAGACATTTTGGACCGCACCGCGTACCGGCCCGCAGAGCTCCCCGCCCGTGTCACCCAAGACACTCCCAGAGAACATCTCACTTCCCATGCTTCGGACTGATAACGCCCATGAGTCTGCAAATGGGCACCTGGAAAGTAGCGTCGCGCCAGTTGCTGGATGGCCAGGACTGGTTCAGCCGACTGATATCACAAGCCATGCGTATCAGTCATCAGCAACGAGAGATCAAGGTACGCCAAGTCAAGTACAGCCAGAGAAGCAGAATCACGCTGAGACTACAAAGGACATGGTGCCTGCCCACACGGCTCCATCGCCAGCCGGCGTCACTGATGCCGGAAAGGCCACGACTGTTATCAACGCAGTACCAGCGACAGATGCAATGATTGCATCGCAGCAAACAACCACTCTGGAGCCGACTCCGGGTCACTTTCGTACTGACAATGAGCCGAAGCATGCTGCATCTGCATCTCCACGCCACCATACAAACGCCGTGTGTTCGAAGACTACCATCACTCAATCCCAACCCCACACTCATCATTGTACTTCTTCTTCAAGTCCTGTGGTTTTGGCTACCCAGGTCGGACCTTATTATGGTGCATCCGAGACTCAGGCCGGCTCCTGTCGTGGGCGTCCTGCCTCGGGGGCGAAGGGCCCATGCCGGCAGTGTATAGAAGCGAAGATGAGGCAGCAAGCTGCCAACATGGCTGCTGCCACGACCCTCCCATCCGCCCAAAAGGCGCAGTCGCCAAATCAGACCTCGGTTCCGTCATCCGCCATTCAACAGCCATGGGCTCACCTCCTAGGGGTCAATCCTTACCATACTGCGATGGCTGGAGCTATGTACGGTCCACTGCTTCAGCAACCTTTGATGCCCGGGGCCACCGGTCCGTTTGCCGTCACACCGCAGCAGTCGCATATGCCCCCTGGAATTCCTACACACCAGGTAGGAGGCAACATGTATCATTTCGGATCTGTGTCGCCCATGCCGCAGACGCAGGCATATACCACACAGCAGCCACCAGCGAAACCGATCAAAGTAGCGACGGGAAACGTGAAGCCACAAACGGCTAGAATCCTCGACACGCAGCCCACAACGAAACACATCATCGTCGACGTCGCCGAGACCTGCTTCAACGTCTTCCCCTTTGCCGAGGTCGCAAAGCGGCACAACCAGCCGGAGCAGAAGGTCAGAGACATCTTTGCCGCCGTAATACAGTTGCCCTTGCTCCGCTGTCCCACTGACAAGAGGCGAGCCGGCAAGTTAGGCACCGCTCGGGTCAAGGAGTTCAATCAGGCGAAGAAGGAGGTCCAGGTACAGCAGGCCGACACGGGGCAGCTGCGACAGGAGTCTCAAAACCAGGCGGCGTACATGCCGTCTGCCTGGGATGTTGCGCAGTTCATGGGCCCGAGCGATATGCAGCCCGGCGGGCTTCCGCAGTATTCGGGGCTGTGGTGATGGGAAGCTCGATTTTTTAGAGGTCATTGTATTTCACGGCGTTGATTCTTCTGGCCATCTGGATAGGTATTCCGAGTCTGTATCTATACCCCATATCGCAAAACATTTCAGCTTTGTCCGCCATCAGATTACGGCCCGTTCTCCTCGTTATCTGAGGAGTGAGCACCGCCTCCCCCACCTGCTCCCGGCCATAGTACGTCACCGTACCTTTCCTCCCTCACCAGACTCGTCGCAAAGTTCTTCTGCCGCGACGAGCGTGTGTGCTCGAGCATGGCGCGCCGGAGACGGCGCATACCTTCCTCGTCCCCACAGGCCTTGGCGCGTCTGTAGCCGGTCATGAAGATGGCGTGCTCTGCCTCGTGGAGCACGCGGTTCTGGTCGTAGTTGAGAGGTCGGTGGCACGCCGCGCAGCTGTCATTGATGAAGGCCGGCTGCCATCGCTCGCCTTTGCACTGGGCGCCCGCGCCGCATTCTCGGAGGCGGGACCGCAGGACGTGGCCGCAGGACATTGTGGTCTCTGTACCTTGGCACATGGTGGTTCTGGCCGTCGTGTTGCCTGTGTCTGGTGATGGCTTTTCTGCCGCGCATAGCAGCAGAGTGTCTACTAGCAGTCGTTGTCATTCCTATTAACTTCATTCTACTGGTGTAGCAAGGTCTTGGAAGCTGCTCGCAACTTCTTGTAGTGTTTTGACACAAGACTTTCGTGTCAAAGGAGCTCATCGTGGCCATTGTGGCTTTTGTTCGATTGTGTTTGGAGACTCATTCGACCCGCGAGTGCTACTCTTTCATGAGCTGGATCGCATGGACCCAATCTCCCCTGTCAATGCACGTGAATCTACACTCCATCTCATCCCGGGTAGCGGCCTGTTTTACATCACAGATTATGTACCAAGGTTGTCATTCTTAATGGCATGCATAAACCACAGTCACCTTTGACTTAAAAGACAATGCCCGCATTAAGCATGTACAAAACAATGGGTGCTGTCATCCGCCGTCCTCGCCCCTTATTAACCCGAACGTCAAGGAAAGGAGGAAGTGCTGATAAGCGGTTGCCCGTCAGCGAATAGGACGGCATACCGGACCCACCAGTTCAGTCCAGAGGATGTGAGATGTTCCAACCAATTGTACGACAGCGCAGATAGAGTCAAACGGACATCGGACTTCAGAACCGCCGGCCCGCCGAGGCGGGAAGGGTGGGCATGTCTGCTAGAAGGCTTGTTTATCATGCAGGATACATGGGCACCCTCCTTGCAGCCTGTTATCTGTGTGATAATGAGCCGCGTTTGAGGCGTTCTGGATTCATAGATCCCGTGTCCCGATTAGCAGAGGGTTTCTCGCTTGCCTGGGGGTTTGAGAGGGCAGAGCGGTTGTGAGGTGTGCTGGAACTTGACGACAACACCTCTTGCGCATGGAGAGAGAGACATGTATTCGGAACGGAATTAACAAAGAGATTAAGTACATACCCCTAAGTTCTCGGACAGTGTGGAGAGAGAGAGAGAAAGAACATAACAATCTTTCCGAGGCCCAGATAACACGGACTCATAATAGGCGTTTCTCTTGTGGGTGACTTTGTTTTCATATGCCGTGACATCATCTTCCATCAGGGGCACGGAGGAAACCCGCCAAGTACCTAGTCAGACCCCTCCTAAGGTTATCGATAATGAAGGTGTCAAGAAAAGAGGATAGAACCAGCTCATGAGGCTGTATTCTCATCCCTAGTCTCAATGAGCTCTGTCGGAATTTCCGGACGCACCACGGCCGCTGACCTCTGTCAAAGAACCATTCTCATCAGCTCATGTCCTGACCGGCCTCGGTGGTTCTGGCCAAGTCAGCTTGACCGTCACAGCCAACGCCATCGTCGCCCTGCTTTTCATCACAGCTGTCGCAGCCTGATCCTTGCCCTTGTCGGGCCAAAGATTGCTTTCCTTATCAACGGCAGGACGTACGCACTGTACAGTGACAGGCTCCTCAACTTCCACCTTAAGTCAAACGAGACATATATGTCTCCTTCAGGGCCCAAAAAACGTCTCTGTCCCTTTTGATCAAATCCGCCAGAGGGAGTAAGCCAGGCAATTTCTCAACGGCGCAAATGGCACTCTCGTCATTGCCAACGGCGCGATCCCCGGTATCAGCTCGTCCTTGATCTGAATTATCCAGGGCGCCATCATAGCGACCTACGTTCACGAGTCGCAAAAGGGACGTGCCATTGCCACCTTCTGTATCATCCTCAACCTCGGCGGCGGCGTCGGATCGCTTGCAGCCTTTGGTCTCAACTTCGCTTCCACCACGGGTACCGTCAACGACGCGACCTATATTGCCCTCATGACTAACATGCTTTCCGGCTGAGCATTGGGCTTCTTCATCTGCTCGCCGCCACCAAGACTCGGAAACCACTCGATTCGGGGCCTGCCTGACATGGCCGTCGCAACCCTGTGCAACCGGCGCGTCGTCTGCATGCTGCCGCTCTTCTTCTGCGCCAGCGTGTTCTACCCGTACCAGCAGAACAGCATTAATGGCATGAAATTCAACATCCGTACCCGCTCCCTCAACGGTGCGCTGTACTGGATAGCCCATATGTTTGGCGGCCTCCTCATCAGCCTCCTGCTCGACCTGTCGATGCTCGAGCGGCCCGGCCCCTCCCGCTTCGGCTGGGTGCTCCTATTTGTTACCGACATGGCCAGCTGGGACGGCGGGTATCAGTTCAAGCAATGGCAGGACTCATGGCACGCGTAAGGTCTCGTATAAGATATTGACTATACCCAGTGGTCCATCTCGACGGAGCCCACATTCCTAAACATTTTCTACGGCGCCCACGACTCGCTGTTGCAGTTGTACTGCTACTGACTCATGGGTACAAAGTCCAACTAAACGGAGAGGTCTGCGCTTCTCGTGGGCGTCATGGCTTGGAAGATCAACGCGAAGCATATGAGTGTTATTGCGTAGCTTGCCATGAAGTGGGGCCTCAGCAGTTGGTTATTGCGTTGGAGGCGGTATGGAGTGTGACCAAAAGTACCAGTGTCTTGGAGTAACTCTTGGCTCAGTGTGTAACTCACGTAGACACCGTTGACACATTAAACTTCTACGTTCTTGTATGAAAAACGGGCCAGATGACTAACCGTCTTTTGGTGGATGCTTGTATACTACTATGATGACGTGCCGGACACACGTGATGCAATAAAATAGCAGCATTTCGATGTATCTACTCTGTAGGCCATGGACAGTTCCGCGATTTGGAGACGGAGGCAGACACCATGAGAGAACGGAAGCTGATGTGTTTCTGGCTATCTGCTTACAATAATTTTGAGGGAATGCTCGGCGTGATCAAATTGTAGTAAGTGAGATTACGCTCTGTCCTAGGCATGACACTGATGCAGTGGGTGGTATAGGATTAGAAGGCGTCGTCGGGAGACGGGAATCGGATATCCACTCGAGGACCGGACACCCACAGCGATCTTATCGATAAGCCCGGGCCGCGTCTCTGTCCACAAAGAGTTTAGTGAGGGGCACCGCCCCACCAAAAATTTCCTCTTCACCGATGGGGTCTGGCAGGCGGCACTGGTAGTGACTGTCTCAATCGGCGGGCTTGTTTGTGAAGATATAACGCTTGAAGATATCCTGAAACTCCGAGACCCGGCTTTGGACCATCAGCGCTATAACCAGACTCAAAATGGGCAAAAAGAGAGAAAGAGATGAGGCTAAGCCGGCTGAGGACGTGAAGATGGCCGACGACAGCTCTGACGATGAGGTGAGGGTTGAAAAATGCCTGTCTTCCATTACGCCTCGCTCACACAGTCCAGGACTTTGATGTAGTCAACGTCGACTTTGAGTGGTTTAACTTTGACCCCGAGATCGACTTCCAGGGCACCAAAACGCTCCTGCGCCAACTGCTGGACGTTGACTCTACGCTCTTCAACATCTCAGGCCTCGCGGATCTCATCTTGTCGCAGCCCACGATCGGGTCGACCGTCAAGGTCGACGGCAAGGAGAACGATGCTTATGCCCTGATGACGGCGCTTAACATCAAGGAGCACAGCCAGAAGACCGAGATGGCGGAGCTCGCCAAGTACATAGTCGAAAAGGCCCAGACCAACGACTCTCTGGCCCCGATCCCCCAGATCATCAACAGCGGCGCCCAGGTCGGCCTCATCATCTCCGAGAGGCTCATCAACATGCCCTCCGAGATCGCACCGCCCATGTACCGCATGCTGATCGACGAGATCGAGGCCGCCGTCGAGGACAAGGAGCCCTACGAGTTCTCGCACTACCTGATCCTCTCCAAGGCGTACCAGGAGATCGAGTCGACGCTCACCGAGACGGAGAGGAAGGGCAAGAAGGCCAAGGCCGACACTACCATGTGGCACTTCCATCCCGAGGACGAGGTGTTCGTGAAGCACGCAACGGCCCACGGCTCGTTCCATTTCACCAACGAGGAGAAGGCGGTGGCGGACAGCAAGCGGGCTTTCTCGGAGATGGGTGTCAAGTCGCACGGCTACCTGATCCTGATCGAGGCCGGCAAGTGGGAGGGCGCGGTCAAGGCGGTAGAGCAGTACCTGAGCCCGCCTCAATAGAATCAATTACGATGCATCATTTTGAGCCATTTTCCTCTTTTTCTTCATATTTCTGTTCTCTAAGTCTATTCCACTGGCTCTAGTCTCTGCATAAGATACTCGACCTCGACTTCTTTGGTCAAGGGTATCACAAAGTCTTCGTACATGGCGACCACGGCGTCGGCGTCAATCTTGGCCTGGTTCTCGGGGCCGGCTCCAATAGAAGGGTCGGTGCCGTAGGTAAGCACCTTGAGGCGGAGGCGCTCGAGAACCTTCTTTTCGACGGCGGCGTTGGTGATGGCGTCGGCGATGCCCTCGCGGTCCTCAGCCTTGATGAGCTTGGTGTACTTTTCCGGGTCCGACCGGAACTTGGATTCGGCGACGAACTTTCCAAAGTGTATCCTGCGCGACAGGGCCTGCAGGCAGGCAATATCGCAAGTGGCGGAGGAGCCGTAGTTCTCCTGGGACTCGCCTCGGTCCTCGTGGCCGAAATCGGGGCAGAGGGCGGGGAGGAGCTTGTCGACGTAGAAGTCCTTGATCTTGCTGTTGACGTTGACGTCGTTGGGATGCAGGATGCGCGGGTAGTGCAGTGGCTTGAGGATCTGCTTTTGGACGGCCTCGGGGAAGAAGGGATACTCGTCTGGCGAGTCGTAGCGGCGGATGATGGACTGCAGCTTCTCCTGTTCGCGGAGGTACCAGTCCATGAAGCTCAGGCCGCTATTGGGGATGTCGAGAGCGCCGGGCACGTAAATCGTTTGGTTGCGCGGGAACTGTGCTCGCTCGATCAGATGGAAGGTGATAGTGTCCTCCAAACGGCTTGTTGCGCATTGTTGTCAGCAGGTTTTGTCGGGATGTAAACACTTTGAATGTCTTTGAAGGGAGCGACTAACATCAGCTGGTATCGAATGCGGGACAAATCCAAGGCCTTGGATGGGTCCGATAAGTCGATGAGAGAGTCCATCTCGTCATCAATCGATTGATAGACCGACGGGGAATCGTATACCAGACCTTGAGAGCTGATCTGGTGCGAAACAAGTGATTGGGCCTCTGGCTGGAGTGACACACGCATTCGAGAAATGGTGCATGTATGTCGTCGAGTCACGAAAACTATGGGGTGGGAGTGGGAGGGGAGACGCTGCAGCCGAGGCCGATGACGCTCCAGTTCAGTGGGAGAAGGAAAAAGGAGGGAGGGGGGAAGGTTCCGACTATTACGCCGGAAGGCTACGGAGTACTACTACCGGCAATCTCGGGCGCTGGACCTGCATGTATACTGGGTACACTAAACCTAGGTCCCTAAGGTAGTTAGGTATACGGATACAGCGGGATGGCTTCAGCGGGCACCAATCAGTGGACCCTACCATCTTTTGTAGAGGGACGCAGCGAAGCAGTCTCGCAATTGTGTTCCCGTGCTCACGGCGTGCGACGTGCCGGCGTGCAGGGAGTTGTCGGGTTTTTAGCGCATCACCCAGACACAAGTGCAGGACTGACCCCAACCGGGGCCCTTGCCGGGGTCGGTAAGGTGTGGATACGTATTTGATTCTCTACCGAGACAAACAAAACTCGACCTTGTCGAAGCACAACCTGGAGCTGTTCCACCATTGTAAGCTTCGATTTTCTCTCCTTTCTCCCCCTTCCTCCTCCCCGTCCCCCCTTGTGCTACCCGTCGTCGCGCGTATCGAACCGAAGACGCATACGTACGTACGCATGGCCGCCTCGGATAACGACCAGTATGGCTTCCATGACGATGCCGGAGACGATCAGTCGGTCCTGTCAGTAAGTCACGCTCGCCACTCGCGTGACCTGCTGCTGCTTTCCATCGTGATCCGGAGACTGACTAGACTGCGTTGCTCGTAGACGCGTGGCATCGAGGCCTTCGGGCGCAAGGTCACCACGACAGCAAGCCAATTGATGGCACCTCTCTCCGACCAAGGGAACACCAATCATCACCACCATTATCATGGCGCCCTGGCCGAAGTCCACAAGCAGCTGCGCCGGCCGACTATCCAGCGTAGCATGTTCTCCATGACTAAGACAACGCCTACAGACATGGTCCGCTCCAAGCTGTCCACGACCGAGATCCAGCATCGCGCTCTGACCTACTTGCCCGACGAGTTGCTGGCCAACATCCCCGAGGGCGACAACTCTTACTCCCTATTCCAAGGCTTCAAGGCGAGCTTTCCCGACCTGACCGAAGAGGGCAGAAAGCATCGACGACGTATAACGAGAGGTAGGAAGATGCTGGAGGACGCAGAGCACGTTCCCGGCACACCGCAGGAGCTGCAGAACCTCAAGAAGGATAAGGCCTCGATGATGCACGAGCTGGAGATGCTGGGCGTTCGCAAAAACATGGCAAGCAGCGAGATTCGCGATATTGACAACAAGATTGCCAACCTGCATGGCATGCGACGCATCATCCTCGACAGGCTCGCAAACCTGGAGCAGGACGAGACACTACTGGAACATGACCGTGAGCGCAGAATCACATGGGATCGTCCTGTGGCCTGTATGATGCTGACCCGTGCTAGTTATGGACGTCGAAGCCAGACTGGAAGAGGCCCAGGATCTCGTCGACGAAGCCGAATCTGTCGCGATGAACACACCCACCAAAACCGAGGAAGACCTGGCCGGCGACCAGGACGAAACCGGGTTCATGTCACAATCCGTCTACGAGAAGCTGCCAACGGCAGCTGGCACACCTGCCGGTACGCCAGCGTCTAAGGCTAAGAAGAGGGTGGTCCGCCGGAAATCAATGCCGATATTGCACGAGCATTTTGAGGCCGGCACCGCCATCAGGGAAATCCGCGCACACCAGGACACGATTACGGCTCTCGATTTCGACGCACCTTTCGGAACAATGGTTACGTCGGCCATGGATGACTCGATCAAAGTATGGGATCTCAATGCTGGGCGATGTATCGGCTCATTGGACGGACACACGGCTTCGGTTCGCGCACTGCAAGTGGATGACAACTTCCTCGCCACCGGAGGCATGGATGCTACGATCCGACTTTGGGACTTGAGCAAGGCGCATTATGACCCGCACGGCAGTCAGTACGGAAGGGACGAGGACGAGGACGGTATTGCATTCGAAAACCCCGATGACGGCCCCGTTGAGCCTCCCGAAGGAAGCATGAGAGACTGCCACCTTTACACCTTGCAATCTCACGTCGACGAAATCACGGCCCTCCACTTCAGAAACGACACACTCGTTTCTGGCTCGGCAGACAAGACCCTGCGACAGTGGGATCTCGAGAAGGGCCGCTGCGTCCAGACTCTGGATGTCATGTGGGCGGCGGCACAGGCTTCTGCATCTCTCGGCAGCGAGAGCTCCTGGAGGCAGACAAACCGAGCGCCCGCACAACAAGCTGACTTCATCGGAGCTCTCCAAGTATTTGAGACTGCTCTTGCATGCGGTACTGCCGATGGAATGGTTCGCTTGTGGGATTTGCGAAGCGGACAGGTCCATCGGAGCTTAGTCGGACATACGGGGCCCGTGACGTGTTTGCAATTCGACGACGTCCATCTCGTTACTGGCAGTATGGACAGAAGTATTAGAGTGAGTTACGGGCTCTTGACCGTGTTCACCACATCTGCTGACTGTTCATAGATTTGGGATCTCCGTACAGGATCCATTTATGATGCTTACGCGTATGACAATGCCGTTACAAGCATGATGTTTGACGAGCGCAGGATCGTCAGCGCCGCCGGCGAGGACGTCGTGAAAGTGTATGATAAGGTGGAAGGTCGCCAATGGGACTGTGGCGCGGGTATCTCTGAGGCCGAGGAGGGCAAGACGCCCGCCATCGTAGAGCGGGTACGTGTAAAGGACGGATACCTGGTCGAGGGGCGACAGGACGGCATTGTAGGAGTATGGACATGTTAGAGTATACAGAACCCTTTTCAGCACAGAGCAAATCAACGCCATTATGACAGCGGGCCAAAGTTTGAGAGGAGCATCAGGTTTGTGGCGGGTCTGTCAACAAAGCCTCTGAATGTGTCCTGACCCTCAACACGCTACCAGATAGTGAATTATGCTCCGTTTTTGACTTCTCTCACATTGCTACTGAACATAAGCTTGTTCCATCCCAACTGATCACGAACCGGCTATCATCCAATCTCACATGGGCGGTAACCATCAGACGGAGCGGCCCCACCTGGCGACTCCAACTTTCTGCCAACCACTCGAACGAGAGTCTACCTCGCCACTTACAAACAGGTATTCAATTACACCACACCCCAACTACACATGGCTACGGGGAGCCACAGCCCGTCAGAACAGGACGCTGGCATGTCAAGGGTGACAGGTGAAGCTCCTAGGCCACCGTCAAATAAGATGCCCGGCCTAGACGACCCCGCGTTCACCGAAAAATGCATCAGGGCAACGGCCTCGATACACACGGACGCTCACCACCATCTCAACGCCCTTGCCGGGAACCTCGTACAACGGCAGTCTCCAGAGGATGAAAATTACGGCCTTAAGCCCCTGGGCCCAGAGGTTCTCAAATCGCTCGAGGATCTGGCTCTCGACGTCTTGACAGTGCACGCGTCGGAAGACGCACCCCCGCCACAGGACGGCGTCCGTCTCCTCCGCCGCCTAGACGAGGAAATCGAGAGGACGTATCGCCGGTTCTACGATTTCGTGTACGCGGATCTGCCGTACTGCTGGAGGCAGCTGTACACCGACCTGAGCCTGCTGAAGTTCTCGTGTCTCGTGTTCTTGAGGGAGTGGCAGAAGACGGCCGGCGGCGGCGGCGAGGTGGACGGCGACAAACAGCTGCTGGACGAATTAATCGCGGTCCTCGACAGAGCCCTCGTGCTCGCCGGCGGCGCGGGCGTTGCCCGCGGAAGGAAGACAATCTCTGAGCTCCTCGCCTGCCTCGAAGATGACTGCAAACTCGCGCCCGGGCCGAGGCCCTGTCTGCCGGCCGCGTTCCCGACGTCTCGCCCCTTCACGCCGCCCGTCACGCGCCCGATCCGCGTCGTCGACGGCATGTCCATGGCGGCGTTCCAGTCCTACCTGGACAGCCCGCCGTCTGTGGACCTCGGCCCGGAGCCGCTGGTCCTGACGTCGCTGCTGACGGGCTGGCCGGCGCTCTCCACGAGGCCGTGGAGCTCGCCGGGGTACCTCCTCTCGAGGACGCACGCCGGGCGAAGGCTCGTCCCGGTGGAGGTGGGCCGTAGCTACGTTGACGAGGGGTGGACGCAGGAACTCGTACCGTTCCGGGAGTTGCTGTCGCGCATCGTCGCGCCTTCCTCTTCTGGCTCGCCTGCCCCGTCGCCGGCCCAAGACGAGGCCGCCGCCGACGGACGAGCGGCGGGGACGACGTACCTCGCTCAGCATGAGCTCTTCTCCCAGCTCCCCCACCTCCGGAACGACATCCTCACCCCGGACCACTGCTTCACCGCCCCGCCGCCGCACCCGCTCGGCCCGTCCGCGGACAAGCCGGAGCTCGAGCTGCCCCTCGTGAACGCCTGGCTCGGCCCGGCGGGCACCATCACCCCGCTCCACACGGACGGGTACCATAACCTGCTCTGCCAGGTCGTCGGCGCCAAGTACGTGAGGCTGTATGCGCCGCGCGATTCGGAAGCCTTGTGCCCGCGAGGTGTTGTCGACAACGACGATGACGACGACGACGACAACGCTGTTGCCGAAGAAGAGGGTGAGGGGCCAGGCGAGCATGGTGTGAAGGGGGACGGAGAGGGGGAGGGTACCAGGAGGAAGGTGGACATGAGCAATACCAGCGCGTTCGACGTCGGTGCCGTGGAGGGCTGGGACCCGGACCCGGAGGGCCGCGACGCCATCGAGCTCGAGGAGTTTCGCGGGCTGCGGCACTGGGACTGCGTGCTCGAGGCCGGCGACGTGCTGTACATCCCCATCGGCTGGTGGCACTACGTCCGCAGCCTGAGCGTGAGCTTCAGCGTGAGCTTCTGGTGGAATGGGGACCACTACGTTGGGCCGGACGGACCATCTTCTGCGTGACGAGGGCCATCTCCCCGCGCCGTTCTGCCTTTTCTTTTCATCATTGCGGTGCCAGAACAGATACCCCAGCTGTAGACGGCATGGCCACACAATCAACGCAATTATATTTCATGTATTGTTTCTTTCGCATTACAGTCATGGAAAAGAACGGGAGGGATCAGCTCCCACTCGCCATTGCCGCTGCCGCTTCATCTGCCTCGGCACTCTCCGCCGTCCCCTGTGCCTGACGCCGCGCCTTGGCTCCGGCCTTGAGCTTCTCCCACTTTTCACGGTACTTCTCCAGCGTCCGCGCCATGCTCCTGTTCTCCTTCTCTAGCGCCTCCATGCGCTGTATCGCCATGGCCATCTGCTCCTCCAACTCTTTGTTTCGTACTCGCAGCACTGCGTCGCCACTCGCCGATACTGGTCCGCCAAGTGTAGCAGAGGAAGGCGACCCAGGTCGCCTTAGCCGAATGCTCTCCGCCAGTGCGAGACTCGAGTTCTGCGCGGTAGCCTCAAAGGCGTGTAGGCGTTTGCTCAGCTTGTCCAGCATGTCCTTGAGCCCCTTGTTCTCCAGGTACAGCTCCTCGACGGTGTTAGACAGGTGCTGCTCTGAGCGGGACGGCTTACTACCGACACGGCGCCTCGTGCTGGGGGACAGGGGTGCGGAAGGCGTCTCGCGGGCATCGACGAAATCATCGTCGTCGTCGTCGATGAAGCTGTCTCCGCCGTGGAGCGAGGCCTCGAGGCGGCGCTTCTCCTTGTCTGCGAAGTTGAGAATGTTAGCGTACGAGACAGTGTGCCCGCTCGTCGGGACGACGTAAAAGGAGTCATTGGGGTTGTTGGCTGATATGGCGCGGAGGGTCGCGCGGGAGTAGATTTTGGATAAGTCCGGCTCGGCGGGAGCTGCAGGGGATTTGAGCCGGTTACGTTTGATCGGTGATGGCTCCGACGTCTCGGAGGATTCCGGGATGGAGGGGGTTTCTTCTGTGATCAGAGGCAGGCCGGCGAAGGCCAGTGGTGCAGAGAGGCGGTTAATGATACTGCCAAAGGTACTGTAGAAGCGAGAGTATCCATCGTCACTGGGCGGTGATGCAGCTTCTTCCGGCTTTTTAGATTCGGCTTCTCTCCGCGAGGATTCGGGGTTGCCTGTTGGCGGGATCCATCCTGGCTTGCCAGACTGATCGAGGACGTTTTGCATCTTGGCTCTCGATCCGTCTCGTCGTGTCTGGACTTCCATGTTCCCTGGGGCTTGGTCGTTCGTGACACTCGGCGGAATCGGCTGGCCGCGGTTTCTGCTCGATCGGATGCCACGCGCCGAAGCGAGGTTGCTTGCGATCGACGAGGTCATCTCACGGCTGGGGTAACGACGCTGCTGCGAAAGAGAGGGTACGGTTTTCGCGGTAGCGACCGTGCTGCTCGCAGACTGCGCTGAACCTGCCTTCGATCTCGCATACTCGGGGGAGGATACATCGCTTGCGTCGGAAGCCTGCGATTCTTGCTTCTCGTCGATGGCATCGGTGGCCTGGCTCGCGCGGCGGTCGAAAGGTACCTTAAGGAGCTCGGAGAGACGCTGGTGATGCTCCTCAAGAAGTTTGAGTGTGCGGAGTGCTTCGATACTCGTGGTCACACGAGCAGCGTTGGCGAACTCGCCGGCAGCGAGCGCATGTTCGTTGATGGCGACTGTGGTCTCGGACTGATGCGTTGCGTTGGAGGCGGCTCTGGCGTGATCGTGCGCCTGGCGAAGTACTGTCAGAACGATACCCATACGCGACGTGCCCACGAGGGAAGCAATACCTTGATCAGCGACGACTCGTCCATGTTTGGAACCGTAGTAGGAGGGCGGTTTACGACGGTTCAGGGGACGAGGTTGGGCCCCCGATAGGCGTGTGGTGTTGTCCTGCAGACCTGGATGCAGTCCTTCCTTGAAAATCGCGCATCCGCCACACACCAAATTCGCAACGGCGGCAGGGGGTCGGAGGGCAAATTCCAATGTGGAAACGGAGGTGGTTGAACGTAGAGGCCTTGAATGTTCGGTGGTCGGTGTGATTGATGGTTGGTGGATAGTGGTTGGTGGCAGCGATCGCGGAGGGTTCCCCAGAATCGCTAAACGCTTTCCCCTGCTGGCCGGATGACAGGCAGGTGGGAGCAGCGCAGGACCACGCGGCAAGAATGCTCGGAGGCTGTTGGATGGGGCCCTGGGGTAACCTGCAGTGGTTGGAGTACGTAAGCAGCCCCCGTCTAAGCGGTTGTTACCGTCACTGCTTGAGGGAACACCCAACCGACGTCACTCAACAATCATTTCATAGCAAAGCTCTTGGAGTCAATTCCGGCGGGTGATAGGGTTATGATGCAGCCAGGCTGGTGCCCGTGGCAAAGGCCATTAGAGTGAGGACAAGAGGAGCTCTCATATCTCAAGCAACAAACATATGCAAGTCGATTATGTCAATAGTTAGCCATTCCTAGCAAACAGCAAACCTTCGAAGCCGACACGCCGTGTGTAAGCCGAGTTATGAGGTAACACCGCAAGGCCGTTAACCACGTACTCCGTACCTTCGACAGAAATGTCCCGAATGGCGAACGGAGAGGGGTGCGTGCCAAAGGTTCCCCCCCCAAAACTGGCGCCTCATCCTTCGTGAACTCTCCCGCAATGTCGGGCGAGGGAAGAAGGTTGTCTGGTCCTAGGTATCGAAACCAATGTACCATCGCCCTAGAGACCATTAACCTATCGCTAGCTGTTCCAAGACACCAGTCGCTGACGTTGGTATGGATTCCCCAAGCCAGCAGCTGATCCGGCCGGGAAACTCAAGGCCACAGGGATTCCTGATCGGGCCAGCCATCGAAACTTTGTCACGGAATCCCTAGCTGCAAATCTGCCAGACGTGCATGCATCGCATCACCAGGAGAGAAAAATGGGATGGAAAGGTTGTCGCTTCCCGGCCAGCCGTTAGGGTTGCTGAGTGTTTACTGGTCTTGCGGCCGAACCACGCATGCGGTAACACTCAGGCAGCCCGGTTTGGAGAAAGCTGCGTGCTTCCATGGCACTACTACTAGCCTTGAAGAAGAAGTGTACCTCATCGTGTTAGAGAAACCATCAATCACAGCCCCATTGACCGAAGACTGGCTGACTGGCTATCTGACTGATTTGGCGAAATTTTCAGCCCTTTGCTGTCGCGAGGTGGCGGAATATTGGAATTGCGCGGCCGCGACAGATCAACCGTTCAGGAAATGTATCGTTCGTGGAACAAAGATAGCAGCATCGTTCTCCAGTCACTGGTGGCGGCGGGCTGGAAACAATGCAGCAAGACCAGCCTCCCGATTCTTCGAATTCCTGGTCGCTCGTAATAATGGGACAATATCGGTACTAGGTACTTGTACAACACTCGTCATGAAAAATAGCGTTTAATTGGCGAGTGCAACAATGTGGCTTTGATCGACCACATCTCTCCGAGGACCTTGTCGTTATGCGAAGAGAAATATTGACTGGCTGGCCTACCATACCTATCCAGGTATCGACCTCATATCTACGAATAGGACAGTGTTGGTGTTTCCATTCCACGCGGGGCGGTGGCCCACTAACAAAAATAGGTACTGGGTAAAGTACCTGTACGGAGTACTCCGTACCTGCCTCTCCTCCCTTCCCCACCTCATTTACCCCCCTTTTAAGCCCAGACTATTTAGCCAGGCCCAGGCATTTAGCTCGCCCCAGAAGAAGAGAATACGAAAAGAAAAAAAGAAAAAAAAGACCGTGACGATGACGCTCACCTCACCACAGGAAGAGACGCACGCGGGTTGGCTAAGCTGGACAAGCCAAGGCGGGACCAGCAAGCTGGGCAGTTCGTCATTGACGATATGCGTAGGTGCCTACCTGTCTATTTGGTCATAGTTTGCACCTTCCTTCCCAAATTGACGAAATTGATCTGGAGCTCTTGCCAATCCGAAATTTCTCTTATTCTCTTAGGAGGTCATCAGTTCCGGGTTGTTTTGTTGCTGCGACGCATTTGCATCTTCGCACCTTTTTCTGGCATTGCACCACCTCACAAACACATGACAATATCGAACAGAGGTTTGCGTTGCACTGCGATACGCCCAAACGACAAGAGAAGACACGCCGCCCCCCTGCCGTATTCAGAGGACATTACTCCGTACAAAACATTGCTTATCTTACTGATACCTGTCTCTTCGACCTTTAATTTCGATTTCCAAACTCTCGATTCCCTGCACCCGCGGAATTTGATTATCGTGCCCACTATTCACATCCAATTCGCGTATTCCCTTTGAAAGCTTGAACTAGCCAGCCGAGCAGACGGTACGAACACTGCCTGGTCGTAACGTGTACGACAAATTACGATTCCCGACCCTTGGAACCGAACCCATGGACGCCGCCAGTGAAAGCGGAGGCGGCCTGAGCAAGCTGTTACCGAAAGCCATCGTGGCCAAACGGCGCCGCAGAAAGCAAGAAGCCCGGGAAGACGACGCCGCAGCAGCAACGGCGGCAATGCTGTTAGGGGTCAAGGGGGAAGATGTCACGGCTCCAGCTGACACGCCTGCACCACTTAGAGGCGACAGCGTCAGTTACATGTCTGCCAGACGCGACAGCGGCTCCTACGTTCACGACACAGACAGCTTCTCCAACAAGGACAGCTCGACAGGGTTTCCCGACTACGACTACGACCACTACCGTGAGCACGGTCACGACGCCGTCGACGAAACCAGCACCGAGGCTACCACCAGTATGGTAACACTCGCCGAATCCGAGGTCGAACAGTAAGTTTCTCGGGTTTCTTGTTCGTCTGTTCCTGTTCCTCCCAAGTTTGCATTTCTTGGCTTGCTTTGGCTTGCCCTGGCTTGCCTTGGCTTGCCTTGCTTGATACCTGCCCCAAAACATATACTCGCATCGCGGATGTCAGCCTCTGCACCTCGGCCCTTTTGCCTGCATGCGTCCAAGCGTCCTTGTTCCGTGCTTATGCGCTCTTACCACATCACCGCACATAGCCACGTCTTTGTAGTGGCGCATTCCTGAGAATCCGTCACCCGCGTCCACATCGAATGGCAAGGCGGGCGTCGAACAGCTACCGAACCCGGATCCAATCCATTAGATAGCCCCATCCACCGACGTTATCTCCTGCTCAAGCACACTGTCATACCTCATCAGTGGAGGAGAGGGCAGCAGTAAGAGAGAGAAAAACAGGAAGCGGGGGATTGGTGTCCTCAGGAGCTGCCATCCTTGGTCTCCTGGTCTCCCCCCATTCCCCGTCTGGGGGGTGATTGGGGCTAGCACTAGAGAACGAACTCCTTTCTAGTCTCAGCTCCCCCTCATCCACTCTGCGGCAATCGACGTACGACGGCTGCCGGGGCTCCTTCAGCGCACATTTGGTCTCTGGTCTGGCTTAGTGTCCCCTGACAGGAGTATTCCACCCCCAAGCGAGTGCGTCGTGGAACAGGGTCGTCCTTGTCTTCCTCGTCACCTCTCTCCCATTTCGTTTCGTCTACTCTTCATGTAAGCTCGACTGGACTATCTCTAACCTCGATCATTTCCCCCTCTCTTTAGATCTTCCCCTCGGCCAAATGCCATTTCTACCCATCCTTCGCAAATAGGTTACTTGACCACTTCTTCCCCAATCGTTCAGGCAACTCACTTGCCTGAACCCCAACCACAGATACTGGACGGCCAACTCCCTGAGATCGCCTCGGCGCGATCCACCGCCAATAATTCGGCCAAGAGAACACAATCGGTCGAGTCAACAGATTCGTCACTGCGCTCCCAGCGCAGTTTTACGAGCCTTGTTCCGCCCAAGAAAAATATTACGAGGTCGCCCTCCCCTGTTGGTCGTCTCAAGGGTGTTTTTTCAAAATCCAAGAAGACCCCCAGTGCAGCTACGAGCCCCGAGCGGAGTGTGGGCAGTGACGACACCACCGACGACGGCCGAGACACGCGCAGGACTAGAGACCGAGGCAGAGCTTTTGCGTCTGCCTCCACCTCTGACCTCATCTCCTCCTCGACCGTACTCACAAAGAAGCCGTCTTTAGACAGGCCGTCTACGCCACAACCGAATACGACAGACGATGCGGGTGCACCCCGCGTAAAGTCGACATCGCATTCCCCCGAGCGACGCCGCTCCAGGGCCTCGACAACCACCTCTCGCATCGACACTTCTTTCGTACCCCAAACCCCGCCCAACCCCGACACCAACACACCGGTCATCGTCAATACACCCCCGACGCCGACCGATCACAGCGCACCGTTCACCCAATCTCCGCCGGGACCACCACCGAAACCCACCATCGAGGCTCCCACTGCCTCAGGCAACACGAATGGTGGTTCTTCCACCGGTAATATGATTGCTCATCGCAGGGGTAGATCAGGATCCGGCAGTATAGGGCCCAGCAAGCTGTCCAAAATCACCCTCGCACCTCTGACTCCCACCCCGGAGAACAGCACCCCCGGCAACCCCGGCACTCCATCCGGCGCCGGCTTCTTTTCTTCCGTCTTCTCGGCTGCTCAAAACGCCGCGACCTCACTTTCGAGCACCATCCAGAATACCGGCATTGGGCCGCCTCCTTCCAAGAACAAAAACATCACGAAACCCCCCGACATTAAGATCGACAGGGAACCCGAAGTCGAGCCCCCGCCTCCGTCCACGACAGGTTCAACCATGGACAAGGAACCTGCTGTCAAGACCATCGGCTCAGGCGAGCTAAGCCTCAGCCAGCTGGGGATAACGGACACAGGTAGCGCCTCTGGAACTCCCATCACCGCCAAGTTCCCCGAATCGGCCGAGGCGCGCGTTAGAAGTGATTCGGCCCCAACTGATGCTGCATACGCGGCTGCCACTCGCGATCTCGGAGTAGACGACGGCAGACAGGTCACCAGACCACAATCACTGTACGAACCGGGCAGCGGCGGAGACCGCACCCCCCCTCAAGGCAGCATCCATGAAGATCGAATCTCTGGCGTGCAGAGAAGTGGAAGTATTCGCAGCGCTATTGGACGCCATCGTAAGCGAGGAAGTTCAGCTGTGTCGGGAGGTACGGCTACTACTATTGGCGCTGCCATTGCTGCGGCTAACGCGTCTGTCGCTCATCCTCAAGCAAACGCGAGCGTGCCGAAGCTTACCGGATTCGCCGTTGCGAGCAAGAAACGCAACCGCGATTTCCACGCACTGTTCAAGAGCGTACCCGACGACGATTACCTCATCGAAGACTATAGCTGTGCGTTGCAGCGGGAAATCCTAGCGCACGGCCGCCTGTATGTATCCGAAGGACACTTATGCTTCAGCAGCAACATTCTCGGTTGGTCGACCACGCTTGTTATGAGCTTTGACGAGATAGTGAGCGTTGAAAAGCGAAGCACGGCCCTGGTCTTCAAGAATGGACTCATGATCTCGACTCTGCATGCCAAGCACATCTTTGCCAGTTTCACGAGTCGAGACTCGACCTACGACCTCATTGTCAACATCTGGAAACTTGGTCATCCTACCCTGCGAAGCTCGCTGAACGGAGTGCAGCTTGAGGGCACGGGTGGTGACAAGACAGAGAAGGTTGATGGCGATGACGCTGTAGTAGCCGAAATCGATGATGGTAGCTTGTCAGGCACCGACGAAGACAGCGAGTCTGGCGATGACGACGACGTCTATGACGAAGACGACGATGCCGATGATCTCCAAGACGTTACACAACTGTCGGAGGTGAACGCCGAGCCGGATGGGGGCAAGACTGTGTCTCGCAAGGTCTCTGGTGCGGGTGCCAATAGCGCCGTGGCCGACGTTGTTAAGGATGCTGTCGGTGTCCCCTCCGGCGGCGATGACTTCCCCGGCCCGGCCGCACACGCTCCAACGGACTGCGGTGATGCGGACACTCATTACGAGAGAATTGTTGGAGACGACGTCATTCCAGCGCCTCTGGGCAAGGTTTACAACCTGCTCTTCGGTCCTGCCTCAGTCACTTGGATGACGAAGTGGCTGACTGTCGAGGCGAAATGCACAGAGTTGCAGATGGAAGACAAAAAGGGACTGACCCTCGAGAACAGGTCGCGCTATTTTACCTACATCAAGCCCCTTAATGGCGCAATTGGCCCCAAGCAGACCAAGTGTCTTGTGACAGAAACGCTGGACAACCTTGACTTCGAGAAGGCCATCAACTTTAGTATTACCACCCAAACACCTGACGTGCCGAGCGGCAACATCTTCAGCGTAAAGACGAAATACTGTCTGACGTGGGCGGAAAACAACTCGACCAGAGTCCAGTCCAACTGTACCATAGAGTGGACAGGCAAGAGTTGGTTGAAAGGTATGTGCCGAGAACCAAGTCTTGAAAAAGGGCCACACTAACTTGACGAAGGACCTATTGAAAAAGGTGCGAACGATGGCCAGATCCAGTACTGCAAAGACTTGTTTGCCAGCCTGAAGTCGGCCGTTTCGTCAAAAGCCCGCAGTGGTGGTACGGGTGCTGGTCCAGGCCAGAAGGGCAAGAAGAAGGGCAAGAAGAGCAAGGCAGCGGGCTCGTCGACGGACGCCGAGGATGAGCAAGTCAGGCTCAAAAACACCCCCAAGAAGGATTGGGGTCCGTTGGAGCCCGTACGGGGTATTCTGGAGCCGATCCTTGATATCGCCAAACCGCTCATGGCGGGCAACATGATGTATGGTCTGTTGGTCGGCTTGCTCATTGCAACGTGGTTCGGGTTTGGGCTTCCAGGCAGACAGCCATCTGGAGACATGCGTATGTACGGCTACCCGGACCGCCTTGCCGCATATGACGAGATGTGGAGACGTGAAGAGAGTGAGCTCTGGGAGTGGCTGGAAGAAAGAGTCGGTTTGGAGCGACTGCATGGGGGTCAGTTGCCCACTCGCAAGAGGGCAATCGAGCCAAGTACGGTGGAAGAGAGGGTCAGAGAAGACCGTATGGGCGAACGGGAGATCGAGGAAGCGATCAGGGTGACGGAGGAGAAGTTGAAGGTGTTGAAAGACGTCATGGATAAGAAGAAGCCCTTGGCCAGTTGAGGAAATACCCCTGGAACGGGATGCGAGAGGAACAAATGCAGCAAGTCAGGTATGACACCACACAACGTGTCTCTTTGTTTTTTTGTTGTCGGGGGTTTTTTTTTTTTTTGTTATTGTGTAGCATATTCGGTAGCGATGCCAACGAGCAATCAGGGCTTTGGGTAGATTAAGCATCAGCAAAACCAAATACACTGACGGGTTATGTTTAAGTCGCCCTGCGTGGACGTGCAGTCCAAGTGGGAGACGACAAGTAAACAATTGAATCCCATTGCCAGCCCGTCTTTGGGCACGATCAGTGTAGTGATAACTTGATCAATCACAATAGGACAATAATCCCCAGCCCCTTATTCTCCGTCAAGACTGGATGGGCACGGCACGTGTTGAAACCATTCATTCAGCTTCCTTTACTCGCCGGGTAGGGTGGAATCTCTTACCAGCCTCCTTCTCTACCATCACTTCAAACAGTAAGTACACTGAAGCCACATCCAACGTTGCCTCTTCTGGCTAACGCCGATACTTGCATGTTGTAAGCGAAGATGGTTGACAAAGAGGCTGACACTGCTGTGGACGAGTCGCTGCCCGAGCTTGGCATCAATGGCCTTGTTTCGTTCCCACTCCTTAGGACGTCACGGGCTTCGCCTCCCCTCGCACCCAGAGCTCTGTACTCGCTATGCCACCCAGATCACTTGCCGCCGTGACGACGTTGAGAGTATTCATGTTTATATCATTCCCAGCCAAGATTCAAGAGACAATCGGAAAGAACGACCGCGCGCCTTTTCAGTTTACAAATCTTAGATCAAACCTCCCACTTTTCACCTCCGTTTTGCAAGATCAAACAAAGAATGCAACAATATTCTTGTGACATTAGACATCGTCGGGGTATTGATCAATAAAATCTGTCCTTCCCTCCAAGAGTGCATCTGCGTTTAGCCTCACACTCCATCTAACCATGTAAGTCATACCAGTTTCTCTGAAACCTTTGTAGTTGCGAATATCGCTGTGGGAACTCATTGGACCCGCCGCCCGATGGTGGTGGAAGAAGGCAGGCTGCGATGTCAGGCACTTGTGTGGTTTGCGTCCCTTGACGCCCTCGCAAAAGTACCTGAGGAGTAAGTCAACTGGATCGTCAACGTCTTTCAATGCGACCTCTTGCAGCAGCTTCCGTGCTCCTTGTTGGCTCACAGCGTAGCCCAGTGTGCAGACACCCTCTCGGACATGATGAACGGCACGGGTATGCTCAGGGTAGTTTTCCTTCAGAGTGAATGGGAGATTCAACCCCCGCAGGTTCTTTTTCGGGGCCACAGTTACGTCGTTGTGGTGGATGACGCGAGCTTTGGGCACCCCCTCTTGGTCGAGGAAGGGGAAGTGCATGCCGCAGTGACCGATCCATAAGAGGTCCCAGTTGTCGCCGTACGGCGAGAACTTCGGCGCAGCGGTAGCAGGAAGATTTTCAAACGGTATTTCCAGTGCCGTTCCAAGGGTTGGATCACCGCCAGACAGAAGTGTACTCCGCAGGGGCTGGGTTAGTGCTTGGGTCGATAGGGCGAAGTCGTGGAGTTGAGATCTGATTCTTATGTCCCAGTCGACGTCGTCCTCAAGAATCAGAACCGAAGACAAGTTCCGACGGACAATTCTACAAAGATGTGAGTCGTGAGACACGACCAAGCAAGTGAAAGGGCGCTTACTCCCCAATCGCGTTCATGTGACTGCGCCAGCATCCTATAACGCCATCGTCTTGGCGGTTATATTCGCTTGTCTTGGGAATCGCTTTCTCGGAGACAGTGTCGCCAGGAACGCCGTCGAAAAGTTCGATGTCCATGTCGCTGAGTGCCGCCTGGAGAAGCATGCTGTCCCGGCGATCTGTCCGGGTTGGTAGGCCAATGACGAATATTTTTTCAAACTAAAGAGCAGAAAACGTGAGCAGATATGCCAGGTTTGCTTCCAAAGGAGACGCACGCCCAGTGTGCTATTGTTGATGCTACTCATCAACTTTGGTGAATTTGTGCCTGTCCGCCGCTGTACGTGGCCCAGAAATGGGTTGAAAAAGGTAAGTGTAGCGATCATCAAGATTGCTCCAATGATGTACACGATCTTCCTGGCCGGCGACCTGACGGGTAGAAAATGCATCGTGCCGATTTTAGCCGTGGTCCAAAGTTGATTTTCAAGAGAGGCAAGCTTGCCAATGTCAGACTTGGTCTGAACGAGCCGCCAGAGGTCGACACTTAAGCAAAGGACCAAAGAAAGGGAGATCTCGCCAGGTATGACCAGGGACAGACTGAATGAAACCCGGCCACCAACACCACCATCTCCGTGTGGCCATGTGTCCAAGTCAGCATCCAGCAGGTGTAATACTGGCTGCTGGGGCCAATGAGAAGACGCGGATCGAGACTCAGATTGGCATCAGCCTCAGAACGCGGAATGGGACGGCGTGTGAGGCATTTGGTTCTATCCCTCGTTTGGACGCCGTTCGATAGACTTGAGACAATCCTAGGGAAAGCCCAATCAGCAACATGTGGCGCCTGAAGACTTTGCTGTTGGTTTTGGTTAAGGATGTCTTCGCTTTTAGGATCCGGTTAAGGAATTACTGCCAAAACGTGTCTCGAAATGAGGACCACGTATTTCATCTTCGTCGGTCATCGTTGGCTGGGTAATACAGTGAGTTGAGGGGAGTCGCAATGATACGAGATGATATAGACCGGCGACCCAACCTGTCGGATCGGGCTCAGGCAAGCCAGGGCCTCTGACAAGGTAGAGCATAACAACAATGATGATAGATGGCACATTCACCTGTATCCTGTGGGAACAACGCCTCGACATTCCGTTCCAAAATGCTTCCTCAAGCCGCGGTTTTCTATTCTGTCATCCCTTTGGCCTCCTCTCAGTTCTTCAATCCCACGTAGAGCAGATGGTCATGGAGGATTGGCGAGACAAACAATATCAGTTCCAATACCAAGTTCACAAAATATTCTATCGCACTTTGGCAACAAGCTTTAGCGCGGCAATTTTGGGGCCCCATCATGTTTCTCAGGCCATCAACGGCTCTGCGTGGCGTTTGGCAAATGACTGATCAAGCCACGAAGACTGACTTCGACCTGGAGTCCCCGAACCTTGTTTCCTCCGACTTTTCGAGGGAGATGCCTCGGTCCAAGCCAATCCACCCTTCCAACACTGGTGACAACCACTGAAATCTCGAAAAGTAATAGGTACCAACGGAGCAGCCTTCTTTGCAAGCCGCTGCGAAACCACAGTACACGCAAGGTGAAAGCGGAGGAGAAGGATCTGCCGATGCCGATCCAACAACACGCCCTGACGGGGCCATCAAAACAAATGACTCTTATTAGTATCGGGCCGAGGTGGGACCACGGTTGTTACTCCTGGCATCGGAAATATGGGCCTCTAAACTACGACTGAGGCTTTGATCACAGATGACTCCCCTTTCAGAATTCACTCCTTTGCATGTCTGAGGACATACTGGTTTTCTGTCTCAGTTTAATCACCAATAAAGTTGAGGCGGGAGACCAGTATGAAAAGTACGCAAGCTGCCTTGAAAGAAAGAACAGCCACTTTTTGTTAGATAAAAAGAATGAGCTTGCAGTGTTTTCCTCAATTCGAAAACGAACATTTTTGATCACAGGCGGCTGTTAAGATAAAGATTTTGCTATATTAGACTACGCTTTCAACAGAGAGAGGCTTCTTTACACAATTAAAGAACAGAGATTTCCAAGTTCTCAAGACAACGGTTATTTCACCGTTCACCTTCAACAACATCGTTACTGCTCTGGATCGCCAGAAAGTTATGTATTATGGCTTGTTCATCACTGGGGTGAGTACATCAATGCGAATCTTTTCACCAAGGAAGCATCTTCATTTTAGCCTAAGAAAGAAATCTGCCATGTGAACATCCTTCTCCAATCTGCGTCGTCAAAGCCACTCTTACTCCCGGTATCTTCAGTTTGCTTTGCCGATATGTGGTATGTGTGTCCTAAACGTTTACGACACCCTCAAGACCATCAACCTGGCTCAATGAATTCTGGGGGCTGTCCTCCGTGTGCATCCAATGCTCTTGAACCAAGCGAACTGGCTTGAGCTCCTCTACATCCTCACCAGCGGCAGTGATGATACCCTGGGCAATATTAATGAGCCGTGCGCGACCCCAGTAGGTAACCTTGGACCAGTTCCAGCCGCCGACGCGTTCCTTCTCGTTGGTGTCGTAATGCAAGCCGACCTCAACTTTTGCCTCGTCGAGGGTAAGGTCTCCCTCAATATCGATGGAGGCGTTGGAGAGCTCAGATCCGCGATGGCCCTGCTGGTCGACCCAGAAGAAGCTGGCAACAGGAACGTCTAACTGAGGATCGATTTTCATGCTAACTTTGAGGAGCACAGGCTGGTCGGAACGGCGGTAGCCGGGAACACTGCCATTCTTCGGGACATTCTGGTTGAGGGTGCCGATGAGAAGAGCGCTCTCGTCGTTGGTGCGCTTAGGGAGCTTGACAGGTGCGATATTGAGATTGCTGGTGGTCCAGTTTGACTTGAAAACTCTGGTCCAGAACTCTTCTCGGACCTCTTCGAGGGTAGGGGGATCAATAGGGTGGTTGCGCTGAATGAGGACAGTGAGGAGGTCGTCGCACATGCGCTTCTGGTCCTCTGTGAGCTGGCTGAGACGCGAAATGACTGCCATGATTTCTTGTTGGTGTTTGATTATTTGTGAACTGTCAACCATAGTTATTTAGACAACGCCACTAGAAATCATATGTTTTGGGGTTCACAAACCAAGAAGAATGAGGCTGGGGCATAGGTTGCGGGGCTTTGTTGTGAAGACGAAATTCGCGAGGATGAGTTATGAGGGCAAAATCTGTGATAGCCTTAAGAAGAACAGGAATGAAAAAAGAAAAGCGAGGTTTCAGTGAGTATGGGATCCAAGAGAGCTCTCGCGTCGTGCTTGATAGAAAGCCAGGGAATAGTTGTGAGTTGGCCTGTAAGATGAAGGAGATGTGAACGTGACCTGGCCGTATTCAGAAATATTTATCAACCACTCAACATGCGCGTAGCTGCTACAAAAGGAAACAGCCCTGGTTTGTCGTAAGGGCGCGACTTCCAAAACAGAGATATTGTTCTGCAGCTAATTTCCATACTACCTGTACAATCCTCAGTCAGGCCTGAACACACAGTCATTTCCTCTAACTCAAGACATACTGTTGGTTTGAACATGAAGAGGAACAGAAACTAGTACAAGACTTCTTTCCCCAAGATTATTCTCTATTACTAAAACATGGTGTTTGTTTACTTCTCCACGTACTTGAGGCAAAGCATGTCTCCATGAGTAATCCAAGAGTTCACACATGATACAGGAGAACAAAATCAATCTAGGTCCATTTGCGGCCCCTGGAAAACGATGTGAACACAGTGAATTTCTGGGCGTTTGGTTTCTGAAGAAGTTAAATTGAACATTACCTCCCATTCTTCAAACAGCAAGCCCGGGTCTTCGTGAGTTCATTAATCTATTTGATGAGTCCCTGACCAACAAGATTGACGGCCTCGGTCCTAATGCTTGGGTGACGTTACGCTTCAAAGACCCAACGTGCCATTCATCATTACGTGGCTCTGGCCACGCAACCTATTCTTATCCTTCTTGCCTTGATAGCTGTAGAAGCTCAGGTCAGAACGCGAATAAGGCTTCAGGTCTCATGGGGCTCTTCTCTTCCTCTTCTTGTAAGCCAAGCAACAGCATCGGCGGAGTCTCTATCTTTTCGAAACAAAAGAAAAGGCTTGAGGGATATATGAATACGAAATTCTCGCTTTCTTTTACTCTATATGCTCTGTTGTTCTCCAACACATGGCTTGGCTATGTGACTTTGACAGGTCAAAACCAGAGGCTAATTTTGGAGCAAGCCGATCATTCTACTGAGAAATATTTTATGGAGTGGTAATGGCATGGAAAGCCGCAGCTGGAACCATCATATTGTTATCCCAAGCATATCCAACACAGCGTGTTAACTGGCTCTGGGATCTCGTATTTGAGGGTGGCTGGGCGTCTATGAGACCCATGAACGACTCATCAGAGCTCGCTCGTAGGAGCGATGCTGTGTTATGGTGCGGTGTGTTTGGGTTCAGGATCTGCCGCTTGTTGCCGTCAGTTTGGTGTTGCCACCAACTCACATATGTACCCATTAATGATAATACTTGACCAGAACAACGCACTAAACTCCTATGTCACAGCATGATAACCTTCGACTGCTTGAAAGTTAGATCAGCAAGAGAGGCAGCGTCTCAGGCGTACACTGCGGACGGAGCTGTCCTTAAACTCTGACAAAAAGCGAAAGCACTACCATGGAGAGAAGCTACAATCAGACTACAAGGGAATACAGGGGTTGGTAAGAACAAGATGGAGAGAGTGCTAACTAAACAGCTCGGTGGGTATGTGTCTCCTTGTAAAGCCCGCAAAGAAAGAGGTGGTTGTGGTTTGAGAAGTGAAGAATGGCATGGCTTTGGATAGCCGATACTGATAGCAATAGAGTTGAAGTTATGCCTACGTAAGAGGGAACAAACTATGTAGAGAAAATTATTCCATCGAGCTTAATGAGCCGATGATAGTAAAATGATGGTTTGACAGTACAGCTCTAATGTAGTGCCCGTTGTGGGAACGAACAAGCACACTTGTAGACTCTCTAACGGTGGATAGGGGAACGGTAAATGGTTGTTGATAGTTGTAGACTCCAAATCTTGATCTAGAACGATGTTTGTATGTATATTACTGCCGTTGTCTTTGGTTGAGCATGAGCCTGTGCCTCAGATTTTAATGCTTGAATACATTCCGATTCTTTTTGATTTAGAAGTATGTGCATGTCCTGTTTTCCAGCTATGGTTTTTTGCGTTATACGTGGGTAACCGGGACTTGGACATGTCATGGATGTCAAGGTCAATACAAAGTAATTGGCCAACCATCTCAACCTATCATCGTCATTCGTCAAGACCTCCGACTTCTAGTTCATAACCTTGACGTGACTACAGGTTAGACAAGCGTACAGCGGGTGAAATGGCTCAGGAAAGGTAACGTCCAAGGCCTCGGCCAAGCCAACATGTACCTATCGCCGGTTCCTACTAACTCAGCTCCCTTTCTACTCCTTGACATATTTACTCTCCACGCTGTTGGAGCCCATGACCTAGGGAAGAAAACGCATGTCTTACATTACTAGTCGTGTCTCTAAAGCCCCAGCGCCGAAGTCAAGGGACTACTTGACCGTCTACCAATGGACTTGGCAGCCTCAGCTTTCCCATTTCCTAATCGAAAACCCCGATCTCTCTCTAAGTGTCTTGGCCTCTAATTGTTTCACCGCCTCTCAAGTCGGACTTGAGAGGTTCTACAATTGCGTAAGGCCTGACGTCAGCATCTAACGCTTTGATTACATCTTGCCCCATATGCTATTACCCACATCTAGGATTCCCACCCTCGAATCTTCCCCATAGCGGCAGCCTCACCTCTGAGCATCCAGGGCTAAGGTAAGGAGTGAGTGGGTTTCGGTAAAAGCTCAGCCAAGCTCTTCCGCAGTCGGCTATCGCAGGAAACACGTAAACTAGCTCGATCTCAGATCCAAGGCCGAGGCTGAGAAAATCTGAAGGATTACGCACCAAGTGAGCCTGCAAGACGTAACTGGCGACGATCCATAACTCCGCCCAGGTTCCCAGGAGCGAATTAACTTACTCGTGCTCGGCCTGCGTGTTCCTTGTCGGTTTGTTCCGCGGAGTGACAGAGGGGGGGGAGTGGGAAACAGCGCGACCAGTTCACCGGGGTAACATGGATGAAGATCGTCCGGCTACAATTACGATGGGCGAGAGCTGTTCCTGAAGATCCTTCCAAGCCCACCTTTTTTTTCTTGCACAATGGGATGGAACGCTAAAGAGAAGGAATGCCAATGAACGACATGGTAATCTTGAGGAAGAACGAATAACCATCTCTGCTCGCCACTTGGCGGCCCCAGATAGGGCCGAAATGCATGTTTGGGTAGGGAAACCACAAGGAGGGGGGTGAAACCGCCACTCGCGTAGACGGCGTTGGTTCGTAGCCGACAGACAGCGCACAGGTTTTAAAGCGGATGGCTGTACGGATACTGGTAGTGTAGTACAAGTGCTACTAAGTGGGGTAGCGGTGGAAGTGATGAAGCGCTATACGACGTCAAACGGCGTCAAAATAGGGAAAAAGGGTCGCCGCTTGCGTCTAGGATCGAGATCACGGAGAGTTTGGCATAGATCTGAGCATGCAAAAGCGACCGCGAACAGGCGGCGGCGGCGGCGGCGCCAAAGCTCGAGGCTACGGGCGGCTGCCAAACGCTAGTCGGGGCAAAAAACCCAAACAGCTAGAAGAGCTTCGCTACGGTTGCCCTCCACGGCCCGAACAGACGCGAGACCTAAGCCACCTCGTATACCTCCCTCATCATCTTCGCCCTTTTCGAGGCCGTGCTTTGTAGGCCTGGCGATCGCCGCCCTATTTTTGAGCCCAAAGCATCCAGAGACGGCATAGCTCGGCCGCTGAAGGAAGGGGGCGGCTAACCAGGACCCTGCAAAAAGAGAAACAAAAAGAGCGCAAAAGAAAAAAGAAAAAAACAAGAAAAAAATCATGGGACCGGGGGAAAAATCCAGAAAGACACGCACCTACCCACATGGCTAACCCAGCGGCAGCGCCGGCGCCGTTTCGGGTTTTGCGGATCATCCGGCTTCCGACGCTAGCGCACCCGGCGAAGATCATCATCTCGGAGGGGGCGGAGGGATCTCGGACGAACGCGCCAAGGAGCGCCACCCCCCCCCCTCCAGTTGTTTGATCTATATGCGCATTTTGGGATGGGCAGCTACGGATCCGTGAAGTTCGGACGTTAGCAAGTATCGTATAGGTGTCGGTAATCGGCGAGGAACCTTTGTTTGCGAATGTGTTCAGACAATTCTAGGTCCTAACGGCGCACATCCTTCCTGAGTATCGGGTCTTGCCATTACTTGAGCGTAAATTAGAGAGGGCCAGTAGGATCTCCGGTCGTCCGCTGAACGGGTGCGTTATGCTTTCCGGTGACACATCAATGGTCTCAGGTATGTGTACGATGCTTCGCGGAACTCACCTTCTGTTCTTGCTCTAAGGTTACAAGTGTATGTACGAATTACATGTAGCGCCGTCGCAAACAGAAAGAACTAGTAAGATAGACATGGCGTCTTAATAGAAATCGTCTCCGCTGGTGACTTAAGTAGTACTCCGGTCTGTAAATTTGCTTAGAACTCTGCACGCAACCTTATACGTAAATAAGAATTCGGTTTCATGCCCCCCCGTAGAAGAAAAATTGCATCCGCTCGGTAGTTGTTCGCGTAGCCTGCAACTCCACTGGCGCAGTGTTCTCTATGCTCTCAGCTAGAGGACTATTCACTTGTACTTTATTACTATTGAATAGTAGTAAAGCATTATCTTGATTGATAAATGCTTATGTTTTAAGGCAGGTCTCCTTTCATGTGAAGTCCGCGATTAGAGGGTCCGGATATATAGGGATCCCCCCCCCCCCCCCCACACACACACACACCTTCTTCCATCCTTCGGCCGCAAGGCAAGGCGAGCGGCCGCCGGCGTGTAAGCACGGGTGGAGGAGGTAATGTATGTAGGAGCTGGCCCTCCCCCCCCCCCCACCCCGTTGGGTCCCAGCTTCCTTGTTGCCGTTGATCGCATCCGTGAGTGCAAGATGGTGGCGGCGCCGGACGGCAGGGAGAAAGCTGGCTCCGAGCTGCCCGATGCGGTCAAGTTCCTGAACATCTCCGACGCCGACGTGCCAGCCTGTTGTGTGCCGCACGGGAGCCAATGACGAGGATTCCAGAGGGAAGAATCACTCGCACTCGGTGCGGTATGCGGTAGGGTATCGTCATGCATAATTCGTGATGTGCAATGACGCCTACGCGTGACGGAGAAAGACGATTACAATGATGGTATTTCTGAACCCTAAAAGAAAATAGACAAAAAAACGCCGCTCGGATCGCTACCCGTCTATACCTCGACGCCCCCCCACCCCTTTCTTCATGCGCCTGCCTGCCTACCTCACAGCTCGGCACTCCGGCCCGTCAACATCCGATTCCGCGCGAGCACCTGGTCCACCAGCTCCTTGCCGGGGAAGTCGATGATGACGACGCCGGTCTTGCCGCTGTCGGCGCGGTCGGCGGTGGCGGCAAGCCAGTCGCCGGTGCGGTCGTTCATGCCGGCGACGGTGCGGTTCAGGTTTCCGGCGGCGGCCTCGATGGGCAGCACGCCGACGGAGGCGCTCAGGTGGGCGAGGTACAGGACGCGGTTGGCGCGCTCCTTGGCGGTGGCGGCGCGGCGCAGGGCGTTCTCAATGGCCTCCCACTTCATGTAGAGGTGGTCGATGCTGGGGATGATCCAGAGGTCCTCGAGGACCATGTCGGCGGACTCCCAGATGACGCCGTAGGGGCTCTCGGGCCCCTTGGCGGCGAAGTTCTGGAGGAGGAAGACCTTGCCGCGGAGGGCGCCGAGGGCCGGGTAGGGCGCGCGGGGGTTGTGCTTGCGGAAGTGGGCCTTGGCGCCGGGGGCGGTGGCGGTGGAGTTGTGCAGATAGAAGTTGAAGGCGTCCTCAAAGGTCATGGTGTTGGAGCCGATGGGCCGGCCCTCCTCCTTGAGGCGCATGACGACGGTCTCGCTGGGGTGTTGGTCAAGGAAGGAGAAGACGGTGAGGAGGACATCAGTGTAGGAGTAGCCGGTGGACATGGAGCCGTGGTAGATGCCGATGGTGTCGTTGACGAGGCGGCCACGGATGTCGAGGTAGCGCATGCCGGCGTGCAGCTGGGCCGAGAGGTTGTGGTTCTGACACTGGAAGACCTCGTTGCTGAGATCGAAGGTCATGGTGTCGTGGGTGCCGGGGATGGACAGGCTGGTGAGGTTGGTGTCATCCGGGATGGCGCGCATCCACTCGGCGTGGTTGGCGCGGTCGACGTCGAAGGAGAAGTGGGACTCATAGCCGCGGTAGCAGTGGTTCTTGGACTTGACGAAGCACGGCGCCAGGGACAGCAGGACGGAGAAGAGGCCTGAGATGAGGACGAAGAAGGTGACAATGTATAGGAGGGGCATGCAGTGGAAACGCATCTTGGCGCCGTGTGAGTGGATGAGTGAGCGAGCGGGCTAGTTGTTGTGCAGTGGATGAGCACGACACTCGTTTTTTGGCGTGAGTACGTGAGTGAGCGAGGTCGCACACGAGTGAGTTACGCGGGCGGGATGAGGTCCGAGAGATTCGCGATGCACGGATGAGGCTCAACCCGCGGGTGAGACGCGGATGACGGAGTCTTGCAGTCGTCCCTCCGGCACGGAAGCCCACCCCGTAGAAGCTGCACCTCGAGGGGGGGGGGGGGGGGGGGAAGGCACGGGAAAAAAAAAAGAAAAAAAAACACAAGGCGGAAAGGAGACGACGATGCTGACACGGTAAATATCTAAAGAAGGAATGCAAGACTCGGAAAGATATCTACCAAGAGAAGGAAACCATTCGCTCTTGCAACGCTTCAATGGGAAAATTCAGGGGGTGATGTTAAGTCAGACCGATGCGTTCCAGAGCCTCCAACGCACCCCGTGGCTTTACTTGGGGCCACCACGTGCGCGCGGCAGCATTGAAGACCGCACCAACGTTGTTCCGGGCCTCGGAGTTCGCCTCTGGTCGGGACGCGGGAGGCTCATAGAGTCCTCTTGTTACGTCCCCCGGAATCATTACCACTGCCAGCACTTCATGCGACAATGGATGATGTTTAAAGGGCGAAATAGAAGAAGGGGAAAAAAAGAAGCCTCAGCTCACCCTCACCGAAAGGTGTGATATGGCGTTGTAGCACACAGATAGGTAGGTACCCAGGTTAGTAAGTTCCAAGGTGAAGTTAAAAGAGGAAGAACTATCGATAAGGTGCAGGGCGACAGATAAGGCCCCCGTAAGAACTCTAGCTCGGAACCCCCGGGGTTGTCGGGGGGAGGAAGAGAAGGTAGGACAGCACGGCGATCGGCCCCAGGGCACGCGGTCTCGGAGCGACAACAGCAATGCGGCCGCATCACCCACCACAGGACAACGATACTTTCGGCCGCCACATCTGCCCGTCCGTCTTCTCTTTTCTATTCTCCCTGGCAAGGGGTATTGGGCCTGTCTGACCGCCATGGCGACGTTCTGCCTTGATTCGGGGTTGCACGATGACCGGACGTGAAACTCACAGAGGGGAAGAGGAACATGTGGTGGGGGGGGGGGGGGGGGGGGCGTGCAACATCTACACACTCGAGCGAGAGACCGTACCTACCGACAAGCACCGGGGAAGTAGGCTTGCTGGGACCTTGGGGGGAACCCTGGCCGTCCTCGTTGTCCACTGGACGGCGAGGGGGGTTGGAGGTCGTGGTATGCCTGATGCCCGGCCACTTGCGTTGCTGTTCTCCAAGACGTCCTTTTCCAAGGAGATGCGTCTGCATTTTTGGCAGAATGTTGCCAATATTCCTTACGCCACTAGGTAGATGGGCCGCAAAAGTAGCGCCATGCAGCCGCTTCTCCATGTGTCCAGGAAACTCTGAAGCAAGCAACGCACAGAATAAGACCTTCCACTTCCAGCCTTTCTCTCTGCTTTTCTCTCCATGGCGCCACCGTCCTCCCGGATACCAAGGGTACATACATACTTGTAGTTCGTTACACCGACTGCGAGGAGATACCCCTCAACCTTGGCAGTGCCTTTACTGACTTGCTCAGTCCACTCATTGGGTTCGAATGCTATGGCGTCGTCTCAGCAGTGCTTGACGTTTGGGCTCGCTGCGGGCAATCATGAGGCTTATCAAACAAAAGAGTAATTGTTTCGTAATACGGGTTTGCCTCTGCCAGTCGTTGCAAGTGTGCACCAGGCTTGACGGTGACAAAGTTGACAGGGCAGGAACGGATACACTGCTACTAGGTAGATGCTATCATGCCCCAATCAGTACGTACCAATGCACAAAACACAGCCAGGCTCACGGTGCTGACTAAAGGTCGTCACCTCATGCCGCCCCACCTCAAGACGAACAGGTTCCCGTTGCCGGCCGTTTCTCTCCGGAACCCCACCATGCCCGCGAGTCGAGGACGTCAGCAGTCCTCGAGCCAACTGTCAAGGTCCCCCCCCCCCTAAATCAGCTCATCATCGGGTATCTCTGGGCCCTTGTTGTAAATTTGTTGCATCACTAGGCGCCCTCCTCGAGGTGATTGTCTCGTGTCTACGGAGTAGTATCTAGCACCCTTGGTCTGTCTTCTAACCATACTCCCGTCAACTTCCCGTTGCCCGGCGGCGCCGCCGGATCGTATCGCGAAGCACCGCATGACTGGATTCCTCGTCCAAGACGAGAGAGGCGACGAGTCCCGCGGGACGTCTTACACATTCAACCAACCCCCGGTGCCGCTTGCCGACTTCCTAGGCATTCGTACTCTCCTTGCCGCCGTAAGCCCCGAGAGCTGGCTTCATGTGATCTCTCGCGCCTCGTATCCCGTCAATCTTCATCTGTCATCCAACGCCACATCGCCCATCCCTTTTGTATGCATGCATGCATGCATTACCACCCACACCACCCACCACTACCACACACTCACTCCCTTGCGCAAGGGCGCCGCCTACCACCCACCACCAAGGGGGGGAGGAACCTCACGTCGGCTTTCCTCACATCTATTCGCCAACCGAGTTCGCTGGGCTTTTCTTCATCTTTACCCCCCTCCCTCTTCTCTTGGACAACAACAAGAGCCTCCATGGGCCGAACACCGTCCCCCAACCACCGTCTCGCTTGGCGGGGCAACTTGTTTCTCTCTCTCTCTCTCTTCAAGCGCGCGGGGGGCCTGGGGTGCCGGCCAAGGGAACAATCCAATTGGCACATTGCACCTCCAGCAACGTCAGTGCGTGTGCCGGATAAGAAAACATCGGGGATAGGACGGTTCGTTCCTTAACGGCGGGACAGAGAGACGAGGGCGGGAAAGAAGAAGAGGGGGGGAAAAGAAAGAGGAAGAAGATGGATTTGATAACTAAAGCAAAGATAGTTTAGACGACGGTTTCTAGGTACGACCTTGTTCGTTGCCTGTGGCCCCTCCTCCTCCACCAACCCCCTCGACCCCCCTACCGGACGAGACCCCGTGGGAGTTCTCACTGGTTATCGGGCCTTTGCAAGGTCAACAAATCTTGTTTCTTGGCCGTCGCCAGTTTGAAAAGAGCTCTGCACGCCGCTTTCGTTGCTGCGCTGCCCCGCATCGGGTGCTGCAAGACCATCAATTGACTTTTTTTCTTTTTTTTTCTTTCTTATTCTTTTCTTTATTTTTATTTATGATTATGATTATTATTATTATTGCTCGTTTTTCTTTCCCCTTCTTCTCTGGAAGGCACCCCGTCGCTTGCTTGCTCGCTCTATTTTCATTTTCATTTTCATTCTTTTCTTCCTTCATCTCTTCACCGGCGGAGGGGAGGGGGGCAACTCGGCGTTGCATACCTAGTTTACCTGGCATGCATGGGACGAACCGCCGGTTCGGCCACGCCCGGTTGGCGAGGAGCATGCAGCCAAGACTCGACGTGAACGACGCACGAACGGAGCCCGTCAAGCTACCGGTAGTGTAGGTAGCGTGGGGTTCGTCTCGCTTTCCCTGCACAACTCCCGCACCCTGTACGGATACTTGGTAGATAGGAGTACTACCTAGTGTACTGTGTAAACTTGGTGGCTCCTCAAAACGAGAGGGGGACTAGCCGGATCCGGCGCAGCATCGCGCATGCGTTGCAGCAGGAAGCCCAATCGGTGCCGAGGTTGCGCGTTCTCTGGGGCATGAGACTGGGTACGAGTAACCCAGGTGCACACGCGAGGCTGGCGATACGAACCAAACTGCATGTCATGCCCATCGCATCGTCTGGTGTGTGTCTGTCTGTCTGTCTGGCGTGCTCATGATACCCGATGCTTATATACTCAGTAGGCAGCGGTGGGACGCCGGCCCAACCGGCACAGTAGCGGGGGACGAGAGCCTCCTCACCTCCCGGCATGGCGTGGAGGAACGGCGCGACGAACGTGGCGCAGCGGTGGGTTCTCGCACATCTTGACCAGGGTCTCGGGGTAGCTGTGGTTCTCGAGGCATCATATTGTACCAGATGACTCTTGAGCTACTGTCGGAGGATCGCTGATGCGTTTATCTGTAACCGTAGACGCTCTTCGTCTTCTTCGGAAGCTTCTCTCGTCCGGGGCCGAAGCAACAAGGAACACCGCGGCACGAATCCCTACCGGCGTTTCCGGAGAAGCTAGAAGCGAGTGATTGTTTCTCCGGAAATGCCCCCAAACCGGGAAAGATGACCTGCCACTAAGCGGTTTGATAATTGGCGAGTCTGCCTGATAACCGCAACCGCGATATTCGGCTTCGAGATTGGTGTCACGGTCCCCGGTCCCCAGACCACCCCTTGTGGTTGCGAACATTGGATACAAGCAATGATGGCCACGCCCGACTCAGAGGATGACAACTGCAGACACAAAAGGCGATCCAAGAGCCAAGACCAGGACAAAGTCACTCAGGGTTGCTGCGAGTTTGGCGCCCCTCCCCCTGGAAGGAGGCGCTCCTTTTGGCTATAGCTCAGAAAATCAAGCGAACGATTCCAACGGGTAAAGGGGCAATGACACCCTTGCGGCGAAAGAAAAAGCGCTAAGGAGTGTAACCCGATGCGGCATCTTGGGTCGCGATGAGAGGGATACAACCACAAAAAATAAAAATAAAAAACAAAGAGAAAGAGAGAGAGAGAGGGAGCGCTTTCTGACGGGAGTGGCGAGCTAGGGCAGGAAGCCGCAATGCTATGGTGCCGTTGACTTGGGTGCTTCGTCGAGTTGGGAGTGAGAGTGGGTGGGACGTGGAAAGGTAGCAGAGGACGGTGATAAATCATGGAATCATGGAATATGGCCGAACGAACAGGCAGAATGGAGGCTAATGGAAGAGAGATAACTCGGTGTGCCAGCGGTTTGCGGATGAATGGTCCCGCCAGGAACTAGAAAAGGTTTGGTACCTAGATGAGAAGGGGTTATCGCGGACGGGGGGTAGAGGGGAGGGGGGAGAGAGCGGGAGACGACGCCCCCCCGGCCGCTAATTCAACGACCCAGGCAAGGTAAAGTGTTAGCTATAATCATAAACTTTACTTTAGGTTCATTGATGATGGTTTGCGCGCGTAGTCCGAAGCAGCCGGCGGTCCCGGGCTCTGTTCTGGCATTGCGGGTCTCCCTATCTGTAAGACCCGCAGGCAAAGCTCGAACCAGCAGCATACGCAGCCAGAGGCGATGCCGTACGAATGGGGGTCGTCGTCCAGGAGCCCAAGAGGCAAACAAGGGGGAGAGGGGACAGCGTGGGCGCCCTGCTCCGGGACAAGTAAAACGGGATAGCGAGTGCGGTCAATATGGAGATCCGATTGAAGGAGGGTTAGGGGTGGAATTTAATCAAAGCCCCAAACGCGTACGCTGCATGGCATGGGTGCATTCTTGCATCGTATCGTTGTCACCTGCCTCGAGTTTGGTGTATCTACACCAACCCGCAAGCGCATGTATCCGTACTGTATCCGTACTCGGGGCAAACACTTATGAATGGCCAGGAAAGACAAGGCGATTGCGGGTTATTGTTCCAAAAGTAGCAGGATGGACGGATGGGCGGCAGTCTACGGATACTGAGCACCCCCCCTCAAGATGATCGCTGTGGGGGAGGGAGATGCTTCAGTTGCTGTACTCCGTAGGTAGCAAGTAGATCTTATCTGGTGCTTGCAGCTGAGACGGCGGTTCGCTTTGTGAGGAGTATGGTACATTGTACGGAGTATATTGTACACACGGCATCGGAATGCAGGCATCATGCCTTTCGGATAAACATCATTTGGGACAGGCGCGGCCCAAGCGCAAGCAACCTCTCTGCTCCTGCCTGCCCTCCTTGTGTTGTTTTTATGCTTTTTGTGCCAGATCAGATCAGATGCGATGCACCCATCATCGAATGTCGACGAGAATGGCAAGAACGAGTGATTTCACTGGTCCGTGCTTCCTGCAGCTTGACAGTGGAGAGTGACGACATCGGACATGACGAGGACGCTAAAGGAGGAGAAGGAACGAGAGAGAGAGAAAGAGAGGGGGAGAGAGATGGCGGTAGTGGGTCGGTCAGAAGGTAGGTAGTGCCGGTGCGGGTCGTTCGTTGTTCTTGCCCATTACGGTTGGTCGCGCAGTGACGGGCACAGGAAGGCAAAAATATTATCACCACTCACTCAGCCTCGAAGGGATGAAACAGAGGCGTTGAGAACAAAACGTGGATTGTCGCCCGCCAAACGAGGTTAACGAAAGCAGGCAGTAACCTATCTGGTCAAGGTGTCCGCGGCTGGCCGAAGAGAAAGGGAAAGGGAAAGGGAAGGGCACAGGCAGTGCAAGGGAGAGGCTGTATTTTAGGACTGACCGACGCCGCGCCTGCTCGTGCAATCATAGTGGACGGCGTGGCTGCTCTTGGTCAGGCAGTTCTGTCGGACCGTCCGCGCAGTTTGATTTTGATGTTCATCACTACCCTGCAAGTTTGGCGAGTGCTAAGCCGCATCGGGCTCAAAGCTCGGGATGAATGCGCCGGGTATGCGGGCGGGCTCTCGACGTGGCTGGGATACCGTGTCAAGAGTTTTGTGCTTGCCTGCTCACTCGCTTGCTTGCCTGCTGCCGCCCCTCTTTCAGTGCTCGCTGCTGCCATCTATTTCGAGGTTGTTGATGGAGATTCCCCCGGTCCGTAGGGCGACAATGGAGAGAGAGAGAGAGAGTCAGGGGAGCCAAGTCGAAGAGACGAGTCCTAGGTAGTCAGTATGAGGCCGGGCACAATATGAGCAAGGCAACGGCTGCCCTTGGGCGACGGCCAGGAATAACAGAGGTCTACGGAGACTTATGAGGTCGACATAGCCAGTGTGCCGTCTGTCCGCATTCAAGAGACAGGCAGGACGGGCGACACACTTGTTTCTGGGCCTGATTCTCCGACGCCTGACCGTTAATTGCTCCCGAGCGGGTGTCGGCGCAACAACAAATGGACAGCATCACACACACACACACACACACACACACGCTCTTACATCTTGGGTCACTTCCTTCTTGGACGGCGTCCTGCTGTGTGAGCTTCACACGTATCATCCTCTGTCGTGTCGGGTTCGTCCGTGAACAAGCTCCCATCCATCAACCACTACCACTATCATCATCACCGCCACCGCCTATGACGGTCCACTCACCCCTACCTCAGCTCTGTGTTCCAGTCTGACACCGCCGTCTCTCCACGTTGGCATTCGTGACTGCGACGGATTGGCGGCGGGAGAGACCAGAGAAACAAGAGAGACCGGCCAAGTAAGTGCTTGACCGGGGTTACCACGGCCGGCTCGTGTCCCTACCGCCCTGATCCTGGTCAGGTTGGCCTGTCCTAGTACACTAGTACCTAAACTAGGTAGGTGTCTGCCCCCCCGGTCACGTCAAATCCACTCTTTTCTGCAAGTTCCAACCACTCACGGTCCCACTGCCTACCTGGGCCTACCAAGTCCTCAGGTAAGAGGTAAACTAGAAATTACTGCCAATCTGCGTCTAGGTATCTTGAACCTTGGCGTTTTGGTTCATCGGCGAGTGTTGCTGCTGCTACTGTTACTGCTGTTACTCGTGCGTACTTGTGACCGTCTGGTCGCCTCGTTGCGCACTGACTAGCGTCCTTGTTGAATTTCCCATTCTCCCACCTAGGTAGGTGGTCTATCTACACAATCCCATCGTCATCGTCATGCTGGTGGAAATTTAGCTACATTGTAGGTTTTTGTCACTCCTCTTGGCCAGGGCTCTCCGTCTGCCTCTTTTACCTGTAACCTCCCTCCCCCTCTCGAGCCACCGGCTTTTCATCCTCGACGCTGGACTCTCTCCTTCTCCTTCTTGCTTGTTTGGCCCTTGTGTTTCTCTTTCCCCCTTCCCTCCGTCGTCTGGGTATCTGTATTCGTACACTAGTACCTGCGGGTACCTTTTGCTTAGCTCCATTCGTCCCACACACACCCCCCTTTCCCTTGGGGGATTCTTTTTTTTATTTTTTATTATTTTTTACTCTTACTCCGTACTTTTTTCTTCTTCATTATTTCCCATCTTATTATATTTTTGTCTTTGCGTTGCGGGTAACGCCTCAAGTAACTCCGCTTTCGCGCCTTTGGCTGCCAGCACCCCTCGGGAAGAACGAAGGACACCCAAAACAACAACACCACCACCACCACCACAATCGCTTCGCTTCGCTGCAGTGCTACTGCCACTCTCTCGTTTCCTTTCTGCCCTTGCTTCCCTCGGGGGGTCTCACCTACCTAAACTACCAAGTACCTACTCCCTTTGCATCTCCCCCACGTACCTACCTACGCTTGGTATCCGTACCCGTGCTGCAGATACCAGATCGGATTAGATACTAATCGACGGTCGATACCCTCGCCCTGGGCGGCACCACCTCACTCGCTTGCTACCTTTCTTGCCTGCCTTTTTTTTTTTTCGCATCCCTCGCCTTGGCACCTGCTTCTTTTCTACCCAAGCCTACCTTACTTTCAATCTCACCATCACCCTCACTCATCTCCCCTTCCCTCAAACCGACCATCTATCACAGGGTCGTCGGCTCCGACGATAATACCTCACTCAGCCCCTGACCGACTGACCGACCTTGTGCGCATCCTCAGCTATAGCCCCCAGGTCACACCTTAATTACTTCGGTTCCCAAAGGAAGAAGAAAACCAAACCGACGCCTGTTCTCATACATACTTCTTGAGCAAGA